GGCTATTTGGCCTCTAACTATTTATTTATTTTTTTTTTTTTTTTTTTTTCAAGTAGGTCGCTCATACAGTTTTGGAGGTGCCATTTGGAGATCAATGCAAACGCGTCTCACCTACTACCTAGACGTCTTCAATAAACCATTCCCTAACCGTGTACATTGAAGGCTGTTTTGTGAAGATGTCATCGCCGCTGCCCTTAGTACCTCCGGCGGCATTAGCTGTGCAAGGCAATGTATCCACAGAACGCTGCTTGTTTTACCACTGATGTTATGACCCTGTTTATCAAAAAAAAAAAAAAAAAAAAAAAAAAAGTAATGTATTTGGCAGCCCAGCTGCCACCCAAGAGTGCGAAGTTAAGTGGCAGCCCCCAGAAGTAGGCTGCCAAATAGAGGCAAAAATTACTATATTTGGTATGGGCTGCCAAATAGATTAATCCTTTTTTTGCAACCAACGCATACAGCCTGTTTTAAGGAAGGAAAAAGATATTTGTACGGCCCCGTACACACCTTATTCACACTGCCCCATCCCCTTACGAATGATTTTTTTTATTTCCACGAAGTTTCTATTTCAGTCTTTCAAGTGAAAATCCGTCTTTAATCGGTGGGCTTTCTCTACATAAAAACGTCAATAGACAGGAAGCGTTGGAATCGTATAAATACGTTGATGCGTCTCCAGCCATTACTGTCATTGGGTAGCTGGATATCACGATCAAAAAGCTACATTGACCTACAGTACAGTGGTGAGTCTTTTTTTTTTTTTTTTTTTTTTTTTTTTTTTGGATGTTAACAAGTTCATCAGGAGCCTCTGTGCTTCCCCATCAACACAGGATTGTCCTCAGTAAAGGTGTCAATGGACGACGTATTGTAAACTGTTGTTCTTCCTTCGAAGACCAGGTGCTCACTACATGCTGCTATATACAACACACTAAGGAGGACGCTAGATATAAAAGTCCGTTCAGCAATAATCGAAACTGCATCAAAAATTGTGGCAAAGTTTACTCTAAGCAAGAATGGCTCCTGTTAGTGACAAAGGGAACTTGTTAACTTCGATTTAAAAGAATCTATTCAGGATCAACGGAGCACAATGCCTGTATTCATTATTATAACCATAGAAAAAGCATACTCATGTCATTTTTGATGACCGTATGGGTTATTGGGCCAGAACCTCGAGAAGCAGAGATTAATCAAACAGGTATCACTCGCCTAGGTGATTGGTACGATATGGGCCCCATTTCACAATATTTTATTCAATGCTCCTTGAGGAAATGACTTATAGAATATCCGATAATTGTTATTTTTCGCGACTTAGCCAACTTTCCCTGAGGGAAACCTTTTTTTCTTGCTGTGTAACTGGCAAATATTTACCACGACTGGTTTCAAAATTGAAAAATACATATTTTCTGAAGGCTCAATGGGGCTTTGAGTAGCATTCATCACATCACTATAAATATTGGTATTCGTCAGAAAGCATAAACCCCACTTGAATAAATTGCGCTTCGACGCCTGCTAGCGGCTCCAAGCAGAGCGAGCCTAATTGGATTTGAAGTGAGTGACTTTGCCTATAGCACTAAATGTAGCGACATGTCCATAAAAAAACAGCCCTGTAGAGATAGTTTTTTTTATAAGTGAAAACATATTTGCATGGGAACCGTACGAATAAGACGGGTATGTGCAAATAGCTTCATCCTTTAATTTACATTGCAGTCAGACACTCAGAGTTTTTTTTTTTTTTTTTTTTTTTTTAGAAAAAACAAGAGTTATAGGTAGGCCTAGATGTTAGGATAGTAACTTGCATTGGGATGTCATTTGTAGGCACATGGAATCATTGTTTGTTAGCAAATGTGCCAGGGGGCGCAACTGTGGTGAGGAACACAGACGTAGTAGCAATGATTTCCTTCTGTCTCTCCTGAGGCAACAAAAACTAGGGTTTATAAAAGCATGAATACAACGGCTCTGCCGTTTGTACAGCAATAACTGTTTATTCTCTACATATAATGGTCCTTGTTATAAAAAATATCATTTGTCTTTATTTATACCACATGCCGAGCACAATAGATTGACGTATTAGATCACCGTATGCAGTATGGTGGGCAGCTATACACAACGCATTTATTCAACAAGGATCGGAAGTCACGGTCGAGTGGGTCAAAGGACATGCCGGCAACCGAGGGAACGAAGAAGCGGACGAAGCAGCAAAACATGGACATTATGGCGAGCTATGGGATATCAACATAACGGAGCATAATGACATGTACTGCCATGCAAAGTTCAACGGTGTACCAGCGGAAGATGACTTAAGGCAGATCCTTAAGTTACAGTCAACAACTCGTACACATCACACGTGGATCGCTCAGAACAGGATGCAGGAGCATGTTAAGGATTGGACAAAAATTGATTGGCGAGCTACTATGAACATTGTTCATGATAGCAACCTACCGAAAGGACTCTTCACCAGCCCAGCGGACTGCCAAAAGCGAGCGCACAGGATCAAGAAACTCCATGGAATGTTGCCTACACAGTTATATATGAGACACTGGAGGCCGGACCTTTATGAAGACGGCAACTGCAGAGTGTGTGGGACAGAGGATGAAGATACATCGCACATCTGGAGATGTCCAAGGACGATGGAGACTCAGGCCGAGAAGTGGAAGGAGATAATCCAAAATGTGAATGTGATAGGGGAGAGGACATGGAGGAAAGAGTTGAAAGCAGTGCAGGAGCAAGCACAAAGGGCCAGAGAGAGAGGTGTAGACCCACCAAGGACAAAAGAGCCAACTTTTACTGCGGCAGAGGAGGACTACATTTGGGGAACTCTGGAGATGCATATCGATGGTGTGCGAGAAGTACGACGCCGTGGTGATAGGAACGGCGATGATGAGGAAGAGAGAGAGCACACACCAGATTGGTCTGTGCAGGACATTTACCATGGACTTACGCCCAAGTCCATTGCTCAGAGTTGGAAAGTTGGCTTCAAGACAACAACAAGGATAGCTACATATATGGCAGGGCGCTTCGTCAAGGCCATAGAGGAATTCGGTCGTACAGAAATCTGGAACAAACGGTGTAAAGTCACCGTTGAATGGGAAAAGGCTCGTGGAATCACTGCTTTGAGCAAACGCGCCAGAGGACGCAACTGTGTTGGGGAGCACAGACGTAGTAGCAATGATTTCCTTGTCCCTTCCCTCAGACAAAGACAGAAGCTGAATGTAAAAGAGATCTACAAGATCGCGGATGACCGAGTCCGGGACATTTACCTTGGGAAAGCCAAACTGGACGTGATGGAGCGGCTAGGTGGAATGAAGTTTTTGATGACTATGGATAGCGGATAATTTGTCGCGTTGCGCAACAGGCCACGTCGGAAAGGTGGACTTTGAGTACCAACCACGGCGGTCAGGGTTTATGAAATCATGGATACAGCGGCTCTTGTCGTTTGTGCAGTAATAGCTATTTATTGACTATAGTTTCTGGAGCATTTTGTTCATAGAATGTAGAAAATAAATCCCATGACCCTGAGGGTCCTTGTTGCCGAGCACAATAGATTGACACATTAAATAACCTGAAATGATTAGCGCATCAGAGGGTCAGACCTGCTGATATCCCTTTCAAAGTATGTCTGGTTGCTTCAGCAGTACTTGTATTGCCTTTACGCTGACTAAAGGAGCTGATAGCAACCATGGCAAGAGCCATTCGTGCTTGTATAGAACTCATGTTCCAACCACTAATAGTAATAAAATGGCTGACAGTACAAAGGCTGCATTGACAGCCGCGTCTGTACTTCGAAAATAAATCTCTCCAAAAACCTGCTATGTGTTTTACGTTTATCCCAGCTCTTGCAGATAAAGCATGAGTTGTCTTAGAGGGCATAACGTCGAGGCCTAGGTCTGAATAACTACATTTTCATTAGTGTTCATACAGCAGATTGGATCCAGCGATGTCCATGGTGTCGTGGGTAGGATATTTGAAGTATCCAGCTTTGTTGGGGATGCGGGTTCTAGAAGTACTGACAAATAATGGTGTCTTCGAGTTCAAGCTGGTATTTGGGTGAGAAAAAAAAGGTGTCTCTTATATTTTTATTATTCTAAAAGAACGAATAAATTAGGCGAGCCTTTGACAGCTAACAATAAATCCATTGTTATGTTGAAGTTTACCTTCACTGAGTTGAATGCACAGAACGTGGCTCAATGGGCTTTGCGACAAATGCAGGAGCAACGTGGTTGCGTATTCAGTTGCTACTGGTCTACTTGTCTCGGGAGTGTCATCTTTAAAACTGCATCTTCCATTCATAAGTGCTCAATTATATCGAGGAAATCTAAAATGTAAAAAGACAAAAAAAGAACGAAGGATGTTTCTATTGATGAGGACTGATCAATGTGTTACCCCTTGTAGACACGTTTGTCTATTAAGCAAATGAGGTTAGCAACACCTTGTAAGCTGATAAGATATTCGAGACATGTAAAAGAGGTTATTTAGTGAGTCCTGAGCTCTTCTAACACTGATGAATGTAAGCACCGGTAAAAGAATGTTTGCTCTGCTCAAAATAGATCGCTGGTACCAGCTCAAAGGACGAGCTTCGGAAAGACCAATGCCTATAGAGCCTCGTTGGGGTATTTTTGACAAACAAGAGTGGTGCAATTTTATATTCAAAATATCCAACTGCACTGTAGCATAATAATACATTCTAAGATCGAGAAACAACTGTGTAAAAAAATATACTTATAGAATTGATTTGCCTTTGTTTTATTTAGTAGCAATGCAAAGAGACTGCTAGAGATAGATATGATAAGGATTAAGGAGTAAAAGAGAGACGCGTCTCGAAATCTGTAGACCTTAGGCCTATTATCTACATTTCTGACTGTAGAGTGAAATACAAAAAAATCAACTTGGTACGCTGTCTTTTATTTTTCTTTTGTACAACTGTACCTTCAGTATTATTTTTTTATTTTTATTTTTATCTTTTTTTTTTTTTTTTTTTATTTTTTTTTATTGTTTTTTTTTTTTTTTTAGCTCCATGTCTCCTTATGATTGCATACTGCAATATGAAGAGCGATGTATAGACAAAATAGAGACAGTGGACGATGGTTATTGGGTGTAAAACTGTATACTTTTTATGCTTATTAGTGGTAATAAATGAGTGTTACGGTCCAAATGGAAGTGCATTAGTTTGCGTGTAATATGTATAAAAAAACATTCATTCCTGTTTCTCTTCTTTAAAACTCTTTAATCCAGGCCGGCCGGATCGCAGCATGCCGTCGATATGGTTGGAGCACAACAACGCTACAAGCATCACAAAAATATGAAAGGGTGCGATCGAGAATACGATGGTCCAGCAGGTTTTCAAAAGCTTCGCCTCAAATACATTATATTTATGTTGGCATCCTGGTAGCGTGGTTAGAGGGAAGCAGCGTGAATCGTATGCTCCATACCAGCTTGCACTTTGGTACCCACAGCACCACAGCTAAAAAGAAAAGTCATCACCATAAAGTTAGCAACAGTAATAACTTTTATCCTCTGAGGGGGAGCAATTTCTACTAATAAAAATATGGTGGAAGAAACTACTTACATTGTGCTGAACAAGAAGGCGCTGCTGACGGCTGTAGTCATGGATCCACTCGTCCTTGACATGTGCTCGAAGATGAGATTTGGCGCGTCGGAAAGAAATATAACCAATAGACATGTAAAGTGCAAATACGGGCCAAAGAAGAACAGCATACGCAGAAAGCCATATCCTGTTCTCACGGAAAATACCAACAAAGCCAATGCCCGCTGTGGCAATGCCTGCTACTGATGCGGCACACGCCACTAAAATAAATAAAAAAGAAGTTGTGGTCAATTATATAGTGCCACTCCCCCAAAAAACAGAAAAGATGCCAACGCTGCATACATAGGTTATAAAAACATACAATAGACGAGTTTATGATGGAATTCCATGACTAGAACCGACAATTCCCATTCTAAGCGGGACAGGATACAGGATTAGAAATCTAACACAGTATTTCAATATGACTTTTTTTTTTTTTTTTTTTTTTTTTTTTTTTTAAAAAAAACTTACTCTTCATTATGTACCCAATAGTAATAGCAAGGACTGCGCATGAGTACGCAAGCAATAAAAGATTTGAAAAGATGAGGATCCACTTTGATTTCGTCCAGCGTTTATAAAAGGGATACTCAGTGTAACGCTTCTTCATAAGAGCTTGATATGCACGCCATCGGTCTGCAAGGCCTTCCAAAGTCAAGTCAGTTCGTGTAAGATTGTAGCTGGGGTCCAGTCCAGAGCTGTTCCTGGACCCATGGTATGTCGAGCCCAGACTATTGGTCTTTTCACGACCATCAGAGGACCCATTATTTGAGTTTGCAGCGGCAAATGGTGATGCCGGGCGAGTAAGACTGCCATTAATTGCAAGTGCCGCTGTGGGCGGCAAATAGTTGTTTTTGTAGTTGTTGCTGCCACTGTTATGGTTGTTGTTGTTATAAATCATAGAGTTAGTAGAATTGTTGATGGGCGGTGCCCTGTATGGAGCGGGAACGGGGATATCCTGCTGCTGTTGCATTGGAGTCGATTGTGCATTATCAGGAATTAAAAGCGTATCACTGTTGCCGCTTTCATGACCTTGTTTGGGAGTAATCTTAGGCATGACTGGCGTCGCCGCAGATACTGAGGTAGAAAGGGATGATAGTGATCCGTCCGTGATATAAGACGAGTTTGATTTTTGAACGATTACAGGGGCGGTGCTTGCTTCAGGTTGAAGTTGTGCTCTCGCATGGACGGAATGCGAATAATTGATTGGTGAAGGCGTTCTGTCAGGAGTGAGTGTGTCCTTGCTTCCACGTTTGAAGGCATTCATGATGCGATCTTTAGGTTTTTGAGAGCTAGCGTGCGTCTGTATGTAGGGCGAGTTGGCGTGCGTTATTATTGGGCTTGAAATGTCTCGCTCAGGTAAGGACAGATCCTGCTCTGAAAAGAAAGACTGTTCAATGAGTTCTAAATATGGGGATCGGGGTCCAGCGGCGTCGTCTAATGAACTACAATAAATAGGTAGATAAAGATCAATGGGTTGTTACAAGTGTTCTATGCGGAGGATGCACACCCAACCGTCAACAAAGAGCCAAAGGAAATAGGAATTCTGTTCACCCCTTCTTATTTTTTTTTAACTTCATCCCTAACTGTTAGATGAATATGGCATCATAAATAAATATGCTGGACTATTTGTATCCAGTTCTTCACTACACTGCTCAGTGCTCACACTCATAGCCTCTGTCTATTTGTTTGTCGGCTTTACTGTCTATTTCTTTTCGCTCCTCTTCTTTCAACTCAGGGCTTGGACCAAAAGACACGAGGAAATTCATTGATGGAGGATTTTCTTAATGCTTATTTTGGGTGGCGATATAAGCAGCCATTATTTTTGAATTCTTGCTCGATTTCAATAAACATTTTAGAATACAGCTTGGAAAAGTGCAGAAATATTGATATGCACAGATGGAACCATTAAAGGAAAGGGTGGCAAAGGTCTGATTAATTACCTATTGCTTTCCTGAGGGGAGGTGTTGTTATAACTACTCTCTGTTGGATTTGGGGCATTGTGTGGCATGACGTTATGATGGTAAATAAATAAATAACGGTTTCGATTGACGAGATTGTAGATAGAATATGTATGATGAGATTAAGGAGACTAGGGGAATTAAGGAAATGAGAATACCTCCAGAGTTGAGAGAAGGAGGGATGGGAAGGAGGAGGGAAGGAACAACAAGGAGATCGATAAGAGAAAGGGAGAGGAGAAGAGGCAAGGGTGGAGAAGAAAAAAGAGGTGTGGGTGAAAGAGAGTGGAGGGGAGAAGAGTGAAGACTGAGGTGACTGGACAAAATCGAGTGTCTCTGTTTATTATTAACTAGCTCAGTTACACATAACAGGGTTACCTACATTAAGTTAAGAAATGGTGCGAAAGAGAGAAGAGAGACAATTTATTCACCATTGACCATCAACAGCCTTTTATTTCGAGCAAAGTGGGTTCATTGATATATATTTATAATCGAGGATAGCATTGATGATCCTGCTTCTCCTCTCTCCTTGCTGGAATGTCCATCACATAGCATTGCACTAGACCAATGAATTTACATCTGCATGTCGATCGGGTTCGGGAGGCGAGGGCTACCTTTCGCTTACAACATATTTTATAAAAATAAATCCTCAGACCCAAGATGGTATCTATCTTTTCTCTTTGTGCTTTCTTCCCGCAGATGGCTATAACGTAAGTCAATAGTCTACAAACAAAAATCTTTTTAACTGGAATGACAGACAAGAGTGTAGCATGTGGGATAGATGCAGAAAAAAAAAGCAAAGGTGGATCTGCATGCTCTGCGTACTGTCCTTTATCTTAGGATCTTTTTTTTTTTTTTTTTTCTCTGCACTCGTCATGAACTCAACCTCACCTATTCGAAACCATTTCGGTTTTCCATCCGCAAGCAGGAGCTTCTCTCTTTTTTTTTTTTTTTTTTTTTTTCAAGACAATTGTCCTTACTACCATATGTTGCATAGAACCCTTATATGTAGTATGCAATATTCGTCCATAGCTTTTAATCTGGACTCGGGGCATCGTTATGTCTAAATATGGAATCTGTTGTACTCTTATTCTTGTTTGGATGCAGAGTGCAAGTGTTTCAATCATATTACGCACTTAAAGCAATTGAATAGTCTGCACAGCATCAACAATAACAACAGCTCAACATCAACATCAATATTTGTGAATTTGTTTTCTGTGTCATAATGAGGTGATGTGTCTTTTTTTCCTTGATACCAGTAAACGGTATGACATCGCGTGAGAGAAGAACTTTTTCTGAGCTCAGTTAACAATAATAACAGCATTCTTAATTCTAATGTTTATGGATACGATTCTCTGGATATCACCTTGGATTCATTTAAAAAATAAAAATAAAAAGCTTGCACGTTCTTGGTAAAAAAAGAATTGTCGGTGGAGTGAAAGTGAGAAATGATAGTGCGGTCAAATAGAAGCAAAAAAAGCGATTTCGCGCTGTACAAGGCTGGGAGCAGATTATCAAAAGTAAAAAGCAAGTGGGTAAGTAGAGTACACGCAGAACAAATGTCCAAGATGGTCGAGATCGAGGCCTAGAATTTATCAAGTGAATACCCGCGCAAATTACGAATATTTATACTTATGGAAGATACAAAGAAGTTTACCGCTGATGTATCAGTGCATTGGAGTGAAGAATGGAGTGCTGAAAACCTTACAGTCAGATCCTGATGGGATAGTATTGCCATTGAACTATTGCTATGAGACATACATTCCATTGTACCATGCTGGATTCTCATGAGAAATCATTCTCTCCTGCTTAGCTGATAGTAGCATTCTTTCGCGATCTATTTGTGTCCACACGATTTCGCCATCTGTTTCCCGTACAATCTCGTTCAAATACTTAATTTAGGATTCTTGCTTGTGGAACGTTCGTATGATTGTTACATCAAACCCAGGTTAAAAGCATGTAATTCCATGTTGGATGTTCCAAGATAAGAGCCCCTGACTCTAAGGAATCAGGATATTATTCGGAGATGGTAGTAGGAGCAGATATATACCGTGATGTTTTTTTGTCTTAATGACATCTCTCAATGGGATCTATTTTTACCGTTGTGGGCGATTGTGCTAGTTATTCTTCAATTGTGATGGATTGAGTAAGACAGGGATCCTGTTGAGGAAACACCTGCATCTGCATCTTGATAGAGTACATTCATCAAATGAATGTCCGCTTCTTATCCAGGGGCATGCTAGGTTAAATATCATTGTTGTTGCCCATGTTCGCCCCCTTTTTTTGTCCCATTCAATCTTTCATGATACTTTAGTACTCTGTCAATATCCGCCCTGTCCACGGCGCCTCTTTTCGGTCTATCGGTCGTTCTCAATCTCTTCTTTTCTTCTCTCTCTCTTCACTATTTTTCTTTCTTTCTTCTCGACTCACCCACCCCTTTACATCGATTCTACATTTAGCTGGACCAGTGACCAGTGGTCACTGAATATTCTATATAATCCCAATTAACGTCTCTTGGGTGGTCTTTTTCGTCATTAGTTGAGGTAATGCAATGTTCATGTTGACGATGAGCATTTCTGAAAAAAAAAAAAAAAAAAAACTTCTTTTTTGACCTTCCTCCGCATTGGGCCTATCGGTGCCTGAAAAAAGAGATTGGCATCTGTCCATCTACTCACTTTCACTTTTAAAAAAAGCTTATTAGGTCGTTCTGTCTCGACATATTACTACATCATTGGATATTGAGTGACCATCAAGCGCCTACGCCAGCAACTCACGAATCGTTAATCATATAAACATCAAAATCCTTAACGATGTTATATCTGACAAAGGATCTATTCCCGGTCTTTGTACCGCTGGGTGTGGTTGGGTTCTATCGGTATTTGTGGTTTATCATCAAACTGCTTGCCTACTTCTTTTATCGTCCTATGATGCCAAAGAGTAATCCTACCTATCGGGCTGAATACGATGTCACCATTGTTGTCCCTACTATTGATGCTGGAGAGGAGTTCAAGGAAGCTGCCCATTCTTGGTTGGCTAATAATCCCAAGGAAATCATCATCATTACAGAGACGAAGATGAAAGATGCTCTTCAGGAACTCGCCAATTCGGTCGATCCCACTAAAATTAGAGTGTTGACTGTACCCAAGGCCAACAAACGCCTACAGATGGTGGAGGGGATTAGGAATACAACAAGTGAAATCATTGTATTTGCAGATGACGATGCTATTTGGACTCCTACCTGCTTAGAGTATATCCTTGCTTGTTTCGAGGATCCTAATATGGGAGGCGTGGGCACCTCTCAGACCGTTAAATCTGTAGGTCGTTACCAAACTGTCTGGGAGGTCCTCGCTGGTTTCCGTTTAACGATCCGTAATATTGAAATTGCAGCATCTACCCATATCGACGGTGGAGTATGTTGCTTATCAGGTCGGACGGCTGCTTACCGCACTTGTATCCTTCAGGATCCCCAGTTCCAGTACGAATTCACGCATGATTTTTGGCTGGGCAAGTATCCACTCAACTCTGGAGATGACAAATTTTTGACCCGTTGGATGGTCTTCCACGGATGGAATACCTATGTTCAAATCTGCAAGGAGGCGGAGCTACTCTCGACTTTCAAGAATAACTGGCGATTCATTAAGCAGGTATTACGATGGACCCGAAACACTTGGCGCTCTGATTTTCGTTCTCTATTTATGGAGCGCAGGATCTGGAGCCGGCATCCTTATGTGGCCTTTACAATGATAGACAAGATATTTAATCCTATCACACTGCTCTCCGGACCTATCTCTGTCATTGTGTTATCGGCTCAGGATAAATTTCACTTACCCATTTGGGATATCATCATTTCTTATGTTGTCTGGCTCATGATGACCCGTATTATCAAGTTGCTACCGCATTTGTTCAAGCGTCCTCAAGACATTATTTGGGTGCCAGCGTTCTTGGTCTTCGGTTACTATTTTGCAATCATGAAAATTTATGCTCTCTTTACACTGCACGAAGTCGGATGGGGAACACGAGCTGGTATCGATCAGTCACCTGCAGAATTAGCTCAAGAGAAGGAAAAACAACGATCAGAGCAGGAAAAACTGCAGCAGGACATAGAGAAACATGCGCTCGAACATCAGGCTGCGGCTACCCAGGCTGCTATTACTGCCGCTGCCGCCGCCGCTGCAGCGACGCATTACGAGGAGCGGCAGGAACAACGACCACAACTAGAGCGTGAGCCATTACGTCCGCCCACTATGATTGGGGATATGATTCTAAGGCCAGATTCTCCTGGCAGTGCCGAGCTGATCCGCCACTTCAGTCGGCAACAAGAGTACCAGCAGTGTCAAATACCTGGATACTCCCCATCACGGAGCGCTCAAGCTGGAAACGCGCAAAATACGGAGGTGTATGAGTATTGTCAAGATGATGAGCTGACTCAGTATTTCGCGCAACAAGATACAAATCTCACGCGCCGCTCACAGATTGATCCTTTTGGGTACAATAGAAGGATAGATGAGTACGGACGGGGAGGATCCGGTGCATAAGAAAATAGATACCCTAGATGTTCTCTTTCTCAAGGAGGAAGTGGCAGTAATAATAGCAACAAAAGTAAAGCTTGTACAACAATTAAATGGCTGCAATTTTTCTCTTGATATTATTAAAAATGTGGTAATGAATGTTTTTGTGAGTGTACACACACTATGAGCATGGTATACGGTCATAGTGACCTCAATCAGGCACAGAATTATATATGACAAACCAAAAAGGAAGACTTTCTCTTTTTCTTTTCTTTTCTGCTCCCCAATACTCTTCATTCTCTATTGATTCTACTGCCAGCTAACAATTCATCCGGTTTGGTCGAATAGCTTGTTTTTGTTCCTTATATCCCAGCGAAAAGATCAAAAATTGGAATTCATCGTCACCCGATGATAAGAAATCCTTGTTGCCTGGTGCAACATCCACTTAGATCATTGCGTCCGGCAACAGTAAGGGTGTTAGCAAAACCCTCTTCGGGATCTGTTATAGTTTGCTTGGATACGGTTGCTAGACAAACCCCTTTTGGCTCTAAAACGTTTGTGTCAACCGGTTTTTCAACTTTCCATCATGGATTCGCAGTTAACATTTGTAACAGCGGCGAGATACGCGCCATGAGGACAAGAATAAAATTCAGAGGCTCATCAGACGTTCTATGGAGTTATCAACGGGCAACCATTAGTTCGACCTCACAGGAAGTGACGCAGAGGCAGATGCGGACAAATATGCAGACCCAAAAACTGTCATGGAGCCAGAAGTCCCAACTTCTACTACAGAGTCAGGCTGAAACATCGGAGAAGACAGCTGGAATAATGGCAAGGCGACAACGGCTCTTATCAACCATACCTTTTAAACCCCGATCTCATCAAAAGCTCGAAAGCCGCAGAAGCAAAAGCAGTGGCAGTAACAATATTTATGGAGGGACTGGAGCAGGAGCAAATGATGATTTAGAGGACGGTGATAATCCAGTAGCAACCTTGCAAAAGTCTTTGGCAGCTGTACCGCACTATGCAGTGAAGAATGAAATCAAACTGCGGTACACAGAAATTGATTCAAAGGGTAATATCGTTCGGTCAACGTCAGGAGAATTCTTGAAATCAGATTTGTGCCAACAGGTAATGAACGCAGAGACAAATACTAGAGCCTTTCTCTCGCCATCCTTTCTTTTAAAGTAACTGACACTGTTATACTTCCACATTTTGTTTTATCTTGAAAGTATGGCCTGCATCCTCGAGACCTACGTAAAATTGATGGAGGCTTTAGTAATCAGATGCCGGTGGTCTTGGTCCGCCCAGAGGTCATTCTTGTCAACTTAGGGCATATTCGTGCGCTGATCAAGGCAGATCACATCGTCCTCTTTGATTTTCCCGACTCAAAAGATAAAATCGAGGATTCACCCTTTGTCAAAGATCTTCAAGTCAAATTGAGAATGGATATTGTAGAAGCTGGAGGACAAGCATATGAATTCAGGTAAATCAGATAATAATGCCTTTTAATGTTTTTCTTTACTTTCTGATGTAAAGTAAAGTAATGCTCATTAATGCTTGAATAGGGCATTGGAGGCGATATTTGTGTCAGTGGTGGCGTCTCTTCATGCAGAGATGGAGATTCTTGTACATTTTGTAACTAAACTACTGGCAAGTATCGAAGAGGAGATTGATCAGAACAAACTGAAGGAGATGCTCCAATATACAAAGAAAGTGTCTAGATTTGAGTCAAAAACACTCTTGATACGTGATGTTTTTGAGGAGTTGCTGGATCAAGGTACCCAAAAAAAAAAAAAAAAAAAAAAAAAAAAAAGAGATATATACTTGAATTGATGTAAACACATTTCTTTTTTATTATTATTACTACTAGACGAAGATTTGGCTGCCTTATATCTGACAGAAAAGAAGGAGGGTCATCCACGAATGGTTGATCAGCACGATGAAGCTGAGATCTTGCTTGAAGCATACATGAAGCAGGTGGAGGAGATTGCCAACGTGGTGACGGTGGTCAAACATCAGATGCAATCTACAGAAGACTTTGTGAATGTGATCCTAGGCGCCAAACGTAACCAACTGCTCCTGTTTGAGCTACGGATTGCGATGGGAACCTTGGGGATTTCATCAGGTGCAATTATTGCAGGATTTTATGGCATGAATCTTCGAAACTACCTGGAGCAAGATCCGTATGCATTCTTTGTTGTCACAGTTGCAGCCCTTGGGATTAGCGGATCTGTGTTCGGGGCATGTGCCAGGAAGTTGAGGATACTGGCAAGGGGCACAACATAAATAAGTTAGACTTTGTAGACTAAATATAACCAACATGCCTACTGCTCCTACTGCTTTTTATCTTTATTTCGCGTGTCACTTTTTTCTTATATTGTTTCTTACAACTTCAAGTCATCCAGTGGACAACGATGCCTAATACGACCAATGCAACAACAGTGCAGGAGCACCTACGTGAACTTCAGGCACTCGTTCAGGACGCTCTCAAACAATGGAGCCTCGCCTCAACAACTATAGCAGCTACATCACTAGTTGCACAGACTAATCCACCACGATTGACAAATGGTAATAAATGTCGTCTACACTGGAATAAAACTGGAGCAATAGGACCTTAAATTCTGACAAGAAGATCGTAATTGGACATCATTAGAACTACATCCCCTTGGACCTGTCCAAGTAAGCTTATTGCAACGAGACTACAAGGAAAAAATTGCAGCTATTCGCACTATTTGTCTGTCGTTTGCTCAAGGGCCTTTGCAACAGTCATTAAATGGAAGTGATTCGTCTAGTGCGTCGTCTCTCCGCAAGTATTCTTCATTACTAAAAGTAAAGAGAAAACTATGTTTATTTGGTATCTACCTTTCATTGCCAGTTTTTTCGAAGTCTGTGGCACTTTATCTAATTACTTCTTTTTTAATCTCCTGTTTCAGGAAGATGCACAACATGAGGAAGCTTTGTCATCTGTCAAGCTGAGCATGAAGCTATGTCAAAACACTCTCCGAGCAGCATCACAAGACGGCAGTATTAAAACGGAGCATTTAATCAACACTATTCGGGATATGGCCACAGGGCTTGGGTAAAAAGTCGAATTGATGATAATTACTATGTTCACTTTGAAAAATTTGAGATGGGGAGAGCAGCTTTCTAAATATCCTTACACCTTTTACTTGTATTTTGCAAAAAAAACTATCCTTCATCAGATTGGAGTGTTACTTGGAAACTGGATCTAGGCCAGATAGCATGTTACCCGTATCAACACTAACAATCGGAGGAAATGTGATTGTTATCGATGTATGTCCCAAACAAAAAAGATTGTTGGAGAGATCTAAAGGCGCGCTTATGTGACCAGTACCCTTCGACTTACATATTGCAACATGTTCAATTCGCTCCCTGATAGATTGATGTCGAGAGTACAGGGGCAATTTTGAGAGTCAAGGTCTCCTATGCTTCCGAAATTCATCAGGATGAGAGGGTAGCCGTTCATAACTGTGAAGTTGTATTCTATATTATTGTATTTCCAAATACCTTTTCTTTAGCCAACCTGAAATTTTTATTTTTATAATTGAGAACATAGATTGACCGTTTACTGGGCCATAACTTGCGGTGTAAATGTGGAAAGTTGGTGCATACGACGACGGAAAAAACTGGCAAAGCAACAGAGACCAAATTAGTCCACCTTCCGGATTGTAGTCGCGATTTTGACGCCTTTTCAAAGAATTTAAAGGCTTTAGCAACACTCGACAGCTTTTCGAAAAAATATCCAAATATTGACTTCTTTCACAACATCAGGTCTATGGATATGGATCTCAAAGAGTTATTCAGGCGAGAAATGTAATGTGGTTCTATTCACACATGCTCTCAGAGCAAAAGAGAGGGAAAAAAATAAGTGTGATGCCCTTTGGTTGAAACACAAAAAAATTGATTTACATCATGACGAAGAGGGTCAACAAAGCTTATCAGTTGGATCTTTCACTACCATGATTTTTGGATTTAGGTCACTCACCGGAAGGGACCTTAATAGGGTTTTAACATGTGGACACGGAATACCAATGACTCACGAAGTTTCTCCAGGACCCTCTGTCGCGTATTGGGCATCAAAAGCAGATCTGCTAGATGTAGCATGGGAAGAACTTTCAGCAGCAATCGAGCAAGGTGTGAATTCCTAATCAATACTTCTTCATTGTCACTTGATTACCGTCTGGAATCTGAACAAGGAAACTTATATTACCCTTTAATGCAAAACAGGGGCGAATGAGAAAGTGAAGGTACCCTTCCATCGGATTAACATTATGATGGAAGAATCAACAACACCATTGGCTGGATATCTGCCTGCAGATCGCAGTGGTTTTCTGCTTTCAGAGCAAGACTCGCTTAGCTTGACGTCCGTGCCATACGGATCTATCATGAATGACCAAGGCAGCGTCAGTCCGACCACGATCCTCCAACAACCGTTGAGATGGATCGTTCCTAACACAGACTCTACAGTCGAGGCGGCGTATGTGGCAGTACTTCATCCACCTGTTGTTGTATCGGAGGATGTTGCTAAACAGCTAGCAGCACTTTCAAACCAGGCAGGTCTGAATACAACCATGGGTTCACATAAAAATTCAGGATATTTATCGCTTCAAGAGTGCTTAGTATGATTTCTGTAAAACCTTGGTTGAATAGTTTATGACATTTTGTCATATTGGTACATCACAAATGAAGCTAACTTTTTATTCAATATTGATTACAAAATACAAAAAAACAAAAAAACAAAAAAAAAATAGATCAGCAATGATAATGAACAGAGGTCGTGGGAGGTCACATTAGACTATGGTGTGAATGCTGTGCATCAAGTTTACTCGTTTGACAGGAGCAAGATTGAAGCCCGTCTACTACATAGAGTCCCCTTCACCCACGTTTCTCAAATCTACATTTGCACAAAATTATTACGTCAACAGCTGGCATTCAACACCCTCTTCCAGAGCTGTTTTAAAGCAACAGTTTCAGGCTCAAACCCCGCAGTTGAAAAGACCAATAAGGAACTGGCAGCAACTAAATTGCAAACCAGCATTGGTAGTAGTAGTAGCATTAGCAGTGGCGACAAAGGCGGTAGCAATGTCCCTAGTGAAAGCAACAAGGAAGATGACCAAAAGGTCTCAATTGTTATCCAGACGCCCCAGCCTCCACACGTAATCTTGGCTTCGTTCGTCAACCCACATACGGAAACGAACATGACGATCGAAATTCTAATTGATGCAGGCACTGGGTTACCTGCGGTGCGACTTATCAATGGAACAACAGTAGGATCATCAGGGGTATCATCGGGAGGAGTAGGAGGCATAGCTGGAGTCACTGGTTTGAGCAGTATATCTAATATGGGTAATCTGAGTGGTAGTTTAGTTGATATGCAACAGCAGCAGCAGCAGGAGCAGCGACTATTCTCAATTGAGCCAGAGAAGTTGACAAAGGTTCTGCAGATGAGCGATAGTATACCAATTTTGGTCCGGTGGATACTCAAGAGATCATTTGCATGGGTGAAAGAGAACTTATATCAAGGTAAAGCTGTTCACCAACCAAGCCTTTCACGAAGGGCTTCGACCTATACAGAGGAAGGCGGTATATTGAAGCGGCCCAGAGTGTAAAATAAATGCACTTTCATTTATGATGGCGAAACACAGGTGTAATACATACGAGCATCGATAGTAAAAGTTGTATTTTATTCATCTTCATCACTCTGTGAATCGTATGCTACCAGGCTAAGCAGCGCATTTGATTTTGGTTTTGCAGCAGAGGCACTAGAGATAATAGATGTTGCCTTATTTTCCTCCAACTTAACTTTTTTGTTGTTTGTATCTTTGCTTTCTGGTGCCAATTTGGCTACTGCTACTATTACTGGTTGAGGTGATTCTTCAGCCTTACGTTTAGTTTTATCTGGTGATACGGTCGCTGTTGATGGCTTCGAGGTAGAGGTTAATGCGGGTGGAGAGGATGAAGATGAAGAGTTATTGTTGGTATCCGTACGCTTGACTAATCCAGAAAAGAGTGATGCCTTTCTTTTTCGTCCCAGTCCGAGATCCGATACTGGTGTTGACACTGATGCTGATGAGGGTGGTGATTTTGATGGATTAGAGGAAGTGGCAGAAGTAAGAAGGGGCATTGGAACTTGTGGTGATGCTGATTTTTGACTTTGTACTGTCATTCGAAATTTTCTCAGCTCTTCTTCTTCCTGTTCAGCGAGTTCCTTCTTTTTTTTGGCTTCTTCGTCTTCCAAAGAGCTGAGAAAGTCAAATTCATCGTTATCGATTTTATGAATAAGGTTTCCAAACTTGGTGGCCTCCAGGAAGGCATCATTCTTCTTTTGTTTCTGCTCTTGCAATCTTTCGTAAAGCGTACGAGGATCATATGGTTCTTCGTCCTTCAGAGGCGGAGGATCTGGATATAATTTAAATAGGGAGGATGATAGGAATAAAATATAGAAATATTAATAGTTTTTTACATTTTAGCAAGAAAAGTAGATAAGATAGCGGAGTCTTCACTCACTTTCTTTATTCGCATATGCCTTATTCCATTCTTCTTGACGTGCCTTGCGAGCTTCCTCGACAGCATCTAATAATAATTCCGATAGAAAAAAAAGACAGTGTGGGTGAATTGTTAACATAGCTGCGAATCAATGCGGTCATCAACATTTCCGTCTTGTCTGTAATAGTAAGAAGGAAATAAAAAAAAAAAAAATGCTGTTGTTGTTGCTACTGATTTCTTGCCTGCACTGACGAAGTTGATGGAGGACATGGCCACTGAATGCACTGAATGTGATTGAAAATCGAGTGGTTTAAAATTTCTTGAAGTCTATCAAAATTGTGCACGTGAACAATAAGTGCACAGGCCCTCGAGTTGAAAAGAGAGCAGAGACAGACTCTAACGTATTGATTCATGCATGGTAAAGCATTTGAGAGAACTTGGCGATTAAATATCATGCTCTGCAAGTAGACTATTTAGAATAGGATATCTCTATATTTTTATGCTGACATGTCTAAATGATGTTGATGATCGACATTAAGATACAAAATGTGAAAAAGAAAATGAAATGAAGTGTAGTCAAAGATGGGAATAGGTTTGATTGTATCTCCCTTTAAGGCTATGCAGTGCCAGTGATGGCGGCGGCGGCACCGGGAAGCTTAATGTTCGTGGTGGGAACAATGCCGAACTTGTAGTGGACATCCAGGAGAATCTTGAGGGCATTTTTGGACTGAAGATAGCTCAGGTCCTCACCAGGAGCAGCAGCTTGGGCAAGATCTTTGTTAAGAGCTGGCTGCTTACCATCGAAAGGGAAAGCACGCTGGAGAATTTCATAGACCATTAAAGTCGTACCGAACTGAGGTGAGGAGCGGAAGATACGAGCAGGGCCTCCTTTGAAGAAAGCACGGAAGCCTTCTTCTCTGTAGATTTTACGGGCAGCATCAGTGATGCCGTTATAGGTGCTCTGGCCTTTCTTTGCTTCAACTTGCAGGCGAGTCTTGATCACATCTGCAGGGGTAGTGAAGTAAGCCGCAGGCATACCAGCGACAGCACCAGCAATAAGAAGCTCGCCGATAGTCAAGCGGTGATCTGGGCCTTCCTTGAAGAGGTCCTTCTTTAAATGAGCATAGACAGGGAAGTAGATAGCAGAGAAGGGGATATCACGGAGCAAGCACGCGCTTGCGCCCTTGTAAAGACCTACAATACCTAGGTTACGAACGATTTGGACGGCACCAGGACGTGGGGCATTGATATCCATTGACTTGGCAGCCTCACCAGCCACTTGGAGACGAATTTTGACAATCTCCAGAGGATTAGTGAATACCACCTGAGAACCTCCTGCAACACCACCGGCAATTAACTCGCTGGTGAACGTGATGTTGCCGTCCTTATCTGTAAGATGTTTCCTGACCAAGTCATTCATGGTCAACTTGATAGCTTTTTCTGGCGCAACACCCTGTGACACGTCATGAATTCGAAAGAAAAAAAATGTTATTTAAGTGGAAAAACCAATGTTTTTCAACATATAAGCCTTCTTTACAAGTTACTTACAACCAACTGGGGACCAAGACCACGGTAGAGACCAAGCACGCCTTCATTCTTTATGACCTTCTTAAAGCAATCGATACTGTTCTTGTACAACAGCTCTCCAACGACCTTGGAACGCTGATTTTGCATACGAGTCTTGACAAGGTCAATAGGATAAACGACAGTGGCACCAACAGCACCACTGATAGATCCCAACAAGAAACCGTCTAATTTTTTTGTACAAACAGGGGTTAAAACGCGAGTCAGCTTATGAGCTCATGCTTGCTTTTTTAACTCACATAATTTATCGTATATCTAATGAAAAATAAAATAAAATAAAACAAAATAAAAGAAAAAAAAATTGCTTACAAGATCCCTTCAGCAGATCATGGATACGGCCATGTTTCACTTCAGGTTCGGCAAGGACAGCAACAGGGGCGGCGGCATGCTCCCATTTGGACTCTAGCAGACGGTAAAAGTCACGCAGAGTCAACTTGCCTGAGGTATTATCAAGACCAGCGAAATGGAAGATGATGTCGGCTTCCATGGGTGTGAATAAAGCAAAGCGAGTTTCCTTAGCTGCGGTGTTTAAAAAGTCAGCCTTAGTGATGGTGCCATCCTTGCTCTCTGACACAGCCTTGCGGATGATGCGCTCCACCATGTCCATTTCACGAATGACGTTGTAAAAAGCCATGACGTTTGCAAATGAGATCTTGTTCCCAGCATAAACATTAGCAAGCGTAGGTAAGTTATCGAGGACATGATCCGACAGCTTGTGTCCAGCGATGTCGATTATGATGCGCCTGAATTCGTCAGGGGTGATGTAGCCAATGGCCTGGGTATCATAGTATTTGAAGGCTTGACGGAGTCGCTCTGCCTGAAGACCCTTCAGAACCTGTGTAAATTCCTTATAGGGCATCTCATGCGTGGCTGATTTGCCTCCAGTGTACAGCTTGAGCCATTCACAATCAAAGTCGAAAGCTATGGCATCGGGTCCAATGTTGGCAGATAAGATTTGCTTAAACTGCTCACGCGTGATGGTACCTGACCCTTTTGTGTCAAAGAGGCGGAATGCGATCTCGTATTCTGCATCAGGACGTGTCAACAAGTTCTCAAAAACGATACTTTATTTTAGTGTGAGGAAAAAAAAAAATTTAGTTAAAGATTGTAAAAGCAAGAAGCAAACCACCCAATCCAGCAAAGACGTTTTTTTTTAAAGCCTTTTCTGTTTGACTTACAAATCTGATAACGACAAGATGCCGCTCTTGGACTGATCGGCGACATTGAAGAGGACACCGTACTGTGAGCGCTGAAGTCTCTTGTAGTCCTCACCAGGTGCGATGGCATTCACAAAGTCATCCTTAGTCATGAACTTTTCACCGTTCTTTTCAATCGATGCGAATCTATGGAAGACACGCTTATATCGCTCGACGGCAACTTCATTCGAGATACTTGATGAGAAGGCAGTCTTTTGTGACATTGCGGAGGGAAGGAGAGAGAAGTGATATTATAATTTATAAGGGAAAGCTCTAAAAGAAATATGTTTAAAAAACAAAGTCAATTCAGGTACACAAAGTAAAATATAGGCATGACATAATCCTCTTCGAGATCTTGATCAGGTAGAATTATGAATCTCACACAAACACAATGAACCATCATCATCCACTACTTCGCCATCTTTAAGTTACTGATGCTCAGTTTGTAAGTTGTAGATTGGAGGGAGATGAGCGGAGTAGATCATTCACACAATCATTGTGATCGTATTTCAAGTTGGCATCCACTCCTCTTTGATCCCGATATTTCCAGTCCCGATCCACCCTTGTCTGTTCATACGCAAATTCATTAAAATAATAATAATTGTAATTTGGCATTGTCACAGTGTTCCGACGATTCTTAATAGGAATCATGGGGCCAAAATCACGATGAAAGAATTGACCTCTGGTAATAATGCTGATGTGGGACTGTATAATGCATCATGAGACAGATCCATACAAAACTTGCAATGCTTACCAACGGACCTGAGGGGCAGTAAGGAGGTGGATGGAAGGATAGGATGGGAAGAGGAGTGGAGAGAGGTGAGGAAGGAAGAGAGAAAAAATGGAGACGAGCGGAAGATTATTTGAGAGATGCGATCGATTACTCACAACTTGAGGTCAACTGTATTTTTATTTTATTTTTGTGTGCGGGGTTATTTGCTCAGAAAAATATAAAAAAAAAAGCCAACATGTGCTGGCTCAATCCATCCGTTTGATGCTCACTTTCTCCTATAATTCCATCTCAATTCAAGATTGGTTTTGCAACCTACTGTAAATGGTGTATCTGCAAGGAAGGATGTACACAAAATACTGGATATTCATACAATAACAAATGCAAGTCAGCTGAAGTAGATTCAGTCTGAGAGTGGAGCCGATTGAGATGGAGCGAGGTTAAAGAGACAAACACTGAAAGAAAAGCAGTAGAATCGGGGAAATACGGTTCAGGGTCCAGAGTCTGTTCAAAGTGTCAAAGTATACAAATACACCAATAGCCTCGTGCAGCAAGAACGTGCATGAAACTTTGTTTACATTGATTGTAAATGCCATGCGAGCAAGAATCATCTTTGTTTTCTATTGTTCGACGTTGGAAATCTGCCTTTCGCACCCAGGTATGACATTATGTCAGTTTTCTTAATAGTTGAACGTGATCCACTTTTGAACGACACTTGATCTTCCCTTTGTCCATGGAATGCCTTGTAGCATAGCATAGCATTCCTTTCACGTGTCGCGATTGGCCCAGGAGGAGTAAACCTATCAGATCAATAGAACTTCCATTTCCTTTTTTGGATACATCCGGGGTTGACTGTCTAATTTAAAAAGGCTTGCATTTACAGAAAAGCGATTAGTGTATATTATATATATATATGTATACATATACATACGCATTTTCTGTATGCTGATGCTTTGTTCCATGCCTTAGGAATGTTTTATTCAGAGCGACTGTTGTTATTTCCCAAAATGGGCTCAACCTTGCAACACCTTGTGCTGCAGATCTAATAAAGGAATACAACGAAGATTTGCACAGATGGCTTACTTAGTGCCTATACGATCTATGGAGGGTTTTCTCTGGATGACTGAATACTATCATACAACTCCAGTGATGGAAAAAAGGGAAGTCGAGATTTGCAACCAAATTTATTGAAATCACCTTGTATTTAGAGAAAGAGAGAAGGATATTTCACCAGTCCTTGCTCGTAGAGACAGAAGCGTGAGAGAGGCCTGGCGATGAGAAGTTTCTTTCTTTTTTGAGAGAGAGATTGGGAGAAATAATGGTAGAGAAAGGTTAAAAGACGCGTCTGAATTTCAATAGAATGCATCTGTTTGCTAATGTGCGCAGAAGATAAGACTGGAGATAACCAAGAAATTCTCCCATTAAAACCACTGCGGACAATGTGATTAGCTACTGTGTCTGCCAGATCAAAAGCAAAGACAGAGCTAAAAAAATAATAGAGTCAGTGGAGCCAGAGGGACGAAAGGTTGCGCCCGGCTTTTAGGGTTCATACTCCACACTATATTCACTATGCCTGGGTGATGGAGGTGTAAGCTAAGGTACATGTACAAAGCATAGATTACTGTAAAAAAAAAAAAAAGGTAAAAGATGAGAGCATGCTGCAACAGCAAGGGATAAATTTATAAAGACATCATGGATGAGAGCATGGAGCTTCATCTTGCTTTTGTGCATTTGGATAGGTTATATGCATTTCTGAAGTGATTGTTGAATACTTCTGTTTGTCCAGTAACCTGCATGCAGCGCGCTTTTTTTTTTTTTTTTTTTTTTTTTCTTTTCTGTCCCGCAAGAGGTCGAAAAAAGAAGCTCTCACTCCTTCCCCTATTCCCTCCCATCAAGCTTAAAAAGCAATCTTCCTCTTCTTTTCTTTTTTCTCTTTTCTCTTTTCCTCCTCTGTTCTATACCTTTGTTCCTCCTTCTTTAGCCAGTTCCATCCTTCTCCTCTTCCCTTTATAATATATCCATTCGTCATCATCCATTTCCTTATTCAGTCTTCTGGCGCGTTTTCGTCGTCCCCTTACTAATTCATTAATTTCTAACATCACCTTTCTTACATTACAAATTCATCATGCGTGAGATTGTCCATTTGCAAACCGGTCAGTGCGGAAACCAGATTGGAGGCAAGTTCTGGGAGGTCATCAGTGAGGAACACGGTATCGACAACACCGGTGTCTACAATGGTGACTCGGACTTGCAGCTTGAACGCATCAACGTCTACTATAATGAAGCATCTGGCGGCAAATATGTCCCTCGTGCCATCCTCGTTGATCTTGAACCCGGCACCATCGACGCTATCCGCACTGGCGAATTTGGCCAACTTTTCCGCCCCGATAACTATGTCTTTGGCCAGAGTGGCGCTGGCAACAACTGGGCCAAAGGTCATTACACTGAGGGTGCCGAGCTTGTCGACTCGGTCCTTGATATTGTCCGCAAGGAGGCTGAATCTTGCGACTGTCTCCAAGGATTCCAGATTACGCACTCGTTAGGAGGCGGTACTGGCTCTGGTATGGGAACTCTCCTGATTTCTAAGATTCGTGAAGAATACCCTGATCGCATGATGTGCACATTCTCCGTCATGCCTTCTCCAAAGGTAATTGCGTTTTTTCCTCCACTTCTTTGAAAGTTTATGCTATGAGACGCGTCTCCTTTTTTTATTCGAGTTGGTTTTGCCAGGGGGTGCGGGAATGAGTTGAAGAGGTGCTTTCTTGACAGGTCATCGATTTCCATCTCGTTCGTTTTAAGCTTTATTTCTTATGGCCCTTTGACCCATTCTCTCGTGGTGCGAGTGGAAGTTGCCATAGGGGAAAGGTTTTTTTTGGGCACACTCAGCAGCGAGTTTATTATCATTTAACATTGACGCAGGCTCTTCATTGTTACTCGCTTCGAGATATCTCCTTGCCGAGGGATGCAGGGCGGGATGTTTGGGCACATTCATTTATGAAAAGAAAAAAAAAAAATAACGCTCTGGTTATAACTCAATTGCAGTTCCGCAAAAAGAGAGAAGGCATTTGATTATTGAGCATCTCTCATTTGGATATAATACGACATTGCTGTCATTTTGAGATGGAAAAGATGGCTTTAAAATTGTTGTCAAAAACAAAGGCACTCTGTGTTTGTTTTCTTTTTATTGGACATCCCATCAATTTTCAGTGATGTTGGGAGTTGGTGGGTCAAGGAAAGAATTTAAAAGGCGCATTTATCGTTTCATGTTGTTGTTGTCAATATTGATGATGCCTCTGCGCTTGGCTCCGCATGGTTCACTTTCTCCTGCGATATATTTCATTCAAGTTTTGATTGCGGTTTTACTCCTTTCGATCATTGTTTCAGTCTCTTTCGGGTGATCTAGAAGAGGTTTAGGGTTACGACAGCTATTGTAGTGACAGGGGCATGTTAAAACTGTGCAAGGAGCCCATTTTCCCTTTAGAAACAGTTGACTGATTAAGATTGATAGGATGTTATCCTCCTCTTGACTTCGCGATGAAAAGAGGCTTAAGTAGACTTTGAGCTGACTAAATCTTTTGCTTTGTTAGGTGTCAGATACGGTTGTTGAACCCTACAATGCAACTCTGTCTGTTCATCAATTGGTCGAGAACTCTGACGAGACTTTCTGTATTGACAACGATGCTCTCTATGATATTTGCTTCCGTACCCTCAAACTCACTGCCCCCAGTTATGGCGATCTTAACCACTTGGTCTCTGTCGTTATGAGCGGTATCACCACTTCGCTTCGATTCCCCGGTCAGCTCAATGCTGACTTGAGGAAGTTGGCCGTTAACTTGGGTATGCATTAACAAATGATATCTTAATTTCACACCCATCTTGTCCATTTCCATGCTAATTCAGGGCACATCTTACACAACTTCTTTCTATAGTTCCTTTCCCTCGTCTTCACTTCTTTATGGTTGGCTTTGCTCCTTTGACTGCCAACAACTCGGCATCCTTCCGCGCATTAACTGTTCCTGAGTTAACTCAGCAAATGTTTGACGCCAAGAACATGATGGCCGCATCAGATCCTCGCCACGGTCGTTACTTGACCGTCGCTGCCATGTTCCGCGGTCGTATGTCGACTAAGGAAGTTGATGAACAGATGCTCAACGTTCAGTCCAAGAACAGCTCGTATTTTGTTGAATGGATCCCCAACAATGTCAAGACTGCTGTCTGTGATATTCCACCTCGTGGTCTCAAGATGTCGGTCACCTTCATTGGAAACTCCACTGCTATTCAGGAGCTCTTCAAACGTATTTCTGAGCAATTCACTGCCATGTTCCGTCGCAAGGCTTTCTTGCATTGGTACACTGGTGAAGGCATGGATGAAATGGAATTCACAGAAGCTGGTATGAACCTTTTAATTTATGGCAGCAATACCATGGAAAATCCGGGTGTGGGTTATGACTAACTCCTGTGTTTTTTTTTTTTTTTTTTTTTTTTATATTTTTTTTATTAAATCATTTTCTAAATAGAATCCAACATGAACGACTTGGTGTCTGAATACCAACAGTATCAGGACGCCACCATCGAGGACGAGGATGTTGGTGATTATGGTGATGAAGGTCATGAGGAAATGGAGATTTAAGCACCATAAATAATAGATTGATAAATAGTCATTTTACCTTTTAGTGCCCTCAGATGGATGGAGCTCACACTGCACTAAACTCGCCGAGACCATTTTTCTTTTCTTTGCGATTTGTATTAAACACAAGCAACAGTAATAAAAAAAGAATATAAATAAAAAGATTCAGCTGAAAATCCGTTGAGCGGGAAAATTGGCTCTTTTTATTCATGCGTCTTTGTTTTTCTTTTCTGTTTGTGTTTGTTCCTGATGCATCATGTTGGAATGTGGTTGCGACATGCCCATATACAAACTCTATTTGGGACACACCCCGATTCATTCATGTTTCCATCCCATGCTGAAAAAAACTTTATAGCTAATTAATATCAACTTTAGGTTGATATAAGATCAATTTATTATGAAGCTTGGTATTATCTTGCGCAAGCAATAGCTTTATCTCTTTCCTTCAATCAACAATACATTGTAATAGAATTATTCATAAAAAAAAAAAACAAAATTCCGTCTTTGAGAGCATATCCGTCCATCCCAGATAGAGGGCATGAAAAAACAGTGCGGGGGGGTTTTTTTTTTTCTTTTTTTTTTTTTTTTTTACTTGCGCTTGGGAGAAAGGCCAACCTGCATGGATTCGAGTTCAGCTTCCAGAGCCTTGATGTGTGAATGTTCTGCTTCCAGATCCTTGTTCAGACGGTCACGCTCAGCAATAAGCTGTTGTTCCCATGATCTGAATCGGTTCTCCTCCAGTCTGACCTGCTCAGTGAAGCGTTTGCGCAGAGCCTCTTCTTCCTCCTTCCATTTGGGGTTGGTAACAGTCTTGACCCTAAAATAGAAAAGCAAGGAAAGTGAGGAGGAAGAGGAGTTAGCTTCTGTGATTTCCCTAGATTGTTCAACAGCGATCTTGTCTACATCAAAGACAATAGTAATTATATATATATAATAAGATGAGTAATACGTACTTGGCCTCTCCAATTTTGCGGGTCTCCATCTGAGCATGGCGGTAATTTTCGTAATGAGTTTCTTCAGTCGAGCTGATCAGATCCAGCATATGTGTACGAATCAACAACTGGCGGAGTTTCTTGAAGTCGCAATGATCCTCATTCTCGACTATCAATAGGAGTAATGCAATATCAAGCAAAAACATTAATGGATGATAGATAGGACTCTGACAATAGCAACAGCAACAAAAAGTTCATTTCTATACCTTCAGCGACTCCCCAGGAGTACTGGCGTCCCTTGACAGTACGACCGTCAGCAGCGACGACGTCGTCTGTGCTGCCAATGATAGAGAAGGGCATTGCAGCCATAATGCTCATGTTGCGCTTAGTACTAGCCTCGTCATCGCTCTCAAGTGGGAACGAATAACATTGGATGTTCTGAGCTGCAATAACCTCCAAGATCTAATAGCAATGACGATAAAGTAATATAATAGTAATAAAGGTATGAGTCCCGAGCGTTATATCTTCAGTCTTTTTTTTTTTTTTTTTTTTTTTTTTTTTCAATGACATACACGCTTCTTGAATTTGTGTAAGTCGGTAGGAGTCAGAGTATCTGCCTTGGCAATGACAGGGATCAAGTTGACGCGAGTTCCCAAGCGCTTCATGACCTCAATGTCCAAAGGCTTCAAGGTATGTCCAGTTGGGCGAATGAAATACAAGCAGCAGTGGACACGCATATCGCTCAGCTCATGGCGTTTGGGCTGTTGTTCCTGACGCATGTATGATTCGTGCTGATCATCGATAAAGTCAATAATGGGCATCCAGCTGTCGCGGTTGTTGGTATAGTCTCCAAATCCAGGAGTATCAATCACCGAAAGTTTAACATGGAATTGCTTCTCCTCAAGTTCTATTTTTCAAACACAATAAGGAGACAAAGAAATGATGAAGAGGTTAACGACAGAATATTTTTTTCTTTTGTGTGTCGGAAACTAAGGAAATTTGATGATGCAAGTTCATTTTGTGGTAGTTTTTTGTTTATTTTGAATTGAGAGCATTTTGCTGAATTGATGGTGGGACCATAATTATAGAGTGGCACAGAAATAAAAGCTCAGAAGATTCTGAGGCAGGAGAAGGATCAGAAAAAAAGTAAAAACCACTCAGAAAGCGCTGGAGAAAATAAAGCATGCATAAAAACAAGAGGCCAACTTATACCAATATTCATTCAAATAAGTGGATGTAAAAACAAAGCACTGATCAAGGGCTTACAACTCTTTTATCTCTCATGCAAAAACCATTTGAGTATGAAGCTTGAAAGGAAAGGAGTGCATAAAGCATTGAATTTAAACATAAATAAGCTGGCTTCCCAAGAGGAACGAGAAAGTAGAGGATTTAATGCTCAGATAGAGAGAGGATGAAAGACAGAAAAAAAAAAAAAGGAAAGAGCCAGTTGCCAGTTGTGTTGAGCCAACACATCAGAGCTAAGGAAAGAGATATGGATACAAAGGGCGCTGACTAGTCCACCAGACTTCTTCCATTCATTTCACTCACTTGGCTACTCAAAATGAGAGTGGAAATAATAAGAAAAGAAATCCAGAGTAGACAAAGCTACATATTTATGGTTGTATCTCTATAGCTGTGGACTTATTGAAGCAGACATCCATTAAGTGTTGATCGGTGGTTCTACCCCAATTCAAGGGATGCTGCCCACACACGGCCAAAGGCTTGATGGCTTATAAATGATTTGGAAGGATAAATGGAGAAAGGGTAGTGTACCTACCAGCACGAATGATTTCAATCTCAACAGTCTTCTCGGCCGTCTTATTGAAGCGTCGCTTGTGGTTCTTGGGAGTCTTGATGGTGGTAGTGAAGAGAGTGTTGATGAATGTCGTCTTTCCAAGTCCAGACTCACCTAAGGAATGTAATACGTGTCAATTTTTTCTTGATATGGAGGTACATTCGAAACTTCTCATCTGGAATGTCTCCATCCAATGCCTCTTCATGCATACAAAAACTTACCGCAAACCATCATTGTGAAGTTGGCACCACGCTTGGCAACAATCTTGTGGCGCTGATTAGGCAAGTTGGCAATACCGATGCCGGTTCCGACCTGGGGCTGCGACATGTCTGATATTCAGGGAGAAGATAGACAGATGATGAGAAAAGGAAGGGGTCGTTTCTAGTTGTCCGATGGATGGATGTGAAAGAAGGACTAAGAGCGGAAGAGCGAGAGGAGGAAGGAGAGAATAATAAATGGATGGAGGAGAGGAAGTATGAAAGATGAATGAATGAACAAAAAAAAAAGAACGAAAGAAAGAGAGTGAGATGCAGAACGAGATGGAACACGGACAGATGAATGGATGGTGTATTAATCGATGGTCATGGAATTAAAGGGTCAAACTCCCTATTTGCATAAAGTGATTTGAGTTTCCTTTATGTGCACAATTTCAATTTTAAATATTCTGCTGAATAGCAGTTGTAAACTTGTTGCGTTACTGATAGGATATGAATATGTTATTATATATATATTTATATATAAATATACATGTGTTCAACAATGATTTTACATGGGCTGTTACACAAGCACGGAGCTGTAGCCAAAGTGTTATGTATATACATAAGCTTTACTATGAACTTCAACATTTATTATATATACATCCATGTCCGCATTCTCATTAAATTATTCAAAAGGGTGGATCGCAAGAGGCAGGGGACTTTCGATGTAGGAATCAATATGCTTAAAGTTCGGCATAAGGAAAGAAGGTCTTAATAGCTGTTTTTTTTTTTTTTTTTTTTAATTAGAGGAGACATGAAGGGTGTTGAAATTTACGCGCAATAGCAGTGGAAGGATTAAGGAGCGTCCAAAAAGAGAAGAAAAAGCTTAAACTGAAAAAGGACACTCTGATTCGCTGTAATATCGGATTTGTTCACTTGACCTATTCACTGCCAAATTTGCCGATTGTCCGTCCAAAAAGAGTAGGAGATGTGGGCTGTTGTGTGCCATCAATCTTGAAACAGGAGTGGCGGGTGCAGCTGGACTATTTTCACTCTTCTTTCTTTTTCTCCTGACTTAATCAGTGAATGTCATTCACTCTCACTGGTCATTGTACACGCTCATTCTTCTTTGGCTTGTCTCTTCCACATACACTCTAAAAGGGATGGCTCCGACTTGTCCAAATTACGACCTGGAGGCCACAGATCCAAGCCAGTTCTATGATGGTCATAGTATTACATGGAAGCGTGAGTATCCTTGTTTCTGATCCCAACTGTCTATTTCCACCTTAAAAAAGGTACTTGATTTGGGGAGCTGCACTGTTGTAACATACACATCATTTGTATCTAGGCCATTACATTGGATGGGGCATTGCGGGAATTTGTACTTTCCTTTCGACCGTCATTTCGTTCCGTCTACTCTATAAACATGCTCGCAATTATACAAAGGTATATGATGAAAGGGTTCACAGATCGATCTTTAGGTCTGGATACAAACTGCTGTACTCGACAGGAAAAATGGTTCCAAAATAGAAGAAATGTAATATTGACTATTATTTCATATCACTTTATTTCTTCAAAATTAATAGCCAGCAGAGCAGCGGCATATTATGCGAATTGTGCTTATGATACCCATTTACTCTTTCATTTCATTTCTCTCTTACCGGTTTTACAAGCAAGCCATCTACTATGAGACAATTCGCGATTGCTATGAGGCTTTTGTGATCCACTCCTTCTTTATGCTTCTACTCACCTATCTCGGCGAAGACACAGAAGTACGCAAATCCCGTATTAATGCAGGACCCGAGCGTATGAAGCTGGTTTTTCCTCTCAACTGCTGGTATTATAATCCTCAAGGCGAGCTGTTCTTACGCATGATGTCATATGGAGTACTTCAGTATGTAGTCGTGAAGCCTGCAACAACGATCGCGGCAGTAATATTAGAGTATAAAGGCCTTTATTGCGAAACCATGTATAGTTTTGCATATGGAAAGGTTTATATTACTATCATCAACTTTATCTCGGTCACTATTGCCATGTATTTTCTGGTCGTATTTTACGTTACAATCAAGTCAGAGATTCAAGAACAAAGTATTTTTTCATTTCTTTTTTTTTTGTTTTTTTGTTATTTCTTTGTTTGACACTTTGAGCAGAACGAATGTTAATAATTTCCTTTTGAACGGTGAATGGCCTGATAGAACCTTTTTTGAAATTCCTATGTGTTAAGCTGGTGATTTTCTTTTGCTTCTGGCAAACATGTTTGCTCAGCTTGATAGGTCATTTTGGTAGGTTTTTTTTTTTTTTTTTTTTTTTTTTTTAGAAGAAAGTAGATTTGATATCTAACCATGTGAAAAAATCAAAATCATAAAATCCAAATAATCATCTTTCTCTGACATTGTCTCCTTTCATTTTTTATTTTATATAAAAAAAGACGTATTCAAGGCGACGGAGTATTGGAGCGTGAATGATATTGAAATGGGTATCAATGGATTACTAGTATGTGTCGAAATGGTGGTCTTCGCCATTCTCCATGTTTACTCCTTCTCCTATATCCCATATATCTCTAATGTGACTACATCTGTCTGCAAATCCCTCCGAGACGGGTTCAATCCAATCGATTTATTTCGGGAAATCGGGTGGGCATGCAAAGATATTATCCTTATTATCATGGGTAAACCATTACCTACACGAGATGGTCATCTCAGTGGGGCTGTCAAGCGTGCCCAGACTGTCCGGACAAAAGCTAGACTGTTTAGGAAAAAACGCAAAATGGAACAGGCCTCATTATCGTCCTCACCCCCTGATGCTAACGTGGACCCTTCAACTTTGGAAGCAGGGGGCAGATTTATAAACAGAGGAGATCAGATCCTTACTGCTGATGCACAACGCCAGAATGTGCCGTTATTAAGCCATGTGGATGGAGCAAGCCTCTATGAGATGCAGGAGCTAGAGCATGCAAACCAACGGGCGCGATTTTAGTAGTGGAAACAGTCTCAACTACAATATTTATAGAAATTATGGAACCAATATCAGTAGCCTTTTGTATCCAGAGTAGTAGATCGGTATCAATATTGTTATTATAAAAGCTTTCACGTATAGGATATATTGTATTTTTTTTTTTTTTTTTTTTTTTTTTTTTTTTTTAAAAAAAATTGTCGTTTATTGCTTCATCGAGTCAACAAGTGAGCTGGGAATAGTATGAATATGGTTGGTGTATTGTTCATCAAGATAATTCGAAGCCTGTATTTGACATAATTGCGTAGCGAAGCTTTTCTCTGAGGACAGATTTTGAAGTGAATGGTGGTAGTTTAAGCAAGTTGAAGCAGGTTGAGCTGTTTAATCAACAGCAATACAGCAATAAATAAACGAATGAAGGTTAGTTTTTAGTGCATTAGGAATGGATGTCAAGAGTATTGGTGAGCTATGTTTTCTGTTTGTTTACCTTGTAGGCAAACGGGCCTTTTTACCAGCACTCTCACTAGAGGAACTAGTGCTACCAAGGACACCTCCAAAGAAGGATTTCACAACGCCAAGGGCCGCAGGTGTACCATGTTCATCGGTCGTAAGTGTAAAAGGAGAGGGTGAAGATGATGATGAAGATAAGCTTGATCTGGATGTTCGTGAAGAGGATAGAAACGACGTTGCAGTTTGTGGTCTTTCATTGGATCTACTACTGTTATTTACACTAAGCGCTGATCGTAGTCTGGATCCAAACCTTCCCCCTGATGCAGATCCGCCTGAACTGCCTATACTAGTGGCAGTGGCATTACGCTGATGAGGTTGTATATTGTCGTGATGATCCTGGCTGGAAGAATTATTTGTGCTGCTTCCAACGCGCCTCGACGCATTTGCCTGAGGACCATCATGACTCTGGTCAGAAACCGTTGGATTCATGACTAACCGAATTGAGAAGGGTGGGTATAAATGTTTGAAACCGCCTAGCGGAGGCTTTGTTTCACGCAGAATAATAAGCAAAGGTCATTAATTCAAAAAGTTGATTTATATCCTCTTTTACTTTCTTTTGAAAGACGCCTCTACGAACCTTGGAGCAACTAGTGACAAACTTGAGGAAAGCACGTTTTTCTTCCGAGTTAAACTCATCTAAGACTGCCCACAGATTCCTAATCACTGGATGCTGATCGAAATAGCCATTCTGGTACTCTGTATGCGCACGAAGGTCTTGTACATCTGCAGATAAGAAAAATTGAGTCAATACATTCCTAATGGTATAGAGTGATTTCTGTTTATAAAAAAAAAAAAAAAAAAAATCTACATACCGAAATCAACATCCTCACCAGCCATAACGCGCTGTAACTCTTGTGGAGAAAATATTGAGATCCAATGCAACGGAATGATCGATCGGTAGCTAACATCATTTTTCTCAAGTTAGTCTTGATATTTACCTCCAGCTCATGACTTAAGTCCCTTCCCCCTTCAAGCATCAAATGAATATTCCTTACCCTTCAATGAATGCCTTGGACTGCTCTTGAATCTGTTTATTCAGCCGATAGTCTGAGAGCTTGAAGATATAGTTGATCCTGTTATCTTTGGTCACTTCTACATCCTTACCGCCTCTGATTAATTCAATCGTGCGATGTGTTCCAAAGACTTCTTCATCCAACGAGAAGGTCAGTCCTAGGTCCTCGATATTACCATCGTATTTCTTGACGAACATTAGATTCTGATACACCTGTTCATCATAAGATCTCATTTCATCCAAGAAAACTGTTCGACCTAGAATTTTACTAAGAAAAAAGTTTGCAAACTTGACATCCACCAAAAGGCCTTCATACATGGCTTTTCCCAACATCTTGCCAAATAATCGAAACAGTTCCAGTCCATTGGATGGATGCGTATAATGAGATGTCGGTGAAGGGTATAGCATATTCATGGATGCTGTAGATGTTGTAAACAGGTTCAGATTAGGCGAGAATCCGGCCTCCAGAAAGCTTTCCATGAACTCCTTGAAGGGCCCACCTTGATCAATCCCAGCCTCATCTGCTCCAACTTCGTTCACAAATTTCACCCTAATTGTGTTCTTCCATCCATTATTTGATAACTGCGCTAGGCTCTTATAGCCATCTTCTAGGATATATCCACGCCGAACCTTGACTATGAATGATTGATGCAGATCGGGTCGCACAAGCGCTAGTGCCTGTGCTCGTTGCGCCTTTTCTTCTTTGATAAAGTTTCGAAATATCTCGAGACGTGCATTAAAAGGGATGACATGTGACATTGTTTCCAGTATTTGCAATGCAGTCCTGTCCTTTTGTGCTATTTTAGTAATATACTCCTTGGGTGTAGAGTATTGTGGAGGCGATTTGGAAGACGGGAAGGAAAAGATTCCTCCACCACTTTTAAAAGGAGAAGACCCTGGCTTGCTCCCACTGCTGTTCTTGCTACTTGACAAAGTAAGAGACGCTAAAAGCTGCAGAGGTGATTGAAATACGCTCTTGGATGGGTGTATCAAAAGCCAATGGTTCGGAGGGCAGAAGGCTCTGCGGCAATCTCGTTCATACAGTTGCATCAACACTTGTCTTGCATGATAGAAAATAGGCGGAAGTGGAGGTGATAGCAAGGAGTTGCTCTCTGTTGATGTTACATTAGAGTCATTCTTGATCTTGTCTTCGTTTTTTAGATTCTCTTGCTGACTTAGGATAGAAAAGCAAAATTGATTGAAGAAACCAGACATGAATACGAGCTCTGATAATCCCCACGTCTTCTGTTGCTCATACATGTCATCATCATCAAGGGTGCTATGCCATTAAAAAAATGAAAATGAAAATGAAAATGAAAATAAATAAATAAATAAATAAATAAATAAATAAAACTCCGGAATATCAGTAATGCATTTTTTTTCTTCGTTGAACAATACAAGTATGGTTCCAAGAGCATGAAAGGAAACATACATGAAAAACCGAGCACAGCACTCACAAAAGATCTGCAAAATTGCGATCAATGGCTCCTGATCCAATCCTTTACCTCTAGCGCCTCCTGTCGCCGCAGCCTCCAGGTATATTACCATACCGCCCTTGGGACCAAGTGTTAACATCAGCCGCCAGAGATGTGTTAGAAATGAAGGCAAGTACATGAGCGTCACCAAGATCTTGGGCTTTTGCGCGTCAAATAGTTTCATCAGCGTCATATAGAACAAGCAAGATTGCTGTACTTCAATCGCCAACAGCGTGTTCTGAGGCTCGGACCATTTTACTTCGCCAGATTTGGTCAGAGCTAATTCGAGTGGCGATGAAAAACGATTCTGGCGGCTTGTTGATGGCGTACTTTCCTGGCTGCTGGTGATCTGATCCGTTTTTTGTATGGCAGGGAGTGAGGCATCAAGTAAGGCTCTGAAAACACTTAGAGCATATTCGCGACTCCAAAGATATTCCAGCTGTTGCAGTAACACGCTAACCTGGATGTTCGAGAGTTGCTGCTGCTGCTTCCTTTGCGAGGCTCTAGTCCATGAAAAGATAGGATGATACTGCCGAAATTCAGCTGTTTGCGTGGTGGAGACATTTTTTCGACAATGCGTCAACAATACAGTCACGGCTTCAACCAACTGATTATTGAGCCTTGTATTGACAGCATCAGTATTTTTGGAAAGACTAGAGCGGTACAGCTGGATCATATTTCCGATAAGCGAAAGCGTGTCGTTCAGACTCATAATCGAGAGTATATATTGTTGATGGCGTAAATCCAAGATCACATCCAGTGTTTCTTCAAGGGTGTTATTTTGCCAGGCAAGTTGTATGCAGAGGCCGTCCAGACATTCCATAAGCAATGGAACAGTCAAGATATAGCACGCGATACTCACAGATGTTGAGTCATCGCTATACAAATTGATGAGATCGTCCTTATATTGTTTACCGTTGGATTTTTTGGCTGGCTTCTCTATCACCTCCTTGTCCACAGACGGAAGGAGGAGACAGCACCTCCAGACGGCCGTAATCCAAAGCGATAGCGCCTTCTGTCTTGAGCTGTCGATCGGAACCAATGCCGTCTTCTTGGATCGTTCCTTGAGCTGAAGTAGTGCCTCAACTCGCAATGAAACACCAGGTTTGATCTCCTTATAGAATTCGCCGCTGTTGAATATCTTTGTAATCAATGCCTTGCCTCTGTCTGTCATTTGGGTCCTAATTAAAGGATTTACGGCTTCTGGTAGACGATAGGTATTAATATCAATGTATGCCATTACAAACCGAAGTTCTGAGCCTGACAGATATAGGGCATCATTCGATATTCCAAGGGAAGTTGGCTTATGTGCATTGGCTTTTGTTGATGCCTTTCCTCCTGAGGTATTGAGGTTAGAGGAAGATAGTGCATCATACTCAACCCGGTATCCTATCATAGACTTGATGCATTGTTGTAATAATCGCAAAATAACACTTATTCCAAGCTCCGAGTACCGGGAATGAAGTAAAATCATTTGAAAAGGGACTTGAACCATTGGTTTTATATCGCTTCCTCCACCCGACATTTCTGTCTCAGATGATTGAGATATTAAAGCTGAGTCATTAAGCGATAATGATTGTGGCGGTGTATCTGTCTTTGAAACCGCCTGGTCCCTTTCCTCCGCTATAATGACGGTCTTGGATAAAATTAGCTTGCATAATGTGGAAAGTCGTCTAGAATCCATTGGGCATTTGGCCGGGTCATAAAATTTTAAAAGAAGATACGCTAATTGCAAATTGCGGATGAGTCCAAGGGCCGGTGTAGAAGGAAATCTAGTCGAAAGGGTATCCCAATCCAAGCGTTGTTGATCCTTCATCGCACGTCGGTGTTGTATACGTCTCCACGATGCTTGTATCCGTGAAGCGGCCTTTTCCTGAAGTGCATTTTGTTCCTCTATTTTCTTTTGTCCACTCCGTGCTAACCTATCGGCTTTGGCTTGCGCGAGTAGCGCGGCCTTCTTGTCAACTCCGGGGCGGGAGGAGAACATTTGTGCTCAGAATCGTTTCTTGGACAACAGAAGACTAGAATATAGAGACGCAAGACAGCAGTCTTGACCTCTTAGTTGTTGTTCAATGGACTTATTAGAGATGAGAATAATGAGAATGAGAATCTTTGCGCTCCTCCATCTATAGTTATTCGTCACGTGGTCAAAGACAGAAAGTCAGGCGGATGGTGTATGGCAAATATGAATGTGAATTAGTATAAATGTTGGGATACCATTCACAAGCAATTTTGCCCAAACTCATACATGACCGACCTTGTTTGAAAAACAAATGTGGGTGAAAATAGTTGTACATGAAGTGATAGTTGCCTTTTTTTTTTTTTTTTTTTTTTTTTTTTTCAAGCAGGCAGCCGACAGTTACTGGTTACTTATCTTGAATATTAATGCGAACGAGATTTGTAACTGGTCTCGTAACAAAGCAATTTGTACCTGGTACGTATTTTACGTATTACCTTCCACTACCAGCGTTGAAGGGACTTTATAACTAGTTTATTGTCTGAATTATATAATTCTATGAATTGGTCTATTAGCATTTAAACGCCAAGTGCCCATCTAGTGGAAGGCTTTCAACTTTGCTTGCTCAACAAGCTCTTGAATTCGCATCATTGCAGCATGGATACGAATTGACAGCCTGAACTCGAACTCATAACCCGAGTAACTAGCTGCCTTATCCCAATACATCTTGGCTCGTGCCCATTGTTTATCACCTTTCAACGCTCTATCTTCCATCCAACTGCCTACACCAGCCTCCCAACAAGCAAATGGAATAACCCACTTTTCTTCCAAAGTCTTACTAGTTGGTAACTCCACCACCCAATCTAAGCATTCAGCACCTTCTTTGTGCCGTCCAAGTTGATGTAAGATAGCGCCCTTGATTGTCTTGAGCACAGCAAGGGAGTCAAGGCTGGTCTTACTCCTATTTTTACTGATCTGTTCATCCACTTGGGCAAGATTTGTTGATAATATCTCTTTGGACATGGACGGGAATGCATTCCAGATTAAAAGGATTTCGAGTGCAGGCAGATTCGTGTCCTCAAACCCAGTTTGTTCAAACATTTTGACCTTACGTGTCACGTATTGTTCTACGAGGATTGTACGGCCACCAAATTTACGGTTCACCAAGCCAGGAATAGTTTGATAGATGCTGATGGCCTCTTCCTTGTTACCTCCAGCTTCCAAGGACGCTGCCTTGAAATACAAGAAGAATCCCTTTGACCAATAGTTCTCCTTGACCAGCTTTTCAAAATATACTGCTGCCTGTGCCCATTGCATCAGAATGGCGCAGTTCAGTCCCAACTCATAGTCACATAATCTCTTTAGCTCCTGGCCCCATTCCACTGTAGCCTTACTAGAAGCCAGTTCGAACGCTGCGGTTGATTCTTTAATCAAGCCTTTGAGTCGACAGTTACGCCCTTCAAAATAGAGGAAAAATGCGGATTCTTTAAAGTCTTTGAGTGCCTCGTTGAGGATTTTATCTGCGATCGGAATATTAGTTTCACCCAAGACAGAAGGCGCGAAACCTGCAAGAAGGGTGTAGTAAGAAAGGAACATGAGTGACCCAAGCGGTGAGCGGATTCCCTTGCCTGCAATACATTTCGAAACGAGGTCGAAACCAAAAGCTTTGTCTCCTGAGTATCCAAATGATGAAATGACGCGGAGTATTTTAGCCGGCATTGACGCCAAAACGATATGGATTGTTCCCAGCCTGTTATAGGAAGAAAATTTTGGTCAAAATACGATTTTGTATGGGCTGCATATCAATACTAAATAGTAATGTGGTGAAGAGTGTATCGGTTAACGCGTACCCAAAATAAATGCCACCTAGGGTATTGTTATCTACGAGTGTGTTGACCTCATCGCCCATCGATTTGAGCTCTGTCCAAATGTTCTCGTAAGATTTGTACCCTATTTAGTTCACAAGCAATATTAACAATAGACACATTTTAAAAATAATGAGTTTTCTTTGTCTCTGAGTCTGGGCTGTTCGAGCAAGTATTCTCAAAACGAAAACATTTTGCTTTTTACCTTTTCTGAGGTTTAGTCCAGCCTTGAGATAACTCATAATGCTTTCCTGCAGTAGCAAGATTAATGAGGTTAGTAGCAAACTCTCAGCACGAACCACCCTGGCGCGGATTTCTCCGTTCGTCATGTGCTTTGGTGCTGCTGGGTGTGCTTCTGCAGAGCCTTTTTTTCCAGAAGAGTGCTTGTTGTAGCCAAAATAGCTCCAACCGGACGAGACGAGCTTCGAAACTGAGCTTATTACGGATGATGACTTTTTTGGGGCTGCATGAATCTGAGCATTGCAGAGTGACTCCGATTGCTGAAGGATCCGGATCGCGTCCTGAATGTCGGATTCATTAAATGTCATACAAGCTAAAAGAGTGTATATATGAGAGGATAGAGATTCGAGATCAACAACTCAAAATTAATTGTCTGAATGAAGTTCGTATCAGGACAACATCGCTCCGTTACTCCGACAGTGCTCTGTGCAAGGGTGATATCCACGCTCTTTTTTTCCATGTGAAAGAAACATAAAGGCGCATGTTGATGTCTCACCACGTGGAGCTACCATCATCTGCAGAGGATTCCTGCCGAGGAGTATTATGCTCATTTTGCCATCATAGCATACCTTTCATAAAGGCGAGAGCACCCGATCCAAGGGCATAGATAGGATTGACTTGATCCTGTGATGCAAAGATGCGCTGTGCTTCAATAAAGTTGTTTTCAAAAAAAATTCGCACACCATGTAACATAGCAGCATCTATTCATCATAAAACAAAGCAACGTTTTTATATTAGATAGAGGTAATACACCAATGATACATAATTTTGCCAACTATCAAGATGTGAAAAAAACAGCTGGCAGAGAGAGGAACAATGTAAAGAAATTGGTAAAGAACAACATGTGTTGATTAAACAGGATGTAGAATATACCCACAGAGCTGCAATTGCTCAAAAACACACCTTCAGCCTCCTGTTCAGCGGGAGTGAGCATATTGGCCTGCATCTTGATAGTACTTGCGGATGAAGAAGTAGCAGAAGATTCTGAGGAGGCACTAATGTTCTCATCGTCGTCGTCTTCGTCGTGAAGCGCTGCAGTGTGTAATTCGTCTTGCAGTTGCTTCATCAGTTTGGCATCCTCCTCTATCTCATTTGTACTTATTGGATTGCTATTCGGAAGTAAGACAGGTTGAGTAGACATGACGAAGGGATTTGTCAAGAAAGAATATGTGTATGTGAGACGGAGAGAAAAAAAAAAATGGAGAAGGAGAGGGAAGGGGTGAGGAAGAAGGGTAAGAGAGAGAGAGAGAGAGGGAGAGAGAGGGAGAGAGAGGAATGACAATGGAGCGAGAGGACTGGAATGAAATGAAAGCAGAGGAATGAGACCGGGGAAGAGAAAGAAAGAAAATAAAAAAACCGTTAGACAAAGGCAAGTGAGACAAGAAACTATTTTTGCGTTGTAATGTGATGTGTTTTATTACATGTCAACAAAAACAAATGCACTGAAGTTCATTTTTATGAAATATTAAAAGAATACACATCTGTAAAATAAAATGTATTTATACAATACATGGGCTCCTTGTAGACAAAGCAAGTAAGCAAATACCAGGGCCAACATGTTCACCAACGTGCACAAGTACATCCGAGCAAATACAGTGCTCTCCCTAATCCTTTGATAGTCCTTTTTGTAACATCTCAAGAGCTGTTGAATGGTGCATATTAAAACGTATCAATTGTATTAAAAAATATATATATATTCCTTGGTTTGGTTTGTATTGCACAGAGGTACATCAGCAAATGTTTCTCCCCCACATCAAAGCACCGTTTTGCCCTGCATTTGTCTCCGCAGCTTTGCGCTGGTATTTATTTCAAGTGTCCAATGAACGACTGCCAGGACTTATTGGGTAAAACTAAACACACAAAGATCGAAGCTAGCCGCTGGGAAGGTGCAGGTCCATCACATTCAGCTTTTATAATTACTCTTCTCCTTCTTCCTCCTCTTCCCTTCATTTATTCCTGTATTCTGACACGCCTCCCTTTTGTCTTTCTCTTTTCTTCTCTCATCTCTTTACTCCTTTTTTTATTTTTTTTATTTTTTTTTATACCAACCGAACTCTGTCTGTTCATTCACTGCTCTGTGAGTATTAGATTCGTCATCTCACGCCAGAATGTGCGTTGTATTCCCATAATGCCATGGCACCATTCCGTCCTCTTTAAATCTTCATTCTTTCTTTTCTACGTTACATTCATATGTCCTGATCCTGGATTATTTTTGCCCTGAAAATTTTTTTATTCTAACTGACTCTGATTATTGCAAATAGTTCACCAATGTCCAAAAAGACAGAGCCTCAAACATCCTCGAACCGCTCATCTGCTGGCACTGTTGTAACGGATACCAATCACGCCGACAATAACGGATCAGCTGTACATAGTAACGCCCGATCTTCCGCTCTTGATCTAAAGCAGAACATCAACAATAGCGCCATGTTGACACACAAGAGACGTGGTGATTCCTTATTGGCTGAGGACGAGCGTGAGGAACTCATGATGGCGCAGCGAAGTGAATCTACTAGCGATGCTATTAGAGAGAGTCTTCAGGGTAGCTTGGCTTCAGAGACGATGGGGACACTTTCTGGTGCTGACAAATGGAATTTTATCCTTTTGGTTGTGTTGTGTAAGCTCAGACTATCACTATGTTTGGGTTGATCTGTATGGACAGTCGCACTACTCATAGCCAACGGAACTCACTAGAAAGACTAATTATCTTTATTTTATTTTGGTTTATTTTTTTAATTTGTTTGCATCTAGATCTTTTACAGGGGATCCCCGTTGGTTTGACGTTTGGCAGTATTCCATTCTTACTCAAGGCCAAAATGAGCTATTCACAGATCGGGATCTTCTCTTTAGCACATTACCCATATAGCATGAAGTTTCTCTGGTCTCCAATCGTCGATGCAGTCTACAACAAAGATTTAGGTCGCAGAAAGTCCTGGATCGTACCTATCCAACTCATGACGGGATTGATGTTTTTCTGGCTTGGGATGAACATTGAGGACTGGATGGCACAGGATCAGATCGCAGTTGGAACGCTTACTGTCGTTTTTTTCATCCTCATCTTTTTTTGTGCAACACAGGATATTGCGGTCGATGGCTGGGCTTTGACATTGCTTTCTAAAGAGAATCTTTCGTATGCCTCGACTGCCCAGACCATCGGTCTTAACACAGGTTACTTCCTATCATTCACGGTCTTTTTGGCATTCAACTCTTCAGAATTCAGTAACAAGTACTTCAGGACGATCCCTCAGGACTATGGGTTGGTACCGTTGGGAGGATATCTCAAGTTCTGGGCAATGATGTATCTTGCTATCACCCTTTGGCTCGTTTTGATGAAGAAGGAGGGTCGTTCGCACTCGGAGGAAGACGATATTGGTATCAAAGCTGTATACAAGATCATTCTTAAGATCATTAGATTGCCTCATATGAAGTCATTCATGATTGTTCTCCTCACAGCGAAGATCGGGTTTATTGCCAACGATGCTGTGACAGCGCTCAAGTTGTTGGAAAAGGGTTTCAGCAAGGAAGACTTGGCGCTTGCCGTGTTGATCGATTTTCCATTCCAGATCATCTTTGGATACTATGCGGTTCGCTGGAGCTCCGGTTCTCGTCCTTTGAAGCCTGTAAGTTTAATTCCAGATTGTTTTGTATGCCATAGTGTCATAAGTGTGAGATTCCTCATTGACAGAACATTGACTAATTACCAACTACTAAATAGTGGCTCTGGGCGTTTTTCGCTCACTTAGCATGCTGTGTGATCGCCATGCTCCTTGTCTGGGGTTTTCCTTCAGATGGGGTCGTTACTACATCATACTTTTACATGGTCCTCATTACAACCGTTGCCACTTCGTTTACTAGGTATGCTAGCTTGTGCCTTTTTTTATTTTTTTATTTTTTTTATTTTTTATTTTTATTTTTTTTAATTAATTTATTTTAATGTCGTTTATTTCTTTCATGGCTCTCTTTAGTACTGTTGCATTTGTGAGTATGGGTGCCTTCATGACTGTGATTGCCGATCCTGTTATTGGTGGAACATACATGACACTTTTGAACACATTGAGTAACTTTGGAGGCACGTGGCCAAGGTTCTTTGTCCTCGAGGCCGTTGACTACTTTACTGTATCCACTTGCTCTGTTATCGATAGCAAAGGCAAAGGTAAGAAATAAAATAAATCGATTATGGAGCAGCTAATAGTGTAAGTTTCGTCTGCCTTTCTATTTACTTATTTATTGTTTTTATTATCATTATTGTAGAATTTTCTTGCACTGCAGAACCAGGCAAAACATTATGTACAGACCTCGGCGGTGAATGTATATTGCGTCAAGATGGTTATTATCTAGTCAGCTCGATGTGTGTGTTGATCGGAGGACTTCTGCTTATTTTTTACATTGCACCCACGATCCGGTATCTCGAATCTTTGAACCCGAAGAAGTGGAAGCTCGATCAGAAATAAACGCCCTCCCCCTTTCTCCATTGCCTCTTTATGCTATACTTATCTTTTGCAATCCATATAGAAACCCCCACCCTTTCTTTATATTCATAATTATTTTACTAAAATAAACACTTACGACATAAACCAGCATACACTCTTGAAATTGTTCTGATTTTCTGATATTTGTTGGCCTTTGTGCAAATGGGGAGTTCTTTCCCAATGTTTGATACAGCTTTAAGAGCTAAATACAGCAGATTGTTGATATGACAGTCATGGTGGTGAGATGTTCTTAGGGGAGTCTGATGGCGCTATAAATAGCACCAATGTGGCTACACAGATGGCCCTTGGAAACTTCGTAAATATAAGTCAATGCTCGCGTAAAATAATAAAGTTCCGTAGGCTTTGTCCCAATGAGAGCTACTTGTACTATTTTCATACAGGATTTATTCGTGTCAATTAGCTAGGTCAACATGTTTGTTTCTTGCGGTCCAAAAAAAAAAAAAAAAAAAAGAGCCTTTTTTATGACTATTGATTATCGTGGAACGCAGGAATTAATGTTTTGAAAAATACAATGGTTTCTAAAAAGATAAAATAGCAATGTAGGAAAAAAAATCTATTTAGCGGCGACGAGAACTTGACCGACCGCGGTCATCAAGCGTGACACCACCATTCGCATAAAATGCCTGCACAGCCGACCGGTCTACAGTCGCTATGAAGTACTCTCCTCCATTATGAGTCCATGAGACCGCGTTAGTATAGTAAGGATACTTCTTCACTCTTAAAATCGATTCAACACTGCCTGCGTTGCGCACATTGATCTTGTGATCTAGTGAGACAAAAGTTTTTAGAGAAATTATCTTGCATCCTTCCTTCAGATCCAAGAACAATTGTAACAACGACTGATTCAGAGCCGAGTTGAATGCATAGTTATTGACAAGAACCACATCCGCGCGTGCAAGGATTGCTGGTAATCCAGGGGTGTCAAGAAAGTCTCCATGAATCATAGAAACAGCACCATGGTGTAGTCCGTAAGCACTATTAGAACAGCGAGGAAGTGATATTTCATCCACGATTAGTGGCTGGTAATTAGTGACAGTACTATCACTTATTTTACTTTAGCGTTTAATCCTTACCGTGAACGCGCTTCAAATTCCTTAGCTTGCTTCTTGGAAAACTTAGCCGGTGTATCCATGATTTCAACCCCGTACGATTCTGCACCTGTCTGCAACGCAACTTGTAAGACAACATTACCAATTCCACATCCAAGATCCACAAAAACCTTGGTATGGTCCAATTTCGTCCGTTGAATGAATTCTTTAGTCAGAATTGGCAAAATTTCGCCATAAACGTTGTTGGAGAAGGCTTCATACTGATTGAGTTTCGATGCCCTTGAAGCCACTGTGCGTGAATAAACTTGCTGCAAAATGTGAACCACAAGCTCATATGGAAGCTTGTGGCCATAGTGTCTCACGTATTTTTGTACAGTCCCTGAAGTCTTTTCATTCTTCATAATATGATTGAATTCTTCGACAGTCTTCAAGAAATGAGCGCCGTCCTTGCGGTTCTTAAATTTTGTAAGGTTACGGTAAAGCCCCTCTGAAGCTGTGCCAAAAAGTTCTCTGGATTTCTCTTGGTCAAAGAAATGCTCCATGATAATCCGAACTGTGCTCACCAAATCCTCGATCGGGTTGTATTCGTCCTTGTCGTCTGACTCAGTCTTTGATCTGCTTACAAATGGTTTCATGAGGGTGAACCTAAATAGAAATATAAGAATTCGTGTAAAGATTTCACTCAAACCTGAATCGGTCCTCAGCCTCATAGAGCTTAAGCAATATACTTCTTAGACCTACCTTTCTCGTGCATCCTTTCCTGGATACTCTAGAGCGACACGCATTGTATCAGCCCCAACAGATGATGGGCTTGAGGCTACAGTCGAATCTGAGTCCTCAACAACCATGTGGAAATCTAAAATATGGGTTACATCAAGAGTATCAGAATATTAGTGCATATGGCCTGCAATATACACCCGTAATAAACACCATAATTATACAATTAACATACGGTTTTTGTATCGACCAATGGATGCTGCAACAATTTGGTCCGAGTGAAGGATGGACATTCTTCGGGATCCTAATCCATTTGATGTTGTCGATACTGTCTTTTGGCTATCTTCGGTAGATCCTTTAATTCCCTTTGAAGATAGCATGGGGTCTGTTGGCTGGTAGCCATTTCCTTCGTTTAATTTAGGCGTATGTGAGATCGGAACCGTGGCGGAAACCACTGTACCTTTCCGTGTATTGATAATGACGATTTCTCGAAGCTTCTTTGCTGATTTGTTTAAGTGGCGCTTCTTTGAGGCCGTATTATTCTTTGTAGAAATATCACTCTTGATGGGAAAAGTGCCTAATGAAGCGTATTCGTCATCGTCATCGTCATCATCGCCAATGGCTGCAGTTCTGGGCGTAGTTGCCTGCGTTGTATGCTTCATAATTCCATTTCCCTGCTTTTTGAACTTATTCTTAGCGCCATTTAGTTCTGCATCATCATCAGTGCGGCGCTGCTTATCCGCACTAGCCACGCCAAAGAGCTCCATTTCTAATGAACGTTGTAAGTCATTAGGAAGGCCAGTGGTTGTATCCATGGTTGCTTGCATAATGTCTGTTGTATCGGTAGGTGTGGCAAGATAAGGTGACGACTCAGGATCGCTGCCTATAGATTCTCTATCCATTGAAGCATGATTGCTGTGATCCGGCGATAGACTAGACAACGATGAAGGTGAGGAATATGATGCCTCTGCTTGAAGGATACTCTCCATACGTCTCTTTACGACGGGCGTGAGTTCTGGTTTGGGTGATGATGGCAATGACCGTGGAGACGGCGAAAGTGAATACGATGCAGGGGACGACAATGTAGAGAAGGATGATGTATCGTCAATCTCGGGATATGTCGTCCTAGATGGTGGGCTTGGCGTCCGGGGAAGAGATGAAGGTTGAGGTGGTGGGGGAGGAGTCAATGGTCGAAACCCCTCCTCCTTCAACTCAAAACTTTTACTCCTGTTTTCAATTTGAATCCTGCCTGGACTCCTACCTCTACCCCTACCCCTACTCTTGCTCCTATTCTTCCTATGTCTACTTCTGCTTCTACTCCTGCTTCTATTTCTATCTCTGTTTGAATCTCTGCTCCTGTCCCTAGTCCTGCCTCTACTTCTGCTTCTGCTCTTACTCTGGCTCCTGTTCCTGCTCCTGCTCCTGCTCCTGCTACTTGCATGCCTTTTCCTTGCTCTGAAATCGGAGTACGAATCATCTTTAGAAGTATATCGAATGCCGCCTCCTGCGTTTTCACCAGGTCTATCACCATACGATTCCAAATAGTTGTTGTCTGAGTCTCTCTCACGCTTGCGCCTATTTACGGCATTGTTATAGCGACTATCACTGTCACTGTCCTTTCGAGAAGATCCGTTATTACTGTAACCACCATTGACTTGGCGTTTATTGGCAATTCTGTTGTCGTTTGAATATGGATGGCCATGACCATTCACATACTTTTTGGAATCGACTCGATCATGATTTCGATTAGGCAAGGACGACAAGAAATGTTTCCCATTGCTACCAGCAAATGATGGTGTTGTTCTTGATTTTGATGGTAGGCGGGAACGACTTGAAGAAGAAGTGTAGGAGGAGGAGGAGGAGGAATGAGTTGAAGATGAGTAGGATCTACTTGTCGAGTTTACGGAGGTTCTTGACCCACCTGCAGAATGTGGTGCTGCTGTTGTTGATCTTGCTGCTGCGCTTGTAGAGACTGTCGAAGTTCTAGAGGTGGAGGTAGTTGTGGAAGCAGCAACGGCGGACGAAGCGAGTTTTTTGAGAGTCGAGTGACTCCCTGTTGGACCGCCAAGACTAGCAAGAAAGCTCAAGTAGGGATTGGACATTTAACAGGGGGTGGCAAGGAAGAACTAGCGCACGGAGAAAGGAACAAGGGAACACACAACACAAGCACACAGAAAAAAATGTGCCAGAATAGCAAGAGGCAAAAGTTGTTTTGAGGGTGTCGTTTCAAGCGAAAGAAAGGTGAAGGAAAGACTGTTTATTTGAATAATGCGTGATTGTATGTATGCGCATGTGGTGGCAAGACCGAAAAGTATAAAGAAAAGGAAAAAGGAAGGGATGAGAATTTTTTTTTAAAAAAAAAAAAAAAAAAAGTAATGACGACAAGAATGGACAGGTTTACAGATGAGGCAGACGCAGGGTACAAAAGGAACAACGCAGAAAAAACCCTACCAAATAAAGCGAGGGAAAAATCACTAAATGCGTTAAATACGCTGAATTTGTTGACACAAATTCACACATGGCAAAAATGCGTTGGCGCCCAGTGCGCTCCGCTCATTATTCTATTCGATCTCTTGATGCCGATAAATAGACAAATTTATCTGCATGTTCATTTAGTAGGAAACGATATCACCTCCGTGGAAGAGCAGCCAAAATAACAATATAAAAAAGAGAATGACATTACTTCTAAAATAGTGTCTTTTGACACATCAAGCAGTAACTACATATACAACTAAAAGGACACAACCTCACATCATCACAAAGCTCATCTTTATACGGAGGTCGAGTCGACTTTGGCCTTGACACTCTCATACCCAATCTTGCCTCCTGAGACAGTACCATCAAGTGCATCCTTAAGCTCCTGTTCGCGTTTCAACAAGTTGGCATATGATACCTGGCCACCGTTCTCCATCACATCTGCGACCATGTCCTGAACATCCGACAGATATACCTTGCTCTGCAGCGTCAGTCCAGTCTCATAAAACTCGTTCACTTTGGCATCCAAATTTTCTATCGTCACAAAGTTATCCGCTGAATGGTATAGCTGAATCATGGCGTCCAATCTCTTTTCTGACGCACGCGCCTCTGCTTGCTGATAATTAGCCTGACGTTTGATCTTGCGCGCCTTCACAAACTCGGCCACCTGTGCTTGGCGGTCTGGCCCTGAGGCAGCGATCTCTCCATTAGGTTGCATTAAACGCTCAAACGCAATACGGCGCTCATTCTCCAATCGATCCTTTGCCTGGCGTTCCTGAAGACGACGCAATGATCCCTTACGTTGTCTTTGAGTCTCTACTCTCTCGACACTCTGTTCCTCCAAATATTCCCGCTGATATGTGTGGCGAAGCTTTGTCATTTCAAGCTTATATTTCTGTTCTGGTGTGCCATTAGCTTTGATCTGGTGCTTCTTAGACATTTCTGGGAGTGAGTCAGTTGTTCGGGGTTCTGGAGGAGGGTGCGGTGAGGAAGTGGTGCCAGGAGGATGAGGCATGCCTGGAGCGAAACCCTCCTTTCCAGGACGATAGTTGACAGAAGGATCTTCAATAGAGCGAGCTGAGCTGAAGGTCCTGATGTAGCCCGTCGGGCGGGATAGATTCCTTGTGATCTGTCGCAACATTCTCTGCCAGAATACCTCTGTTGATGTGCTGCCAGGTGTTGTTGGATGGAGAGCTGTCCATGGCGATCGGAGAGTTCTCAGCACAATAGGTACACGTGAGATATTCAGCCACATTTCAAAACAGAAATGCATTTGACTTGTTTCTCAAAAAACAAAGGCAATTTACTAATTTACTCGCATGGCTCATTTTCTCATTGTTTCTCTCCCTGTGCACGACGCCTACTTTTCTTCTTGCAATGGGTGCCCCCTCTGAAATATTCCTCCTTATTGAGCAATTCTTGCAAGAGCAAGGCTGTGTTGACACCCTGAAGGCTTTCAAGAAAGAGGCCAAGAACGTACGATTCCTGCCATGTGTTTTAAAGTTTTTATTGTTGCCTCGCGCCATTCTAGCACACTGCTATAACATGAATTTAATCGAAATTGTCGTTGCTTATTACTATTACTTAGACTCTGAAATCTGGTTCAAAGCCAAAGACGACATTGATTGAGATCTATAATGCACATGCCAACAACGTTGATTCTACTTCCTCTTCCTCTTCCCCTTCCCCTTCCTCTTCCTCTTCCTCTCCTAGCGAGTCGAGTGATAGCGAGGAAGAATCTAGCTCCTCGGATTCCTCCTCAGAAGATTCAGAGTCTGAAAGCTCTGAAAGTGGCGAAGATGCAGATTCAGAATCCAACAGTGATGAAGAGGAGTCATCTTCTAGCAGTGAAGAAGAAAGCTCATCCTCCAGCAGTGACAGCAGCGATGATGAAGACAAAGGAAGTAGTACCGCTGAATCTGATGATGATAAGACGCTAGTTGCTGCTCAGAAATCTGGAAGCCAAGGATCATCATCTTCGTCCTCATCAGCTCCGTCCTCATCTTCCGAGTCTGAGTCCGACTCTAGCTCCTCAAGCTCTTCCTCAAGCTCTTCCTCAAGCTCCTCCTCAAGCTCCTCCTCAAGCTCCTCCTCAAGCTCCTCCTCAAGTTCTTCCAGCAGCACCAGTTCTGAATCTGAATCTGAATCTGGATCTGGATCTAATTCAAAAGACAAAAATATTGCCGTGAATAAGACTACTATTGTTCAAGAGACTGTTACCGAGCCGCCAGTAAAGAGGATAAAGATTGAGGTAAATATTTTCTTAATGTTATTTAATTTGCGTGCACTTACAAAAGAGGACCATAGCAGCTAATAATAGCTTACATTTTTAAAATCTGTGTTTTATACTTGAAGCCTAAGGAGAAGAAAGCAAAAGTTCAAAATGAGCCATTTAAGAGAGTCAAAGCTGAAGATGTCGTCTTTATAGATGAGAAATTAAAGGACAACACATATATGAGCAAGGTATGACATAAGATAGCAGGACTTGCAATAATAAATATGGTTATAAAAAACGCGATAGCTGATAATCTTTATTTTACTTTTCAATCCTTTTTAAATAGGGTGGTTCTATGGACGGATACGGCTATCGTGCTCACTTGGATATGATAGTCACAAGAGGCAAGGGATTCCGTGCTGAGAAGACAAAGAAAAAACGCGGATCATACAAGGGCGGTTTTATCACCAACGAATCTCACTCCTTCAAGTTCCCAACTGACTCGGATTAAAGTATATATTAAAAAAAAAAAAAAAAAAAAAAAAATTGCATTTACACTATGGCATATTAGACATTTTTAGCAGCCCTCGTGGTGTAATCATTAGAATTAAAGGTGGCGTTATTGGTGGCTGAGATAATGCTTAGTTTCATATCACGTAAACCATGCCTTTTTATGATGAAGTAGATCCGGTTCAAAGCAGGCGCCAAAGTAAAAGATAGCGCCGCATGGTCAATCTCTATGTAATCTCGATTGAGGCATGAAATTCTCATTTCCTAAATCAATAACCGTTGACTTGATGCTGAAAAAAATAATGGTTCATTTATGAACGATCGATGTGTGCAATAGTGGAAATGTTTTTATTATTTTATTAAGCTCTTCAGTGACATGATTTACCATGTCGCTTCAAATTCCAGTAATTGAAAGGTAGCGGCGCAGACCATCCTGCCAAAGCACTGTATCCTACCGCCTTCCAGAAGATTGGATCAGACAGATTCACGTTACCCCATCCCATCAAATGATAATCTACGGCATTCTCAACAGCCTCCATTGTCAGCATTGAAATCAAAGACATGCCTGTCGCCGTTTTGAAGGCTTCTCTCCACGGCATATTAGAAGCTCTTGAAAATCGCAGCAATATTGTCTCCAAGCTGATCGAGGTCAAAATACCGGAACTCATTGCTAGGGCCATCGCAATACCCGGCGATAGGTCCGGGTGTGCCGACTGGAGATAGAATAGCATCGACATGTCTCCAAGTGTGCATCCGACCAGACAACGAAATGTATTGACAGATGCTGTCTTCCAGATTCTTGGATCGGACCAGAACTGACCTGAAGTGATCGGGAGCGAAGAGGATGAGGATGGTTTGTAAGCCGCTGATTTGGATGGGCATGTCCTCGCACCGGTTTCATCTCGATGTTGTTCCCGTGGATTGGTGGTGATAATGGACCTTGTAGAACTAGAACAGCACGCTTTAGAGAAAGCTTTGTTTCCGGTTGAATGATGAGCTCTTGTATAGGTTTTTCTCCCGAAGAAAGAGCGAGTTGATGAAGCCGCGACCCATTTTGGTAGTGATTGTTCTTTTTTTGATTATTATTTATTTATTTATTTATTTTATGAACCGGGATAAAAGAAAAAGTAAAAGTCAGGATCGGAGGGCAAATAGGATGGAAAAAAGACAGATGATAACCATACCATTAAAAAACACAGCATTAGCCTTTAACGGTGCACGAAGCCTAGTTCGAGGAAGGAGGAGCAATAGGCGAGATGTGGAAGTCTGCATCATGTATTTGTGGATAGTTGGATAATGAGTAATGGTATAGAATATAAAAGAAAGAAGGATTTGAAAGGTCCTTATTAATGGTATTTTATAGGGATTGGTTAATTATTTTGTTGCGTTAATTTAAAAACGCATTCCGAAAATGCGCGCTTAATTAAACCAACAAGATCGCGCAACCCATCACAGATAAAAAAATACATCCCATTTGTACTCAATGCGGCGCTTTTTTTTTTTTTTTTTTTTTTTTTTTCAAAGAACAGCTTCCATTTTTTTTTTTTTTAATGGAGTTTTTATATTATAAACATTGGTGCAAATTTTAGAGTTTTACTGGATGAATATTTGTTCTATCACGTTTATTGGCAAAGTCAATAAAGAACTGCTCCTGCTCCATCACAGTCATGTCGTAAGAACCTTCGAAGCGACAAAAGACATGATCCGATAATAGATGTTGATAGCAGCAACTTTTTACAGACGACGACCACGACGACCACCCTTTTTGCGAGTAGAGTCAGTGGGAGTAGGAGTGACATCCTCTATTGTATTGTGAAGCAAACAAAAAAAAAAAAATTAGAGTATTGCTTTGACTTTGCCCACAATACCATAAAGGTGATAATAAAAAATTAAAAAAATACGTACCAATGCGACCAATTTTCATGCCAGCACGAGCCAAGGCACGGAGGGCAGCCTGGGCACCAGGACCTGGGGTCTTGGAGCGGTTACCACCTGTAGCACGGAGCTTGATGTGGAGGGCGGTGACACCAACCTCCTTGCACTTGACAGCGACATCCTGAGCAGCCAACATGGCGGCGTAAGGAGAAGCTTCATCACGATCAGCTTTGACCTTCATACCTCCAGTAACACGGGAGATGGTTTCACGGCCGGTCAAATCAGTGACGTGGACAAAGGTATCGTTGAACGAGGCGAAGATGTGAGCAACACCGAAAACTTCCTCATCGCCACGGACCTGGGGACCGAGCGAGATGTTCTCCTGAACCTTGGGAGCGGACTTGGCCTTCTTGGACTGCAATAATATTGAAAAAATGAAGGGAAAGAAAATAAATCCTTTTAGGAAACAACTTAAAATAATGATGTTTGTTGATACTAAGTATTTATGAGTGATTTTGGCGGGGGGAGACTTTGGCGGTGAACAAGTCAAGAAAGCGAAGGATTTGTAATAGCCAGGATTGCCCCAAAGCCTGATCTGTCCATTATTTATCCAGCATTTTGTCAATAGTCAGAGCTGTTATTAGATCTGCCTCAAAGCTCCAATATCAGGCTTCCTGTATGCGTTGATGTTGCTGCAGGTTAATATTGTGGGACCGAGGAAAAAAAAAAAAAAAAAGAAAAAAAAAAAAAAAAAAAAGTTGATCAAGTTTGTTGCAAAAATACTTTGGCAAACGAGATCTGATGTAATATTGGATGTAACTGCCAGTTAGGCTCCTGTTTCGTTATTCAGTATGTGATTTCGGAATGGATTGAGCAGTAAAATATGATGATCGTCTAGTACTGCAGCAATGATATAATTAATGCCTTTTTTTTTTTCTTTTTTTTCCGAGAAAAAAAACTGAGAATGATCCTGAGAGTTGATTACAAGCACTAGTTATCTCAATCAATCGATGGATGAGATGGATGGATGGGCCAGTAATATCGATGGATGTTCTATATAGTCTGAAAAATTTCTCCAGCTGCTGTACCATGATGAAAGATATGTGAAAGAGAAGGAACTCCACTGGCTGCACAAAGAAGGGTACAGAAATAATTTTTGCGCTCAAGTGTATGTTATTAAGGGGAGTGCTGACGACTTTTCTTAAAAAAAAGCTGTACAACTTCGAAACTTTATTTTAAAAGCCATGTTCAGCTTCAGTCCCACTGTAATCTGACCTAGTATCTTATCTTTGGGAAGGCTTCTACTCGCTTCCTGGGCTGGGTAACTCAAGAAATAGCACTTTGGGGCTAAGAAGTAAGGGTATATCCTGTTAAGAACAGATTGGTCTTTTTTGACAGGGAAATTTTCAGGATTTTGTAGACGTTATTCACTCTCCGAGCTGTTGCTTTGAGCTCCATGGTAACGTTGTCTCACAGGACTTGCACGAGGCAGGAACTTGTTTAAACTGGTAACTAACGCCTCCATGATTGCTCAATCGTGCTAGCAGCTCTGACATAGTTGACAAGATGTTTCCTGAACGATTTGTCGAACGCATGATACTTAGAATTAAGAGTTTTTCCTAAGCTCAGTCAAGAGGGAACTGAAAGCATGACATCTCTGGACAGCTCCTGTTTTGCTCGCACTCGTTATCCATATTGCTCGGCTTCAAGGACAGTAGTTTCAGACAGAATGCGTTCACAGCCATCTTAACCAGATCAGTAAGGCTAGTGGAAACATCATTTGCGAGGCGCTTAGATAGGTTTTTTTCTCCAATTGAATAGGAACATCAAGCTGGTGTTTTTCCAGCTCTAATTAATTCAAAATGAAAAAGCCACATTCGAACCAGATCTCTTGCGAGCCCAGTCATTATCTCTTTCTTGGTGTCACTGTCATCTATCCATTTTGCATTGTAACTCATCTACGCGATTAACTTACATCACACACCTAAAAACCATGGTAAACATTCAGCATTGGGATGAGTTTCAAAGAGCTGCAGAAGAATTGTACACGGTTTCACCTAAGAATGTAAGAATTACTAGCACATCTCCAGACGTCTTTTCAAAGAACAACTACAGTATCAATACGAAAACAAACGAAGGTTGTCTGGATATACACCCATGGATGTGTTGCTAATAGCCTGTATTTTGAACAATGGTGGCATTTTGCCCCCTTTTTTCTTTTTTTGAAAATATCCTTCATTTCAAGACACGCTATGTCGCCAGATATCGTCACATTGACGGAAAGCTTGTTCTCAAAGTGACCGACGATCGCACAGTAAGTAAAGCCTTATTCCGTAGTCAAGGAAAAACAAACGCGCTAGGTAATAGATCTCTTCAGATATGCAAAACTGACTTCTGATATAAATCTTTCTAATTGACGTATCATGAAATTCATCTCAAAGATTCTTAAATACAAGACGGATCAGATGCAGGATCTCAACAAGTTTGAACGCTTGAATCGCTCATTGATGGCCAAGATGCATAATAGAATCCCAGCAGCAACTGCATCAGAAACTACGCCAGCATCAGGAACAGGACCAACAGCACTACAGACTTCTGTCTCCACGCCAACACCCGCGCCCACACCCTCACAAACACAGGCACAACAACCAACCACGATATCCAACTCATCATCACATCATGGAGGCAGTGGAAAATCAAAGAGGAACAAACGCAAATAATCAAGAGGAGGCTTTGTTTAATCTAGTCGCGAGGCTTTACAGACAGAATCTGAGATACTCTGTCATCTATGGCTTCACTAATAAAACAGGAAAAAATACTTTAATACTCAACGATGAGGCACTGCTACTGCTGTCCTTTTTTTTAAGGCAATTTACACATGTTATTATAAAAAGCCAGCGGCCAAACTATATCATCCTCAATATGTGCTATCCAATTCCTGAATTAAAAGATGGTATCCTACACCGTCGTTTAGAATTCATCTTCCACAGAAAAGAAACGCGAGTATGAAATAACTATTGAAGGAGACCGATGAAATAAGTGAGTTTACATATGAAGCCTAATGTCACATGCCACAAGATACAAGAGGTTAAGTAAAAAAAAAAAACATACTGGTGCCATAGATCAAAAGACCACCCGAAATACTCATAGCCATCGCTGGTACCGTGATCTAAGTATAGCATCAGGAAAGGGATATTTTTCAGTGCGTATGTCAAATGATGGTCAAACATTGACAGAAGATATAAATCTATATTAGGGCTTACGACTCCAGCATGAGCGAGAACGACGGGTAGGCAGAAGCCTGTTATAATCATTAAGCCCGTCAAAAAGTATCCTGCATCCGCAAAGCCACCTTGGTAATCCGACATAAAGTCATCGCGATTTGAGCACCGGCTAAATACTGCGTTCGGTAAAGGTGCCAAAACATACGTTGCCACTACCAAAAAAAAAAAAAAAAAAAAAAAAAAGTTATCAGTTGTCTGAAGTACTGAAAGTGGCAGTAGCGACATACGCCATGAAAGAGTATTATACCAACAAACAATGGCCACCAATTGCTATCAATTACAAGAATTAAACGTCGGATAGATATTTGTCAGTCAAGGGCAGTCTAGTAGTATGTTTACTGTTCCCAAACATATTGTGAAGTTAAGCTTACCCATAGAGCGCACACGACATGATGACGAGAAGAAAGCCAAGAGCCAGGACAAATGCTAGTCCAATGATACTATAATAGTTTGATAAGTACTTTAATTTCCATAAAATGCCAGTCTCTCTCTTTCAAATAACCTGCTGCATAATGCTGATAACAGTGTCGCGTGCGTGGTATGTCTAAGACATGCTATCATTCCACAGTAGTCTTCGCCCTAGTCTGTATATCTCTCTAATTTCCTCACACAAACCAAAATAACTGCTTCCTTTACACTAGAATTAGTAACAGTAAGGAAAAAAGGTTCAAGGGTTAGCTTTTTCGTTGTTGAATCATTTGGACAAACTCTATAAATCTGTGTGTAGGGTGCTATTACTCCAATGCCATAAGGTCCATTGCTTCCAAACGCTACTAGAGATTCTTTCTTTCTTTTTTTGATCTTCAGACACGTTAGAACTAGACAGTGTTTCCTTGAATGCTCTGAAATGGTTCATAGGTTACTCATTGGATATTCAGTTTTTGGTATATGTATATATATATATATTTCTCCCTTAATATCCCTGTTCCATCTATAACTTTCCAGAAAGCTATCTCGATAAGCTTGTGCCGATGTTCTTCAAGTTGAATCGAGGCGTCTCATTGCAATTTCCCATAATTACAATAATTGAGTTGTCGCTCATTCTTTGTTAAGTATCCAGGACATACTTTTTAGTTCGGCAGCCATGGTCTTTTTTATTATTACAATTATTTTTTCTCGTGAATAACTGATGAGGCAAGGGTATTGTCGTGTTGAGAAGAATAAAGGGAATGAACAAACTGCAGGAATAAAAAGATAAAGGAATTGACCAGAGTCTCTTTGGAAAAAAAAAAAAAAAAAAAAAAAAAAAACGCAGCTGACCGTGACGCACAAACGAATTTTGCTTGGACCCCTGTTTCCAAATTTGCTCTGTCATCAATACATGCCACATTTATACCATATTCTATTTCCCCATGATTTATTGAAAACTCAAAAGTATTTAAACAGGCGAAATGCGCTGGTCGACCGATTTAATAAAAAAAAAGCTATTAGTTCCAGCCTTGCTTGGCCCTCAGTTCCTCAATTTCCTTGACTGCCTCATCTGGAACGAAAAAATCGGGGGTAAACTTGCGTAGGCCAGGCGCGTATTGGTCCATATCCGTATAACCTTCCTGTCTCAAAAACAACTCGTCGATCAAGAAGTTGCCTGTGAACTTGCTACTATCTTTTAAAAACACTTCATGGGCTGCATCTGACATGATTTCAGGTGCTCTCATTGTCATCTTTGACGTATCTCCAACCAACTTGAGCGCCGAGGTTCCGATCAGGGTCAAGGGCCAAAGGGCATTAACACCAATTTTGTGTTTCCGAAGCTCCCCTGCCATCCCCAAAACACACATCGACATGTTCATCTTGGACATGGTGTATGCCACATTGTTCTTGAACCATTGCTCCTTCATTGTCAAAGGAGGTGAAAGGTTAAGGATGTGAGGATTCTTAGACGAGTTGATCAGGTGTGGAATCGCATATTTGGACACCATCCATGTACCACGACCATTGATCTGATGCATCAAATCATACTTTTTCAGTGTTGTCTCCTGAGTGTTAGTCAGACTGATTGCCGATGCTAAAAAAAAGGTATATACTTAGCATTCCCAGTTAAAAGATTCAGAACAAAAGGTTTTTTTTGGTTATCCTACATGTCACATACCATTGTTGACCTATTCGAACGCGCGATCGATTGTCGAAAAGGAGAATAATAGTTGGTATCAGTGGATCAACGCTGGAAATAGAAAAACTACTGCAATGAACTTTTTGGCATTTTTTTTCTTTACTAAGATGTCGATTCCTTCAAATTCTTTGGCGGTCTGATCAATAGCGTTCTTGACCTGTTCCTCATCTCGGATATCGCAGACAATAGGGAGCGCTAAGTAGCTCAAAAAAAAAAAAAAAAAACACCCAGTTTTTTCAGTTCTCACGCCCAAGTTGTTGTTCAAGATCTTATGGAAAACAGATACATTCCAAAACTTTTTTTACCTTTGCCTCCAGCTTTCTCAACTTCTTCGGCAGCTGTATAGATAGTGCCAGGTAACTAGCAAGAAAAAAGAAAGAAAAAAGCTTGGTATCACTTTGTTTCTTTTTATAAAAAGTACAATATGAAATATTAACATGCAAGCGACTAGTCCTTGAATTCAAAGGGTGTCCGTACTTACAGTGGGATGAGGCGTAGCTGTCTTTGCAACAATAGCGATATTGGCTTTATCTCTGGCTGCCCTCAATGCAATTGCTAAACCAATACCTCTGCTGGCGCCAGAGATAAAGAGTGTTTTCCCTAACAGATATTAATCATGATTAGTCTCCACTGTTCCTAAATTTTTTCTTCCTTTTTTTTTATATCAGCATTGAAGACTTTAGTAACATTCTTCCTCTACCTTGAAGTGACATAAGGCTGGGTTTTACTATTTTATTAATTTCTGTGAGATGTTTGTTTGATCTGCGGTCTTTGTGGGAGGAATAATGAATTGTTAAAAGGGACAAAAAACATTATAAGCCCGTTTTTATTGTAGACAGGCAGCTGCAATGAGTCTTAGTCACGAGCCGAAGCGCCCGTCACAGGCATCGCAAAGCGCGGTCCGGCAGATCAGAAATGTTCCAGTCGCAAATGTAGGACACCAGAAGGCAACATGTATTCATTCTCATATACAGAGACAGTTTTTCTTTTCTTTTATTTGTCATATTTACATCCTCACTGATTGTTTTAATATTAGGAGTTCTACGGATTTGCTACCGATGGTTGTTCAGGTGTCTCCACACTGATTAATGGTGCCTCCTGATCTTTCTTCGCAAACATGGCTCGAAGGTTTTCAAGGTCTCTCTGCTGCCTCTGCCTCTCAACCTCAAGGGCTCCTCCGGTCTTACGCAACTTACTTGCTCCTACAAACGACGTCAATTCCTCCTCAAACTCATCAATCCTATTTGACAGCTCTATGTGTCGAAGTTTCTCCATCTGTGCCATCGCTTTCAGTCGCCTCTCAGAGTCTGGCTCAATCATTTTGACTTCCTCAAGTACCGTTTTTAGGCCCTCAAAATTTTCATCGACTACTGGCTGGAAGACAAATTCCCTTGATGCTCCTCCGCTCTTGAGCTGCAGCTCCAGTACTTTTTTCAGGTTGTTCAAAGTTTGCAGCAACGAGCTCCGATCTTCTTTCAAGTCTTCCAACAAGGCCTCTTGCTCCTTCAAGAACATCTGTTCCTTAACAATCGTCTGAAGCTCAACCTCCCATGTCTTCTTCCATGAGGGCCGTACGGTTTGAATAAAATCCGAGAGCTCCTCAATTTCTCGACCAATCTGATCGCATTGCTTGTCTACAAACGCAATAGAACTATCACTTGGGCGGCCGCGTCTTTGTGTCACATTAACCTTCATATCCTCGACTATATCTTGCAGATCTTCGATCTTATTAGTGAGATCTTCTGACTTTTTATCGAGTTTGATTTTGCCCGTCTCAATAAACATTCTTGATGAGACCGGTTGCTCTTGTGTCTGCTTCCGGATCTGAGCAGTGTAGCCCGCTAAATTACCCAGTGTTGATTTGGTTTCGCTCTGCAATTCCGTGTAAAGCTGTCGTACCACACCTAAGTCACGCCTTAACGACTGAATTTCTTCATACTGTGATTTGAGCTCTGCAGCTGAGACCTTACTTTGAGATGTTGCGGACCCTGACGATGTAGCGCCTGTACCTTTATTCTTTGCAAGAGCCTTATGAACCACAGAACGAAGGATTTGAGAATTCTCTGATTGGGATGATATGAGGCGTTCTGATGGAGCGGCGACCGCTGAAGCTGCTGCTGCTGCTGCTGCTGCTACTGCTTTTTGACGTGCTGCTTCTGACGCTTCATGAGCTTTCTTAATTTCATGTAGCTCCTTTGACAGGGCAGCAAATCCTTGATCCATCTTGCGCTGAATATTCTCCAAGTCTATTGAGCAGTGGATATAAGAATAATAGTCAGAAACTTAGATGCTTGAAGTGTATCCTCGTCACTAACTAGCGTTTATCCCCCCTTCCTTTTCATCTTTTCTTTTCTCACTTGCCATCAACATTTAATGACAGAAACGCATTCTGTCTCACATCTGCTAATGACTCAAGCTCGTAGTGAATATTGGTATTAGGATCCTTCACATATATTGTCGGGAAATCTTCTTGCCCTGGATTGTACTGGAACTTCTCCATAAATAACATCCGCAGCGCAGAATGTGTCAATTCTCCTTCAAATTTGGTCTTTTTCACACTCTTTCCAACTTGCAAGAACAGCGTCAGGCTATCATCTATTGGTTCAGCTGGGGAGGAGAGATAGTGGAGTTAATAGATCAATTAATCTCGAAATTGGATAGTATGGTCAGGTATGTAAAAAAGGTATGAGTACGAGCATAGTATATAGCATATCTGCGTCTTACATGCGGCATCATTCAATGGTAGGGAAAGTGCATTAGATGTTTCGAGAAGGCTTGATGATTTTGGAGTTTCCGCATTCCGCATCGTATCCATGGACCCACTCCGTGAGAGCGAAGGACGCGGAGATTGAGCACGTTCTGGGGTGAGGGTACCGAGCATCATGGAAGATGAACCCAAACGTGGAGATGATGAGGATGATGGGATATCTTTTTGGAAGTAAGAGGAAGGTGCTGGTATGGTCGATGGCAAAGGCATTCTATTCACTGAACGATTTATGCTCGGAGAAGGCATAGCAGGGCTATTCGGCCGTTCATAGGTAGACGTGGTCTGAAACTGACTATAGGGTGGAGCCATGCTTGGACTAGTAGCGGGAGTTGACCCTTGTGAGCTGCTATATCCTGGGTAAGCCGAGAGCAGCTCGGGATCATTCATGAAGTTACGCCGTGGAACAGGAGGGGCATTTTGTTCCATTACCGTCGAAAATCGTTGAGAATGTCGACGAGAAGAGGCACGCCGAGTTATTGCATCGCTTTTGCGAAGCGAAGCAAGGGTTTCAGCGTGTCCTTGTTCATCGGAGACGGAAGAAATAGAGAGTGTGGGAGCCCCTGTTCCTGCTCCTGTTCCTGTTCCTGTTCCTGTTCCTGCTCCTGTTCCTCTTCCTGTTCCTGTTGCTCCTGCTCCTGCCCCTATTCCTGGTGAAGCAGGCTGAACTCTCATAGAGGTGCCACCTACTTCTGGAGATCTTCCTCCTGTAGGTTGTCTATAGTTGCCACTGGTGCTTTTTGATCTTCCTGATGCATTCGCTGCGGCCTGCAGACGTATAGTCCTTGCTTCATGTTGCTCTCGGTACAGATTTTGTTTGAGGCGAAGGCCCTGCAGTAGGTCAATAATGACCGCCTTGATACGTGGTAGATATTTTTCCAAGGATGCTGGCGAGGGTGGCTCTCCCAAGGCTGTTTCTAGACAATTTCGCAGGTCGTCTGGGATATGGGCAAGCTCACTAATATGCAAACAAAATCAAAAATAGTGTGGTTGGTCAATAAAACAAGCTCCTTGAACACTCTGTTGTCCCTGAATAGGACAATTCAAGGATGTCTCATACCTTGTATCAATGTCGACTTCGTGAAAAGCCTGACTTGCAAGGTTGAACTGTGTTGCAAGCTGTACAAAAATATCAGAAACCTGCTCCTCTGTCATTTTCTTTGTTGACCAAAGGGTCAATCCCTCTAAAAGCTGTTTTGTTGCCACCAACAACTTAGTTACAGTTGCTTCCAAAGGATTTGTCTTTTTTTTTAAAAAAAAAAAAAAAAAAAAAAGTTGGCGTATCTCTGTTTAGTATGAAATAGAGCTGATTGGATTATACTAGTTCTACCTTTCAGGGAAATGTCTATGAGGACTGTATGTTGCATTTCAGGTTTAAAATGAAAAGAGAAGCAACTTACAGCGCCCTGGTCAGTCTTTCGTCGTCGGACAGGCTGTGTGCCAGAAGAGCGGTGTTGATGAGAAGGATCTTTGGCATCCATGTGAATGTGTGAAGGGTAGGAGCAAATGCTATGTGAGAAAAGAATAAAATGAACAGACAGGAGGGGTTGTCTAGGATTTGAAGAAAAGAAAGAATGAATGCATTACACCACACAAACATCAAAGAAAGAATGTAAAAAAGGCGTATTTTATTTTTTAATGAGTGACTATTCCGAGAGCAACGGACCCATCGGACACGACTGGAACGCCTGCTCTACTGTCTCAAGGACAGCCATGTTCTGCTGCGTCTGCTGGCTGGCTTTGATGCCTTGAGACGTCGCCAAGTACAGATCTAATATGAAATTCATGTGTCAATTTTTTGCCGTATTCCAGAATCGCCATCTCTATCATCGTGCATCAATTATTGCCAGCAAAGACCGCCCCCCAAAAAAAAGAAATTACAAACCTTTCAGGCTGGATCCTGCTGCCGCAGCAATAATTTGATTACTCGTCTTAACTGCATGAATATATCCTGCCATTAACATCTTTTCGGCTTGTTCATCATGCGTTTGAAGATAAACATTACCTAACAATAGCAATGTTAGGCTCCTCATCTGTGTATTCAATAGCGCGCTAGAGAGCTTTAAAGCCTCTTGCAAATGCTGTCTGTAATGCAAATAAGCAGGGAATAAGCAGGGAATAAAAAAAAAAGAAAAAAGAAAAAAATTGAATGAGACACACTGTATACATTTGCTTTCGACGATCAATCATGATATAGGAAGCTAGACAACATGTCTGTACCTGGCTGGAATAAGCCCCTCCGCTATCCAACTGTCCAGAATATGAAATGCACAAAGTAAATTGGAAGATGCATTCGTACTATGCCTTGCTCTAGCTTCCAATTGAAGCTCTTTAGCCTTTGCAACAATAAAAAGGTACCATAGTATGTGAAAATTAAATGCTCAATGGCCGTTTTTTTTTTTTTTTTTTTTTTTCAATTGTACATGCGCGATATGCTGCTATTACCTTTTCCAGATCAAGGTACCGATCGCCGCAGTAGATTAGCGCACAGTTAACAATGGCAAGCGTCTTTGCTTCATACCCTTCTGGATCTTTGTGCATCCCTTCCGAGTGCTTCAGGCAAATACCATACCAATCTAGCGCCTCTTTGAGTCGCCCACCCAGCTGCATTATCATCGCTATGGAAAGTGCAAGCCTCCACTTGGATGTCTCCCATAACCCACACATTTTGGACCAATAGACTGCCTTAAGAATTGTCTACATGATATAAAAAGCATGAGGATGACAACAAGTCCAAGCCATTTCAGTGCAATCAATTTAATCCGCTAAGATCATCGTAAGGAATTTACCTCCTCAGCTGAAGCCAGGTCAAACTTGAGTAAGAAAACGTCTGAGAGATGCATAAGCATTGACATCATCAGCAAGGAATACCACTGCTGGTTCCGTCGGACGCTAATGGTAGACGTAGCATCTATAAAAAAAAATAAAAAAAAAATAAAAAATAAGAAAGTCAAAGGAAATCCACTTAAAAGCGCATTTAGCTTGCTAGATAATGATATGATTAATAGTTATACCAACTTCATACAGTTATTTACACAGAATTCTTCTAAAGGATTTAAGTAATTAAGTTAATCATCATTCCCCCATTTTTTTTTTTTTTTTTTTTTTTTTAAAAAAAAAGGGTGTTTTTTTCGCTTACGATCAACGACCTTGATACCCTCCACCAAGAATTGTTGCGCCTTCATTGGTTGCGTCATATCTGCTTTACTGCAGACTCCTGAGAGTAGATAGGTAAGACAATACACTTGCGAAAATGTCATCCACTTGATCGAAATGCTTAATAGATTTTGAGATGAATTGGCTAAAGACCGGTTGTGCGTATCAGATCGATCTTGAGATGCATTGTTTAATGGTATCTGAAATACCCCTCGAAGCTCCAGAGCGTCCTTGGGCTGAACCTCATCCAGTAACGAATGTAAAGCACTAAGAGCAGCCAGAGCCTTAGCTGTGCCTCCCGATCGTAACATACAGTAAGTATAAAGAATAAGGAAAAATACGCGCAACTGCCTAGACTGACATAGCTTTTTTTGTTCTGATGATGGCCGAGTCCCGTTGGATTTATGAGTTTTGGAGTTTGATGGCACGGCTGGTTTTGTTACTGGTAATGATGACAAGTTTTTACTCTTTGGGACATCCGCGCCAGTAGTCGACGGAGTATCCAACGCTTCATCCAGTCCCATGTAAGGCGTCAGCTTCTGCAGATAAGCAGTAGCCTGGTCCCAATTCGAAAGCATAATGGAGTGCTGTCCAGCAACAATCCAAAATGCCAGCTATAATTGGTGATCAAAACTCCACATTTTTATTCACATCAGTCTTTTTTCTTTTTTTTTTTTTTTTTTTTTTGGGACCAAGAAAGTTCCTGACCTTAAGCTCAAAGTCGCCCCGATTTTCAGCAAGAGTGGCCCCTTGATTTAGAGCCTGTAGACTGCCTGCAAGGTCATTCACCATAAATTGTACACGGGCCTTGAGAAGGTAAAAATGGTATGACCACCAGTGCAATCCATGTCTGTGGAGTGATCAAAAAAGAAACATAATCAATAACAATAGTATAATAAAGATAGGAGCAATACTCTTATGTGCCTTCGCTTATCTGTACTTTGCAGCTTCAACTGATGCAATCCTAAGAGTATTTTTTGCGACTCGGAATTTTTTCAATTCAATGTAAATATGGACTTGCAGTTCATAGAGTCGAAGTTGTACATCTAAGGCAGCAGATCCTTGAATCTTTTGAAATGAAGTGTTAGAGAAAAAGAAAAGAGAGAAAAACCCAGAATATTGAACTTTTTTTTTTTTTTTGTTTTCCAGAGGCATCTTCTTACAGCATCAGCGATAACGATCTAAATACGTTAAAAAACAAATAATTAGCGATAGTCCACAGTAAAGCCCAATACACCATCTCATTTATAACCTTGAATGATCGGCTATCCCATCCCCCCTCAGTTGCGTTACCGCTTTATTGACTTCCTCTTCTGCTCTCGAGAAACTCTCTGTCTCTTCGAAAATGAGTTGCGCCAGACGTAGTCCAGTCTTTGCCTTATCTAGTTGTGTCATCGCATGAGACTCAAGTGTGACACAGGCAACTAAACACTTTAGGGCACTAAAGATCAGATCCCGGTGACGCCTTTGCCACTCTGGTTGAGAACATGGCTGTGTAGTGGCAATAAAGCAGAGTGAGTGTGCTTGGTCTATATATTCCTCTGCCAATGCCCACAAAACCAGGTGCGTTTTGCCTTCAGAAGTCAATAACTCTGTTTCGAGTGTCCTTGCGTCTCCTTGCTGGCTCATTGTTTGTTGGTCCATGAATGTTTAGAATCAGAGGCCATTCTAGTTGACAAAAGCAACTTTTTTTTTTAGAGCCTTTGTCATAATTTTTTGGTGGCAATTAATTTATTTTTAAACTTTTTTATCGCTCTTGACTATGTAGCAGCTTAAGGATTCGAGTTCTCCACTCTTGGTATTGTGTGAATGCTTTCGAATCCACATACTTGATCCGTGGAATCTAACAAAAGAAATCTCAGTTTGTCAACATTCGCCAATAATAGGTACAAAAAAGTCCCATGTCTCTTTTAAGGCCTAGCCTTCTACACCACATACCATGCTATAGATTCCTCCTACTCTTTGCCGTTGTTTTTGCGTCCGACTGGCATCCTGAGATGCTATTGTAGTTTCCTTCAACCCTTTTCGCACCATTCCTCTTGTGGGAGCCATGATGCCTGACGACAAAAGGGGTGTATCGTTCTCAATATCTGCCTTTTTACGCTTAGCAGGCGGTTTCGCTGGTATTGAAGACTGCATCTTTGAAGTGGACAAAGACGACAACTCTGAATCCTCATTCTCATCATCAGACATAAGAGACATCTGGCTCACATTTGAAATTTGCCGTTTTGTCCCAAGACCAGCATAAACATCCAACGCCTGTGTACATCTTCGTCCTCTTGATGTGGTTACTGCTAGTACTGGCACTGATGTTGGTGCTGATGAATTTGAAGCCCTCTCAGGCAATGGATCCCCATCGAAGCCACTGTCCTTAGAACTTGAGTCCTCTTGGTTCCGCAACTCAACATTCCCTTGCATCGAGGCCACATCCTCGGCAAGAGTACCATCATTATCACTTTTAATAGATGTTTTCTGTTTTTTCGATGTCGCCAGTGTAGAGTTTGCTACTGATGATGCACTTAAGGCTCTATCTTTTTGCCTGGACTTCCGCAAGCCCATCAGATAATCATGAATCGTTTGTTCGATCAATCGGATGGTGCTTTCAAGTTCGCTCTTCTTAACTGTATGCTCCAACACTTCTAGAATCTTATCTTTGAGTTCCTTACCGCCGCGTCCTCCAATTCGTTTAATTGCCGACTTTGAGTTTCTTGTCCCTGATCCTGTTCCTGCTTCTGATGCTTGTGCCTCATCTTTGCCAGCAGTCATCTCGCGAGCCATTGCGCAAAGCCAGAAGGCCGACCCAACCCATTTGGGATCAGAATACTTGACATGAACACGTTGTGCAGGCGTTAAGGATTTAACCCAAACCTCAAAAAAATGCCCCAAGCACTCTAAAACTACATTGACTAATTCGAGCGATCCTCGTTGAATAGACAGTTGTCGAAGATATACCTGGCATGTCTGACCTAAAAGCAGCTTCATGTGAGATTGATTCGTGTCGGCTGCTATATTATGCTGCCCCAAAGAAGAAGAATCAGAGATTGACGACCGTGATATTTGCTCTGACTTTCCTGTCAGGATCCGAGAAAGGATTTGGAAAGCACTGCTGTACTCCGTCGGTGAAGTCGCTCCCGAGAAACGGACAAGTGCAGGCCTCGACACTTCAATTGAAAGCCTAAATGTATTATCCCATGACCAGCAATTGCTTAATTTAGTCTTCTATTATCAATATTTTTCTTTTTTTTTTTAAAAAAAAAAAAAAAAAAAAAAAAAAACTTACTGATCTGCTGCAATTTCAACACATACGGCAGCATGACTTGGATGATTTTTAATAGTGCTGTTAGACTCAATTACTTGTAAATATGCACATGCTTTATCTGCCAACGATGTTCGATGATCGAGAGAGAGTCGCTCAAGAATTACTGCAATGTCGCGTCGTGACATTTACGGTGCTGCCAGATGAAAAAAGTTTACAGTAAAGACAAAAAACGAAAAAGGAGAAAAGTGGCGGCGGTGCCATTTGAGCCACAGATGTAACACATTTTTGGGCAAAGACTCATTCTTTTAATGAGTCTTTTTAATGTAATATCATAAAATGCAACAAAAAAACGATGATGGGATTTAAACTAGCCCTCAATTGATAATACCAAAATGAAGTCGGGAACAGAGAGAAACAAATAAGGAGTAGGAAAAAAAAAAAAAAAAAGAGTACAGAAATAAAAAATCTACGAGGGATATCATTCCTGAAGAGACTCATAGCTCCAGACACGGGCCCGGGTATCTCCAGAGCCGGTGGCAAAATATGTACCGGCCGGGCTTAGAGCAACAGAGATTACTGTTTAAAAAATGGATACAGGTAATCGAGCACGTAATGGTTAGAAGAATATGAGTCAAATTAGGCGTAGCATGGCATTCGTTATACAGAAATAACAGAACCCCCAGATTAAAGCATTACCAGAGTTTTTATGCCCTTGCAACATAAACTGAACAGCAGTTGAGTTAGGGTCCCAAAATTGTACTCCGCGATCTTTAGAACCAGAGACGACCCATTTTCCATCAGGTGAGACGGCAACAGAGAGTACAAAGTCCTGATAAAGTAAGGCATCCCGCAATTGATGTCATTACGTTAGCAAGTAGACAGCATTATCCCCGATATATACAAAAGAGCGTATGTAAAGCTATCCTCCAGCTAGTTTACCTTGTGTCCATTGAATGTTGCCTTGCACAGTGTACCCCTTGGCGCACCACTCTGACCGTTTCTGCCAAGTAATGTCAAATCCCAGGACTTCAGTGTTCGATCCAAGCTTCCAGAAACAAGAGTCTTACCGTCAGGAGCGAAAGCAACGCTGTAAACAGAGTCCTTGTGGCCGTCTAGCTTCTCCAGCAGCTGACCAGTGTGGGTATCCCAAACACGGACCATCTTGTCCAATGAACCAGCAGCAACAAGGCGGCCATCAGGCGATATGGCGACCGAGGTTACACCAGCATCCTTCAAGTCAACATCGCCGACCGTAAGGACAAATAGACATTTACCAGTATCCATGTCCCAAACACGTGCAGTTTGGTCGCCAGATCCTGACACAATGATACGTCCATCCCTTGAAAAATCTAATGAATAAATATCTTGCTCATGCCCTTTCAATATCATGCGGATCTTTTTGCGGCCAATTTCCCAAATCTATCAACAGGATCAGGTTAGAAAACTAGTATCAACTACATAGAGAATTCATGCTTCAATGAAATTATTATAAATACTTACTCTGATCTGTTTATCTTCAGCACCAGTAGCGAGGTATTTCCCGTCAGGACTGAAGCAAACTGAGCGAATATAGAGATCATCTTTTCCAGCAGTGTCATCAGCAAGGACACTATTGTTATTACATAAATATATAGGATGGAATAAATAGGTTTAGGCTCATTGAAGCATCATTAATCACTAATGGTCTTCAAAATAAATACTCACCACACGCTTTGTCCAGACTGGATATCAAAAATTTGTGCACTGCGGTTGCATCCTGTAGCAAGATATTTGCCGTCAGCGCTAAAGCGAACACAGCACACCACGCTAAAAAGATATGTGGATTTGACACAGAGGGGTTATTTAGCTCACACTGCTATTGATCTGCTGCTATAGATTCGAAGTAATATCAAGGCTACGTTTGATTGCACCAAGACCTTCTTTAATTTACCTGGAATGCTCCATGGTATGAACGAGATCAACCTTAAGAAGCTGAGGGACCTTGGGATTAGAACTAGAGACGTAAACGGTAAATTACATTAATTGTAGGAAGATTAAAAGCAAAACAACCATGTGGATTGAAAACAGGGTGGCCCCTGTTAAAAATAAGTGGCTTACATCGCAAACCAGTCTGGGCCTTCTCTCTTAAGCTGGGCTGGGACATTGTCAGGATCATCACTCCAGTTTGATGGTGTGTTACCCCCTCGAGCAGTCCGAGCAACTGTCGTCGGAGTAGACGAAGCCCCTCCTGTTTTCCGCTTATTATTTCCTGGCGCTGGAGAGCCCACTTCTTCCTTTGCTTGAATGTAAGCTCCACCCTAAAGTCAAACATCGGTTCTTTGATCAGCATTTTGTTATCGATATTTATTTTATACCGGAGGAACAATAACTCAATTGTGGCGCTTAATCCATCAAAAATACCTTTCCTGGCTTGACAGGTTGCTTTGATGATGGTGGAGGTACCGGTGAGTTATAACCACCACCCATCATTGGTTGCCCATTAGGGTTACCATGAGGACTAGGCGACATGTTGCCGTACATATTGCCAGGGGGTCCTTGTGGTGGCATGTCTCCCTCCGTCTTAAATCGTGGCCCATCACTCTCTGTCTTGAAGCGTTTTGCCTGAGGTTGACCTTGCTGAGGCATAGCGTTATTTCCATTCATATAAGGCGAGTGAGGTCCTCCTGGACCTGGGGGCATATTAGGCCCTCCGTAAGGATGTTGTGGAGGTTGCTGCTGCTGCTGTGGCGGTGGTGGTGGTTGTTGCATGTGTTGTTGTTGGTGGTGCTGTGGAACTTGTTGCATATGATGTTGTTGTTGTACTTGCTGTTGCTGCTGCTGCTGTTGCTGTGCCTGCTGTTGCTGTTGCTGTTGCTGTTGCTGTTGTTGTTGTTGTTGTTGTTGTTGTTGTTGTTGTGAGAGATCAACCATCTGAGGAGGTGCGATTAAGCCTGGACCTCCTGGGCCGCCACTAATGATTCCACCAAAGAGATTCGATTGACCGTGGCCAATATTAGGTGGGGGTGGTTGAGCGTGTGACATCTGATGAGGCATCTGCGCGACTCCTCCACGCTGTTCGACCTCGCGTCTCAGTCGTACAACCTCTTCCTCGACCCTAATAATATCGAACAGATTGAGAAATATGCATCTTAATTGTCAATTATACTGTAGTTATTTCCAACGCTCTCGGAGACCATGCTTCAATGTCAGCCCAGATATAACGCCTTCTTACATTTGGTATTGACTCTTCATAGATTCGTGTTTCCTCTCAAGCTCATACAAGGCTCTTCGAAAGGCGTCCATCTCCTGGATCTGATTGTTGACTAGATAAAATACAATGACAATGTAGTGAATTTAAGAAAAAAAAAAAACAAATAAACAAATAATTGCATGTTAGCTACTTATTCCGGATTACTGGATATGTGAGCCTCGCTACAATATTAGAGCTAGGCGTCAGAGAAGCCATTACAATTTATTTGGTCATTCAACACCAGGGCGTGGATCTTCTGTCGCACCATATCGCGACACACTTACTCTTCTGTTCATAATCGTCGCGCTGCATTTTAGCGACCATAATCTCATGATTCAAGCTGTCGAATTCCTGCCTGATGAGATCGAGCCATTCAGGTACACCGGCGCTACGGCCAGGGACCATGGGGCGATGATTATATATTCCTGACATGAGCAAATGCCTGTAATAGTTGCAGTGATTGGCGGCGGTTTTAAAGTTTCTTTCTGTTTTTGACCTTTTAAATATTGTGTTCCAATTGCGAATTGAAAAGAATATATATAAATATAGATATATAAAAATATATACTATATAAAAGGGAAAGGAGGCAATCGCAAGCCGCAAGTAAGGGTGCGCCAAAAATCGGAATCGTAACAAGATTAATACACTAGTAATGTCAAAAAATGAAATAAAATGGGCTGGTTAATCAGATGATCTGGAATGAACCTGACTGTGTGTGATTGAGTGCGCGGTCCTCTTGGTGGCTTGTCTCATCAATCAGTTGAGTGAATTTTTTTTCTTCTGCCTTTTTGGCTTTTTCTTTTTTTTTCTCATCTAAAAAAAGCTGAATCGCTTTCATTCTCCAATGCTTCCATTCTTCCGCTGTTGCTCTTTTTTCTTTCCTTTTTTAGGTGGGGAGGGCCTAGGTCGCGTGGAAATGGATCATCGGCACGAGTGTTACGCATCATTCACTCGTCATGAATACTCTTTTTCAATTTGATCCACTGTGGTCTTTTTTTTTATATAAAAAAAAATTAGCAATGATCTCTGTCTGTAGAATCACCACCTGTACGATCCTCTCCCGCCCCTGCTTGTCCCCTCCGCCTTACCACCGTCACCTTCTTTAACAATGGTCAATGCCATCCATCTTGGATGAAGCACCATTCTATAACCTCACGCACCATCACCCAAAAAGATCGCAAACATGACTGATTGTTTTTATGAATGATGATCAGGGATAGGAGCCAGTACACGCGCTAATGAAAGATGAAAAGCAAGATTATTACCTACCTGCAAAACACAAAAGAGCTTGCAGTAGGTGAATGTAGGAACTGCGAAGGACAGAAAGACGGGGAAGGGGACCAAAAATAAAGAATGTTGTAGATTATGACGGGATATGACCGAGGACAAGGCTTGAAGTATGCCTCGGTATATGTAGTGAGCCCCTTTGAATAAATAAAGTGAGAGTAAGGATGAGAAGGGAAAGAGAGAAGGACGGGGGTGGAAAGAAGTGGGAGAAAAGAGAAGGGGGGAAGGAACGAAGGGAAAGAAGGGAGAGAGAGAGGGGGGGGGGATGAAGAGGAGAGAGGAAATGGGAAAAAGGGAAAAGGAATATGCTTATGCTGACGCACAAGAGATGAAAGAGGGAGGCGAGGAGGTCTGGGTGAGGAGAATAAAAGAGGTATACGGGCAAGAGGGTATGGGTTCACAAGGACAGGGTTAGGACGCGATTCGCCTGTTTCGATCGTCGCTGTTACTGTTTGTTTCGTAGTTTCGTTGAGAATAACAAATAAAGTCAGTTGAAAGTTTGAAACTATACACTCTATTCAGTTTTGTTTGTCTATGGAATAAATACGGTTTTAAAGTAAATGTGAAATGTCTTTTACTGCCCCAATATCCGCCGCGCCTTTTGACAGGTTTTTTTTATATCCGTTATGCATCTTTTCTTGCGGATGACACACATTAAACAAACACTAAAAAAATCACACGCTCAATCCTCTCCCACCCCCAAAACAAGTGAACGAGTGAACGAGTGAATGAATGAAGAAGTTGATTTTTCACATACTCCCTCCTCAAAAAACGGTACTGCTCCTGTCGTAGTCACATTGATGACAATCCAACTATCCGATTGAATCATTGAATGAAAAGAAGGGGAAAACAACCTGAACCGGGTGTATGTGTGTGTGGATCAGGAAGAGCACACATACAAGAACCAAAATAAACATGTATATTTATATAGCCCGTTTCATTTGGTCGCGATACCTTATATTTTTTGAATACTTTCGAGTGTATTGGCAGCCAATTAGCTCGCTTGTTACGAGTATTGTTGCAAGTCCGTCACGTAGTGAGATGCCACCAGAACAATTCAATCATCGTTTTTAGATTAAAAATATAAGGTATCGTGACCAAATAAAATTGGCGATATATACATGTATACATGAATATATATCTTAATATTCTTTTATGGGCAAAAATATACTTTCTTTTCATGGCTTTTTCCCTTCCCTGCGTTGTTTGTTTGCATTACAACATTGTTTATTTTATTTGTTTGTTGTTATTGTTATTTGTTGCTATTGTTGTTCTTGTTGTTTTCCAAATCAAACATCTTTTGTAGCTCAGACACACATGTTGTTTGCCTGCCATGCCTCTGTACATGTATGTTATTTTATTTGTGTCTGACAGAACATGTCCAAATCTGCTTCCATAAAACACGCCACGCCATTGAAAACCAAGCACTGACAGAGCCCAACTGACATTGCTCCTCTTATTTCTTAATGCCTGAACACAATTGACAAGTGACATCTCTCAAATTGATTCACATTATATTTTATATATATACATATTTGTTATATCTTGTAGACCTACAAATTTATTGACATTCATCTTTCATCTTTCTACATGTTTATATATTTATACTCTTTTATCCATACCGGCTAAATAAGGCCCTTATTTCATCCGTGAAGCTTAGCAAAACCGCAATCATGATACTATATATTTATATATATCTATATATCCTTTGAAAAGATTCCTTACCAAATCATATCTTTTTCCTTGTGAAATTTTTTTAGGGTCAAACGATATTAAGTAAATGTTTATATACATATATATATATTTGACAGCTCATGCACCTTAAATAACTGGTCTCCTCCTTTCAACCTTTTATATTTTCCTAAACATAAAACTCAAAAGGGGCAGAACGTGGCGTCGCGCACTGATCAAAACTAGGAGATGTTTATTTACAAGGAAATTACCCTTACTTCTGGGTATGACAAACTTTGTCCATTCAAAGCGTGCTCGCTATCATCGCCGTATTCATCTAGCGACAACGCGTCTTCATCCATGCTCTCAACTGACAACAATGGCACCTGTGCATTAGCATCTTCTACCTGCTTAGTGGTCCAGTAATACCCCGACTTCTCGCACATTTGACGTGTCAAAGCTTCTTCTTCATCTTGATCTTCTTCATCTCCCATGACTGCCAAGTATTTAAATATAATTGACAACATGATTACACCCACCAACTATTAAAAAAAATAAAATAAATAAATAAATATAACAGTATGCACAAAAAAAAAAAAAAAAAAAATCTAGATACAAGATTTTAACGCACCTGAATCAATCGTATATACAAGATAAACGTCCCGAACTCTTGGAGTTTCTTACCGAAGTTTGATTCCAAAGCTCCAATGCAAGGCGGCAGTTGATCGCCCATTCTTCCTAGCGGTTGCTCTAGAGATCTATCATTGCTATCTTTGAACCCTTGACACTGGAGCTAATAGATCCTCAACGAAGGTTGAAGGGAATCATGTTAATAATAATGATAATAAAAGAGAAAAGAAAAAAGAAAAGTTAGCATTTCTTTTTTCCCTTCCCTTAATTTTACAGAATGGAATGGATAGTAGCCTAGTGAATGTGTTACCGTACCTCTTTCTGTAACTCCTTGATGAGATCTGGATCATTTTCATATGCGTTCTCCCATGAAAGATCCAGAGTGTTTTGAACCCAGCTCATGCCTGAGAGGAAACCTTTGACTGCAATGATACCCTGTACAAAACTGAATGCTATCACCAGTGCAAAGTACTTAACAGTTATAATACAACACAACATAATAATAATAATAATAATAATAAAGTAAGAAATATGCGTGATTTTTAATAGGATAGTATCGATCGATTTAGATTACTTCAATATCTACAATTAAGGTAGGAAAAACTTACCACTTTCATCGCTGGTTTACTAGCCCTTACGACTCCAAAAAGGCCCAAGAAAGAGATGAAGATAATGCTGCTTACGCACAAGCTATCGATGTTGAAAGACAGGGTTGGAGCCATAATGACGCTATGATGTGAAGCCGAATCTTGCTGGTAACCACTGATGCTACTGCTACTGCTGCTACTGCTGTTGTTGTCGCTGCCTTGTATTTGAAAGATGTGATGTATGAATAAAATTGGAATCTTTTTTATTAAAAATAAAAATAAAAATAAAAAAAAGTTCGGATTGAGAAATTAGCCAACTGTGTTCTCGGAAATTATGTTTTTGAAAATTTAGAGTGCAAAGTGTAGCGATAAAACAATGAAATAAAAATAACAATAATAATAATAATAAAGGGAAAGAGTGAAGTCAAATAGCTCATCTAATTACTTTTTTTTTTTTTCTTTTCTTTTTTTGAAGAAGACTTGGTTGCTCAAGAAGCAGGCGAATGAAATTAGGTTGTTATTATAACAAATACAATAATAAATAAAAGTCAGGGAGATGTGGAGGAGGGATTATTGGAAATATAAAAATGTATCACAAAAGCCCAAATAATGAAGGAAATGCAATCGCAACTCGATTACATCCTGAGATTCTATTCTATCCAATAGCCGTGACCTCCTAATAAAAAAAAAGGGGGGGGAGGAAGGGCCTGAGCATCTATCGAACCCTTTGCACTTTATTATTATTCTCATTTTCTACGTTTTTTTTTTATTTTTTACCTACCAAGACAAAGAGCAAAAAAGCTGAAATAAGATACCGATGTCTTGGGGAAGGCAGTGGCAAAGAGCTTCTCATCATCCCTGGTATATCTTCCTGAAGCTCCAGCTGTCTATATGGTACTTTCACGTGTAGTGATCTCATTTTAAATATCGATTGTAAACTTTAGTTGGGCCCTGAACTATCGCAAAGTCGTTTATGGACAACACAGATATAAAGAAATGATGATGTACAAAAAAAAAAAGAAAAGAAAAGATAGAGTGCGAAAAAAATAAAATAAAAGGGAGTGAGAGAATGAAAAGCGAATGCAGTACTTTACATGTTTTTATAGGTGTTGGATGTCCTTCTCTCCCTTCCCTCTTTCCCCTTTTTTCTTTTCCCTTCAAAGCCTCGGTATCAAAGCTCAAAGTTTATAGAAACGCTATACCGAATAAGACCCTGCTTTGGCTCGTCATTTAGCAAGAAATGGAATACTCAATCCGCTTGGAATAAAAGTAAACATGGGATGGTCGAAGGCGGAATCTTGGACATTGGATAAAAAGGAAAAAATAAATAAATAAAAAAACATTGGAATGGGAGGGAAAAGAAAAGGGGAAAGGGAATTCTATCCTATTTGAACGTCAAATTCCTTTCTTCCATACCTGTGGTCAAGAACGAGATACCCTACGACTACAAACTACAATCCTCAATCCACAATCCATTCCAGACTGGAGCATAGCTTTTCTTCCTTGGGTTCCTTGGGCAACAATATAGCCTCAGCTTTTTTTTTATTTTTTTTTTTTATTACATACTTCGTGTATTATAGAGATTTAAAGCTTTTTTTTTATACGTACTATGTATTAGACGTTGGCCCAATCATGATAAGGGTTTGCTTCTTCTCCACGAGAAAGCTTCGCAATCTCTGCTTTGCCAATCCGATCAAGCCTCACATAGGCGCTCGTCAATCCAAGCTGAGTCTCATCTAGCTCTCGAACCTCAGCACCACGTAAACAGGACTCTTTCAAGTTCCATTCAGGGTCTTTACTTTCCTGAGGTACCTCATCCATCGATACCAAGTTGAGCTCTTGAAGTAGTGCTCGCTGCATCACCTCGTCTCGCACAACGTTCTCTCGATGTTTTTGCATCCCCCCGCCAGCCATCCAGTATCCAAAGTCAAGTATGCGTCGGTCCCTAGAGTTCTTGTTACGCATCAGTCCTGCATTCCACCACATGGGCCGTTCAAGGTAATCTAGGTGAAGTTGTGTGCCACAGACAGCGACCGTCTGAGGTTGTGATCCATCATTCTTGAGAGGATACTCTTCCCTCTCACCAATCACCCCGGGATATGATTTTACAAACGCATAGGGTTCTTGAACCATTTCATATCCAACCCAGAATGATTCCTGGAAATTTTTTTTAAAAAAAAAAAAAAAAAAAAAATTGATATCTAGATCCAAGTTTCTCTGCTTCACTTTGCTCTTCCCATCACCAGGATTTGGATTCCTCACCTTATCACCATAAAAGTTATCGTACGTGTACATACTACGCTCCCACCGGCTATTCATCTTGCAGGTAGCCAGCAAGCCCAGCAGTCTGGTGCCTTTATTCACAACCACTACCCCAGATTCTTGTTCATGCATGGATAGGCCTCGGAACATACGCGTCGTTGGAGGAAAACTCGACATGATGGGTAAAAACGTCCGCATCCAATTCGGCCCTTTCTTCCAATTAGGGAACAGTGTTCTGTCATAAAAATAGAGCGTTCCTGTGAGCTTGTAACCAGGATCCTCAAAGAGTTCCGCAACATCCTAAAGCACGCGTATATATATGTATAAAAAGAAGTGTAGCATATAACAATGCATTAGCCCAATGTAAACAACAACAATGTTGCGGAGATTTAGAATCAGAATTTAGCTTTTCTTACCCTCAAGAAATACGCGTCAGAGTCGATCATGATCACCTCCTTGAATCGTGAAGCCAAGATAGAAAATGCTTTGATGGACCAGCCCCCCAAATGCATCCATTCATTATCAAGGATTTCAAAGATATCGACTGTCTCAATATCATTTGTCATCTCTGTAATGTACTTCCTCCGTTCAACTGACAGATCTTTGGGACCCATGTGGAAGATCTGGATTGGCATCTTGGGTTGCAACCTTCGGATCGCCTGAACAGACGAAATCAGATATTCAAATTGACCATTCCCAGCACAGATTACAATCCCTCGGCCTTCAAACCCATCATACATTGAAAATGATGTTTGACGGTTGAGATGGAGCCATGGATACAGCTTGGACTCTAACCTCAAAAAGAAATCAACCTCAGCTCGCTCGCGGCTCAATTCCTTCACAAATTTCCTTTCCTTTTCAGCCGCTGTCTCTCCAGGAAGTGCGCTATAGACTGGATAGAGATAGTTCCAGAGAGACTTGTGGATCCTTTCTGCACGGCTACTGAGCGCAAAGTCAATCCGGGCCTTTCCTGTATCCCCTTGAAGATCCTCCACCCTGTTATACTCGAGTTTCAAAAGTTCATTCATCATGTCAAATCCCACAGCTGTATCCAAAGAAGCAGTATCAGCCTCTGTCCACGTTGGAATGTCTCGAGGAACAGCCACATCATGTGTTAGCCGAAGTTCGTCTGGGACCTAACGTTGCCGCCCAAACCATGTATAGATATCTTGGGGTGATGAGATTGGTTTTTTTTTTTTTTTTTTTTTTTTAAATGGCTTAATCAAAAGAATAGCACGCTTGGAATATCAAGTTTACCTCAAAAGAAGACAGCATCTTTGGTTTTCCAGGCGTCTGCAACGGGTCTGATTCTTCTTTAGTATCCATACTATATTGTGGAAAGGTGAACTGCTCTTCATGCTCATAGTATTTTTGATGGACTTTATTATCAGATATGCTCCAGTATTGATGGCATAGTGCCAAAAATGCGACATTGATGAGCACTGCAACCACTGTCCTCAGGTATGGAGATCGGGATGCTCCATACATCTCGCTACTTTCTGTGTTATATCCTGAATACAATGGGTAATGTAGATGTAAAATGAGTATACAAAGAATTTGGATCAAAAGATGAACAAAAGGTGCTCGAGAACAGGGGAAATTGAAAACTGAGTGATGGAGAAAGAAGAGAAGACAGATACTTTGAAGGAAGAATCTGTCCAAGTATACTTCGTAATAGATCTTCCTCCCCGTGTATTCCAGGTTGTCTGGTGATTGTCTCCGTGTCATTTAGAATAAAAGCGAACACAATATGATAGACCAAGCGTTATCTGAGATTTGGGATACCTCTTATGATTTTGGCACCTTTATTCCTTTTTTTAATATTACTATTATTATTAAAGTATCATAAAGGAAAATTCAAGAAACGTCTTTATCTTCTATAGACAATGGCATGGTCGCTCCACTGCCGCTCAAGATCCTTTCTGCATCTGATAATCGATGTTCCACCACAAGGATATTGGCTGTGCTAAAAGTACTAAGATAAAGCAGGTCGATTCCAGCCTCGGTCAATGGCCTTGCCACAGAGTGGATGATGCCGTATTTGTCTGTTTTTCATTTAAAAAGTATTCGTGTTAATGCATCAGGGACCATAGAACCATGTTCCTACTGGATAAGCGGCATTAATTATCTGCCTTGGACGGAGAGATCGAGCTTACCAAGGCCAAAACGGCGTAGGTCCAGTTGAATGAGACGAAGGGGACATGTGTCATGATCCATGAATAACTCATGCTCTTCAAATTCTTCTAGGATATAAGTGTCTGTGATCATTGAAACGCAGTCTGCCGTAGCAGTGAAGGAAAAGAACCTTGGGGCATCATGGGTCGGCCTAATAGGGGTGGATGAAGTAAGTTTGTTTTTAGTAAACCAATAAATCATCCGTAGTTATCATTTCTTACGTCAAATTACTTTGTGGCATTTAAGGCTCATTACCCCCGCCCTGTATCGATGGCCACTTGCTTAATCTTGTCATGGTAGAATAATATCTTGATGACTTTTAGGATCCATGGCTGATGACCCGACTCCAGATCAGTATTCAAGCCTACGCATCGAAGAGTATTTTGAGGCGATGTGCGGATTGCCTGCTGGCGGAGCTCAAATGCGGTGGCTGTCGTAGGCGACGCTTTGGGAGGTATTGCCGCATCGCCTAGCTCGACTGATATGCGTCCATGCTTCTGCGCTGAAATGATGTCCAATGGTGGAACCTGTTTAGCATCTGCATCCAGATGCTTACCGTTCAGGTATTCATTTTTAATCTTTGAATTGCTCTCTACTCCATCTATATCGTTATCAGAGATCGAGCCTCTGGACCCAGGCGGAGTCATCATTGACGACTCGGACATATATTTCAACTGGAATGCTTCCGTTGGGATTGAGTGTAGGGTCCTGTCCTCTTCATCATTGTGCTCTGACAGTTGGTTTTCCTTCTGGATGTCATGTATATCGTGCTTCCAGAATCGAGGTCGATCTGGTATAGGCGTGTCTGGAGGCGTGTTACATAGTTCCTCATCAAGAGCCATGTGAATTCCATTTTGAGATAGGATTGTAAATACAGCAGGAATCCTGTTTTCCTGAACCTATGAAGACATGTACGTTTGCTTGATTAGTAAAAAAAAAAAAAAAAAAAAAAACACTTGGGAGAAAACTGAGAGCTATCCGGATATATACATTGAAATAGCGTATATATTTTATGAACCTACAAATAGCAAATCCATCTGGTATGTACTCATGTAAAAGATCGAGACTATAACAGAGGTGGAACGAAAGAAGGAAATTAGGTTTGACTACACATGGACAAACAATCATCTGTACTTTCTGTTGTGTGACATTAACCCTGAGAAAAGACACCAGTTTCTAATCCACAAGAGATTCCTGTTCTCTCCGTAAACTAATCCTGTTTAGGGTCCTTATGATTTTTTTGTCGTAGAGCACCACCACAAACACATGAATAGCCAAAGTATATACAGTCTGAAGTAAGAGTCAGAGCATATTATTTTTGTTTTCCTCCAATAAGATGCAAGATGAAGGAGCTTCTCTCAAGATTGATAAAAAAAATAAAAAAAAATAAAAAAAAAAAAAAACATAACGTAATGGGTTTGGTCCAACTTTCGAGGGTTTTACAACAAAAGCATGCATGTTGTGGTGTTAAAAACTTTTTTTTTTTTTTTTTTTTTTTTGCAGTATGTGCCGTCAATGTTTGTTCAAACAACATTTTTCTTTATGACATGAAAGGGTGAAAGGCTCAGTCAGCCCCCTCCCCATCCCCTCTCAAATCATATATTTATCGGTGTTTGGAACACATTGTTCTCGATCTTTCGCCACTCCCCTTGCAAGAATTGAGAGCGAACTTTGCACCCCTCGCTCTGTGTCTGCCCATCAGGATTGGAAGCGTATGGGGACACAGGCACATTTTGTGTAAGGAAAGAAAAAAAAAAAAAAAAAAGACGTACCTCCTGCTTTTGCGAGTGGTTCCACAATCGCGCATATCCTCGATGAATTAAAGGTGTCATCTGTTGATTGATCCATGGCATTGTAAAAAAAAAAATTCCATGCAGAAAGAGCAAAAAAAAAAAAAAAAAAAAAAAAGGGATTGGCACAACGATAAAACAAGGTTTGGTTGACAGATTTGTAACATGGATGAGTTCAACATGTATGCAGGTTACGAAATGACCCGCAGATAAAAAAGAATGCGTTCCTCCATTTACCATTGTCAACCTGCAATGCACGATAAATATGATTCGAGATCTCGAGCCTTGGGCAGAGCTCCTGGCCAAAATCGCGCCCGATGGCCTCCGCATCGCCAAAGATAGATATTTCAAGCGAGTTATCGACGTATGAGAAAAGCGTCTCTGCTCGCCGTTGTTCATTTGCATGGCTGTATTTACGGAAGTATTAATCATAATGAGCGATAGGGTTTTGTTTTTTTTTTTTTTGCAAATACTTGTCAACTTTTTTTTCCCTGACCTGTAGTTACGAAAGAGAATATGCTTTAGGATTGCATGACTACATATCTCCAGGTCTTCACGAGGAAAACGAAGCAAGCATAATCGGTCAGGCAGCAACGAGACAGTCATGATTCGAAATGGATGTAAATGTAGAGGCCCTTGAGATAAAAATTATTACAGCGAATGTTCAAGAACAATGTGGAGGAAAGCTTAAAAAAAAGCGGGAAAAATGAAAAAGTCAAATGACAAGTGGCAGAGAAAAAAAATATTTTCTACTGATGTAAAAGAGAAATGAAGGAAGATCACGATTTGATTGATGCGTTACTGTTGGCTGTTGAGGATGAATGGGCCTTTATACTGTTAGTTGTTGAGGATGAACGAGTCTTTGTATGTGATAATGAAATGTCTGTGCCAGAAAGAGTACAGAATCGGGTTAAACAAAGAATGCTTTTAGATGGATTTGAATACGATGAAAAGAGAAAATAGTGAAGGATGCAAGTGTGCTTAATTTGATTGAGGCTGAAAGTGAGAGTGTGCGGTATGTGGAAGCAAGGATCAGTGGAAGTGAGGGAAAGAGAGAGAAGGTGTGAGTGTGTAGCTGAAAGGGTGAGAGGAGGGAGTAACAATGAAAGAAAAAAAAAAAAAAAAAAAAAAAGGATCTTGTGCTTGTGTAATAGCAAAATTGCCTAGAGTGTCAGAAAAGACCTTTTTCTTTTTTTTTTTTTTTTTTTTTTAAATTTCTCTCCGAGCAAATAAGCTCTCAAATAAACCATAGCCCTGCCGCCACTAAAAAAATTCTCTTTTTTTTTTTTTTTTTTTTTTCTTTTTTCATTCTTGATCGAGTGAAAGAAAGGAAAACCATCAAGGATCAAGGCTTTGATTGATAGATAGGCAGTAGACAGGATGTCATCCGCCAGTAATAAAACACTAAACACGGTTTTCCTATTCCTGTCTTGTCCAGCAACCACTTCAAACCGTAACTCTTTTACCAAAATACCAAAAGATTTTTCTTTTTATTCAGGCAATATTGGAAACAGGGTCTCACAAATGTTGTCCGAATAGAATGTTATCGGGTTAAAATCACTCTTCCTTCTCTTCTTTGTTTGATTTTGATTATTGGATTCATTGGTCCTTGTTGGCGCGCAACTTGGCATAGTACTCGGCGCGGATGGCACGATGACTGAGAGCATGATAGTTCCAGAAGCTGAAAGCAGCAGTTCTATTACAAGAGTTAAAAGAATGAGTTTTTTTTTTTTTTTTTTTTTTTTTTTTGTAGCCCCATCCACGTGCCGAGAAAAATTACTTTTTTCACATCAGATTATGTAATGGACATTGTCTTCTGTAACTCAAAGTCTAACTTCGTCATATTGAATATGTATATATATATTTCATTGCACTCATTCTTCCCCATAGTGTCACATGGTCTAACTGCCATCTAGCTTGTCTTTTTCTATGTTAACGCTAAAGATACTCCTGCTTCCATTTTTTTTTCTGTTGATTTGCCACCCTTTATGAAAATCAACCTCAATCCCTGAACTAGCGCTGCTTATAATTCAAATAAATTAACTTAAAATCAAAGTAAACTCAACTTACCCTCCAAGAGTGAGTGCAATACCGATATGAGTGAGCATGCTCTTACTATTTATTTCGGTCCACAGTTGATATTAAAAAAAAAAGGATAAATTAGAAAAAAGAAAGAAAGAAAGAAAGAAAGAAAACTACCACTATGTAATAAGATCTTTTTCCTTTTTTTCTTTTAAACTGTTGTTCCTGCTTGTCAAATGTACGCATCTTTAAGAGTTTACTTATAACGTACGAGAGCTGGTTCTGGACTGGAGCAATCATATTGAAGGAGTTGGGAGATCTGTGATAATACAAGTCAGCTTAGATGGAAAGAGTTGAAAGAAGAAAAGAAACGGAAGGGAGGAAGAAGAAGAAGAAAAAAAAAAAAAAAAAAAAAAAAAGGCGCATTCACCTTTGGAGAGGAAAATCCGAGTAAAACAACCTACTCACATCGGAGTGGCGTATATTGAGTGGTGGTACCTTGCACTTATTACATTTCCAATGTTTCAGCGCGTGCATCTACATGTCGGGAATCCATTTTTGACAAAGCAGCTTTCGATAAATGCACACGGCAACACAAGCTCACATATATTTATATTTCAAATAGACAACTAAATAAAACCTAGAGTTTGGACTCGCCAAACATTTCACCTCTATCTTTGGCGGAAGGCGATACAGCATTACGTGCGTCGGCAAGTGTAAAGAGCATCTGCTTGTTTTCTTCATATCGCTCCTCCTGGCCCAAAGATTGAATCTGACTGTCAACTCGCTGGTAAAGCTCCTCGCACCACCTCTGAGCCGAGATCCTGTCCACCTTAGCCTCCGCAGCAGCAACAGTGTCAGATGGATTTGCCTTGGCCTTGGCCTCCGACCAAATGGCATGCTCACACATCAATGCTCCTGCAAGCACATCAGCCATAGCCAAAGACAATCCCCGGGCAGAGGCCTCTAATGTCTTGCGACCCTCTAATGTCGCATAGGACGTGAAACGGATCGCGATCAGAACCAAACATTCTTCTAAACTCTTGACAGACTTGATCCAAGTGGGCAGATTCTTCAGTTGCTTCAAGATTTCACGGATGGTCTGAATATCATAAAAATAAGAATATGCATTATTAGGATACTAAACGATTGAAGGTGGGGGTTGATGGTCAAACAGTTTACGAGGAAAGAAAAAGGAGGTACATACATCAGAGTACAGCTGTAGGGCCGCTCCTCCGGTCTCAGTCATAACACGAAGCAAGTCCAACGATAAAACATTCGACGTTCCTTCCCAGATTGTGTTCACAAGGACATCTCTCATCGCACGTCCGATTCCAGTCTCCTCCATGTATCCTTGACCACCATAGCATTCCATAGCCTCCTGTGAGAAATAGAATGCATGCTTAGCACTCCAAAGCTTCAAGATGGGGGTCAGGAGACGAAGAAGAGGCATATCACGGTTCTTAATCTCTGGCAAATTGTTGTCCAAAGCCTCAATACGGCCAAGCAAAGTAACACAAAAGAATAAAAACTGGCAAGTGGCGCGATACTGCAGCTCCATATTGGCGAGGGTAGCCAAGTGCAGTGGTTGGTCCTTTAAAAGCGCCCCAAAAACCTTTTATATATATATACATGATAAAGCATATACCCTAGTCAGTATCGTAATCATAGACCAGTCCATTAAGCGAAGAAAAAATGGATGAGTGTTCTTCCATACTTCACGACGGCGTGCATAATCCTTTGCTCCAAGGAGTAACGACTGCATAACGGAGGCGCAGTTGATGCCACAATGCATGCGTGTAATGTTAAGGATCGAAGAGATATTTCTGACACCACGATAGATTTCTCCAACTTGCTGCGCCTCCATGCCACTCAATTGCAATTCAGCCGTTGGCAAGGCCTTGGTGCCAACCTTGTCTTTCAGACGGTGGATGGTAACGCCATTAAGCTTTCCTTGATCGTCACGGACTCGAGCCAAGTACAATGATAAGCCTCTGCTGTCAGATTTCATGTTGCCGGGAGCAAGATCCGGCCTAGGATCATGTGTTCTGGCTAAAAGCATAGTTACATCAGCATCTGTGGCACTAGAGAACCATTTAAAGCCAGAGATAGACCATACTTTCTTCTCCTCGTTCCAAACAGCTTGGGTCTCTGTACGGCCGACATCGCTTCCACCGGGGCGTTCTGTCATCCATTGGCCACTCGTGTAAAATGTAGAGGGGTCGCGACTACATAATAATAATTAACATATTGTTTAAAACTTGAGTTGGTGATAACATATAATATAGCTATGCTATCTATAAAACTAACCTGATAAGTCTAGTAAAGATCTGATCTTTCATTTCCTGTGTTCCAAGAAGCTCAATGACGCGAGCACAACCGTCTTGGAAAAAAAAAAAAAAAAAAAAAAAAAAAAGTCAATAGGTGGCAATGTTCATGTATTTGAATCTAATGACAGCCTTCAAAAAAAAAATTATAAAGTGAAGCACCTGTCATGGCAATGGGACAACTGTAAAGGCCAGATCCAACAGACCAGAGCATCAGCTTCGCCATTTGATAGATACGGGAATATTGACCATACTTGCGTTCGTACGCGATTGCAACAATGCCCTCACGAGCAGCAATATCCTTTTGTTTGTTCCATGCTTCAGTCACCAAGAGCTCGTCAACCCGTCTAATATTGCCGAAGCAAGGGGTTAGCGTAGGATATCACAGATGGGCATATTTTTTTCTCAAGATATTTTCTTTACGAATTAATACCAAATACCAATCCAATCCATCTTCTATTTTTCATAAGAACCTTACCTGCACCAATGATCATATTGACGCAGCCTCGGTTGATCCTCTTCCATTCGCTTGAGTAATGCCGATCCCTCTATTTCATATCAATGTTTCCGTTTAGGAGTATTTTTACGCCACAGGATTAAAAAAAAAAAAGTATCACATGCAGAACGATCGAAAGGAAAATTTTTGAGAAACAAAATGCAGTTGAGTAACCTGAAATGGACCAGTCAGAAATGTGGACGAGATCGCTAAACAGGGGGGGTGAAAATAAATCCTAGTCAAATTTCTTGTGAAAGGTGAATGACTACAAATTACTTCCTATGCTTGAATAGCTGTAGCTTGTCTACTTCACTCTTTCAATCTTACGGGGTAACTTCTTTGAACACATTGCTAGGCAAGAGTCTCTCCAGGATAGAAGCCAAGACTGGATCCTGGAGGAAGGCATTTTGAGCCTGAGGAACATCTTGCTTAAAACCAATGTCGGCTGTTGCATATACCATTTTATATAAAAGTAGTTCGCTTCGCTGGGCCTGTGGAGCAAAGGAGTTAGGGTAATAGGATGTTGTGGAGAACAACTAAAAAATAAAAGATGGAGATGGACCTAAATGTGCAAATGTGCAATTAAGACAAAAAAAAAGAGCAAATGGAGCAGGAGATCTCGTTATTGCAGTTCTGTAGCACATGAATGAACAGGTTTTGTTATAGTGTTCTGCTACGTCATGGCATCAGAGCACATGTCTTGTTATTGACTTCAAAGCATTGGTAGTTTGGTAGTTGTTGAGGTGCTTCAAATGATCAACGCAAATTTTAAGCAGCGAGGAAGTTTGATGGACGACGATACGGGCAGTTTCTGCCTCAAATCGGATGGGTTCAAAGATGAGACATGAAGCACGATAATCTTTGCCTTGGTGAGGAGTGCATATGAGCTCATTGGTCCCATTTTCTACCAAAGAAGGGATGCGCAATGCTAAGACGGAGGGAAAGAAACTACTTCTAGCGAAATTGAAATTCGTAAACCCAAGTATTGAGTGGGGGGTGCCGGAGCTACCCGCATAACCATGAACAAGTGTACTCATAATCATTCTTCTGCAGGTTGATTGAATAGCAAGTGGTGGCGCCAGAACTCATGTGAGATGCTGAAAGAGGTGTTATAGCCGTTACAAACAGTGGCCCGCCCCCTGTGTTCAGAGGCCTGAAAGTAAAGTACGGATTTTATATACATGTACGTTCTGCGATGCTCATTGGCTAGATCCACATTTAATTCAAAATATTTATTCTAAAACCACAATTCAATTGGCTGATTTTTTTGCTTGTCTTTCTCCTTTCACCCTTTGCCAGCCAATTTAAAATAAAAATTTTTGAATTAAATGTGAATCTAGCCAATGAGCATCACAGAACGTATATATAATCCACATTTTGCAAAACAGTGAGACTGGAGTGTACTTCAGAATTATATGATTAAGAGGTCTTCGAGTGAGAAAAGGGTGTGGGTCATCCATCACGACTTTACTAACCTTGAGCAATACAATGAAGTGCTTGCGCATCCCATTTGGCGCCTCATGTGTTTAATATGCGGTATAGCACCTACATGACTATGTACCATGTCATCGCTAGCCCTTCTTCCGAATAACAGCATATACCACTGGCGACGGTCAGGAGGAGTACACTTCTAGAGAGAGAATATATATATATATATACATTTTGAATGCCATTCCTGCATAGAGAAGATAACCCGCTTTCAATAATATATTTGTTCCCGCAATGATCATGAGCAATATCCAAGGAAGCGAAAGAGCAATAAAAGATGAAAGGGAACAAGCTATGGTAAATGAGCCATTTCTTCTCCTTCGCTTATAACCTTTATAACTTCCTTCAGGACTTCAAGGAGGTATAAAATATAAAATATACGTATACATGTGAATACGTTAATCAATAACTGTCATTAATAGTTAGGCCCTCATGATAGGTACACTAGTGAGTTTAAGGACGGAAGATGCAAAAGATTCTTCCCACCTTGATGGTGCTCCCTTATGCGTGAAAGAAAAAATGTACAGTAGAGTTTTGCTTTTAAGGTTACAGATGCCTAGTCACGTTCCTTACGCGTCTTTTTAACCAGAAATAGGCGTTATCCTTTCTATCAATATTGAAGCTTTACAAAAACGCGAAAGATAGGATGTATCCCATCATAAGACGAAGCTTCAATTACTCTGTATATAAGAAAAAAAGCTATCCTACATTGTCTATTGACGAAGAGTATTTCGGTGATAACTTTGAGAGGCGCTAAAGCTATGTCACGATGTTGCTATCAAAATGCCGTAGAGCTGTGCATGAAGAATGAAGCCTCTCTATTTTTTATCTTTGATAAAGGCACGGTCGAAGGTGCAGCCGTAGAACAACGGCAGAGCTCTTTTACTTCTTTACTCGCCGTAAAAAAAAAAAAAAAAAAAAAGAGAACATTGATGAGTGGCTTGGCTTCAAAAGACAAGTTTGATTGAGGGGCGAAACTTTGAGAAAATAAGAAGGACAATTCCACTGCACAAATCTAATCTTCCTCTTTCTCACTCACGAGTTCCAAATTTTAAAAAAAAAAATGGCTGAGCTTGCTACTTCGTACGCTGCATTGATCCTCACCGACGACAACGTCGAGATCACCGTTAAGTATCGGACCAAATCATTCTTCAATCCAATAGTCATATCCTCCCATCCATCGATTCATCTTAATGGATGCGTCATTATCACGATCAGCGGACGGATGGATTGATTCTCAAGCATAGGATTGATGGATACGATTTTTTTATTATTTACTTTTTTTTTTTTTTTTTTTTAACTTTATAATTTGGATTCACAAGGATGGAGACGATTCAGCTCATATGGCGACATTAGTCTATAACATCGATACTCGGCATCGTATCTGTGTTCAAGTTTGGAAGGCAAACATTGTATACGATCAAACCTGATTTCCATGTCAACCAACAAAACAAAATTGATCCAAGGAGCAGCAGCAGTGGTAAAAGTAGAGTAATGCGACTAGTTAAGGTCATTACAAGGATCTAACGGTTCATCTTGATCGGGAAATCTTCATATAGAAGAGCAATAGCTGTCATTCAGTTGTCAATTCGTGCTGACTATACCCAATCTGTTTATTCAGCTACACTTGAATGGAAAGAGAACGCACTACTGACTGAGTATGCATTTTTTTTTCTTCTTCTATAGTCTGACAAGCTCCAGACCCTCTTGAAGGCTGCCAACGTTGAGGTCGAGTCAATCTGGACTTCCCTCTTCGCCAAGGCTCTCGAAGGCAAGGACGTCGCCGCCATGTTGTCTAACGTTGGCGCTGCTGGTGCCGCTCCCGCTGCTGGTGGTGCTGCCCCCGCTGCTGGTGGTGCCGCTGCTGCTGAGGAGAAGAAGGAGGAGAAGAAGGAGGAGGCCAAGGAGGAGTCCGACGACGATATGGGATTCGGTAAATCAATTGTCAATCTTTTTGAAGTGAACTTATTTTACATTCTGATAAACATATGTATCCGCCATAGTAATGTCACCAAGTTGCTAACATTGCGTCTCTTTCACTATCGTTTACTTTCTCTAGGTCTTTTCGATTAAACAATCGCTCTCTAAAATATGCAATAAAAGCAAAACCGGCCTTCTGCCTTTTCCCTCTTCAACATTTCTTGTATATCGTCTGTTATGCGTGCAGACTTTCTAAGCAAAATGCAGCTGTAGTTAGTTTGGAATCTCTGATATCTTTTAAGACTGAGTCTACCTTTACTAGCCCTGACCAGCATTAGGCCATGTATTAGACCGTCAAATGTAATCCTACAATATCCCTTTACTTGATTGCAGCTCAAAGGTAACGTTGCTTGATGAATGTTCATAGGCCAATCCTTTGAGCCGATATCTTCGAGAAACACTACAAGAAATGGTGTATTTTGAATTATAAGCATGAGCATCCTGTTGTGATAATAAAACAGTGTGCTTCATAATACTGCGCCTCCTTCAATAACATATACCACTGTGCGGCAAAGCAGTTCCTCTGTGGATGTGCAAGATTAGTCAAAAACATTGGTGTATACATATCACTGATTATTTCGATCCATGAATGACCACATTGAAATCGGGAGCAAAAACCAGGAAGCATTGCAAATGAGAGTCATGTTGTATTGTACAATCTACAAAAGTTATGTATCATTACTATCATTACACAGAGACCCACAATAACAACAGTAATAATAAGAACAGACAAGGAAAGAGAGAAGAGGGAAGAGGAAGAGGAGGTAATAAATAAATAAAAAGACAGAAATGACATGCGAATTAAAAGATCGAATGCACAAGAGAAAGGAAACATATCAAACCCGGTAATTTGATGATTCACAACTACTTTTAAGAGGAGGATACGTATCCGTTCGACTTGACTTTGCACGCTTCGAGGTTTCCGTGTTCCCATGGCCATTTTGCATTCCGCTGTAGACATCAGATACGGCTTCTTTCTCATATGGAGGTGAAGGAGCGGTCGCCATCGATATGGATTTTAATGGACCATAGCGAATATGGTTCCCATTAAGAACCATGGGTGTGGCTGACAAGGCACGTGCTGTAAAGGCTGATACATGTGCTGCATCGGCCGATTGCATAAACCTTCTGGTGGCCTCTTGGCCATGAGCGACCAAGAGTGCTGTCCAGCGCATAAACGTATCGTGCGAAACAAAAAGCGAGTAGTCAATAAGCTTCAGAAAGATGAGCTCATTGGCATTTATCTCCTTAACGGAAAGACCCGAGATCTTGGCCCATGCTTTGTTGGAATAGTTGCGGTCCTGAAGATATTTTGATGCAACCATCAAAGATGCCAAAAATGTCCGTCGTCCGCAATAGATAATTCTGTTAGAATGGTTAGAAGATAACGATGTCGCAGAGGTCACAGATGAGGATGAAGAATTGGAGGAAACCGAGCACGGTGAAGATGATGATGAAGACGGTGATGAAGTAGTGGAAGATGGTGATGTTGAAGAGCGTGGGCTGTATTCAGATACGGGGCTTGAAGACAGAGGCGAGGGAAGGATAGGCTTGGATTCGGATGACGTACGCAAACTAAAATAATCTGAACCCTGCATGGATGAAAATTCAGAGTTCTGGAGGTGATGAGGAGAAGCAGGGGGGGTCATCAGCCCAGCCACAGGCTGGGAGGCTGACACAATCATATGCGACTGGTAGAGTTGATCTTGGCGGCGCTTAAGATAAGCGCAGGGGACCTTATTGCGGATTTTATACAAGTAAAATAGGGCGGTCTGGAGAGTCGAGTAGGAACTACGCGATCTCTTCAAAGTCTCCTGAATGAAGGTCCGGAGCGGCAAACCTTTTTGCTTTTGAGTACACTCTGTTGATCCGGGCAAAGGAGGCCAAATTGATTCAATAACGATGGCAGCAGTATCTATGACACCCAACGTCGACATTGACATTGATATTTTGAAAATCAGAGCAGGCATAGAAACCGAGCAGAGGTGGCGAGAGCACAGACAAGAGACGAGTCGACAATGACACAGAGGTGAATATCAAATGATTATTACACACACACAAAAAAAAAAAGAAAGAAAGAAAGATGAAAAGAATAGATCAACATGTAGCCAGTCAGAGTAAAAAGGGAAGAAAATATAGGCGTCAGCTGAACGGTTTTATATGAGATAACTCAATGTGAGAGGACATACATTGAACCAAAGAATGTAATCAAAAGAGGACAATGACAAAGGATAGCAAGATCAAGAGTAGAATAAAAACCTACAGTCGAAATAGACTTTTGAGACGATACACGAAAGAAGAAAAGGAGAGAAAAAAAAACAAATCATGTCATAGGACATTACAGAAAATACAAGTAGATAATGTATAAAACTCATTATGGCTACTGATTAAATACTACAATCGCACAATAAGTTCATCAAGAATTGATCAAGACATTCCGCCATATAAGTGGATGGCAACTTGGAGCAGTTCAGAAGTCCAGCTCGGAAATACCCATGCCAGTCCTTGCAGCTCACAAAAACGAGGGTTTGATTACACTGTTATAATTACAAGGGATTGAATGAATAGACAATGGGGGGGGGAGAAGAAATAAAGAGATGCAGCGATAGGGTGGCAGTGTAGGTTTACATCCTGTTTTTTGGCTGCAGAATGACACTCGTAAACCTCACTTAATCGCCTGCGCCTTCGTCCGATACACCAAACCAGAAGGACTAGCACCTGATGATCATGTGGTCGCAGTATTAAAAAAAAAAAAAATAAATAAAAAAAATGCGCGGCAAAAAAAAAAAAAAAAAAAAAAAAAGGTGGCGCAGACATGCAGGCAACTGCGGCAAGAGAAAATTTTACACAAATGTTGTTTACAGGTGTACGACTGAATACTCACCAACAAGGCAGTCGACAAAGTTTGCCTTTACTGCAAGAGGATCCAGTTGACACTGCTGAGTAATATCGTGATTAGCATGTGTCCCTGATCCGATAGACTGAGATCGCTTTCGAGGAAGGCAAAGATGTTGAGTTTGAAGGCGTGGACACTGAAGAGAAGGCGTGGCAGAATCTACAAGAGTCGAGTCATTACGTTCCTGGTCTGAAACGCTATTCGAATCTAGTGTATATTGAGACGAAGCGCAGTCTTCATGGGCACGTTTTCTGGATTGACGTTGCTGCTGCTGCTGCTGAAGATGTTGATGTTGATGTTGATACTCTTGGCTTTGATATGGCTGTAGCTGTTGAGTAGTGGAAGGGCGTTCCGCTTCATTCTTTTCGGATACAGCAATGTTGCTGTGGTGACGAAAAGAATGGCGAGACTGAGGATAATGATGAGGTGAAATAATAGAAGAGAAAGAGGAGGACGTCTGAACAGAAGGCCTATCAAGGCTTCCGCCAGACGGAAAACTTGTACCGGTCGTCGTCACTGCACATGCCTGGAGTGTGAGCATGGGGGTAGGTATGGGGTTGACAAAGGAGAGGAAGGCGGCAGGGCTACGGTACGGATGAAAGGGATAGCTAGGAAATCCTTTGACTACCGTAAAATAAAATAAAATAAAATAAAAATAAAAATAAAGATGACAATAATAATTATATAAAAATAAGATAAATAAAATAAATCTAGTTGAGAGTATTATGGATCTGGGGGAGGGATGAGGAAGGGATGGAGAAGGAACAGGGGGGATATGTAAAAGTCCTGTGGGGCGTGTATTTTGGAAAGGATGCGGACGGTTATAGGAGAGGGAGAAGGAGTGTGGATGGAAATGAAATCCAAATAATCAAAAATAACCAAAAGGAACAAAAGCAGCGCAGTAATATGACAAAGACTATATAAAGTATATAGAGAAGAAGATATAAGAACGGGGAAGAACAATAAGGTCAAGAGCAAGAACAGGGTTGTAGCCGTGAACACCGTAAACAACAGGGTCGAATAAGATGCAAGAGGCAAAGGACGAGCAGATAAACAAAGCAGACAAATCGCGTGGAGGAGAGGATCCTATTGACAGAAACCGGCTTCTGAAGACATTTTGCTGCAGGGAAAATAGGACTTGTAAAATCAAGAATAAATAGTGAAATAAAAAAGGAAAGATGGGGGGCAGGGCTAAAGTCGAGGATAATTGAGATTAGGATAATGATTGAGAGTAAGCAAAAAGAATAATAAATATAAAGTATAAAAAAGGAATATGAAAATATGAAAAGAGAATGGTTAATTTGATTAGAATGGGGATGAAAAGAGAGAAGAGGGTTGAAGAGAAGGTAAAGAGGAATGGATAATTGCACGGACGATAAGGAAGAGAATGATCAATGTGTTTAATTGAATTGAATTCTAGAATGAATTTGAATGCGACCTTTGATAAATTTTTTTCTTTTTTCAAAAAGGGATTATTTAATGAGAAAAGAAAGGAAGAAAAAAGAGAATGAATAAAAAAAGAAAAGAAAAGAAAAGAAAAAAGGTCTGTCAAAGGGGAGGAGGGGTCGAGGCAATGAAAAGGCTGGTAAGTAAAGAAAGAGTCTCTGTGAATTGCAAGGACAAGAGGGGCGGACTAGACAATGTTTTGGGTGTGGACCATCCTGTGTGAGTGTAAACATGCGCTCCAATCGTAATTACCTCTTGTATTCATTATTTATAATGTACAGGCTACTCTGTACTGACAAATGTGTCATTCTGTTTGTTGTTATCCACGCAACACTTTTTTTTTTTTTTTTTCTTCTTCTTCTTCTTGTGTCGTCGACCGGGCCCCCTTGTTTTTTTTTTCTTTTTAACAAGTCCGCTCTGTTCGCTCACTTTTATATATTTTATTTCTTTTGCTGTTTAATATCAGTTAGTACTCTTGACTGAATTGCCATCATCAACCCATACACACAAAAAAACAATCACACTGGAAAAAAAAAGGACTGATGCATGAAAACCCAGAGCGCTCTCGTTTCTGCGGCCAAAAGATGTCATCGGGTCAAACTCTTTTTTTTTTTATTCTCGTCCCCAACTCCATGTACTCGCCACACACAGCATTTCCATCAACTCGCCTTCAAATACTCTATACATCTATATACAAATATATCGATATTTATATCTATATATCTATACTAAGATGTATATATCTATATACCAAGTTGTATCTATATAGTTGCTAAAAATGAGTATTAAATATATTATATATACTACTGCTATTCTTACTAATGTTTATATATATATATATATACTATCATTATATACTATCATTAATATTAATACATGTGATTCGTTAGTCGGAAGCAAAACGTCTTCTCCCCATTGCTGGGGCAAGAACAAGAAGTTACAGGTATTCTTCATGAACGAATACATGTCATGAAGGGTAAGGCATCACTCCATGCTCTCAATAGCCTCTCGTAACACAAAATTCATCGCTATAGCCCTGCCCTGTCTGCGGCTCACAATCCTTTCCATCTCATTCGCCAACCCAAATCACACACACAAAAAAAAAAAAAAAACAAATTCTACTGCGGACGGGATTTGTCACGTATTACGTACACGCCTAGCTTCTCTCATCGGCGTCCGAGACCGAAAGGGTGGTAAGAATTGAGATGGCACAACAGCACAACAGCACAACAACAGCAAAGAAATGGTCAGAGCTTATGTTTAATGATGATGGTTAGGATATACCAGTCCAAGTTATCTGTCTAGGCCGAAGCAGTTCTTCAAAAAGTATTGACCTCCAAACAAGTTTTTCGTGTGCAATGAGGAACAGCGCAGACTTTGATTGAAACACTGCCAAACAGAACTATATCTGCGCCATTTGATGCATTTGATGGGCTTTATTTTTCTTTGATGGTGACAATTTTTTTTTTTTTTTTTTTTTTTTTTGATATTCATGTACAAGCCCACTCTGTCCGTCTTTTGGGGAATAGGAACTAAAATTAATACAATAGGATTACCTCCTCTCCTTCGTCGATCCCTCGTGGCATTATGCATTTTTTTTTCTATCGTAATGTGTATAAGCCATATAAGCCCTATTGTAACCAACCGTCTCCAAAGTGGCATATCCCACATTCCTTTTGAGGAACTTTGACAGAACAGTCATTCAATAATCAATCAATTAATCAGCCAATCAACCATAAAGCACAACATCTTGTCTTAAAAGACCACAAGACCATGTGAAATCATCTCTGAGGTCCTGTGAATGGGGCACATTCTTCCCACTGAAAGCACGCGTGAGGATACTAAGATGGATATCTTATTAAAAGAACCAAAGCAAGTTTATTTATCTATGCCATGGCCATCCATTGTATCATCAACAGTCCAACCATCCAGCAATTCTGAAGTCAGCTTTGAGACTTTTTTCTTTTAGATAACTTATACACTAACCTTGCCCTATTGGCCAATAGGTTTGATCAAAGTAACCCCATACAAGAAAGTCATACAAAGAGTTGCGTTTCAACTGGATCATGCATGAATTATTCATTTACGTCTGTCAGCCTTCACCCAGTACGATCTTTGTGTGAGAACAAAAATCCTTCACAACGCGACCAAAACCCTCACGCATTCCATTACTGCTTGCAAAACATGGATGAGCAGCATGGTCACACAAAACAAAACAAAAAAACAAAAATAAAAGCTACTTTCAGATAGGGATGTTGAAAGGAATTTTGTCGACCTACTTATTTACTATTGAAGTAGCGCGTCCTCTCGTGACTTATCCCCCACATCCGTACAATATCATATTTATTAATACCGAGTTTTCCGCAGTTCAACAGAACAATCCTTTTTTTTTTTTTTTTTTTTTTTTTTTTTGTGATGGACGAAAAGCTCGCCGCTCCAAGCGGTGTGTGTTTTTTTTATCAATAGATAGGAAGGCGTTGAATTTGTCATCAATTCATTACAGAGTTATAAGGAAAGTCACGATGGGAGCGCCGACTAATGGCTCTTGGTTCACCAAGTACTTCATTCTTAGTTGACAAGCAATCGCAGTCGGGGTTTTTTTTTTTTTTTTTTTTTTTTTTTGCAACGTTAACCATTATTTTACTTATATAAGGTTTTTGAACTGCATGGTTGCATTCATCGAGACCTTTGAAAAGCAATAAAGGTATAGTCCTACGTGATTACTGAACACCTATGAAAAGAAAGAGGTTTCAATCGCGTCGCAAGTCCAGGTTGGCATATCGCTGCCAACGATCCTTGTCCTTCATCAACTTCGAATTTTGGAGTGTAAGCTGCCGAATCATTTGCCGAAGACTAGTGTTCTCTTCCGTCAACTGACCGATAATTCCCGTTGCTCTGGCAAGCTGCTCACGTTCCCAAGCAAGACCGGCACATGATGGAACAGATGATGGTTTTGAATGATTAGTTCCAGATGGGATAATGGTACGAGTGATTTTAGGCTGTTGCCGATGTGCTTTTGAGCCATTGCTTCTTTGACTACAAAGGGATCGATTCTCTTTCTTGCCATGCGCAGTACTTCCCTGTTCAGTAACATTAGAGATGTTATGAAAGAAGCACAAAAAAAAAAAAAAAAAAAAAAAGTATTAGACATGCTTATTCTGTGATAAACATCTATGGTATTGGTAAGAGTAAGAGATAAATGCTTCTAGACTTAAGTACCTGACGTAAACCATGGCCGGCTGTTCTTACTGATGAAGTGGACGAGGGAGAAGACACTGACGAGGATGACGAGGACGATCTCCGTGAAGAATCCAATACGTCACCACTATTGCAAGGTTGTTCCATCATTAGGATATGTTCAAGTATTTGGTCCGCCCTCATCCAAAGTCCACAGTACGACCTTGGACACATTACCAGACGGTAATGGCACTGTTCCCGCCCGTGCTGTAGTGCATGCTGCACCTCCATCGTTTCTGAGCAGCCAAAGTCTTTGTGAGGACATTCTACTCGAATCTGAGAGATGAGATCTGACATCATATGAGCCTTCGGAAGCCGAGGCTGATATCGTACCAATGTGCGGTATTGATCCTGAGGTATTCTTTCATCCTCTCCTTGCTCATGTTCATGTGAAGAAGGACCCTGCTCATCCACCGAAAACCCAATCGAATTCGGATCTGGTATTGTAATTGAGTCACCATTGAGGCGTTCGTCAGTTCCTGTATTCCGGTCTCTATTCTCGCTTTGAGTATTTGTTGACTGCCGGTGCTCAGACGAGCCATCCTGTTGGTTCTGTATAGAGGACGTTGTATGTATAGTAGATTGTGGGGCCGGCTCTGCCTCTTGCGCCTCTACCGAAACAGGTAAAGGGAGGGGTAAAGGTGGAGGTGAAGTCATCGTGGTCCGCAGCGGCGTTGTCGTTTGAACCACATCATGCTCCTGATCCACTCCTACTGTCCCTGCCTCAGCAATAGGCGGCGCTCCCGCCAAGTCCGAAACTATAGTTGCTGACAGTGGATCATCTATAGCTGTGCTATCCTCAGGCGAACTTTCCGGCGCAGCTGCCCCAGAGGAAGCTATGGCCTGGCTTGAAGCCCCCTCAGCTGCAGATAATTCTTCTGAATTAGGCGTAGGTATCAAAGATGCGACTCTAGCAGCCTCAGCGAACCCATCATGCGCAGACTCTCGCTGCATATCGGTGGTTTCCATTGCCTCTTCTTCAGTGTCTTCCTCGTCATCATCGTTGTCATAGGGGCTGAGGCTGATACCTGCTGGAAATCGGCGCGGTGGAGGCCGCGCAGTTGATGGTGTGGGGATAGGGGAGTCAACCGGCGAAGGTCGCTCCGTAACACTGGATACGTCCTCCTCTGAGAGCAGAATGGAGTCTGAGCGTGCGCGTGCCAGAATATCAGCATCGATCTGCATATTAGCTATTGTAGTCACAGTACCCTCTGCTGTGACGATAGGAGTGTGGATATCAAGGTCTCGGATCAGAGGAGGAGTCATGGAAGATCCCATCTTCAGACCAAAACTTAATGAGCTATAGACATTGGGATCAAGGATAGCCTCAGAACTAGACCCTTGGTTGTTATCGGACGGTAAAGCCGTTGATGTGACAGATGACTTGCTTTGCCGCGGATCCTCGCCACTTTCGGTTGGCACGACAAAGCTAGACGAAGCCTGGTTATCATCCTCTGTATCAACACGCCCTTCGCTAGTTGACCCTAATATTGCCATCTTCTGACAATCAGAATGTCCCTCTTGTTCCTCGGCAATGTAGTCCATCCATGGTTGCTCCATGCATCGGCCGGACTCATTTTCAGCTAAACTTCCTGAAAGCTGTCTATCCTCAGCATCACCAAAACTACTGCCTCTTGTGTCCAGGACGGGCATTTGCAGGGAGAGTGAGTGGCGCTCCCATGGTGCTTGAGTGGATGAGCGCTGGGAAAATGGTGTGCCGGTCGAGGGATGGTTCTGAATACTCTGAGAGAACGTGGATGACGTTCGGTAAGAGACCGAGGATTCATTGGATGGGGATAACGAGACGTTGGGCGAATGAGAGTCAGATGACGAAGTCGAGTTTGATATAGAATCCGAGATGCTCGTATTACCTCGGTTTTCACCATGCAATGAAGATGTCAACGATCCCTGACCGCCGTCCAAATCCAATCTCAAGCTCGATGGCCTTTGCGTCCAAGCGCGCGTCCCTTGCTGAATAGCCTCTATGACACTGTTATTATCGCCGCTATCATCAGAAACCTCCTCTGTACCATTGCTCAACGACTCGAGATGGTTAACTTGACTTGGCTCTGCTCTAGTCCCCTGGGCATTCTGGAGCTGTGCTGGTCCTTGCTCAGAAACACTGCTCCCTTGGCCAATTTGTTGAGGCTGTGCTAATGTACTTTGGTTATCTTGGCTTTGACGACTGCTTGGCTGTGAGCTAGACGTACCTATTTGTAGCAGCGAGTGCCGAGGTTGGGGCTGTACAACACCTGCGGCACTCTCTTCAGCGCTGCTAAATTCCTGGCTGCTCAATGCGCTCTGAGCTGAGATCTGATGGCTCTGTAGCTGAGGACTGCTGTGAGGTTGAATTGAGGCGTCGGCGCCAGTCGTAGATAAGGATGAATCAGATTCACGCCTTCTAAACTCTTCCTGTTCTTCAATGATTGATGCGGCACGAGCAGTCAAGGATCGCAATAATTCTTCTTGGCTCTCCTGCTCAAGATACAGCCGACGGATTTGCTCCTGTTGGTCATTATATCTATCCTCTACAATGGCATGTGGGAACAATATGCTACCTTGTTCTGAGTGATTGCCAGTAATGGCAGAAGTAGCAGAAGCAGAAGCAGCGACTCGCAGGCGGTTTGCTTGCTGCTGTTGATACCGCATCCACTCACTTGGGCGACGTCCGATAACAGCAGCTGTGGGACTCTGTACCTCATCGTCATCATTTCGGTCGCGATTAGCATACCGCGATGCCTCATGTTCGGCTCCTGCGACAGATTGATTCATATCAAGGCGCTGTATCCTGTCAGGACGCCCATAGTTACTACGAGAAGGCAAATGATTGGCACTGCCACCGTTACTACTGTTCTGTCGACGATCTCTAAGCTCACCAACATGCTCCATCTCTACTTCTTCTAATTCCTCTTCTTCCTCACCAATAACCTCTTCTCGCCGTCTAGATACGCCATTCCGCATTAGTCTATCTGAGCGCGCTCGACGGCGCTCGACTCCTGAAACTGGTCTCTGATGATGTGTTAGTCCCCTACGCTGATGCCAACCTGATGACGGTGATAGTGGTACGGAAGTAGGTACGTCAGAGGAACTAGGTCGAGGGCTGACAGAAACGGGCACTTTGATCTGCTCTTCTACTCTATCCCATCCGTTGATATGCAGTCCAGTTCGGCACATTGGACATTTTGGCATATCCCGGCTTTCCAAAAGTACTGCAATTCGCTGCTGGGTCTGTTGTTGCTGAAGAAGTTGCTGCTGAGCAAGGGTCAAGTGGTTAAAACTGTCGTAAAAATTATTAAAAGCAGAAGTTCCAGGGCGGAATTGAGAGTCGCCCATCCTAGCCAACTCAGACATGAATTGCTGTTGAAATGACTGTGGTTGCGAAATATCGCTGTATCCTGCCATTGAACTCATTGTATCACTTGATACAATATCGCCTTCTGCCGGATACGCTCTCCTAAGTTCGTTCTGGAGCAGATCATCACTCAAGTTCATTCCGATCCAGAGCTGGATGCATTCCAGGCAGAAAACATGACAACAAGGCAAGAAATGGACAGGGTTCTCATAAGGCAGTGTGCAAATAGCACATAATAAATGCGAAGGTACAGCCTCCACGGGATAAAGTGTTACTGTACGAGCTGATGTTAAACTTGGAGAGGAAGTCGAGGATGAAGAACACAACCCTATGGAAGCAGGGGTTGATTTGTTTGGTCCTTGGACGGCTGCTACTGCTGGAACTGGTGATAATAAGAACCGTGTGTTCTGATCCAAAAGCATGGGTGTTTCTGCTGGATGGTCTTCTGCTGATGCAGCTCTTAGTCGTGTGTTTTCTGTGGAAGCCCGTTCCTGGGTCCATATCGTGGCCATGGAGAACTGTGACTATCGTTTCAACAAGAGCTCAAATAGCTAAGGGCGGGGTATGAACTGATATGTTACCAAGCTGGTACGCATCGACCTTTATTGCACAAAAAAGATCATCTTACCAACAAAATCACTAACAGTATGTACCTTGTGTGACAGAGTAATTAAATGAGGGGCAAAAAAAAAAAAAAAGAAGAGTGACCGTAACGATTTGAATTGGTAATGAAGGATGATGTTGATTCATGTAGATTGGGGGTTTAGCAACCACGAAGTTAACAGGGTCTACAAGTGCATGAAATAAAAAGATTGAGAGCAGACAGAAAAAGAATGTTCAAAGTGCATGAGGCATCCTGCCACTGATTCTTTGAAATGTGAACACAAAGGTGACAACGGTACACCAAGTGTTAGTATATTAGAAAGCGTTCAGGAGGGGTGAATCGAATAGCAAAACAACAAAGGGGGGGAATCGAATAGCGAAACAAAGAGAAACTGAAAAAAAAAAAAAAAAAAAAAAAAAGTATGAATATATAAAGAAATGACAAAGAAAAGAAGGAAAGGAAACAAGAAGGGGAAAAAAGAGTGCAACAATCAAGGACTACACACATCGCTCTTAAGATTACACTACTCGAATCATGACTGAGTAACTTTGTCGCCTTGACCAAAAGGCAAAAGAAGGGTTTTCGAGATGGACAGTCAAGGGTGCATTGTGGGACCTTGATTAGCATTGGCGTTGACAAAAATAGCGACAACAGCTCTGAGCATTCTTCAAAGGGGAGGAAATCATGGCAAAAAGAGAGCATTGGGATGGGGTGATCAAACAACTAGCACCAAAGTGCTCTAGATCCATATGCAAACACTGCGCGATGTCAAACATTACTTCTGCCTCGTCACAAAAAAGAAGATATCCTTTAAGGAACTGTCTCATAATTCGGTTTTTGTCCTTAATAAAATTTTTAATAATATAGTATTGCGATGTGTCCAGCCCAGAGTAAGAGTGAGGGATCTAATCGGTTTAGCTAAAGTTTTGTCAATTACGAGCATCATAAAAGAAGCAGTAGCCTAGACTGAGATGTCGTTGAAATAAGAGAAATTTCATGATTAAAAACAACACTTGCCATAAATAATCTTGGATGCTTTTACAACCTTTTATGATTATAAGGCTTCTAGAACAATAATTATTCTGCCATGTATCAAGAATGTTCTACATGGTCCCTCAGATTGATTGTAAATGTCATCTAACGTGTGCAATAGACAGAAGAGAAGTAAAATAAAATAAGAACGACTTACGAGTAATTAAGACCTATTCTTCCTCTCTACACTAGTACCCATGTGTGTCAATAAACTATCTTTCCCATTATTGTCTCTCGCAGAATTAAACACAAGTGAATGTCAATTGGATAAAGTGTTTGCTGCAACAAGAAGGATTAGATGGACCAACAAACCTTGAGAAGGGAAAGACAGAAAAGAAGGAGAGGACTTGAAGAAAGATGCAGAAAATAAACTGACTGTGCCTATTAAGGGCTGTATTTCAAAGCCAATGCCGAAGGAACGCCACCAATCCCGTCAGGGTGCCATGCAAGTGTCGAAAAATTCAGAGATCCTAATGGAGGCCTTAGCATGCAATCACTAGCACGTAAGCAGAGGTGTGTCGATATATAAATGAATCTTTCCAGTGTACCATTTCGGTTTCTCAGCTCAAGCTTATCATATCAAGCCTTGTGTAAAAATAATGTATCGAGTAGGTCAGAATACCAGCAGTGCTACCATGTGCCATAGTGGTGACCTCATATGTGCGACAAAAGCCAATAGTTTGTAGTTCTATTTGATGTCTATGCTGGTAGGATGTTGCTAGCATATTGATCAGGATCTGGCCAACTCATGAATTGATGGAATACGGATCTCTAAAGAGGCAGATTCGCCTCGCTGAGTTGTCAAAGGACATGGTCACATCCAATTTCCGCTACCAACTTACAAAAAAGTAGCTTGATTATCCACGTCTGGGTAAAAGACCCTCTCCAATGTCCTTCACTAATGGGTAAAATAGAGTATTAAAGGTTCCTCCTTTACATGAGGCCATTGAGTACTTTAGACTTTCTTTATGTATATCTGCCCTATCGTGTTTTCGAGGAATCTCAATATCATCGTATACAATAACCGAAAGTGTCCGGTTTCATACGCACAACAAGAATCTCCATATGCTTCAGTTCTAATCATATTCCAACAATAGCTGCAATTAGAAATTCACGATTGCAAGCGAAATTCTTGAAACTAATATGGTTCTTCTGCAGACCGACGTATCATCACAAAAACGACGTCTATACCTATCTTGCATTTCACAACAAAGTTTGGATGATGTGAAGTTACATCTCATGGAATTGGATGTCCAGGTTGATGTATTTCGTTTAAAAAGAATGTGTAAGCAGCTGGTGATATGCTATCTACTTTCAAGAGCCATTTAACCAAGAGCATATAGAACCACTTTGTCTTCCGCCAACTGATGCGAGGGGCGACAGCGAGAGCGCAAAAACTTAATTGAATGTTGTGTAAATTCGAGTTGACTAAAGTTGTAAATGCATGGACTGCAGATTCTCTTGTGCAAAGCAAGAGAGCTGCAGAGTAGATGGGGAGATAAATTTCAAACTTTAAACTTCCAGAATGCTCAACCGACTATGGAAATGAAAAAGTATATCTGGATATGTATAATACATGAATAATATATGAATATGTATATATATATAATTAATGCTGACCCATTGGTATATATATATATATATATATATATTATAATTCAGAGGGGGTGGCCCGGGCAACAAGGTGTCCGATCGAAATCAATTGGCTGATGATACCAGCACCACTACATTGCATTATTGAGACGACATAGTGAATAAGTGAGCCTGGAAGTAATGTATATTGAACTGTGGTAGTCAGTGCAAAGAGTATGAAGGTGGAAATAGGTGCTAAGAAGGAATAGCCTAGTGGACAATATATACTTCTTATCGAGTAATAGAAACACCAGTAGGGGTCTTTGTTAAACGCAACAGAGCCAGAAACAGCTGCCGTAATGTATTAACCCCCGATGGGTGCAGATGGGTATGGCCAGGGGTCCTTACCCATGAAAATCCAGAAGACAGTTTTCTTTCGCGGACTTTTTTGTTGGAACACAGATGTTTAAAATAAAAATACATCTTGCCGTTACAATGCACAATGCACAACGCACATTCGACATTCATACAATGCAATGATTAATGGCCTAGAGACATTGTCTCATAATATTGAGTTAATTATGAAAACCGGGCCATTTTGCGACAACTCTTCGTTCTTCCTTCCTTCCTTCCTTCCTCCCTCCCTTCCTCCCTAACCTCTCTCACTCTTTTTTCGTTCACTCTGAAATACTCATCTCTTGCATTTGTCTCTCTTCTCAGCTCATCATGCCGCCATTGCAGTGCTCATCTACTTTTGATCTTGCAGCACCTATCCCTTTTGCTGATCATTCGTCATCATTTGATACCTTGTTCAATGCCGATCCATTCACTACAAATTCCGTTCAGCAACACCCTTCTCACTATCAGTATACCGACATAGAATACCTTCCCTCTGAAGCCGATATCAACGCTCTCTTTGGGTTGCCACCATCACATTCTTCTGCTCAAAATACACAGAAACAAATAGCATATACAACTTCGACAACAGCGTCTATTTCTCCTCCTACTCATTACACATCCTTAACTGAACAGGATGTGAATTTATCATCATCGGTGCCTGTAGCTCCTGCTTGTGATCAAAGGCCTTCACCCGTTTCTTTATCGGCGCGATCTTCTCTCGCACCAAACAAATGTCAACAGAGTGCAATGTCAAAAGAGTCATTTCGGACGCAAGATGCACATAACGCAGGGTTCCAGTATCAGTTGCAAACCTCACAGGATTACCAACAGCAACAGCAACAGCAGCAACAGTATACCCCTTGCCAGCATTACAGTTCAGATCGGTATAATGCCACTAGCTATAGCACGGCGAGCATCCCCAATATGGGTCCATATGGAGACATGCAACACGGGTCATCAACTGTACCGACATCCACAAATCCTCTGGTGCTCAACCCGCCCTCAAGTTCATTCTTTGCACGGCTTGGAGCAAGAGACGGAGCCTCACCATTGTATTCAACTGGTAATCAGAGTACATTTACTCCCAAGCTGGCCAAAGCCGCTGCGAGCTGTGTATCGAACACTTTAGCGGTGACATCAACATTTGCAAGCAAAAAGCTTGCAAATGCGTCACATAAAATAGCTGATCTTTGGCAGCATAACCAGAATGTCCTCCCTCAACAACAACCCAATAGCTATCAACAGCAGCAACACGCACCGGACAGCTTGTACAACCACGGCAATTATTACACCACTGAGGATGCAACAAATTCAACTAAAAATAGTGGGCCAAATGGGTCTTGCTTTAATAACAACAATTATTTGAATAATGTTAATGCAAGCACGTATTCATATGATAGAGTGGCGCTCAACATAAACCATAACAGCAACAACGTTCATCAACAATCCTCTCAAGGCGAAAACGCCTATGGTGACCATGACACTAGCAATCCATTTGCCGCTTCTACAACCTCCACACTCTCTAATGCAGTGTCAGTTGCGAGCTCCTATCTACCAAGTCTCTCCAAATTGCCAACGTTGTCAGCTCTACCAGCGCTCCCGTGGTCCAATCGCAGCAAGGACCAGCAGTTACCACATCAACAGACATACCAGCAAGGATATTCTTCAGATAATTACTATAGCTCCTATGATGACTCGCGATCGCAGGAGACACAGGCCTATTCATCTCAGGGGCATCAACAAGAACAACAGCGACCCTATCTAGATCAGCACGTCGAGCCCAATAACCATTGCTCTTCTACTAGCAGTATTCTGGCTAGCACAGGCGCTTTATGGGGTGGACTCCGTAGTGAGATGCAAAAAGGACGACAGATGGTAGAGACTGGAGTGCAAGCAGGCGTGGCCTGGTGGTGGGATCATGATGTAAAGAACCCATTGCGAAATGTGGTGTAGGCACGGCGAGTTACGATTTTCTCATGACCTTACGCTTAATTATCTCGACATTATAACGATAGTAACAATAATAGTGGCATAATAATTTTAATAACTATAATAATATTTAGCATCCAACACTTTGAACTCGCTTGTGAATTTAGTCAAACGCATTGATTGCTGTTTAGATTGAGCCTGGCCATCAGAAATAAAAGTGGCAAAGCAGGTCCTAAAAAAAAAAGGGACCGTGACAACACTGAGGTCATTAGTGATGATGCATTTTTTTTTTCTTTCTCTTTCCAACCTTTTTCACCTTGACAATAAACTGTAAAGCCTCTTTTCCAACCTTTTACCAGTGCACTCCGATATAACAGCTTTATTACGATGATCAACGATGCAAACAACATTGTTCTGGCAGTGGTAATGGCTCTCACCAGCTAATCAACACTTTTCGCGATATACTTATATGTATCTTTTGACTTTCGTTGAAGAGGTATCATTTTTCACTATATTTAAACTCCCCTCTTCCTTTGGTACTTGCTGTTACATTCATCGGCATGACAATTAGATGGGTGCAGTTGGAAATGGTAAATCATCTACATTAAACTCCATTATTCAAGAGCCCCTTTTCCAGTCAGGACGATCTATTGGTGTAAGTCTCTAGATTTTCACTCAAAAACACTTGTGTCAGCGCCTTCTGGACGGGGGAGAATTTCTCCGCACTCGTAACGGGCGTAATGGATGAAGAGAGACAGACTAGTAGGCTGTAAAAGTTATAAAGCTGTCACTATATCATCCCTTCACGATGCCCTGACTGCCTTGCAGGCAATGACTTACAAAGTATTTCTAACCCATGTAGCAATTGTCTCATTTATATGACTCTCTGTTTTATGTGCCAATAGCCTGTTACGCAGCGAATCGGCAGCTGCGTCCGCCATTGGAAACTGCCTGAGGTTGGACGCACTGTTCATATCGTAGATACGTGAGTTTTTTTTTTCTACAAGGGCGTTGATATTCTGTGCTCATTGAACGTCATGGATAAACAGCGTCGAAAACCAGCTTTCAAACATCGAAAACGACTTGTATCCTTGTATCTCTGGTATCGAGACAGGAATCAGTAAAGCTCATTCTCAATAGAGTCTAAACACAGTGGCAGAAATATGAGTGATGAAATAAGGAATGAAAAAAAAAAAAAAAAAAAAAAAAAAAAAGCAATCTGGCTCGGGATAATTGCAAAGGAAGAGATCTACAAGCCGCATTCTCTATCTATTTTCCGAGATGAAGGCTTGACAGCGAGCTGATTCCCTTACTACTTTATACGCGCTCTAGGCCTGGCATGTGCGATTCAACTTATAAAGACGTAGAGAACGTTCATCTGATGGTCGAGTTTTTCAAGACTTTGTCACATGGTGTTAGTGCATTTGTACTTGTATTCAATATTCATAATACTAGGTAAAGTGGTCTTTTTTCTTATCAGCTGTGTATACTTCAAGAAGGAAGCAGGATAGAGCATAGAAAAAAGCCACTAACCTGATGGTGAATACCTGATGCTTATATAGGCTGGATGAATACACAAAAAACATGCTGAGATTATTTGAAAGACTACTAGGACCGCAGTTCTGGAAGCATGTGGTCATTGTCTTTACTCATGTTGACGAGGATCAAAGAGATTATTTAGAAGACAACATTGATGCATTGACAGATCCAGTGGATGGGTTTGTAAAGGTGATCAACCAATGGTTCCATCTCCAGTATCAGCCGCCTTTGGTCTTCCTCTCCAACCGCGATACACGGTACAGCCAATACGCACGCGAATGCTTTATGGAGTTGTATGAGGCAGTTCTGTCGGTAGAAAATGGTTCGCGTAGAGAGAAATTCACTTGCACATTTTTTCAAGAGGTCAACAACCGTACCGGAATTATACAAGACAACTATATTGTCCAAAGCATCCGAACTGCAGCAGCAGCCATTCCTCAGATGGTACAATCTGGCACAAGGGCTGTTGCCAATGTATGCAGTGTAATGTGAGGCTATGGGCGGAAACTTTTAATACAGATTTCATTTATATAAACATGCATAAAGCAATGCTTCCTACGCCGTGTTTGCCATGTTTGAATTTATGATTGCGCTTTTTGTAAATTTGAGAGCTACAAAGCCAACTGCACTAACGTGCGCCTTCCATCATCTTGACATTCTATTTGTCCATTTTGTGTGACAAGGGAAAAGAAAAAGGCAGGGGGGGAAAGGTATAAATCAGATAAATATTTGAATGTTGGAATGCACTAAGGATGAACGAGTTTGTCTTTGTTGTCCGCAAAAAAAATTTTTTTTTTCAACCATTTTTCAAACTTTATTTTTAGAAGTCGACACGGGAGGGATGAATTGAATACCAGTAAACATAACGGTCAGTCAACCAGTCCCAGGCATTCTGAGTTCTTACCAGAAATCTATAATACAGCATAAATATACAAACCTTTACACACATTTCTTTAATGTCAACAAAAAAAAAAAAAAAAAAAAAAAAAAATCAGTTGCGGTGTATTTTGAGAATTGGATCGTTTAAGGTTTGAGGGACAGGTATCCTTTCTCCTCTTTTACTCACCTCCCCCTTTCATCCTCTTTATTCTTTCACTCCTCCTTGTTCCTGCCAGTGTTTTTCGTCTACTCCATCTTCCAGAACCCTCATTCTTACACAGCCTTTCAATTTCTCGCCACGCTTACTCTCTGTTTCGCCAGTTATCACCATGGAAAATGGTAAAAACCTTTTCCCACCATCGGCGCTATTTGCTGCTCCATCGTCCTTGTGGCCCAATTCTGTAAACTCGAATCCTTCAGAGTCGAGCTCTACTTCGTTCAATGCTCATCAATCAGATGAATATTCTGGCTTGTCTTTTGCAGCTTGGAGACGCAACTACAGTAGACAAAACCCAAGTCCCGACTATAGTTCCCAGGAAGAAAGGCGTGAAGATCCGGGCGACGATGATGACTCCGAAAAGATCCATGGAGGCGTATCACCATCCAGCTTCTTGTTGCCTGTTTCCAGCAAAGATCGTTTTCCATCCGGACATGACAAAAGAAATGGTATCACAAGTAATAAAATGACGAGGACTGTCATCTCCATTCGGATTCTGGTGATCGTAATCCTTATTTCACTATTTTCATGGTTCTACTTGGAGGCTCTGGCTGGAGGCGATATCGAATGGGTCAAGAATCATCTATCTATACTGGGGACAAACTTGATCCTTTCGGTGCTCTGTCTAACCACGGCATTAACCATGATTGTATTAACACCTATGACTCGAGCCTTTACGATCTGTCTCTGTTCTGGTGTGGGCGTGATCCTGTATGCATTAAAGAGATGGGATGATGGGGAATCATTTGAGGCGCATGGAGCCTACAACATGCTGGTCTTTCTTGTTATTGCTGTGCCCTTGAATGGATTGATTCAGTCAATCTTATTCTGTCAACGCAAGATGCCTCCACGTAAATTTCGTCGATTCATGACCCTGAGTGTAATGGGTACGACCCTTCTGACGACCCTCTTATTAACATACTATCATTCTATATGGGGTATGGGTGCTAATGGAGCGCATTTGTTACATGGAAAGTTGAATGGGACACAGCTTTGTGAGTGGCAAGGGATAAATATCCCAGCGGTCGATCTTTTGCCCAACCATATTCAGAACTTTTGGACAGGAAAGCTTTACTGCCCAGTCGTGACAGGCATCGAAGCAGAATGGACCCATGAAGGCCTTCTGACTATCAACTGTCTTAACAAAGAATTCAAGGTCTCAGGGGCATCGCCTACATATGATATCTTGCCTGATACTAAGCCATGGCCAGCTTCGGATAAGATAATGCACACTTATAACAAAAAGATCGTAGAGCGAACTCAACGGCACACGTACAACGAGCCAGTATTTGTCAATGACAAAGGTGTAGAGGCGATTGTTGCTAACTGTGAGACAGATGTCTCTAAAGTCCTTATTCGGCTTGTCCGTGATCAGGTTGTCTTAGACAGAGTCAGAACAGCTGAGAAGACTGGACAGGGACAGGAAGAAGCTACTATTTCGGAACAAGAACAGGAGCATGAGTTTACTGGCGCACTGAAGGATGATGGCATGAAAGATGACAAAGAGCTAGAGAGAAGACCCAACGTCTTGGTCTTGTTCTTGGATGCTGTGTCTAGGAGAAATTTCTATCGCAAGATGGCCAAAACTGCCTCTGTAATAGCTAGCTTGGACAAAACCACTCAAGGTGGACCTCAACTACACGAGTTCTTCCGCTATCATGCTGTTGGTTTCAATACTGATGCCAATTCACGTGTAGTTTATACCAACTATCCAGAACCCCAGAGTCCTCCTGCGCCTCCCATTTGGAAGGATTTCCATGAGGCTGGATACATCACATCAAGAGTGGAGGACAACTGCGAGGATTGGTCAACACAATACACAGGAGTTGAAACGTCAAAATACTTTGATCACGAGTTACAGGCCCCTTTCTGTCTCCCACCTTACTATGCTCTGGAAGGGAACCCATTCTCGAACTTTGAAGGACCTTATTCGATCGTGAGCAGATGTCTTCATGGCACCAATGTTCACAATCATGCACTCGAATACATGAATCAGTTTCGACGCGCTTATCCAGACCAGCCTTGGTTTCAAATGGGATCCTTTATTGAGGGGCATGAAGGAACTGGAGAAGTCTTGTTGACACTAGATGGAGATATGGCCAGGTTCTTTAAAGGTATATATACATATATATATATTTTTTTTTAAAAAAAAAAAAAAAAAAAAAAAAAAAAAAAAAAAAAAAAGCGAACAGGGGCTATGCTATCATTTTTATCATTTTTATCTAAATAAGCTGCATATCATCTTTATTCACTATCTAGGAATGGAAAAGGATGGCACTCTTGATAATACAATTATCTTTATGATGGCGGATCACGGACTTCACATGGGTATCAACTTTATGTTCACTACGAATGGGCGTATAGAACACATGTAAGGGGTTTTTTTATTTTTTTTTTATTTACTTTTTCTTATAGCGACGAAGAGTAGTGGGCTAATGTTATATTTGATTTTTAACGATGTTCATTGCCTGAATACCTGAAGGAATCCATATTTGTCTGTCATTTTACCACCATCAATTACTCAAAAATACCCAAGTCTCGCGAAGGGGCTAATGCATAACCAACAGTCACTCATTACAGGATACGAAATCCACGCAACCCTCAAGATGCTCGCGTCAGGAAAGATGCCAAAACATGGAGATGAAGACGGTGTTGATGGAGGTAACTGGAGGAAAGGAACACTTTTTGATGAAGAATTGGATCCAGGTCGCACATGTGAGCAAGCGAGAGTCCCTGAAGAGTATTGCTCTTGCCGTGCTAACTAAAAGAGAAAAAAACATCGAGCCTAGAAATACATCATTGATGAACATGTATAATATCATATAGCATAATTAAATAAACGGTAAAGTTGCTAATATGGGAGAGAGAACCCCCAAAGCAGATCAGATTGAAGCTCTTCCTTCTAGGCCATTTTTGTTTATACCATAATAAAAATTTACAGGATATCGGTGCCTTTGAACTATGAAGCTCGTGCTTGAGATATAAAGGCACCAGACACGCCTTGAAACTAGTAGCCATCGTTGATTATAATGAAAGCTCTACGACACGGAAAAATATTGCAGAAGCACAGAGTCCAACCAAAAAGACACCAAAGCTGCTGGAAACTAACAGCCCCCATGAGGTTTCTGATAACCCATTGACCGTAGGCGCTCTCATTTAAGGAGATGTCCTTGATCAAAAAAAAAAAAAAAAAAAAGTCTGGAAGCAAAACTGCGTACGTTATTTCATGAGTATTCAAAAACTCATTCTTCTTTATTGAGTCGTAGCCTGATGGATGGATTCATGGATCTTTAAATACTTGGCACCCCCAAAATGACTTCTTTTGTAGATAGATCTACATTTCCTTCTCAGGCTATGACCATCTAGCGTGTTTATTATACTAGCAAGGATTGTCGTTTTTGTTTTAACCATTATTATGGTGGAATGACAAAGGGTATTCTCGAAGTTATTTGGCCATTTAAAAAGAAAAGAAAAAAAAAAAAAAAAAAAAAAAAAAAGAGAGAGTGGATCTGTATTTTCAGGTCAGCAACGCTTGGATATCCAGTAAGTTAAGAGGAAGATTGCGCTTATCGTAGGTCGGAGTGCTTTTGACATGATCGTGAGCCATGCCATGTCTGTTCTGCGTATCCAGGGGCTACGTAGGTTTTATCCGTCAAAGATCTTTAATTAAGAGCATACACTTGAAGTGAGTTTGGAGAGCCAACTTAAACAAAGGGGTCAGCCCTTTCTGTGCCGCCATTGGCCTGCCCAGAAATCATCACGAGGGGACAAAGATGTCACTATTTGTGATGGGGGACGGGCAGTCCAGTTCCTAAAACTTCCTTCTCCTGCATCAACGTTTCCTGGTCAACTTGAAATAATACACTATATATTTAAGCTACTGCCCATTACAGACGGTGTTGAGTGTTCCACTGCAAGGTGGAACGCCAGTTGGTTGGACGTGCTCTACAATGTTCTACTTGTAGGAAACAAGACCGAACAAGACCATAATCACTCGGGCTGATATGTCTGGTCAGTGGGATAAGTTGGCTGGCCACGTTATAGTGAGTCAAGTTCTTTGGCGTAGGCTCCAGTCTCGTAATTGTATTATTAGCCGTAATAATTAGCCAGTTGTAAGGTGGAATAGATTGAGTGGCGCCAGGAGGGCTGCCTTTTTTGGTTTGGTTCATCATAAAGGAAAATACATATTATATATATAAATATGGTATTGCATCTGATAACACATTTGCTTATTTGCAATTGTTTACAGATTGAACCCTAATGGTTGATCTGTTCAGGTGCGCAATCTGACACCAACCCCGAGTCACTCCAACATGTCACAGGCAGCTGAACAAAAAAAAAAAAACAACATCAGATAATGATCGAGAGCAGTCCCATCTGATAACTTTCTTCCATACCATGCGGGAGATACAGGATTGCGGAGAAAGTGGCGTTTGTATTTCCATGCTTTTGTTGTTATTCTTTCATCTTGATTTTTATCCCAGCTAGAAGCATCGATAAAAACGATTAACCGACAAAAATGAGTAAGCGGACTGAGGATGAATGGGTCAACAATAATTAAAGTAATAGAAAAAAGAAAGCCCCAGATCCTCAATTGTTTTTGATTTTCTCCTCTTTCTTTCTTTTCTTACCTTGTGCACATTATTCAACCATTCTATCTCCCTTTTCTACTTCGTCAAAAAAGTCATCTTATATCGTATTATCCATAACATTCTTTGTTCCCTGGTCCCTATTTTGCTCCTTACTACCGTCCTGGTGGACTACTTACTCTATTTTATTCACGCCACTTCATACATTGATACACTTTCGAAGCTCTTTGTTATAAAACAAAGGCAAAGGAGCAATAGGAATATACTCAACTCCAGGTAGATATGTCACTGCAAATCAAGCTCATTGTTGATATGGTTTCAAATAAAGCCCTTCCCTTCCGTTTCTCAACCTCGAAGGAAAAAAAAAAAAAAAATGGAAAGATTTGATAGTGATGGGATATGACGAAGCAGAGGCCAACTGTTAGGATAAATACTATTAGGATTGCGGAAGAAGAATGGTTGTGAAAGAAACTATGGATCTAATGGGTGCAGAAGACGAGATGCTGGATGGGAGGACGAGCTTACGGGAAGGAACGAAGAAGAGAAAAAAGCGGGCCGTATTTGTTTATTTGTTTTGTTTGTTTGTTGTGAAAGAGAACGTGGGGGTGATAGTGCTCATGCACACTGTGATAGATGAAGGGACGGTTTTGAAAAGAAAAAAAGATAATCAAATCAGATCCTCATAAGGTGGAGAAGGGGCAAAGTGTGCATGTACACATGCTCATTATGACAATGCAGCAAGATAGAGATTATTTCTCTTGGCAGCCTATTTCCGCATGAAATGCAAATCAAAGCTTTCTAAAACCTGCTGGATTATGAAGAAGGTTGATTTCCTATTGAGCGAGGATTTTCTATCGATCGCTCCGTATTTTGTCATCGTCGGGATCAAAAAATGAGCTGCCTAAAATGTCCGTCGTACAAGGGTGTAAATAGAGTCACCTTCCAGGTTGCTCATATGGCAATTTTTTTGTTTATTTGGAAGTGAAAGAGAACTGAGGCGTTTGCATTTGTCGTTATCAGATAAGGCCTTCACTTTTCACTTTTTCTTTCCTTTACCCGCCTTTTCTCTCTCACTCTCTCCGTTCGCTTGCCTTTTTCTTTTCTTCTCACCTTTTTTTGACCAACTCTTCACCTCTCCTACTGTAGATACCCCTTTTTGGTTCTTTCTCGTAATTCTGTCTTTCCTTCATATCTCATATTACAAGAATGACTCACGCCGACGTTGAATATGATTACGAGGCTCTGCCTGAGAACTCCTCCGTCACTGCAAGTCTTATGGCTGGCGCTCTTGCTGGCATTGCAGAGCATGCTGTTATGTACCCTGTCGACTCGATCAAGGTAAAAAAACAATCTTTGCAACTTTTACTAAATCCCTTTTGCACGCTTGGACTGTATCGGCTATATTCGTCAACTGGGATCCGCAGCCGCATACATATGAGCTAGGGGTATTGCAATAATGTATTTGCCAACTCTTCATTCTATCCCAAGCTCAATGTTGATGAAAACGGCAGGTACATGGAAAGACTGGGAACAAGATTAGAAATTAGTTCAGATCAGAGTTCAGGAATGACAAGATTGGTGAATCAGCAGGATTTGACAGCTATTGATTCCAACTCATGAATCATTCTGAACAAATGTCAAACTTGATTAGCAATGACGTTGTATCCAGGGCTTGTACCATTTTTGTCATGTCTGATCATCCCGCTGATTATTTCTTACTCGCAACCTCTCATTCACAATGATATTCTCTAGACTCGTATGCAGATTCTACAGCCTACACCTCAGGCTGTTTACAGTGGTGTCATTAACGCTGCTTCAAGGATTTCTACGACTGAAGGTGCCCGGACTCTTTGGAGGGGAGTCAACTCTGTGATCTTAGGTGCGGGCCCTGCTCATGCTCTTTATTTCGCTACATATGAGTCTGCTAAAGAGTCCTTTGGCGGAAATGCAGCTGGACATCATCTTTTTGCAGCAGGTAAGCTATTCGTGACTCTGGGAGTCATTTGTTTTATGCATCTTGACATTGTTTGGAAATGACACCAACTCGGGCCAATAATCTAGTCCAAGAGATTGAGAGGATAAGGTGCATGAGGCAAGGTGTACAGATCGAAAATCAGTTCTAGCAAGTGTTTGTTAAAAAAAAAAAAAAAAAAAAAAATAAGGCACGGGAAGGGAGGGAACGGGAGACACTTTTTTTGTGCTCTAGTTTTCTTAAAACGCAGAAATCTTCCATCCTCCAAACACTTTAAGAAGCAAATATTTATTGTTTCCACCTTTTTTTTTATATTTCCGACTTTTAACCTTAGCTGCTGCTGGTGCATGTGCGACCACTGCTCACGATGCTCTGATGAATCCATTTGACGTGATTAAACAGAGAATGCAGGTCCACGGGTCTGTATACAGGAGTGTCCTTGACTGTGCAAGTAAGGTTTATCGGACCGAGGGCTTGCGTGCCTTCTATATCTCATATCCTACAACCTTGACCATGACTATCCCCTTTCAATCGATTCAATTTGCTACCTATGAATATCTGCGTAAGATCCTCAACCCTTCAGGAGGCTACGACCCCATGACTCATATCATGGCTGGAGGTGTTGCTGGCGCTGTTGCCGCTGCTGCCACCACTCCGCTTGATGTCGCCAAGACTTTGCTTCAGACTCGTGGAGAATCCCGAGATCTGAGGATAAGGAATTGCAATGGCCTCTTTGAGGCTTGGAGGTTGATTTACCAACGTCAAGGTCTTGCTGGATTTGCCAAGGGTCTCCAACCCCGTGTACTAAGCCATATGCCCTCGACAGCAATTTGCTGGAGTGTGTACGAATATGGAAAGTTTTTGCTCAGACGTGACAGTTTGGACAAGCAACCCATCATGGCCTAGTTGCTCTTATCAATTTCTTTTTTATATTTTTTTTGTAAAGTGTTTTCTTTATCTTTCCCATCAAAACATTGCTTCCCTCCAACCCACTTGTACGATAGGTTTTCTTTAATTGTTTGTATTGCACATATAAAAAAAAAATTAAGGATACGTAATAGAATTTTGCATTGTCGCATTTTGTGTTCTGTTAGTTTTTTTTTTTTTTTTTTTTTTTTTTTGGCTTGGTCATTTCTTTCATTCAGCCAATAGCTGAGATCGTGAGCTCGCATCCATCCATCTCTCAGCTCCACTCTCGACCTCATCGATCATGATGGACAATTCCTCGACTCTACACTTGGCTCTGCCAGCTGTGTATACCGTAGCTAGTGCCACAGCCCCTGTCTCGACGTTGGCTCAACCTAGAGCTTTTTCCACCAGCGTCAATCCCTTGGTGTTCTTCAGCATTCTCGATCACTACTTGCGTCGCAACGCTGATCAGGATAGAGTCATCGGTACCCTCTTGGGTGTTCGCAGTGAGGATGGATCTGAAGTCGAGATTAAAGGATGCTACCCTGTTCCTCATCTAGAGACTCAGGACCAAGTAAGAAACAGAAACATTGCAAACCATTTCATGCTTTCCCTTATTTTATTTTTATTTCTTGTATATTGTAGTGTATCAGTGCAGTTGTTATTCTATTCCTTACAGGAGTAATGGTGATCCTGTAGAGGTTGTCTGAAGTTGTAAAATAGCTGAATACGATCTGTACAATCAGTGGAGAAATGGGTATCAATATTTATTTGTGGGCCATCCATGCTGTTTTGTTAGGTTGAAGTCGATATGGAGTACCACCGTACCATGTTTGATCTTCACAAGCAAGTCAACTCTAAGGAAGTTATTGTTGGATGGTAAGCTTCCATGATGCTGCAGTTGGACGGGCGATATACAAATGTGATTCATAGGACGAGGATCAAAGTTTTGAAATCTGCTAACTCAATTGGCTTGGATCGGTGGCGTTCATCATCATGGATAATGCAGGTATGCCACCGGCGCGGACCTCAACTCGTATTCAGCCTTGATCCATGATTTTTATCAAAAAGAGGTCTCATCCTTCCCAGCTGTTCATCTCACCATGGACACCGCCTTGACCAACGAGCGTTTGGGCGTCAAGACATATATCTCGGCCCCTGTTGGTATTACTTCTAAGGCCGATAATTGCATGTTTATCCCTATTCCTTGTGATGTCAAGTACTTCAAGGCTGAAAGAGCTGGACGTAAGTAGCCTAGTTACTTTCTAGTCTTTTGGAACCTGTTTCGAAAATACTATGGTGGACTGACAGGTTCTTTTTTATTTTTTTTTAAAAAAAAATCTCGCAATGTTAGTCGAACTTCTTGCTAGTGCCAAGGAGACAGAAGATGGATCAACTACGTTGTTGTCTGACATGGATAACTTGGAGCGTGCTATTATCGAAGTTCAAAAGATGCTGGAGCGCGTGTCTGAATACGTGGATGCTGTCCTTGCAGGAACTAAACCCGCCAACAACACTGTCGGTCGTTATCTCATGGATACTGTCAGCGTCGTCCCCAAGGTTGATGCTGCCGAATTTGAAAAGATGTTTAACTCTCATCTTCAGGATTTGCTTATGGTTATCTACTTGGCCAACATGACAAGAACTCAATTGGCCGTTGCAAAGAGACTCGAGAAATTGTTGTAAAAAAAAAGAAAATAAGAAACACTATATGAAATATGAAATAAGATGAAAGGCGATAGGCGCAAGAGGAGTTTGATAGGAGTGAACGAGCGTAGAAAAGATAAAAAAAATGTAGACACATTCATAATATTAGCGATGCATTGGTGGCGAGATACACATGATGATATTCGAAAAAGAATGACCTCTCCAAAAAAACCGCTTCTTCAAAACGCCATGAGCGTATTAAGATTGTACAAAATGAGACTTTCCACCTCTTGATAGACGTGTTGGTACAGACTTGATTGAATGACAGCACACTTTACTCGTGTTATGTACAATGAGTAGTCTTGCTTTACAAAAAAATATGTAAAAGGATTGTTATAGCACAGGCAATTTTCTTGATGGTCGTGATAACCCTTGAGATAGCGATTCCTCCCCTCCTAATAAGTTACAAGAAGAATAAGAGTAACATTTACATCGTTGCTATATCTCTTTTACAGCGTATGTGCATCCAGTATATTGTGCAAGCCAGTCGAATATTACCGGGATGGAGAAGAGCTCTAAGGATTCAGATTTAAGCTCAAAACGAGACTATACATGTGGTTCTAAGATATAAATGCAAATCATTTCCTGAGAACGAGCTCATTCTGTCAGACAAAAGTTGTTCTATCAACTGGGCCTGAGAAGACTTTCGTCGACAACAAAACATGCTGTAAACATATTGCTTTGGCAACCATAGAGATATCCTGCACGAAGCCTCATCACAGAAGACAACGTGCGGTTAGAGACGGTGGAGATGAACCATTATTGGGCCCAATCCAGTCTTCAGTGACAACTGCATCTGCACTGGTGCACTGACTACGATAGAGGTACTTAGACAGTGCATATCTATATTAATGGTGTGCCTGCGCTGTAGACAAGGGTGACATTTGACAGTCATCCGGTGCACCTGGATATAATGAAGTAGATAGCGGCTATGGGTATAAAGAGCACCTTCTGGCTCTGAATATCCAGAAGCGCGAGGGCGGCTAATGTATACATGATTGTGTAGAGTGGCTTATCCATTCCCTTTTTTTGGGCTGGATAAAACCTTCAACGTTACTGTCTTTTTGGTTCCATATGAGAAGAGACAAGTCAAATTTTATTTGAACCCTCTCTTTCCACGATTATTAATAGTTGTGAGTGCCTGTCAAATGAGCAGTGAAAATCCATATCCGTGATATGAGTGATCCATCCATAGTGCAGTCTCTGGATCCATCGATCAAATCCCCATTAGACTACTTCAGTAATTCGGAAGCAAAAGCAGTAGGAGTTCAGTTGAGTTCAGCACCAGCGACATTGACATCTGCTTGGATTTCATCATCAGAAATAAGCATTCAATGACAGACATCCAGTCATTATGCACATTATATAGTGGTTGTACAGGAATGTAGTCAAAGTTATTCGAGAATCCTTATTTGTTCATCTCATGAACAATCCTCAACATAGCTTTTTTACGATCTTTCATGAGAAGGCTGTTATCATCAAACATGGAGCAATTACCGTGGTAGTGCAATAAACCGGATCAATCAGAAACATCCTACCTCTTTTGTCAATCAGGAACAAATATCAGCTTTACTTTGTTTATCTCCATCTTAAGACTGCAAGTTCCTCTACTCTACCCTGCCCTCTTTTTTTTTTTTTTTTTTTTTTTTATGATCTACAACTTCTCGACAAACTCAATCAAAACCGAACTCACGACTGATTGAATGCTTGCAAAATCGATTCTTCGAAAATCTGCATAGAAAATGGGTCGTGTCATTCGTGCTCAGCGTAAGGGTCCCGGAGGAATCTTCAAGTCGCACACTCGTCTGCGCAAGGGTGCCGCCAAGTTGCGCTCCCTTGACTTTGCCGAGCGTACTGGTTACATTCGTGGAATCGTTAAGGAGGTTATCCACGACCCAGGTCGTGGCGCCCCTCTCGCCAAGGTCCAGTTCCGTGATCCATACAGGTAATATTCAAGTCAAGGACAATGTCTATTCTTTACAACTTTTACTTTCTACAAAAGTTGTCCATCTAGATATCATTATCGACTAGCAGTGACAGGATAAATAACTAAAGGACATGGAGTGTCTGATATCACTATTACTACGACATTTGAAGTACCGTATGGATCCATGTATGCACGCATATAGCTTCACATTATCAGGATCGCTCACTTTCAGAATTATCATTTTTCAGGAAGGTTAAAAGAAACTAAAATATTCTTAGGAGGTTATGAGCTACGATATCAGTCATCTGTTCAACAATTTCAAATTCCAAAACAGATCTTAATGGAATAAGCATCATATACAGGACATCCGACAAATCATGTTGTTGCAATTTAGCCATGATCAAGTTTTCAACTTAGAATGTTATTGGCCAAAGCGTTTTTTATTTATTTATTCATTTGCTAACGTAAAATTAACACTTTTCGCCTCGTAAATGTTAGATACAAGATGCGCACTGAGACCTTCATTGCTACTGGTGAGTACCTTAAGATACGCTTGTTCTTGTCGAACATCATGATATTACCACCCTTTCAAAACATCTCTGATGGCATTTTTTTTTTTTTTTTTTTTTTTTTTTTTTTGCGTTCAATGTGTTTTATAGAGGGTACCTACACTGGTCAGTTCATTTACTGCGGTAAGAAGGCTGCCTTAAACATTGGTAATGTCCTTCCTTTGGGTTCTATGCCTGAGGGTACTGTTGTCTGCAACGTTGAGGAGACTGTTGGTGACCGTGGTGCTCTTGCCCGTACCTCTGGTGGTTACGCTACCGTCATTGGTCACAACCCTGATGATGGCAAGACCCGCATCAAGCTCCCTTCCGGTGCCAAGAAGGTTGTCTTCTCCAACGCTCGTGCTACCGTCGGTATTGTTGCTGGAGGTGGTCGTATTGACAAGCCCCTCTTGAAGGCCGGTCGTGCATTCCACAAGTTCCGCGTCAAGCGCAACTCGTGGCCCAAGACTCGTGGTGTTGCTATGAACCCGTACGTACTCTACACTATTAGTTTTTATAGATTTTCTTTTGTGAGTTTTATGCAAACTAATCTAAATGTGTTATCTTTTGCAATTTTTTTTTAAACAAAAAACAGCGTCGACCATCCTCACGGAGGAGGAAACCATCAGCACATTGGTCATGCTTCGACCATTGCTCGCGATGCTGTCCCTGGTCAGAAGGCTGGTCTTATTGCTGCCCGCCGTACCGGTTTGCTCCGCGGTTCCAAGAAGCTCAAGGAGTAAAGAATTGTTGCTTCCCTGTACTCTTATCCGTAGCTCTAGCTTACAGAATAAAACAAATGAAAAGAAAGAAGAAAGAAAACTCAATTAGTTTAAAGGATCTTGACTCTATGGAATTGATTGTCAATTTTGATTCTAGTGATAATAGGAATTTTAGTGTTGATCCCGAGAGTGTTTGCCCACTCAATTTACAATCACAGAAACTGTCCCCTGAACCCCTGAACTCTCTGGCCCAACTCCCACACTCATCACATTCATCACAACCTTCATCCATCTATCCATCCATCCATCCATCCATCCATTTTTTTTTTTTTTTTTTTTTTTTTTTTTTCCTTATTTCATTCTTTAGAGATGAATGAGAAGCAGTTCCCCCCCTCGGTTTTGCCTACACAAACCTTGCTCAAGCAGAAGGAGCAGGAGAGGCATATTTCTATACCATTGAGTAACATGCGCCGTATTGGCTTTTTCAAACTCTCGCTCATTGTACTAGCTATTTATCTCTTTCTTTGTTTACCATCGGATGCTGGACTTCTGTTTCTGTCTGGTGGCGATAAGGCTCCAAAGTTCAAGTTCGAGCATCATTTTCAAGAAAATATTGATAAGCTTATTGCAGGAAGCCTTGAATCCAGGTAAAGCCTTCTCATTTCCATGATTGTTCTTTGTGGTTTATGAGATACATATCATCGCAACCGTCTCAATATCAAAAAGTTGAGAATATTTTTTTTCTGATCCATTCAATGTACCTGATTTGGGTATTAATAGCATTGTCTGGGATCGCTTGGCCGAAATGACCGACACTTTTGGCAATCGCCTTGTTGGATCCGATGCCTTGGAGAAGGTAAATACTATTGTGGTTGATGTCTAATAAATTGAACAAGAATATCCAAGCTTATGACATACAAATTAACCACATTCTTTTTTTCCAGTCTATTGACTGGATCATTGGAAAAGTCAAGGGGGATGGTCTGTCGGTAACAACCGAGGAGGTTGTGGTTGACTACTGGGAACGCAATGAGGAGTCGCTCTATTTCCTTTCTCCAACCCGCGGACGCGTCAAGTTGCATATGCTTGGACTCGGACGTAGTCCCGCGACTCCTGTGGATAAAGATGGTATCAATCATGGTATCACAGCTGAAATTATTGTTGTAACTTCTAAAGAAGAGTTGGAACAATTGGGTGCTGCTGGTGAACTTAAGGGTAGGGTTGTCTTGTACAACAAGCCTTTCGAAGCTTACTCCACCGATGTGATCTATAGGTCCATGGGAGCCACGTGGGCCCAAGAACATGGTGCTGTTGCAGTATTGGTGCGCTCGGTCGCCCCATTGTCATTGCAGACAGCTCATACAGGCAACGCGTATCCGGCCTCGATTCCCGCGGCATCCATTTCGATTGAGGATGCACAACTGCTAGCACGCGTCCTGAATAGACATCAGCAGGATCCTAAGCAGTTTCCAGATTGGCCCAAAGTCCATTTAACCATGAATGCTCAAACGACCCTCAATTCCAAAAAATCCCGTAACATTGTTGTGGAGCTCAAAGGTCGTGAGTTGCCCGAGGAGGTTGTTGTCGTTGGTGGCCATATTGATAGCTGGGATGTTGGTAGTGGTGCAATTGATGACGGAGCCGGTTGTTTCATTGCTTGGGAGACTGTGCGTCAGTTGAGCAGATTGGACAAACCGCCCCGTCGTACTGTCCGGGCAGTCTTCTGGACCTCAGAAGAAAATGGAGCGGCTGGTGGACGTGTCTATGCTGCGAACCACCCAGAGACAAATACAACCCGTCATGTCTTTGCATTTGAGTCTGACTATGGTGTGTTTGACCCATATGGAATCAATTTCACCCCGGGTCGTCGTGCTCAAGAGGGACCTCACAGATTCAACTCGTATGAATATCTGACTGCTGCGGGAGAACATTTCCTTGGCTCGCGTAAGGATCTGGGATATTACGGTGCCGGGTCTTTTGTACTTCCTAATGGAATTGGTGCAGATATTGCACCATTGTGCAAACAAGGTGTTGCATGTGCGCAATTCCGCCCTGCGGATCCTTTTCCTCTGCCTTATTCCACTTCTCCTTATTATATCAAAAAGAATGACGTCAAGAGTGAAAGTAGAGAACTTGGTCATCGTCGTCACCACCATGATGGTGAGGATGCACAGGACCCACCTCGTCGCCCCGTCGATAGCGGATACTTTTATTATCATCATACAGAGGCTGACACCATGGGTGCTTTCACTCCAGATCAAGTCAAGAATTCAGCGGCCGTCATGGCTGTCTGGACTTTTATCGCAGCTGAAAGCCGTGTCGAGTTTTAGAGTAGAACCTTATAATTGTATGTATCTTTTTGCGCCTGTTAGGACAGAAAAATAGATGTTATAATACCAATATGTATCCGATTGGATTTAGAGAGCAAGTATGTTAAAAAAAAAAAAAAAAAAAAAAAAAACCAGTACAGAAAAGAAAAAGCTTTTTATGTGGCCCTATCAAGTTGATCAGTTCATATTTAAGATACTGAATGGATTGTAGTAATAGTAACACGTAAAAGGAAATAGTGATGATACAAATAGGTAGTCATTCAAGACGTCTAGAATATTGTTGCCTTGACCGTTGCTAATAGAGCATCGAGGTCCTAATTAAACGAATATTACAATAAACAAAAAAAATTTAGTAAATTCGAAAATGGACGATAATTAAGATTAAACCATAAAAAACGGCGACTTACTCTTTCGACCTTGTCTAAATCAGCGTCAACCTCCCTCCAGCATTCAAAAACCTCTGGATGACATTCCTCTTTCACATCTCGTAACCGTCTATCAGTTCGGGTCCATATCCTTGGTTCGAAATCAGCGGCCCCATTTAAATTATCATCTTTATCATCCTCTCCATTTGTCATGGCGAGATTCGTAGCAGGGTTAATAATATTACTTGTCGAACAAGCCAACAGCTGTTGCTGTTTGTCATTAGTTGTTGTGGATGGATTGTGCTTATTAGTGTTGCTGTTGTTCGTGTTATTATCATCAAAACGGTGTTGGTCATGAACTGGGGTATCCTTATAATTATTACTGCTACTATTGCTCTTGAAGCTGTAAAGAGAAGGAAGCGACAAGAGTGGTTGTTGGTGTGTTTGTAGTGGAGCTGTAGAGTTGTGTTGCAAAGAAAGTAATCGTTGTCTTGTTGAGAAGGGCGTGGACGTTGATGATTGGATGATCCGGCCATCTTTGCCAAACGTCAACCCGTTCCTAAGCGAAGAAGGCGAACTTGTGCTTAAAGAGCTAGATCGACCTCCACGAACAAGCGTAAGTAGGTCTTGCATGCCTGTATTGTAATCAGATGAGAGTAGCCATGCTTCACGTTGTTGTTGTTGTTGTTGTTGTGCAGTTGTCAATGAGTGCTCTCCAACTGCTGATTCCGAGGCAGAGCCACTATGAAGGCTGCCAGTTCTGGAAGAGGATAATGCAGGCGAGGACTGAATGGATGGTCCCATCCTTGCAATATCAGCAACGGTGGTGCTAGCAGATCGACTCCTGCTGTTATGACGGTGTAGTGAGGTAGACTGGGGGTCATTACTGTTGCCTTCAACTGTCCCTGCAGAGGAGGGCCCTCCAGTGCTAACATTAGCTAAGCCAGTTTGGATAGAAAGCTGGTGAGCTCGAGATGCAGGCGAGGGTGTCTGCAGGGGCCTTGGAAGCGGCGAGAAAGACCGACCTTCTGCAGGAAATTGGTACAGAGGGTTAGTGGATGAAGGAGAGGATGGTGATGGAGTGTTGCTGCTAATTCCCTTGTGACCCGAGACCGAAGCAAGACTGGAAAGTAGCGTGGCTCTTGTGTACCCAGATAATGGCGGTGCTTGTGATTCATGGCCAGCAGAGCCAAGCCCAGTTCCGTTACTAGCGTCGACGATGACAGTGGTGGGCACTGGAACCTGCGACTGCTTCTTACTAGAGATGGGTCCGACAGAAGTAACAGACGCGACCTGGACTTCAGCATCACTTGGTTTGCGATTCAGGGTGGGGCTCGGAAGTGAAGATGACATGGATGTAGGTGATGGTAAGTTCCTTCCACTGCTAAACCCAGACTCGCCCGCCAATGCGCGTTCAAGCTTCAACAATGTTTCTCCTCCTCGAGCTGAAGTACCTAGAAGTTCAAGACGATCTCGTTCCGTAGCAGAACTGTTTTTACGGCTTCGGATGCTGCTGCTCGGTGCTGAGTTTGAGCTTGCATTGACTTTCCTACGCTCCTTTCCTGCTGCAACGGCTTGTGATGCTCTAGCCACTGCAGCTGCAATGCGCTCTTTCCGTGACATTGTCTCCAATTCTAGCATGCCTTCATGGCCTAGGTTTCGAGAGCCACGCGAATCATCTCGTTCATCATCCGAGTCGCCTCCGAGTACATCCTCAATGATCTCTGTGATATCTATCTCTTCACCACCCTCCAGTGGTATAAATGAATAATGAAACTGACTGATCTGCGTCGCTGGGTTAGTGGATTTTGAGGAGCGTGCGATTCCCTTATTGAGAACAATGTCTACGCCATGTAGAGAATTCTTCTTCATATTTAAACGAGCTGATTGATTGGATGGCGTCAAAAGGTCATCTATTGATGCAAAGGACCCTTTTCTCATTCTTGTTGGGTTTGCATTGCCATCTTGGAGCATAACCGAAGATAATGACAAGGGTGAAGGTCCATGTGTTAAGGAAGGTGAAGTGGCTCTCTGTCGCTCTGGCCGATCAACTCGCGAAGACCTTTCTGGCGTTGAGGACCGCGATCCTTCATGTTGATCTACATGGCTCGATAGATTCGATGGAGCCGGGGATGGGGTCTGAAGCTGCCTTCCCAATGGCGTGGGAGAAGATTGATGGACGCCAGAGGAACGTATGTGTGATTGCTGCTGCTGGAAACGGTCAGGTGTGGGTGTTCTTGATAACTGTGATGGTGATTGGATCTGTTGTGTAGCCATCAATGGTTGTGTCGACGGTGTGGGGCTACTGTCAAACGAGTTCCCGCGGATCAGTGGGCTTGTAGGGCTCATAATGACAGAGTCTGTTCTACGTGGGGCTTTGACTGGTGAGGATGCTATGACATTACCAGCGTTGTGTCGACTTGCGTTCATTAATGCGGTAGATGCAGAGTTGAGGTTACGGTTCTGTGAGGCAGTGGAGGTCGGACTGGTGAGGACATTAACGCTACTGGTAAGACTTGGCTGAGCAACAGACGCAGTGTCAGAATCTCCAGAACGGATTGAATGGATAGGTGAAGGCGTATTTCTAGGTTGCTGTTGTTTCATCTGAAGCTGTTCCTGGACAAGTCGCATTTCCGCTTGAAGACTCTTGGTCGCCTTTCTAAGGAAGAATACATAATCAGGATGCAAAGGCATCGATGCGACGTCGGCTTTTGGCGACCTTCGGATGGGAATCAACTGATAATCTTCAAAGCATTGGACTAAAGGCGCTTGAGGCGGCAATGGGATTTCCTCCCCTGCTTTAACCCTCTTTGCCGTATTACTGTTTAGCTTCAGACCTAGCTGATACTCAATCACAAGGCCGTTAGGCACTGTAGCACGCTTGGACGCCAATACATGCTCAGGAACGCCGCCAACAACTCCGGCATGAATACCGACTTTTTCAAGCATCCTAAAAATAATATCGCCAGCATTAGATGTGGTTTGCATTGGGATCCAATGTTCCACCTTGGTTGCCACAGATTGTCCATGTACACGTGGATCAGATTTTTCCATTGCAGAACCCATTCCATCCAATAATATCATGGACTGAGGCAGGTCTTGTGCCTGGCAAATGACCTTAACCCAGAAAAGATCATCCTGAGGGGCAGTGGGTGTCGTCGGCGTCGATGGCAAGGTCGAGAGCGCGATCGATCCAGGACGACGAATCTTCTTGTTGAGTAAGAATCGAATCGAACGCGGCTGTGATTCAGTTTTCCCAGATGAATTTCTGCGCCCTGGAGTGCCTGTCATGGGCGATGATGGCTGTAGATTGTTTGTGTTGGAGGTCTGTGAGCCAGTAGAGTTGACAGACATCATAGAGGAGACAGATGAGATCGAAAGGCGATGGTTTGCAGGTAATGGTGTGGTCAGGTGTGCTGTCAAAGACTGATAAATTGCCATGGGCTTATCTGTTGCTTGGAGGATAGTCTCGTCTGTTAAGGAAGGGAAGATGGTGAGTAGGTTAGTAGCTTGTTTCTCCATGATACCAGGAAAAAAAAAAAAAAAAAAAAAAAAGTATACACAACAAGCTACGAGGCTCTTGGCTTATTACCTCCATCAAGACCCTTTACAGTGAGATAAAAGTCTCCGGTGGATACAGTGCCATCAGGAGCCAATCTGAACTTGAAGACGGCCTGATGTGCCACTTCCGAGGCCAGAGTCGAGGGGGTTACTACTACAGTCTTGTACATGGATGCTCCAAAGTCTACATTGCCCGGGTACACACGGAGAGTCATGATCTCCTGTGGCGGAGGTTCAGACTTGTCCACAGTGGGTGATTGTGGGATGTTTGATGGTGAAGGGCCCGCGGTGGAAGAGCCAACAGACCCATTCGAATTAGAGCGTGCTCTAAAGAGGTTGCTGCTAATGCTGCCACTGCTCGACGAGCCTGCGCCTGACTTGGCAAGATTCTTCAGCCTCTCTTTCTCCTGCTTCTCCTTTTCTTTGCGCTCTTTGTCTTTGGAGCTTTTCCCAACACCGAAGAGACTCTTGAACTTTCCTGGCTTTTTGACAATAACACTCTCTGGCGATAGTCCTTCTTCATATTCTGTTTTTGACTTCCCAACCATAGGTTCTATTTGATTTTTGCCGAGCAATGAATTCAGCTTAGTATCCTTTCTCTCTGTGATCTGACTCTTTTGCTTCTCTTTTCCATCGGCCTCCAAGTCTAGATTTGAAGTGCGAATGTCGGTCGTAGCATTAACAGATGCTTTTGCTCTAGCTTCAGCGCCTGATGTTCCCGATACACCCTTGTGTTGCTGCTGCTGCTGCTGCTGTTGTTGTTGTTGTTGAGGTGATTGCGACCGTTGCTTATGCGATTCCTCAGAGAGACGTAGCGTCCGAGTCTTGCCAGTGGGTGTTGAACCGCGATGTGCAACAGTATTGTCTCGGGCGATGGCGGGCGTTAAAGATATTACGCGTGGTTCAGTATTTGAAAGGAAGAGGTCATCTTCATCCAAAAGTGGTTTTCTGTAGCGGTTGGTCGCCTGGACTTCCTCTCCGTCCTCCTCGTTGTCACCTGTTTTTGATGATTGCTGTCCATGACGATTGAGCCTCTGATTAGCATCCATATGATGGCTAGCGGTGATGGCTGCCATTCTTTTTTGGTCGTTCAAAATTTCCTGCTGAACACGCTCAGCCTCTAGTTGTAATGATGACTTTTGTACATGATTCCCGTATCCCTGCTGGTTTGTAGAAGACTGATTTTCCTGGTCATGTGTCTCCCCGTCATCAAACTCGTCATAGTCTTCATCATCATCAACACCCTCCAACTCCTGGAGATCTTCATCCTCTTCTTCATCCTCCTCTTCACCTTCTTCATACCAATCCCCCTCATCTTCTTCTGTCCATTCCGTTTCACTTGCTTCAAGGAACTCATTCTGGGCCGTGAAGGCAACGGATCGCCTGCTTATAGCACGTTGTTCAAGGATGGCTGGATCAAGCGGTTGAACATGCTCATCAAATGTTCCCCATTCAGATGAGGGTGCCGATAGCTGTACGTTGCGGTAGGTATTAAGTCTAGCCAACCGTTCAAATGGTGTCTATGACCACACACATCGTTAATACTTTTTTTTTTTTTTTTTTTTTTTTTTTTTGCTTTTAAGCTTACATAAACTAAAGTTGATTGAGTAATGAAACAACAGGGGTAACACAAGCGCTACCAAGTTGAATACGGCTTGAACTCATGATGCAATCATGGAAGAGATTCATTACAACTCACCTCAATATTCTCAGCAGGAATGTAGCCAATGACGCCAGTCTTTAGGACTCGAACTAACCACCAATAAACATTGGTATCTTCGAGGAGCATCAGTGAATCATTACGCACAACCGATGCTTGCCCTTCCTGTGTCGCGACAAAGGTGTGGAAAGCATAAACAAGATTGAAATCAATGTCCTCCTCCGTCAGAGACATTGCCTCAGAACCTTCATCTTGGTCTATCATTTCCTGATCTGTTTGGTCCTCTTCCTCCTCGTCAAAGTCATCATCATCGTCATCATGTTGGTGTAACATGTCAATATCCATTTGACGCTGTACATCTGGGTCATGCTGAGGATTCTGCTGGTAATATTCCTCTTCCTCATGGCTATCTGCGCCACTCATATCTTGGTCTTGAGACTGAGTTTGATGAAGCAATTGTTGGATATTCATGGCCTGTGATCGATATGCGTGAAGATGTTGTTGCTGTTGCCGCTGATATTGTTGTTGTATTTGCTGAAGTTGTTGATGTTGATGATGGTTGTATTGGCTAGCAGCATATGCCTCACCATCCTCGTCTACATCTTCGGCTGAGTCATATTCACTTTGAAAATTTTGTTGCTTTTGTTTTTGTTGTTCTTGTTGCTGAATATAGGAGTTATATTCCTCATCCTCATCAGTGCTCTCATCTGAAGCGGGGACAATGGCATCCATGTCCTGTTGTTCAGTGAGATGGTACCCTGTCTTATTATGATTGCTTTCTAGTTGGTTAGGATTATTAATGTTGAGTTGGCGATGACTGAACTGCTGTTGTTGTTGTTCCTGTCTCGGACCAGCATTCTTTCCAGGAGAAGAGGCCATGGCGAGACAAGTTTTTTTTTTTTTTTTGGTAACGCCTGCTTCTTCTGTTTCGTGTTCAACCCAAGGTTGGTTGTGGTACCATGCGTTAGGGTTGGAGTTGGCGATGTTTGTGCAATGAAAGATATTATCCAAGGTGTGCTCACTGAATGCTCAAGCTGTTACTGCTCTTGTCTGCTTCCAATAAGCAATCAAAGAGGCAAATAGGCGGAGTGGGGCGATAAACAATAAAGAAAACAGAGATGGGAAAGTGTTTAGAACGAGTTCCAGTAGGGATACAAGTGGAAGGGTCAAAGGGATGTTAAGTCAAGAGAGTAATGAAGACCCATGTTGATGAGATATGAATTTAGGATATGAAGGAGGACCAAGAAGAAAAATAAGGAGGAGATGGAGACAAAGAAATAAAGTATTCAAATGAGGACAGAGCAAACAGACAGATAATTAGCTTGAAGGTTGCTGAGTAATATTTAATTCTTTCAGTCGAAGAGGTTTTCAGTTTTTGTGAGGATGGTTCCTACCATTGACAACGGGAAGAGAGAAAAAGAAGACAGAGCCGATGAAGTATTGTAATTGTGTCTATTATCAAGCTGTTGATATGTCTTAAACGTGTTGGACGGAGCACAAGGCTGAATAGGGATGACTAAGACAATGAGAACGAGAAAGAGAAAAATGAAGTTAATGGTGAATTAATGAATGTGTGGAAAAAAAAAAAAAAAAAAAAAAAAAAAAAGTGCTGTTCAATGTTTTAAAGAAATAAAGGTAAAATTAAGAGTGAACACGCGGAGAACAGAAAACTAAAGGGAAATTACAGTTTCGACAAGTATGGCAAATGTTTAATGAGAAGGGTTAAAAAAAAGATGGCGAAGAGAATGTGGGATGTTTAATGGAGGGAAAAAAGAAAAGGGGGAGGAAGGAAAAGATGAAGTGTCTAACAAAAAACAATAGAAAAAAAAAAAAAAAAAAAAAAAAAAAGAGTAGAGAGCATGGACAAGTAAATACAGGTAAGCAATGACAGTCTAACCAGCATTGGCTCACTTGACAAACACGCTGTAGTTGTATTGTAACAGAATAAAGTTGAACTGTGCACCTTCGAATCTCTTTTTTCTCTCTTTCTCTCCTTTCTCGTTTTTCTTTCTCGAAAAAACACCCTTTCGTTCCTTTCACATCTCTCCTCCGCGTGTGCATACACAATGTTAATATATTATGCATGTGTACGTCTTTGGAATGCCATGTTATGAATCTTCGTGGGCAGAATGAAATCAAACACAACACGGAGAAAGATTTGAAACTCAAAAACTTTCAATCGATCGGTGAGTGGTCAAGACTAAATCCAATTCACAAAGTATGAATTTTATTTTCCCCCCTTTTTCCCTTTACTCCTTCCTGCATACTTTAACTTCCAGCTCAAAGATATTAAGCATAGTATTGACAAAGACATGTGGAGCCATGCTTTACTCATTCAAAGGATCTGCACTAACAAATGAATTTGCTCCGCAATTATGCTGCACAACCTCTAGTCATGCCCATAAGACTCCATGGTCCAATCACTCTTATTCTTTATTCCTTTTATTCCAGAACAAAAAAAAAAAAAAAAAAAAAAACTTTTGACACCCGACATTCCTCTTGTGTCTCTTTGCTCGAATGCGGCACTATTGTTTATAAAAGAGCCTTAAAAAATAAAATAAAAAAATAAAAAATAAAAAATAAACTGTGAGCACCATGGCTCATCTCTTTTCTGCACATTAAGGATAGGATATTAACCAATGGTTCTATTCATCTAAATGTTTTCTATTGCTACCCGTATGCTACATATGATCTATACAATGTATATAATGCATGCTATGATGGTATGGAGCATACATTTAGATCATTGCTCTTTCCGCTCAAAACTTTGGGCTTTTCTGTGTCCATATTTTAACTTGCACAGCCGTGCAAAATGGGAACCCACGCAGCACTCAGTTCAACGCATTGTCGCAATGCTCTCTGAGGAGATGTAGACAGAAAAGTGGATAATCACCAAGCTTTCCATCATATGTATACGCTGTCACTAAGCCATGCGATATAGTATAGCACCCAAACTGCTCTCACTTTCATGAGTACCGTCGAAAGGAAAATCAGCAAGAGTCTCGAGGACTTGTTTGAAAGCAGTTTTTCAATACCAATGCTCTTCATGAACCTGAATCCTGTATCAGATGCTACACTAAAATATTTATATGCTTTTATATTTATTAATTCTTTGTCCTGACTCGAGAAAGATGAAAAACGGTCCAGGGATGATGGAAACAATAGCTTTTCCAACTTGCATGATATGGGACTCGAACCTGACGACGCGTTAAAACCATGTCAGTGAGATAAAGGATGTAGGGATAAAGTAGGCAGGAAATGAAGATATAAAAGAAGAGAGCGACTACGAGGCGCCAGCATAGGGGAATTAAAAGTGCAATCGTACACTCAAGGATACGATAGTTCTCCCAGCACCTAGGTGTATATCTAAGCTGAAGCTCGACAAAGCTAAAGGGCCCACCGAGGACACGTACAAACACAGCCAGATAAACAGGAAGTGATCCCGAAACTGTTATAAAACTTGGAGCTGACACTCGCCACCAAGGAGCAGCGTTCTGATTACAAGGCAACACTTAGCATCGAGGCTGAGTTAGGTGAGACCAACACGCAACGACGACTAGAGTCGATCCACATAATTCCAATGATTATCATCCCATCACTGTCAGGCGCAAATTTTTTTACAAGTTTTACGCACAGTTTTGCCGATGACCAATTATACAAGAAGCAGGATAATATTGATGCGATTGTGTTAGCAGATCTACTCATGACTTTAAAGAGGATCAGTCAACACCTAGAATATATGAAGTTAACTATGTCTCGACTTCATGCCTTTTAAGTAAGCACATGTATTGCATGGTGCCTCTTTGAAGAGATTAAACTTCTTCAATTCTTCAAGATAAAAGCTTTGGGTTGCATACTGGTTGGATGTTTCGGGAACAAAACCATATTGAAAAGTTTACAAGCTCATGCATAAAGTAGCCACTGGTGGACTCATAATTTTATATGATATTGCATATATATACTACAGATCATTATAAGGCTGTAGAGCGACGCCAGGTAGGAACAAACATGCTTGTTTCTTTTTTGTATTTCCAGTAAGCGACAACGTCCTTGAGACGTCTGTCGTTCTCACGCTCAAGCAAAGGAATTCCACTAACGCGTGTGATCAGAAAAGTGACAAAGATCGGGCTGATCATCGCGAGGCGTGAGATCCACAGAGACATAATTTGTTTGTGGACAGCAATAGAAAAGGCGCTGGAGCAGAGCAAGTGGCTTCCAAACCATAACATGCATTCGCCAAAATAATTGGGGTGTCTTGACAAGGACCTAAAATATGACAAAGAGCGTGTGAATGTCCGTGCAGGTTGCTTTTTTTTTTTTTTTTTTTTTTTAATTGGACAAGAAAGATCTCCCGACTTACCATAGCCCACTGGAAATGAAACTGTGTTTGTAATCTTTGCCAATGTTCTTGCGCCATTGCTGCTTTTGATAATTGGCAATGACTTCAAAGGTGAAGCCGAATGCCCAGATGCTCAGCCCAACATAATCCTTTACTCCAAGTTGAGGATGAAACTCGCTTGAGATGGAATTTGTAAGGTATCTGTTTTGATATGACATGAAAACTTTATAAGTCACGTATAAAAAAAAAAAAAAAAAGTGCCCGCAACAGGTCATTGGATACATACACTGGTAATGCTGTCATCCCAACCCAGATGCTTTGTATAAGCCAATAGGTGAGAAATATACTGGGTGTTTTCTTGACTCTCTCGAAGCGCTTATCATCATGCGCCAGGGCTCTATTGAACAAAAAGAGCCCAAGGTAGGATGCCCAAATGACGGTTGTCCCAGAGGCGAGGATTTGACGCGGATGGAATATTTGTACCACATTTTTGGCAAAAGGCTTGGCCAAAGACAAAAATGTACACAAAAGGAAGGATGTTGAACCAGTCAAATCATAAATCTGGATGTTAAAATAGATTGAATGATCAATTCCGGATCAGTAAAAAAAAAAATTGATCATCTTGTTCTGTCCTAATCAAAACCCTCTGTTTCTGTGTTTCTTTAACTTTTTCTGTCTGGAGTGCGGCTGAAATGCCCCATCCTACAATCTGTATGGAAAAGTTGGCGAAAATAGTAGGAAGTAATACCCTTGTTACGGGTGAAAAATATGTCAAACTCATGATAGGACAAACTTTGAAGGGATCGAATTGGAGTTCTTTGTTGAGGATTAGGAGAAAAAAAAAAAATGAAAGAGTTGAGAAGGTCACCTCAACAATTCTTTGTGTGTGTGCGTTGGATGAAGATCGAATGCAGTTAGGAGTGACGATGCGTGCACGCGCGAAAGCGAAAAAATGAAAAATAAAAAAAGCATTATCAGTCTATCGGTTCAAGAGCTATTCCAATTGATCGGTTACGTGATGAAGGATGTTTAAATATCGAGGTGATGCCTGTCTGAGCTATCATTAGCCATCAATTGTCAACTGTTGACACGCGTTTTATACATATTATATATGAAATTAATATATGAACATTAATAATATAAAGTGGGGCAATGTTCGTTCATGAGAACAGAATTAGATGAAGACATGTTTTATATAAATATACTGTATTATATAACAAAAAACAAAAAAAAAAAAAAAAAAAAAAAAGAAGAAGCAAGAGTAACCAATGAACCTGGATCATTGGATGTACAGCTCTGCCATCGTTCACTTTGTAGATACAAATTGAATGTTTCATTTGAACAGGTTGCTTGATTCCATCCTCTATTGTATTATGAATTATGAAACACCGACAAAGACAGTAGGACGAAAGATCATTTCTAGTCATGTGCCAGGGTAGATGTTTATACACATTTATTTGTATTAATTAACTGACTGCAATGTCTTTATCATCCACATTTTTTTGGTCACACAAACAAATAAACTTTTATTTTTCGCTCAAGTTGGACTATGCATTTGGACACAATCTTTTCTTCTTTTTCCCATGCAATCAAATGATTAAAAAAGTCCGTTATACAGTCCTGTATGTATATAATATCATGTCTGAAGAGTCAACATTTCCAAACTTGGATGCGTTCACTTCCCTTGAACTGCAAGGTTTAAAAGTTAATGAGCGTGTTAAAAGATAAACTCAAACTTTAGTCCCAAATAACTACATCTGTATATACACAATTGCATTCTTTTATATACACATTACCACATTTGTCCTGGATCCTTAGGACCCATAAACGGTGTATTGATGAAAACGGATAAAGCAAAGTCTCCGTTTGGAATAATGGCAGGAAGGGAGGATGACTTACTCGTCCAAGATGATGGTGGTTTTTTTTGTTACTTGCAATCGCAAAGTATAGCCCGTTTCATTTGGTCGCGATACCTTATATTTTTTGAATACTTTCGAGTGTATTGGCAGCCAATTGGCTCGCTTGTTACGAGTATTGTTGCAAGTCCGTCACGTAGTGAGATGCCACCAGAACAATTCAATCATCGTTTTTAGATTAAAATATAAGGTATCGTGACCAAATAAAATTGGCGATGTATAGATGCTTTATCAAGTGTTTTCATGCTAGCTTATGAAAGGAGACACATAAAGTTCAAGGACAGCCTCGATAGAGACAAAGGCGCAATCGGGGGTCGGACTAAACGTATATGTTGTTACATCCCGCAGTAACCGGAAAAGCTTATTCCTCTCTCTTTCTCCCTCTCAAATAAAAAAAGACTGGTCTTTTTTTTTTTTTTTTTTTTTTCTTTCCTTTCTTTTTCTGTTGCTCATCTTTTTCTTTTTCTTTTTCTTTTTCTTTTTTTTTTTTTTTTTTTTTTTTTCTCTTCCCCTCCGATACCCTTCATTCATTTCTGAACGATTTCCATTCTGCATAGAGATGGGTCTTGTCATTAGGTAGGTGAATACATCAGCTAATCCTTGGATGTCATGAACATGAGATCCACTGTACCTTCCTGGACTATTTTGTGGCACTGAAAGAGAATGTAAATAATACTCACAGCTCCTGTCATGGTTATTATTATTCTTTTCATTGTCGTCTACCTTTACCCTGTATTTAGAATCGCTGAGCAGACGTTGCCATTAGTGTATTCCATAACTTCGACTTGTATTATCTTTTACCTGTCACGGAAACCCGTTCATCTGGATCAATACACCTCTCTGAACGATGTATATGAGGAAGACGACAATGAACAGGAGACGCAGCAAGGCAACGATGCTACCATCTCTGCATCGTCCTTGATCGATGCCACAACTATTGAACGGGTCCAGGCTCAATACCAGGCGCAGCGCTCTTCCGGAATGAGCATCAACCTTGCACGCCTTGGTCTTTCAGCCCTTCAACTGGGCCTCGCTCTTTTCTCAATTGTACTGCTCAAGGTTGGCAGGAATGAGGATGATCATCAAGAGCAGAATACTGTTTGGGGTGATGTCGTCCAGATCTTGGCCTGGTCCTATGCCCTCTGCCTATCCTTTGTTCATGTACTCCACCCTTTCCTCTCCTTTCAGTTCTGGATCCGCCCCCAGATGGACCTTCTTTATGTTGTCGAGTTTTTGTTATCGTCGTATCGACTGTACACCACGGAACAAATCACCCTTGCTATAATGCAATGGCCGCTTTGGCTCAAGCTGAATGGCATGTCTTGGATTGTCAGCGCCCTCTTGCTGTGGGTCTCACTTGTGACTCGGCCTTATCAGCCTATTACTCCGGCCAAGAAACTCAGAGAGGGCGAAATAGCTCGTCTTCCATCATCAGAGTACTCGTCATCCCTATATTCGCAAATAACTTTTGCCTGGCTAAATCCTCTAATATACCTCGGCTATAAGAAGCCAATTCAGGATCCTGATCTGCCTGACATTGAAAGTGAGGATTACTCTATTCGTTCCATCAAGCGATATAACCTTGTGCGGTAAGTGTCTGCAAAATGTTTCATAGTAAATGCAGTCGATACAGACTTTGAAAAAGAGAAAGTGAGGTTCGACGGACGACCTTTAGGGTAGATGATGATATTCATGGGAAATTTGGGCTCGTTATAAATATTTACCCATGAGTTACAGTTTCGGTCGAATGGTATTGTATAAATATATAATTTGTAGAGTACACAATACTGCACAGTTTGATTGTTTGCCAATCACATCTAAACATAATTAGGGTTCATAAACACTCTACAGGACTGTACAACACATCCAATCGGTGATTGTCCGTGAAATCTTGCAAGCATAATTGGTGAGCTGATAGCCTTTTTTTTTTTTTTTTTTTTTTTGTGCTCTTTCACTTTCTAGCCAGGACTCGCTCTTCTGGTCACTCTTCAATGTCCTCAAATGGGAGTTCTTTGTGCAATTCCTATGGGCTCTGCCCTGGTGCATCCTAGTCAACGCCGCACCTTTTTGTCTCAACAGGATCATCGAATATATTGAGTGCAGAACCTGCGGACCACCTACCTATGTCAATTATCTTTACGTCTTTGGTTTGCTCTTTTCCTCATTGATTGAGTCATTATGCGACCAAAACGCCCTCCATATTGGTCGCCGTATTTTTGTTCACACTATCTCTATCTGCAATGCTGAAGTGTTTGCCAAGACTCTTCGTCGCAAAGATGTAGCCTCACCTGCTGACAAGTTAGACGACGACCAACCTAATGAAAAGAAGAATGATGGCACCTTAAATATTGCAAGTAAGTCCGGACTTTATTATGCTATTGCTCTATTCTATTGGCTCAGCCATGTGTAGCTATTTTTCTACAAATTCTCTGGCATATGACATCCTGACACCCATCTTCCATTAATACTGCCTCTTATTGTTAATAGACTTGATTGCCGTCGACGTCAAAAAGTTGGAGATTCCTTTCAGTTATGTTTTTTATCTGTATGGTTTCCCTATTCAGTTTGTTATTGCTGGTGTTCAGCTTTACTGGCTGTTGGGATACGCTTCATTGGTCGGCATCGCTTGCATGTTCTTATCATACCCTATCCCAGCCAAATTGTATACCATGATCATGAGACTTTTCAAAGATATCATGAACACTAAAGATGAGCGTATGGACGCTCTCAATGAAATGCTCTCTGCCATCCGTATTGTTAAATTCTTTGGTTGGGAATCCAAGTTCGAGGAAAGGATCACTGCAGCACGTGAGAAGGAGCTGAAGCGCACCAAGGACTCATATGTCAAGATGATCTTCACCGAGATTGTCTGGATGATTGTACCACTGCTCAACATTGTCATTATCTTGGTTGTCTACACCAAAGTCTTTGGTAATGAAATTTCAGCGTCCAAGATGTTTACAACTTTAGCCTTGTTCAATATCATGCGACAGTCCTTGAACATGCTTCCTTGGCAGATCAAGAATACCATGCAGGCTGCGGTCAGTTTAAAGCGTATCAACAGGTTTCTACTCGAAGAAGATCTCGTCAAAGATACCACAGTTACCAAAATCAGTGCAAAGGCTCAAACTAGATCTTCTCACCCCACGGTTGGCTTTGTCAACGCTTCCTACATCTGGCCCAACAAGGAAAACGGCAAGGATGATGTGTCCGCTCCAAAGGAAGAAACAAAACCCTCATGGACACAAAGGATTAAGAGAAAGCTATTCAAGGCCTCTAAGGTTGATGTCATTGAGGAACCTATAACTCAATCTGAGGCTATTCAGGAACGGTTCAAGCTCAAGGACTTGACGATCGATTTTCCTGTTGGGAAATTGTCGGTCATTATTGGACCAACTGGCTCAGGAAAATCGGCATTGTTGCTCGCTTTACTCGGTGAACTCGAACGACTCGAAGGTCATCAGTACATGCCACGCTTGGATTATGGCCCAGGGCCACATAGTGAGATTGGATCGGGGATTGCATATGTTGCCCAAACTGCTTGGCTTCAAAACACCAGCATCCGTAATAACATCTTGTTCGGCAGTGAATTTGATCAGGAGCGATATGATGCTGTTGTTGAAGGCTGCGCTCTCACAACTGACTTTGAAATCATGGAATTCGGCGATGCTACAGAGATTGGTGAGCAAGGCATTACCCTTTCCGGTGGTCAGAAGCAGCGTGTTTCTTTGGCCAGAGCCATCTATTCACGTGCCAACGTTCTTCTTCTGGACGATTGTCTCTCAGCTGTGGATACTCATACAGGCAAACATCTCTTCCAGACTTTGACCGGCCCCTTACTCACTGGTCGAACGATATTATTGGTTACTCATCAGGTTCAGCTTACAATGACCTCCGCTGACTTGATTGTGGTCATGAATAAAGGCGAGATACTGGGTTCAGGAACACCTCTGGAGGCGATTCATAACCACTGGGTCGATTACGTTACTTTACCCACCTCAAAGGATGGTGATTCGAGTGAGGTCAGCACATTACACAACGAAGAGGGTCAGCAGCAGCCCAAGGCCAAAAAAGATACTAAGGAAAAGCGCACTGTCAAGCTGACCGACGATGAGAAGCAGGTTGAAGGAGCTGTCGCATGGAATGTATATAAGACATATTTGATTGCTTCCGGAGGCTGGCCCTTCTGGATTGGTCTAGTGATCCTCTTCATGATTCGTGAGGTGGTTGATGTTAGTCAAAATGCCTGGCTCGCAATTTGGTCTAACAAGATGGCCGAAGCTACTGGTTCATATGCCATCAAGTTATTCGACTACGCTGTCCCTGCTTCTGTTTCCCAATCATTTTATGCTTCTTTCGCCTCTGTTGATAGAAAACCATACGGCATGGCGACCTTGTATATGTTTGGAAAGGGAACACCTGAAACCGTTAATGTCGACTTTTATCTCGGAGTGTACATTCTTTTGAGCATATTAACACTTGTATTTGCTGCATTGACCAACTACTACACCATTTTTGGGGGTCTCGCTGCATCACGTTCACTGCACCAGCAGCTCTTACACAAGATTGTTCGTGCTAAGGTCCGTTTCTTTGATACGACCCCGATTGGTCGCATCGTGAACCGTTTCAGCTCGGATATCTCCACGATTGACGACGATGTCAGCAACGGTCTCCAGGGTCTCTTTGGTTCATTCGTTACGGTTCTTGGAATAGTAGTCATTATCTCTGCCAACATGCCGCTGTTCATGATCCCAGCGGTTTTCATTGTTGCCATTTATGGTGTCATTGGCGCGCTCTATGTGCCAATCTCACGCCAGATGAAGAGATTGAATTCTAACTCGAGGTCCCCTATCTTGAATCATTTTAATGAAGCTTTGAACGGCCTCATCACGATTCGTGCCTATGGTTTCGAGAAGCGCTTTTTATCCAAGAATTTGATCAATCAAGACAACAACAACAGGACATTCTTCTTGCTTTGGTCCACGAATCGTTGGCTACATTGGCGCGTTGACATCGCAGGCGCTCTTGTTGCTTTTGCCACTGGGATCCTTATCTTGCAAAACTACGGGCGCATCGAGCCAGGTTGGGCTGCTATGAGTTTGACCTATGCACTCATGTTCACAGGAACAATTGTCTGGATGATCCGCAACTATGCTCAGAATGAGATGAATTTGAACTCAGTTGAACGTGTAGCTGAATATATGGATTTGGAGGAGGAGCCACCAGCTATTATTGAAGGATCTCGACCTCCAGCCTCTTGGCCTCATGCCGGCCAGATAGTAGTTGAGAATCTAGTGATGAAGTATGCACCTGATGCTCCTGCAGTGATCAAGAATGTATCCTTCAAGATCAATGCAGGGGAGAAGATTGGTGTTGTCGGTCGAACTGGATCTGGCAAATCAACACTTGCAATTAGTCTGTTCCGTTTCATGGACCCTGTCAGTGGGACAATTTTAATTGATGGTATTGACATTTGCAAGATAGGTCTTCAGGACTTGCGCTCCAACTTGACCATCATTCCACAGGATCCTATTCTTTTCAAGGGCACATTACGATCCAACTTGGACCCTTTTGGTGAACATGAAGATAGGGAGCTCTGGGAGGCTCTTCGTAGAAGTCACCTTATCCCTGATATCAAACCCAGTTCAAAAGCTGCGAGTCTCCGCCACAGTTTGGAAACTCTCAGTATAGCGCCTGTTGACGCGGAGGCCTCATCCTCAAAATCATCTGCGTGCTCAATCAAGGGCTCAGGATCTAGTGATAATGATACAGTAGATCCTACCAAGATCACATTGGATACTCCTGTCAAGGAAAATGGTTCCAACTTTTCGCAAGGTCAGCGTCAGCTGATCGCCTTGGCTCGCGCACTAGTCCGCCAATCCAAAATCATTATCATGGATGAAGCTACAGCAAGTGTAGACTTTGAGACGGATCTCAAAATCCAAGGTACAATTCGCCAAGAAATGACCAACTCAACCATTATTACTATAGCACATAGAATCAGGACGATCGCAGACTTTGATCGCGTTCTGGTCATGAACGCAGGTGAAGTCGCTGAGTTTGACAAGCCGTTGACGTTGATGAAGAAAGAAGAGAGCTTGTTTCGATCGATGTGCGAGCGCTCTTCGGAATTTGAGGCATTACTGACGATCGCAGAGGAAAAAGAGCGGCAGGATGCAGTGCGTCTATCATAAATATTCCTCAATGCCAACCATTTCCATTTATCCCTTATACCGTCAACCTGGCAAATTTGCCGGGTTATTTTTTTTTATCAATAAATTATAAACTGCACCTCTCTATTTCTATGCTCAAAAGAAAGCGCGCTGGGCGTTGCATCCACGGTTGCGACATTGATCACCCATTCATTAATTGAATTCCGTTCAAATTATTTAATTATCAACGATTACGCTCATGAGCTCATCATTCACTTCATCATTCGAGACAGTAGTAGCTGTGGAAGAAGCTTCTCTAAGAGAGAAATAAGAGGGGAAGAAGAAGGGTTTACCTCCGTGCTCTGTTTTCGACAGCATGTAGAGGTGAATTCCGAGCAGGACGAGGATGGTAGTAGTTGTGAACCAACAACTGTGCAGGGGAGGAAAGGGAGACGAAAAAAGAAACCTGTGAAAGACCTGTCAACTCCTTCTGACTTCATTCCGTTGCAGCGGCCTGGGCATGTGGCATTTATCCGTCTGCCAGCACCATTGGATCTTAGTACTCCAGCCTAAATCAGTTTGTTTTGGCTTTTTTTCACTGACTTGGTGCTCAATACGATTGTGAAAAACACCTATATTTATGCTATCAGTAAAGATGCAGGCCCTTTGAGGCGTCCATGGATCTGAGCTGAATGAACTGGTGATATGGATTGCTCAGGTCTTATACTATGGCCTGTACAGAATACTCGTCAAGTATTTCTGGAGCACTGATAAACAAGACCCCATCCGCGATCTCTCAAAATATATGATGCAGGCTTGCTATGAGCAGATCAAGAGATATCTCCACATATCGTCTGCAGATGCCACAATTACCAACTACTTCGACAAACTAGAGCCTTTGCTCTCCCACATCCGCAATTTATCACAAAGGCTCTACTTTCTAGCAACAAATGTATCAGTAGACGAAATGATGGTTCGATTCTCTGATCGAAGTCCATATACTCTTTGTATGAAAAATAAGCCAGTTCCCGAGGGATTCAAGATCTTGTCTCTATGCGGGTCAGAATACGCATTCACTTTTTCTCTAACCTCAAGGATCGACTCTTTTCAAGTACCAAGGATAGAAGGACTCACAAAAACTGGAAATTCGGTAAACTATATACTTAGTCCAGCAGCTTCCTTATAGTTGGTTATCATTCGACGTTATTCTTCCAGTGTCAAACTGTTTCGGCATCTCAGAAATATGGGTATTAGTGCATGTGGGACAGCAAGAAGACAAGCGGGGATCCCCAAGGAGCTTCAAGCGGATAAAGCATGACTGGGACACTCGCTCCGGTGTCATGATAGATGAGGTGTTGGCGTTTTTGTGGCAAGATATAGGCCCTGTAAAGATGCTAGCAATCATCCATGGTGTCGTTAGAGAGGAATGAGAAATTACAAGGGAAAGACGCGCGACCCGAGAAACAAGTACAAATGCTGTAAATGTGCGGACAGTTTTTGGTTCTTCCCCTCGAAAAGAATTAAAGATCCCCAAAATCATTGATGATTACATCTTCAATATGGGGCATTAGCAGGAACCTCATGAAGCCTTTCCGCTCCACAAGATAACCCCATGTAGCATGATTCATGAGCCGAAGCTCTATTCGTATTCAACTAATTATCGGAAAAGGCGGTAATCGTCGCGTTCTAGCACGGATGGGGACGTAAATATCGCTGACCAACTTAGGTTGTATTACACCACACATCATTTCAATCGACGAAACTGAGAGTTCCGAAAGATTCTCGTCTGGGTACTCATTAAATCAGTTCGTAGCACTCTGTGCATTCTCCCCAAAAATAAAATTCGTGTTAATTTTTTAAATGGCTCTGGATGGTGCACGTGTACAAAAGAGTGGCTTTATTCTTGTTTGTCTTGTTTGTGCTCTATTTGCCATCACAAACACATCATCTATCCTCTGTCTTCATAATCGCTGAGATGTCTACAGCTGAACAATATATCCAGACGGAATATCCCGTCATAGATCCCGATCCCCACTTCACTCGGGTTATCCGCTACATGCGCGGTTCAGACCTTGCTGCATGGGGTGGTTTGACTGTTGGAGGTCCTGCTATTCTACTCGCATTTGGTAATGGAGACAAATGTTCTTTTTCTCAAGGAACATACATTCCCCGCTATCCACAATATAGCTAGGATTTCGATTCCATCAGGATTTTTGAGGAATGACTGTCTCTTTTATCTGAAGAAAAGTTGTATCCGTGAAACAATAAGTCAGGTCTCCAGGACTCCGATTCAACTTCAAGTTGGATATTGAGACGCAGGAAGACTACCTTTTCTTTTCTTTTCTTTTCTTTTTTTATCAGGGATTCAGATAGCCGTAACTTCAAACCCACAAACAAAGAAACAAAGATACCAAATATGTATTATGCCATGACACTATGAGGAACGTTTTATTGAAATGATCACACGATACGAAGTGCTTACTTTAGTTACTTGTGATTGGACTGATCAGGATTGAAAGACTATGCATGGCACGCAACACTCTTGTTTGGATCTGTTGAATGGGCTATATTAATTATCAAATACTTACGGCACTCAATATGGATTATGCTCGCATAATGTGAAGCATCAGTATCTCATTATTGCTTGGACTTGTGGGCTTTAGATCAACCACTACAGACAAACCAACCCCTATTAAAAAAATGAAATGTGTCAACCTCATTAGAGCGCATTCGCCCTGCTGCTGGGCCAAAAGGGGTCAATTTTGCATTGGGTCTTGCCACAGCCATGGGCTTCATGGGCGGCTTTCTTTTCTCGTATCAGAAATCAAGTCGTAAGTTTATCTTTTTTTTTTTTTTTTTTTTTTTTTTTTTTTTAAAAAAAAAAAAAAAAAAAAAAAGAAAAAAAGAAAACAATGGTATAAATTGATTATTTACCTAAATAATCTTCGTACCATTGTAACTGACCATAGTTCGCTTCTGGGGCTGGGAAGAGAATACTCGTGAACAAGCTATGGACCGTGAGGAGATGGCTGCTCGTGCTGCTGCTGGTCTTCCTGCGTATGGCGAGTCAAAGATGAGCGAACATGACCAGGCAGCAGCAGCTAGAGGCTCCAAGTATGCCGCTCTCAAATTTGGTATGTTAAAAAACCGTGCTGCTGTGTCCAATTTATGGCAATTTGCCCATCTTGAATTCATATCACGCATACCTCACTAACTAGAACACAACACAACTTTGCTTTTGATCTATAGCTTCAATTCCGTGGTTCAACACTGCCAACCACAAATATCACCTTACCGATACTATGAACGCTACAAAGAGCGAGCATTAGAGGAAATAGACTGAAAAATAATAGATTAATTAAATAATAATAATAATAAAAAAGACGAGCCACGTCATCTTGAGAAAGAGGTCCAAAAACAAGTTGATTTACACAAATTCAGGAACCTGGATGAACTTCTACTTTAGTTTGTGGGATGAGTTACACTTGGACGGATCGAACAAAGCATGCAGTCGGATCTTCACGGTTGATCGTCGCGAAATAGGTTTCGCTCGCTCGTTCGCACAAACAATTCTACCCGGTTCGGATGTGGAAGGATGACCGCAAAATTTCATAAGCGGAAGAGGTTAGATAGTCCTGTACCGAAATAAAGCTTTTTCATCATCCTCTCTTGTATATGAACGTGCTCTTTGTTCGTCGTTATTCGTCTCTTTTTTTATTTTATTTTATTTTATTTTTATTTTTTAATCCATGCGGAAATGTCGAAGTACAGACTTCAGAGGCTTGCTACGGACATAACCTCAATCACACTTGTTTGAGGCTTTCTGCCTTGACAGAGTGACAGACAGCACATTTAACACTACTGAGGACTGATCTAGGATATTTTTCTGCATTTTCTGTTTCCCGAATACTCTGGAAATAGGCAGTTGTCTTAATCCTGTCCTGCAAAAAATGTATATCTCGGAACGGTACTGTGTTCTAGATATCGAACAACGTACTTCATATTGATTCTATCGTTTCCTAGATGGAAGACCACTGGATTATCGAAGTATAATTTTTCCTTAACCGTTGATAAATGCGTTTTTGGTAACAGAAATAAACGCAATTTATCTACATACATGGCAGGGTTCAAGTATTCTTCTACCATTAGAGGTATAGCGCCAAAGAAATCTGAAGTCGTGGGCCCATAGAAGCATGTGTAAATATTACAAAGTATCGTTCCTACTCTGTATTGCAATCCAATGGGGAAGTTAAGAAGGCGCTGGGTTCGGACAAAATCAAGTGACGAGAATTGCTGCGTGATTTTTGCAAATCGCCATTCGATATCTGTACGCTGCGAATTCATGACACTGTTATAATGCTTTTCATGTTCTGACATACTGGGCCATTCATTAAACTGAGCTATGATAGTCAGACCAAACATGGTACTATCTCCATAAATTGTCAGTCATTCGCCACATGTATTCTTTGCGTGCTCATTCAAAATAGCTGCAATACCTGAAAGCCGGAACATCTCGATATCATTCGTACATCCATCAAACCCTGTGTTGGGATGGATTATAATATTATTAGTCGAAACAGTGCCCTGATTATTAAGGCCAGGGTATTTTTTCGGCCATTGTAGAATAATTCTTGGACAACTGATGGTGCACATATCTTGCGACAGGTCCCGTCAATAAATGCAAAGTTATTCCAGCATAGCGTCCTTTGCGATAACTAAGGAGGACTCGCTCCTGTAATTTAACAGGGGAGAGACAGTGAGAATCCCAGGCTAAAATATTGTCCCACCTTGCTATAATCCAACGTAGAGTCATGTTGATGACCTTAACAGCGGCGCCTCGGCACGATTAAACATTTACCTCATTCGATCAAGCTTAGTGGGAAATGAGCGCTTGTATAGTAAAATACACATTGCCTCAACAGAAGTGACTCGACCAGCGCTTCCTGCCTTCATTATACCGGCATGCACAATGCCACAATAATATGCAAAAACGCAGTCGATCAAAACGAAACCGCTGCTTCATTTCATCATTATCAAAGCGACTAATGTCAAAGCACAAGTCGGGCAACAGTGAGTCCTCGACTGCCAGAATTTGGATATCGTTCTCCTCTCCTTCATGCCTTCCTCTCCCTCTTCGTATGGCACATCTTCCGCTCTCCCTTCGCCTAGCGCCCTCTCGCCCTCTTACTCCTCTTCTTCTTCAATGTCAACTTCAGGAATATCTTCTTCAAGATCTTCCCCACGAGCAATAAGCCCTCCCATGAACAATATGAGACCAAAAGTCCCCGAGATAAATGGAATAATAAGTGGATGAGTTACGGAATGAAGGACGAGGTGGAAGAGTTATAAAGAGTGAAAAAAGTCTTTTGGATTTTTGGATTTACTCTGCTGCGGCATGCAGTAACTACGATAAGGGGAAATTTTGTTATAGCCACGAAGGCTCCGAAAAAATCATCCAATCTGTAACCATTTCTCCCTGTCACTAGAGTGAGTGCAAAGACGTGGATTTGTCATTGAGTTGCACGGCAATAAGTAAACTTTACAGATGCATCATGTTGAACATGACTAACACGTCATTGAAATAGTCACCTTACCCTTGCTTGGGTTCATTTTTTTTTTCTTTTTTTCATACTGTCCAGGGTACACTTGCAATACATATATACATACATCAGCATTCTATCTTAACACAATGATGCCGGGTTCATCCAAGGAAGTGGGAGCTGTGGCGGGTATATCCAGTACAAATGCGTCATCAACACTTCGGAGGCCTCTTCTCAAGATTGATATGGAAAGCGATAATACGCAATATGATAAGCGGCGATTGGATACTTCTTCGGCATCACATAATCGATTGTTTTCAAATAGGACATCAGGAACAGGAACAGGAACCAGTGCACCAGAGGAAGCAGCATCTATTGTTTTATCAAGTAAACATTCGCGGAAGTTGACCGCGACTAATATCGCTAATAACACTAATACGATTAATACCACTATTACCACTAATACCACTAATACCGCCCCCACCGCCCCCACTGCCACATCCTTGTTTCAGTCGAACACAGTCAGCACCAAAGCTGCTATTACTTCATCCTCATCAACGTATTTAGGACACTCAAAGTCCAATGGTTCAGCTGCAAGCTCAATACCAAATATTTTCAGTAAACTCATCAACAGTGTCGGATCTGGAAACCATATTGGCAGCAGTCGGCAAGCGAAACTCGGGGGAGATCTACTGGCTGCCTCACCAGCAACGGCACATGTTGTTGGCCTTGGTGGCGCAGTGGGGGGGTCTAAGGTGAATGCTTCGGGATCTGGCAGCAACGGCGGAAATAGCACCAGCAATGGTTGCAGTCGAAACAAGAATGCAAACGACAATAATAATACTAGTAGTAGCAGCGCTAACAGGAAAATGCTTCCTCCTGTAAGCGCTGTCCAGCGTCATAATCCATATGGCCGTTCTTTAGTGTTATCTACAGCAACTACACGACAAATTACTCGGACATCAACTACTAGTGACACAGCACCACTACCTCCAATTAGGTATGTAGAATATAAATGGTGGATATATATTAACCCAGGAAAAGACATGGGTAAAAAAAAACACAAGTAAAGTGCTTATATATCTATATTGCTTGTATATCCGCAACACTAGCCGAGCGTTAATACCTAAAGTATGGTGTTTAGACGACTTTGAATTAGCACGACCGTTGGGGAAAGGTCAGTTTGGGCAAGTGTATCTGATGCGGGAGCGACAGAGTAGATTTGTGGTAGCCATGAAGGTTGTTTTGAAATCTGACCTACTCAAACATAATATGGAGCATCAGCTACGTCGTGAAATTGATATTCAATCCAACCTCAGGTAGGTTTTTTTTTTTTTTTTTTTTTTTTTTAAAAAAAAAAAAAAAAAAAATCGATGGTAGATGAGGATTGAAACTCGACTAACTCATAAAAATGCTCCTTCGTCATCGAATAGACATAAGCATATTTTACGCCTCGATACTTTTTTCCATGATGAGAAGCGGGTGTATCTAGTACTGGAATATGCTCCGCAGGGAGAGCTTTACAAGAGATTAAGGAAGATGGTTAAGTTTCCAGAGTGGCAGGCTTCCAAGGTATTGAGACTGTAGGATGCTAATGGATCAAAGCTGTGGACTAGAGGGAAAAAAAAAAGTATAACGCTGATTTATTTTTTGTTTCGATCTTTAGTATATTTACGAGTTAGCTACAGCATTGGCTTATCTGCATCGGAAGCATGTGATCCATCGAGATATTAAGCCTGAGAACTTGTTGCTTGGAGCCCATGGAGAGCTCAAAATTTCTGACTTTGGTTGGTCAGTCCATGCACCATCCCCTTCGTCTCGGCGGCTGACCTTTTGTGGAACATTGGACTACTTAGCCCCGGAAATGGTAGAGGGCCGTGTTCACTCGAATCGGGTGGATGTGTGGTCACTAGGTGTGCTGTGCTATGAGTTCTTGGTAGGAAAACCGCCGTTCGAGGGGCTGCAAGAAGAGGATCGACAGGCGACATACTCGAGAATTGCCAAAGTAGATCTCGACATTCCAGAGACTATCAGTAGCGAGGCAAGAGATCTGATTTTAAAGGTACATTGTTCAATACAGCTTCCTGGCATAGTAGTATTCTTTGTAGTTTTTCTTTTTACGACTGACATTATAAGAGTGTGCTGTTTAACTTTTCCTAGTTGCTGAAATACCATCCGGACCACCGCTTGGGATTGGAGCGCGTGCTTCTTCATCCTTGGATTACTCGACATAATGGCACTAAAGGCAGCAGTAGCAGCCACAATCGGGGGTTATGATCGCCGAGCATTGAGATATTCAGATAAAAGGCTGTCTTGGCATTGATTGTCTTATTGCGACAATGTTGTAATACCTGAATAAAAAATATCTGGCGTGACGTGACTGCGATGCTTGTACAACAGGATAGGACAGAACAAGGATAGGACAGAACGATTGATAATTAATTTTATGTTACTTGAGAGGATCCGCGCATAATACATGCACAAGAGCACCATTCAGCTTCAGCTCCAACTTCTTTCCATTACATTCCTTGCATGCCAAACTCATTAGCCTATTCTCTGCTCCCTTATATTCTACTCTTGTTGTCTGAAGTAGTCATAACCCTCAAGTACTTCTGTTTTATTTTATTTTTGAGCGTTTGGGTGTAGTACTCGCCTGGAACGTTTCAAGTTGTTCCTCCATACCCTTCAGAATAGCAGACTACGTGATCCTCCTGCTATCTATCAACCAACTATGAGATGCATCAACAGCAGCCGTCGGGTCAGAGCTCTTCTTGTTTTGACAGCCATAACATGGTCCACGATTGCCAATTTACCACTTTCTGGAGCCACTGCGCTACCGCAACAGCAACAGGATGGTTCTATAGTTTCTTCATCTTTACTATATGATGCAATTAAACCCCATAGCTTTGACCCCATTACAGTGCTATCGGATGGCGACGATAGAGGTATCTCTTTGGCAAGCCCACTCTTGGCTGTGATGGCACAACAAAGGCTAGGAGATAGACCTGCAGACTGCCCACCATGCTTCAACTGTTTGTTGGATGCATTCCCTTGTTCACACTTCGCGCCCTGTAATCAATATGATGGACGGTGCGTCTGTCCACCGGGATTTGCAGGTGATAACTGCTCTGTGCCAGGTAATGAGTTTTTTTTTTTTTTTTTTTTACGACCACGCTGCCAGCGCGCTAGCTAAATAGAAAGCTTTTTGTTGGATTTACATCCTTGTACCAGTTTGTGGGGCTTTATCTGATGGCAAAGATAGGCCCCAGCGTGGTGAGGATGAGAAGTGTAAGTGCAAGGATGGCTGGTCGGGCATTAATTGCAATGGTAAGTATACATGGTTTTTTTTTTTTTTTTTTTTTTTTTTTTTGTTTTGGCGAAAAGTCCTAATAACCAAAACCCTAATCTCAATGTCTATTCGGGAATATCAAAATATTTTCATCAGTCTGTATTGCAGATCATGTTTGTGATTCGCTTGTCCCTTCTGGCAAAAATGGCACCTGTTATGATGGAGGACTCACGGTGTTTGAGAACTTTCAGCAGTGTGATGTCACCAGTAAGTACTCCTGTTTTCGCATCCTTTTCAGTAACAAAAAATAAAATAAAATAAAATAAAAAGTAAAAAAGCATGCTTTATTGAAGGAATAAATAACATAATAAACAAAATTATTAGATCGAAAGATTCTGGACACGCTAGGTCCAGATTTGCCACCTGCGGTCACCTTTTCGTGCAACCAACGGAACAAAACTTGTGATCTTCAATTCTGGGTGAATGAAGTCGAGTCATTCTATTGTCACTTGAGCGAATGTTCGTTTGCACAGGATGTGCAATACGATAAGACCGTGACGACGTACAAATGTCCAAAAATCAAGTGTTCATGTATCCCAGATCGTATGCTTTGTGGCAAGGATGGAAGTGTCAGTAAGTTATAATTACTCAAATTAACCATCACATTGTACTAAAAGAAAAAAAAAGGTAATGATTTAATGTTAATAATCGATTCTTTATTATTTCCAATTAGATATTGATGACTTTTTAGAAGAGGAGATTCATGGGCCTGGCGATTTTGAATGCTCAGGCGGCAAGTGTACCTTTCAAGGTAAGTTTTACGGACAGTAAAATGTTTTTACTGTGCTTTAAGATTAAGCAATATAACTAGAAATATCGTATCCCTTACTGCTATTGTGAATAGAGCCTGCAATGAACGAGCTTATTATGGATATGTTTGGTGATCCTGCTATCTACCTCAAATGCCACAGTGGTGAATGTTTGCACTATACTCAGGTCCCAGGATTCACGCGCCCTCCGCGACCGGACTACACAAAGGCAATCATTCTTTCGATTGGAGGTGTCTTTGCTTTTTTGATCGGTCTCGGCATCGCCGTATGTTACTTATCTAGGAAAGCATCCTCTTCGGACGGTCGCGGCGTCATCTCGCTTCCAGATGACGAGACTTCAAAACTAATGGCAGAACATATTCCAGCAACACTGATGTTCAAAAACCTGAGCTATTCCGTCGAAGGAAAAGAGGTTCTGAGCCAAGTAAGTGGGCTGGTGAAGCCAGGACAAGTCATGGCAATCATGGGTGCAAGTGGAGCGGGTAAGACGAGTCTTTTGGACATTTTGGCAAGGCGCTATAAGGCTGGAACTATTTCAGGTTATATCTATGTAAATGGACGAACAGTCTCAGATCAGGAATACAAGCAGGTCGTTGGGTAAGCGAGTAGCTCCTTTAATGCGACTGGGTAGTTTGCAGGTCATCAGAAAGGAAAAATGCGCTCGTGGTACGGATATTTCTCATATATTTCTTTTCTTTTCTTTTTTTTTTTTTTTTTTTTTTTTTTTTTTTTTTTTAAAAAAAAAAAAAAAAAAAAAAAAAAAAAGATATGTGGATCAGGAAGATACATTGATGTCTACACTGACAGTGTATGAGACTATACTTTACTCTGCACTTTTACGCCTTCCTCGCGACATGTCATATGATGCTAAGCGTTACCGTGTCCTCGAAACTATGTCAGAGCTCGGAATATTGGGGATTAAAGACATGAAGATCGGCTCTAGTGGTCAACGATCGATTTCGGGTGGTGAGAAGCGTCGTGTCTCTATTGCTTGCGAGCTAGTCACATCACCATCGATATTGTTTTTGGATGAACCTACCTCAGGCTTGGATTCTTACAACGCAAACAATGTGATTGAAAGTTTAGTGACATTGGCAAGGACCTATCATCGAACGGTCGTCTGCACCATCCATCAGCCTCGGAGCAATATCTTTGCCATGTTTGATCATTTAGTCCTCTTAGCGAAGGGTGAAATGATCTTTTCGGGCGAAACTAGAGAGCTGAATGCACATTTAAGACGGTTGGGCCACCCGTGCCCTGAGGGATATAATATGGCGGACTACATGTTAGATCTAACTATGCACACGGGTAAAAGCCCAAGTAGGCCTGAAGAAGGAGTTGGAAATAATGGCTTGGAATCGTATACACAACGTAATCCCATCTTGAGCGGGGACACATCTGAGGGACCTTCAGAAGAATCAGCACTGAGATTCAATGGTATGTCTTCATTCGCGCGTATGCCGAGTATGGCAGATGATACGCGCCAATGGGAAAGTGCTTTGGCTTCAAGAGAACATGGGCGATCAGTCCTTGGCGGTTCTACCGAAAACATAGCCATTGGCATCGACCCACCTGCCCTGTTGAATGAGGATACCTCTGCTCGGCTTACTACTGAAGAAGAGGCATTAGCAGCAACTCATCTTCAAGCACTTGTGGACGGCTTCAAGCAGAGTACGCTTTTGGCAGAGGTAGAGCAAGATATTGATACGGCAGTAATGGTCGCATCTGCACCCGATGGTATTGATAGCGGCAGTAATAATAATGGACAAAACATCCCAGCACCAGGATCAAGCCAACAACAGCGGCAACAACAGCCAGTTCTTTCTGAGAAAGCTGTAGCCATCTTCCGTCGAGCTTCATGGTGGACTCAGTTCAGAATTTTGACGGACCGAACACTCAAGAATATCTACCGTGATCCGATGCTGATGTTATCTCATTACGTGATGTCGATTTTTCTGGGTCTCCTTTGTGGCGCTCTTTTCTACAAGGTCACCAATGATATTCCTGGGTTCCAGAATCGAATGGGGGTCTTCTTTTTTATGTGTGCGCTCTTTGGGTTCTCATGCTTATCAATCTTGCCATCATTTGCGCAAGAACGAATTTTGTTTGTGAGGGAGCGCGCCAACGGATACTATTCACCCTTCATGTATTTTGTCTCAAAAGTCCTGTTTGATATTGTACCGCTTCGAGTAATTCCCCCAATGCTGATGGGCTTAATTATCTATAATATGGTTGGGCTTGTGGAGGGTTGGACTGAGTTTGGAAAGTTCTTCTTAGTCTTAGCGTTATTTAACATCACGACATCTGGCGTATGTCTGATGATCGGTATTCTCTTTGAAGCAGTTGGCGTGGCCAACTTGATGGGCAGCCTTGTCATGCTGTTTTCGATGCTCTTCGGAGGACTCTTATTGAACAAAGGTAAAAAGAAAGTCTATCAATGGGGGAAAAAAATGCAATTTGCATCGAAACGGATCATTGACATGTTACATCGACTTGATTTTAGAATCCATACCCGACGAGTTGTCTTGGCTTCAGAAGCTTTCTTTCTTCAACTTTGCATTTGAGGCATTGCTTGTTAATGAGATTACTTTTCTTCAGCTCGTTCAAAAAGAATACGGACTTGAGATTGATGTAAGTCCCTTTTTTTTTTTTTTTTTTTTTTTTTTTTTTAAAAAAAAAAGTACTCATTTTTTTTTTCTTTCTTAATTTTAGGTCCCTGGCGCAGTTATTCTGTCAACATTCGGATTCAACTCTGGTGCATATTGGAGGGACATCCAGAATCTGGCAATCATGGCCGGGACCTTCTTTGCCATCGCCTTTCTCTGGCTTCAGTTCCGAGTGAACGAACGAAGATGAGCTTATTCACGTAATATATCATTCTTTTCTATCTCCCCAACTTATACTGTAAATAAATTATAATAGCTTGACAAAGTTCCATTGTTGAGTTAAGATTTTCATTTATTTTGAGAAAGGCAAAACGAAGAGAAGACTGTTTTCTTCAAATGTGGAAAAGTAATCTAGTTGAATAAAGTAAGAAAAAGAAAAGAAAAGAAAGCCTTGCTGTTTTCGCGTTCAAATGTGAAAGAATGGGATCATCACTGCGAGTCCTTGGGCTTATTGCTGTCGTTGGTACTAGGTTGGTCACTGTGATCATCTTCACAACTCTTGAGATCCATATGGCGGCGAAGTTCATCTTTGCGCATAAAAGGCTTGTTGCATGTTTGGCAGCTGTAGATGTGGGTCACCCCATGGATAGATATTTGATGGCGCTGAAGATCATTTTTACGTGTAAACGACTTTTTGCAACCTTTCTCAGGGCATGCAAAGAGTCGGGCTTTGCTCCGGTCATGTGTCCGTTCATGAGTATTCAAATTGAAAAGACGGGAAAAAGCACGGCCACACAGCTTGCAAGCAAACTGACGTGGAGAGGAACTCGTATCGCCATTAGACTCTAGTTCATCCGACTTTCGCTTCAATGGATTCTTGTCCGTGGACAAGGGAGTTGTCTGGGTCGTTGCTGCTGGCGCTGTCGACATCGAAGTTACCGTCGTTAGTGTCGATTGCTGACGACTAACTGCAGCCATAGCTGCAGCAACCGTTTTCATCGTCAAAGAGGTAATCAAAGATTGCTGATGCCTATCATACAGTGAGAGTAAAAGGCTCAAATCTAACTGAGGCGAGGTAGCAATGAGAGGAAGTAAAGGTGAAGACTCCGTTGAAAAAGGATGGACAGCCGCAGTGCTGCTGCTGCTATTGTTGTTACTAAAATCGAATGGAGGATTCTGGGAAAGTTGGTCTGACATCCAATCGAGCGACATCTGGGGGCTGGACGTCACCATGGTGGGCGTAACCGATTTCGTCAAAGAGAGATCAACATCGGAGAAAAGATTACCGAGGAGATCGGAGGAATCATTCATGAGAGGTGAAGTCAGGGCACTCACAGTCGATAACTGGTTTGCCATATTTGTTGCTGCAGCGGTAACGAGCTGCTTTGCAAGCTCATCGGTATCTATGTCTTGTGAAAACTAGATGAATATGAATACCCTCTAGATTAGATGAGGTACTTACTAGGGTGTAGGATACGAGATAAAAGCCTTTTCAATAATGATGATGGATATAGCAAAACATACCGTTGAATCCGAGAACATGGGGGATGATACGGAAGTTGTTTCAGGAGTGGCCATTAAGGTCGAGATAGGGCTCGGATGAGTAATATCGTCATAGAGAACAAAGTCGAGTAAGGCGTTTTCGGCTTGAAGACGAGACATAGCCTGACTAAGATCCTGATCAGAAGCATCTTTCTCTTCTAAAAAAGTTGTTGAGGCAAGAGGTGAAGTGCTAGAGATGGGCGAAATAAGGCCCAAGTTCAGGTCCAAGTTTAAGCCCCCAGCGGTCATAGAAGAGGCGAGATTGATATCAGAGTCGGCACTATTCCAGAACTGATTGGGGGCAGCAATATCAAGGACTTCAGAGGCCACAGAATCGAATAGGGGGGTCTGGTGAGATGGGTCCGGCGAGTCAAGGTGGGATGTAAACGGGGTACTGGAAACAGAGGCGCAAATCTCGTCCAAGAGCGAGAGCTGATCGAAGCCAGATGCATCGTCTTGGGGAAGCGTTGCAGCCACTGGGGCAAAGGCAGGGGCAGAGGCAGAGACTGTTGAAGCTTTGGAAGAACTGGAAGTATTGAACCATTCAAGATCATCAAAGCTTAACAGAGGTTGCTGGGACAACAGTGAGCCATCACACGAGGTGACAGCATCGAGAGGGCAGAGGCCATCCTTGGGCGGAGTCGTTCGTTGCAAGACATGGTTGGTAATAGAAGAAGGGTTAACCTTGGGAAGAGAGTTTTGAATAAGAGGTTGAATAAAAGTCGGCTCTAAAGGCTCGTTAAAAAAAACAGGATCTGGTGGATTGTCTGTAAAATATGAATTATTAAATTTGTCGTCAAAAATGAACATGCACAGGCTAGAAAAGGAAGCTTGGTGTTGTTCAGGCGCCAAAAACAAAACGGATGCTTGAAAGTGACGGGGATTGAAAAAGGCTCAGTTGCTATTACAACGAACGGTACGGGCCGATAGACAAGCAGATATGAAGATGAAGAGGTTTGTTCAGAAGCGGAAGGGGCTTGAACAAACTAAATAAAAAGGTGAGAACACGGACGCTCTTGTGGGTATGCGCGTGTTCTTTAAAAAGAGTCGTTTGTTGAGATTTGCAGCAAGCACTGGAAGGTCAAGAGCTGCGCTGGCGGAATAAAAAACTATGCTTGCTTTGATCGATTGGTTTGCGTCGCTTTCGTAGATTAAGAAAGTGAGGGGGGAGGAGGAGGAAGGAAAGAAGGGGAGAGGGAGGGAAGGGAAAGAAAGTGAGCTTGTTGTGTGCAGTAGTAGCAGACAAAGTCAAAAGAAAGAAAAGTCAAAGGAAGCAAAGTAAAAAAAGGGAAGACGATCGTATCCGTATGATAGGATGGAACGTCCTTTTAGGAGAAGTGCTTTGTTTATAGTCCTTTGTGAAAGGATTAAAAAGAAAAAAAAAAGCCAATTGAAGGCTATGTCGCTTTGGGTAGAAAGGGGAAATGGTGGAGGAGGAAGAAAAGAAAAGAAAAATAGAAAAAAAAGAAAGAGGCGAGAAAAAAAGGCTTTTGCCCGTACTCCTTAAGAAAGAGCGAAGAGAAATTTTTTTTTTTGTGAACTGCGGGATGCATGGGGCGTCCTATGCTCACAAGAACATTGGCCAATCAGATTTCGCCCAACTAAAAATGAACACAAATGCCATTGTTCAACAACCAGTTTTTTTTACGCCGCCCATTTAGTGTCACCCATTTAGTGTCATCAACAATTCTATTTTGTATATCTATACATGTATAACATTCAAACTGAGAAAAAAGGCAGTGTAAAATATATATAATATATATATTATAGCCCGTTTCATTTGGTCATGATACCTTATATTTTTTGAATACTTTCGAGTGTATTGGCAGCCAATTGGCTCGCTTGTTGCGAGTATTGTTGCAAGTCCGTCACGTAGTGAAATGCCACCAGAACAATTCAATCATCGTTTTTAGATTAAAAATATAAGGTATCATGACCAAATGAAATTGGCGATATATATCTTCTCATTCTGCTTTTCATCCATGGCGGTCTTGTAAGCCACCAAATTAGTTCAATCCAATCATCTTGATATAACAAGAGCCGTGGGAATGACGGATAGAATTATAACATCATCATAACATGTATTGGAGTATTCTGAAGTATTCTATTTAAATTCAATCGAGATAGAAAAAGCTTAGTAGAACTTTATTTACTACCTGGTCGGCTCCACAGCCAATAAAAAAAAAAAAAAAGATACACAATACTTTATTGAATTGGAAATCGACCTAATTCAATTTTTTACTCCAATACATAGTGTCCTGGCACTGTGCATGTATGCAGCATTTATATATATATCATCTATAACAAATAAAGTGAGCATAAAAAATGAGTCCCAATAATCAGATCCATCCTTGGTATACTCCATATTCAAAATATTCAGGAAAAAAAATATATTATTTATATATTCTATGTAATTCTATTTAAATACATATATTACAATGGAGTTGCTGAAGTTGGCAAATGTTCTCCTGCAATACCACTTCGAACAGACAATCGTGGCATCAGTTCTTGACACCTATTCTTCTGCATGCCTTCCCCATCCCCACTTTGCTCATGGAAGACAACCGGCGACAGCGGGCTGATCTCTACTGGTGAATACACCCAGCTCTTGGAGAGTGCACTGTGGCCTGTGGAGACCATTCGACCATTTCCTGAACCAGTATGGAATGTGGGTCCCATGCGGCCGCCTTGATCCAATTGTTCATCCGAATGCGTTCGCCTAGCAGGCGTCGAGGCGAGAAAGCCTGTGAGAGATGGTCGTCTCGGCTGATAGCTCTCTTGAAGGTACTGATTAGGATGATGCTGTTGTTGTGAATGATGATGCTGAAAATGTGAATGGTAAGGCTGATACTGACTTGCATTCTGACTTGTTAGTGGTGAAAGAGGGTGGTGGTGTTGCTGTTGCTGCTGCTGCTGTTGCTGTTGCTGTTGCTGTTGGCTGGTGGGGTGAAAGAGTCGTCTACGACTGACATAGCTAGTGCTGTTTTGTGCTGACGAACCCGATCCACTCTGTCCAGAGTGCTCATCACCCTCATCAACTTCATCTATGCTGCTGGCGTTGCTACAAATACTATTAGGTCTTTCTAACCTTCCATGTCCAAAACTGGACGCAGGCCCAGGTCCGCTGTATAAATGAAAATTGTGGAATCGCTCTGGCAAAGACATAGGGTTTGTTGGATATGAGTGTTGCTGGTGCAGCCCTACGTTAGGTGACCGAATGATTGGAATTGGACCATGCTCTGTTGTGGGTGTAGGAGAATCTACTGACGTCAAACGTTATAAATGTTAATTACAAGTGGACAACGGCAACATCAACAAAACGACAGTAATTGGTGATTCCAATATGCAGAGCCTTGCCTAAAGTGCATGTTGACGAAATGGACTTGCTTCGTCGACGATTGGCTGCAAAGTTTCCAATGGAAACTGAGAGCTTGCGAATCCGGTTCTTAATCTTTTCCATAATAGTAACGGCCCCCTTTACTTCCTCCTCCGTGACATGCACACGCTGATAATTCCCAGGATCAGTCTCAATCCTCCACCTTAGAGGATCTTGCATGTCTGCAGTCACCCATGGGTGCTCCTAACAATAGACAGGACACGTGAGTTTTAATAACTAATGATACTGATCATAATAATATAATAATAGTAAGACCCGTACCTTGACTTCCTTCAGGGTGATTCTCTTAAATACATCCTTTTCCAAAAGACGAGAGAGTAGATCTTTGAGCTCTGGCTCGACAGAATCCCGTCCTGGAACACTATCCGGAAAGATCGGCTGCTTACGAGGGATGATGTTAAACAGCTCAAACTCAGTTTCTGCAATAAAAGGACATCGCCCATAGATAAAGCAGTATAGAGTTACGCCAAGCGCCCAAATGTCGATGGCCTTGGTGATAGGCGGTCGTGTGGATGTGGGGTTGTTATTGACTACCAGCATGCCTGTAGAGGCCGAGGGATTGGTACGAGGGGCTGTCGACAACATTGTAAGTGAAGTCTGAGATGCAGACGACAGAGCAGGCGTGTATTCACCTAAATACATGGATGATAGACTCAGTATTCAAGGATATGACACTTTATTCGAAACCACTTGATGCACGTTTTTTTTTTTTTTTTTTTTTTTTTTTTCTTACTCACGTAACACAGCTCTGGGGCGAAAAAGGCAGGACTTCCAGCTGTTTTGGCCAATTCCAAGTCCTCGCCCCATTGCTGCTGGGAAACGATCGACAATGGCCTTTGTTGGTAGAGTGATCCTTGGTCAGGTTGAGGACTGGCACCAATTACAGATTGGGCTCTACTTGAAAACGAAGAAGACACAGGAGATGCTAAAGCGCCACTTCGGATATCTGAGGATGTAGAGTGGACAGTGGAGGGGACGTTAAATCCCTTAGAAACAATGGGTGAATTGTCAAGATCACGCTCTAGTGCATTCTTTTCACTAAAATGGGACACTCCAAAGTCAGATATCTTGACTGCTCCTTCGGAGGAAAGCAATAAGTTGGCTGGCTTGATATCTCGATGGATAATGCCCTGCATGTGAACTATGAGAAAAAAATAAAAAGAGAGCAAGCGAAATTAAGAAATCCCATCCTTGTAACTATTGTCCAAACAATTAAAAAGGCACCTACGGTACTCCAAGCCCAATACGACATCGCGAAATATTGAACGTGCATCCTGCAACGGCAAGATTGGTTTATCCTCAGTGTCTTTCCAGCGTACCTCACCACCTTCCATATATTCGAGTACTATGCAATATTAGCCATTTGGAAGAAAGAGTGAGCCTCAAAATTAAAATGAACTTTGTTGTCGAGCAGCCAAAAATATGGACTTTTTTTTTATTTTTTTTACCTAGATATATTTTTCGGGCAGTGGGATCGTCAATCACTTCAATGAGACGGACGACGTTGGGGTGAATACACTTCTTCATGATTGCTATCTCGCGACGAATCTTTTGTTCGTTCGAGAACTGTGAACGTCCAAGCCGTCTTCGGGTTGTCTTGTCTACAATCTTGATGGCCTGAGTTAGTGCAACGGGAAACCAAGGGAATGCATGTTAACCTCTCACGCTAATCTCATACCGCATGCAAACAAATGCAAGTTTGTCATACCAACATTTGAGAGGAAACACACTTACGCAGAATTCATTTGTGATGGTATCACGGCACAGTTTCACCTTCCCATGCACGCCGCGACCCAGCTCCCGTACAACCATGTACTTGTTGATCATCTTATTACCCGTCATGGGATCATAGTCCTTCATCATCGTACGAGTCTCCTTAACTGGTTGAGAGGAGGGGGAGGCAACCGACCGTCCTGGCGATGTCCCGTAGCCGGAAGGAACAGGAGACTGCATTGGCGTAGTATTACTGCGTTGATGTGAGTGACGGATGGAAGAAGGGGAAGAAGGTACGGGAGAATAGATAAATGAGAACCGTGATGATGGTTTTGGAGCCGATGTGGAAAACTGTAACATCGAGGCATGCGGCTCTACTTGACGTGCATTAATGTTTTCAAACGACGAACGGTCCTCAAACGATTGCTGATCCAGAGACATTCGCCTCTCCATGGCTGATCTAGGTGTCGCTATAATGGAGGGCCGTCGGCCATGCTGTTCGTGATCGCCTTGACTAGCCTTTGGTGTACGTAAACTCTTGAGACTAAGGCGTAGACGAGAGGTCTTGCCCTTCCTATTTGAAACTACAGGTGTACCTGATGGTGTGGTTGCTCCTGGCGAGGCTGTCCGAGAGCTTTGGTTGCTGGGAGAAGGTGAGGATGATGCCTCATGGGGTGAATCCTGGTCTGATACGCTCTCTTCAATATCTGTTGTAGAGTTGTTTGATATGGCACTAGAGGATGCTCTCCTGGTGGAGTGCAGGTCAGGTTGTTTGATCCAAGGTATCGCGAGCTGATGATTATCGCTACCCATTGTCAACTGTTGGTGTTGAACTGAACGACTGGTACTCATTCGATCCCTTCAAACACCCTCCGTGCGTTCGAATCAGTGGATTGACAACAGAGGAAAAAATAAAAAATAAAAAAAGGAACAGGCTAGGATGTGGAGACAAAAATGGCTACTGACGGTTACACTTGAGGAGAACCAGGTTACAAAAAAAGACGATTTGAGGACGGAAAAGAATAGTCGGGGAGTGGAGCTAATTGATCGAGCAAAGACAGAAAAGTATCTTCTTGTTTGGTTACCTATCTGATCAAGAGGAAAAAAAAAAGAGATAGAGAGAGAGAGAGAGACTAAATGTGTCTTGAAGGAGAGGAAGAGAAAGTAAGAAAAGAAGTACCCGGATCCATGAACAAAAGAGATGAACAAGATTACAGACATTCAAGTTGGAAACGGGAAACAGGATGGATTTCTAATGCAACGTCAGTCTTAAGGGAGGAACAAGGGATAGAACAGATTAGGTAGGAGAAAGAATTGGGAAAACAAAACATTCCACATAAAACCCGACTGGATCCCAGTAGAATTGAACAAAATCGACAAAAAATAGAAAAGGATGAAGGGATGGAAGCAGAGCATGCATTCGTTTAATCATTTGAACATTCACTGTAAACACACATCACAAACTGTAAAGTTCTTTTTGCTCTTGGAGCTGTGTCTTTTTTTATTTCATTGCCAGTCGAGTTGTTCCTTGTTTTTTTTAGCGCCATGTCCCATGACATGATTTGAAGGGGAAGGAGGACCTCGCTTTCGATGTAGAGCTTGTTGAACAAGGCTAGAGAGCAATCCGATCGACAAAAGCACTAGTAGGCCTCTGTATACAACAGCAGCAAAGTGCACAGGACAGTAGCCGAGGAGATCAAGTTAATAAAAGCATAGTATTTCATTCATTCCCATCCATATCCCAGATGGTTAATGATTCTTGGTGACCAGCCACGTGCGATATTGGTGGCAAAGAAGACTGCATCTGAGCTGTAAATCCAAATCCGAATCCAAATCCAAATCAATGAATGTATCCATTGACAAAGAAGTGCTGACCCTTGCCACAATTCGTAAAAAGTAGACTACGCAAGTGTTTGTGCCTGGCTGTACACGAGTGCCTACCAAAACCCAACAATAGTACCCTTGAGTATTTATTAGAAAACTATAGACAAAAAAGCCCTCTCTGTACCTGACAATTTGGATGGAGAATTTTGATGGATTGGAAACATGAGGCATCGCCACAGAACACAAAAATCACAGTTCCTTGCGCATTTACTGGAGGCAGACAAACAAATGGCACAGCCCATCCAGCTTTGGACTTTCTCTAAAAATACCACCTTGGCTAAGAGATGTGAACTGGAGTAAAAGGAGTAATGACTATCGAAGCTGTTTGTTGTCCTTCTCCGTTCTCTTGCTTCTCTTCTTCTTTCTTTCCCTAGTCACTATCTTTATCGAATTGGTCTCTTCTGTAATACTTAGCTCTTCTTCTACAACACGTTTGCTCCATTACGATCTATACCTTAACTGAAACCTCTTTGTTTGACTTACAATGAGTCGTGATCGCTTGAACGATTTCAACAATGTAATTGCAAACTTAATGTGTTTATGCCTTGTAGTCCATTTAATTTAGGCTTCAAAAAAATTTATCTCGCTATACTCATCATCAATTTCCATATCAGGGTTCTGCCGCATATGGCGACAAGGATAATGGCAATCAAACGCCTGTTGAGCTTGCTCCTTTGCGTGGCGATACATTGAATCAATTCTTTCAAGAGGTAGTTTTTTTTTTTTTTTTTTTTTTTTTTTTTGAAAGGGAAAAAGAGAGCATAAAATAAGGATACTTATTCAAACTATCGCTCTACAGACTGAAGTCATTCAGACCAAGATCCAACAATTCCAGACTGGCATCAGTGAGATTGATCAACTCTATAGCCGAAAGCTCAGCTCCAGCGCTAGCGTTGAAGGTAAACTTTGATTTAATCTGTTTTTTTTATTTTGTTGTAGTAGTTATGGTAGTAGTCTTCGGAAGCATTTTCTAAGCAAAAAGCTATGCTGATTCCATCTAGTTATCAAGCAGCTGGAGGAAAGGACCCAATCCACTAACAGTCTATCAACCGAAATCTATGACCGACTTCGAGGTACGACATTCCATGCATACGTTATTGCCATTATTGTACGGCAAGAAATAGAGTCATGCTTACAATCAATAATCTGCCTTTTGAGGTTAACTGTGTTATCCATATGATCTCAAATACCTATTCAGCCTTAACATCGTCCAACATGAAAGTGCGTACTAAAGAGGAATATGACCAACGTAAACTGAGGACATCGACGCTGAGTAAACAATTCAAGGAGGCTGTTAGCCGATACCAAAATGTACAGTATGAGAATGGACAAAAGGCTAAGGAAACGATGGCGAGACAGTTCCGTATTGCTAATCCCCAAGCAACTGAAGAGGATATCAAGCGGTTGGTGGATGAGGAGCAAGGTGGTGCTTTCACACAACAGGTAATCAATATAAAGACCACACATTACCAAAGGTTAATCCATAGTATAATTTTCGTGATATATCGCTTTAATCTTTAACCTTTTATTGTCTTTGTGAACGCATTTTTATCAGCTGCTTCAGCAAACTAGAGGGCAACAGGCTACATTGGCACTCAATAATGTTCAAGACCGGCAACGGGAACTGAAGAAACTTCAAGAGAGTGTTGTGGAATTGGCTGAGCTGTACAAGCAAATGGAGACTTTGATCTTTGATCAGGATCTAACCTTTCAGCAGATTGAAGGCAATGTTATGCGAGCAGAACAAGATCTTGAAAAGGGCCTTGGACAGGTTGATCTGGCCTATCGAGATGCCAGTGCGGCGAGGAAGGTATACATGCTATTTTCATTTCAGAATCCCATTTAGTTTTTCTAAGGGATACAGCTGCTTATCTCAATTGCTATTGTTACTTTTTGTTCTGCTTTATTAGAAAAAGTGGATGGCTTTAGGCATTATAGTCCTCATTATTGCCATTATCCTCGTCATTGGAGCAATTCAAGGCTGGTTCCGACCAGCAAATTAAGCGGCAATGCTTATTATTCGATATTCTGTTAGCAATTCATTGAAATAAAATAAAGTGATGTATATTAAGGGGCGGGGTTGATCCTTTTTTTATATTGCCGCCGATACAACCTGTGATAAGTCCTTCTCTTCGCTTCATTTCAACATGTCCAGTGATTCGCTCTCATACAGAGGCCAGCTCGTCGGTAATGCATCCAATAAGAGCATCTATGAAGAAGACGGCGATAAGCACCAGTGACATTAGAGCACAATCACCATTGGCAAAGGATGTGCAGACACTTTCAATGGATGTATTGATGGATGCAATATTATTCATGGATACTATCGTATATATTTAGAAGACGCTCCTTCAGCTCAGTTCAGCAGCCTACACGTACTCTCACATTCTGGCACTATATTGAAAAAGCTATAAATTATCTTGACAGTAATATTCAAACTCTGTTGCCAGCTATTATTCTTAACAACACTATTCATCCAAGGCAGAAAAATTCATTTCTTGCATACATGGCAAATCTGAAAACCACCCCACTTTGAAAGGGGAAGCAAGGCTCAGAACTGTCACACTATGTATGGATCACAAAAACTGATTCAAATAATACAAAGGACCAACATCTTAGATCGCGACGAGCGGGAGTGTCAGGATTTTGATCTTTTATTTTCGTTGGAGAGCTTTCTAAGACTTACACTGTGCAATCTTTTTTGTTCACGTTTAGGCCACCGTGATTGGGTCACGGCCATTGCCACCACTGCCGAGGCTCCCGATATGCTTTTGACCTCTTCCCGTGGTATGTAAACCCTTGTCAATCAAAAAGAAAAACAGAGGGTCGATAGGAGGATCGAATTGACTTGCAAACATAAATATCATGGAGAATATCAAAAAGCAGAAATAGGCCAGGAGTATATTTTCTGAATTCATCTACAACTCTTGTTGGAACCCCATGAAAAACACCATTGATTTTCGAGCAAGGATTGTAATAGATTACTCGAGTGCCATTGCATGAGACACGAATCCATCAAACAAAGGAAAAAAAAAACCCCCTACTCAGACAGACGGTAGCTAGGAATGAAAAAAGAAAAAAGAGTTGGGTCTTTACAGGAGCTCTCGAGTGATCTGACATAGACACTGATTGTTTTCGCTTTTTTTTCCAAATCTTTTTTTTCAGACAAGTCCATCATTGTCTGGAACTTGGTCCGCGATGATGAGGGTAACTTCGGTGTCCCTCGTAAGTCTCTTCACGGCCACAACTCGGCTGTTCAGGATGTTGTCATCTCCTCGGACGGTCAGTTCGCCTTGTCTGCTTCTTGGGACAAGACCCTCCGTCTTTGGGATCTTAACACTGGTTTGACCACTCGTCGCTTTGTTGGCCACACCAACGATGTTCTCTCGGTTTCCTTCTCTGCTGATAATCGTCAGATTGTCTCTGGATCCCGCGACAAGACTATCAAGTTGTGGAACACTCTCGGTGAGTGCAAGTTCACCATCCAAGATGATGGCCACACCGAGTGGGTCTCTTGCGTCCGCTTCTCCCCTAACCCCGCCAACCCTGTCATTGTCTCTGGAGGCTGGGACAAGGTTGTCAAGGTAAAAAAACAACTTGCTTGATTTATTGATTTTTTTTATCCAGACATCAATAACGGTCGTGAAGAAAGAATTGAGCATTGGGTTCCTTTTTTTCTTTTCGTTTTTGATGCGTCTTATCCTTTCAGCACTTGGACATATGAGAATAGTTGCCTTGAAAGAAGAAAACAAAAGGATGTTTATCAGTATCTGCTACTTCAGAGGAGGGCTTTGCAACCTACCAATGAGACAAATTTTCCACAAATTTATCTGACCTTTTTTCTTTTCTGTTACCATCTTGCGACCTTTCTCTTGGTGTACTTCATTTGGTTTTCATTCATGTTTTCATTAACATGTTTTTTCTTGACAATGCGGCATGATTTGGTTATATTAATGTAATATTACAGGTTTGGGAGCTTACCAAGTGCAAGCTCCGCACCAACCACATCGGACACACCGGTTACATCAACACCGTCACTGTCTCTCCCGATGGTTCCCTCTGTGCTTCTGGTGGACGTGATGGTATCACTATGCTCTGGGATCTCAACGAGGGCAAGCACTTGTACTCTTTGGAGGGCAAGGGCGATGACATCATCAACGCATTGGTCTTCTCGCCCAACCGTTACTGGTTGTGCGCTGCCACCTCATCCTGCATCAAGATCTGGGATCTCGAGTCCAAATCTGTTGTGGATGAGCTCAAGCCCGAGTTCACCAATGTGGGCAAGAAATCCCAACCTCCCCAGGCTGTCTCTTTGGCCTGGTCTGCTGATGGTCAGACTCTCTTTGCTGGTTACCAGGATGGTCTTGTCCGTGTCTGGTCCGTTGGTTTCTAAATAAATATAGGAAAAGAGGGGGGTTTTTTTTTCATTAAAATGCTTTGATTATCTCGAGAGAAAGAGGAGTTCTCCAAGTGTTTGTGTTGACGAAGCTAAAATAAACAGACAACAACCAAAAGGGCTTAAATGGATGAAGTAGCACTCGTTTCTTGTGTACTTTTGCCCCTTCCTTTTGATGTGCAATCAAGCTTCTATAAGTATATTTATGACAAACTGTAGCCTGCTCATTTCGCGAAGCTATATAGCACTGTAATAGACGGGTTTGTGTTCATTTCGAATTAGTGTCAAGTGCAGATGATTGGCTCTTCAGCACCGATCCAGATTTGAGGGCAAAGGCAATAGAAAAGGTATTCGTGCCATTAATCTTTCCTTGATATTTACAACGCGCCGAAACCCCTTGAAAGAAGATCCCGACGAATTGTCTATGATAGCCCCAAGTATCCGGCCCAATGTAAAGTGCGATTGAATCCCCATGTGCGTATCAAAACCCTTGCCTCTTAATTCAAGAGGAGGAGTCCAAATATCTACGTTAGTGTTGAATCTCGTGATACGTATTTTGAATTTTGATCATCAAAAGCAACCATCATTTAAAATCATTTCTGTAACTTCTTTTTTTTTTTTTTTTTTTTTTCAGTTTAATCATGTCTGACATTGCTACCAACGAGTCGTCACTAAATCCTGGTCAAGAAACTCATCCTAGACCACGCTCCAGAGACGAATCTGAGGAGAAAAAAGATTTTAGAGCGCCCTCATTATCACATAGCCTTCAGGGTGCAAACAATAACGACAGCAGCAATACCAGTGACACGTCCAAAAAATTGTCAGGTCGCGTTCAGAATCAAGGCGAAGGATCTCATGGATCCATCTTTGGCTATGATAGTGGCGATAATAGCGACATTAGCAACAAGAATGTTAAGACCAATCGTGAGAAGTTAAATCGCCGCCCACGCTTGGATGAAAACAGTGAGAATGATCACGATAGTGCTGATGATAGTGACAGTGACAGTGACAGTGACGGTGATAATGGACATCGTTATTCCCGAAGAACAGGCCATGGTAGAGGCAGTAAAAGGCGCTTCTCCTCCTCCGCATCACATCTTTTGGCACAAGCGCCCCCTGTTCCAGATCTGAGATTCGATCACAATTATAGAAAAGCTCTCGATCAAATTTATGAAGCCCATGCTCGTGAGACAGCAGCAATCGAAACCACAGAGGAAGCAGCAGCAACAGTATCAGCCTCCGCCTCAGAACCATCCTCGTGGCAGAGCCAAAAAGCATTAAAAAAACAACAAGTAAAGTCGGTTCCATCGCTAGCTACCCGCATCACTGTGATGACGATTCGCGATATCATTATCATGCCTTTCGTCCATGGCTTCTTCTGGGGATTTGGAACAATTCTGTTGACATTAGCGAGTCAAAGGAGTTTGACCTCACATCTGAATAGAACATGGAGACGTATGCTTGGTGACCATCCTGAGGATCTGCCGGCTATCTCAACCAGAGGCGAACCCGCACGTGTGCGCACGAGTGGAAGCATAGGCGGCTTTGGTAACAGAGGGTCTGGAATAGGAGGCATTGGGTTAATGAGCGCAGCATCTGCAGCAGGCCCATCAACAGGCTTATAAAGGGGTTTATTAGATGAACCAGCTTGCTTATAGTCCATTCAGCCTAAGAAATAAAAATAGCAAATGGTCCAGTTTTTCTTTAACAATTATTAATCTCTATCTTAGTCTATGGTTGGATGGACTTCTATCTCCCAAAAACTGTTTACGTTCCATATCCTTCATTACTGACTTGAGTCGGCGCCATTGTCGTAAGCCTGTAAGATTGGAGCTCCGTTGTGTGGTGGAGGATAGTGAGTTTAAACCATTAGTCCTGTCATCAGGTTCTGATGGGTTCAGGTTTGTGGGGGGCGTTACAAGCATTCCTTCGTTCAAAGCTTCTAGGACGCGAGGATATTCTGTTCGAAGCATGCTCCATAATATCCAGCGTTCATTTACATTCAGCGCACTGAACGGCTTTGGGTACGGTTGTAGCTTGGCCTCAATCAATGCCTGACTCCTAGCGAGTCGCTTAGCTTGGAGGCTTAAAGCGTTTGGGGCGACCTTAGACGACTCGGCAACACCCTCAGGTTCCATGACGATGGGTTCGGAAAGCCAGTCTTGATAGCGCGAACGCTTATCAGCTTTGGGCGACAAGAGCTCCTCAAGACTGTCTGCTAGTGCCGCAAAAGTCCTGGGTCGTGGGTAGAATAATGTTTCAGGTTGTTTCGAAATGACAGTATCATCCTCGATAGATTCTAAAAAGCCTCCCTCACTTCTTTTAGATCTAAGACTTTTTCCAAAAGCCGGCGTGCCTCTACCATTACGAGGTCCTGCAGGTGCCTCCTCTGGGGGCGGCCGAATAAAGTCACTTTCAAAGCCTGGTAGAAGCTTGTCCTGAACAATTTGAAATGCCTCCATCAACTGACCGTTCCTCGCCAATGCAATACAGTAGTCATTCCAATTGAAAGAGTCAAATTCGAATCCCATCTGTTGAAGCTGATTCCATATTGCTTTAGCTTCTGATATCCGCCCAGAATAGCAAAGAGAGTCAAGTGTAATCGAAATGGGGTGCTGTAGCAGTGTTTGAAGCTTTGAAGCCTTTGTGGTTAAACGATCTTGAACCCACTCGACTGCCACAGGGCCTTTAGATGGTCTGTACTTCTCTGGGTGCTCCATGATATCCTTCCACTGGCTGTGGAACCGATCGAACAATTCATTCCAAATGCGCATGACTGTGTCAACATCTCCTGTACGTCTATAAGCATCCATCAGACTTGTATAAACGATAGTGTTGGGCTGAAGACCCCGCGCCCTGATCTCGTCAAACATCTCCTGGCCTGCAAGAACGTCGCCTTCTCTAGCATATGCGTCTAACAATGGTGCAAAAGCCACCAATGGCTTTGGCCTTGCAGCCATTTTAAGTGGCTTCCTTTCAGTGCCCAGTGTCGATAGATGCCCTTCCTGAAAACCAACCAAGCTTAAATCTTTATCAGAAACCGTATCTAATCTATGTCCAGTGACTTCTTCAGTCTGAAATAGCCCATCTCCTTCATCCATGAAAACGAGGCCGCGGCTCTTCATGATTTTGTTCAAGAATGCACGGCTTTGCTTCTTCTGCCCACGCTTTGCATGCGCCTGCAGTAATGTGGCATAGGTCATAAAGTTGGGTATCAAACCGGAACGGAGTATTTTTTTGTAGATTTCCTGAGATTCTTTGAAATTGCCTTGATCCAAATAACCCTTCATTAGAATCGTTTGGGCTAGAACATTGTGGCCAAATCCATCCCCCTCCATGTTCTCGTAAAGACGCCGGGCTGCAGTCATATCGCCATCTTTGATCAAACCAAATAATAAATTGGAATAAATATAGCTATTGGGCTTGAGGCCTTCGGAGCGCATCGTGTCATAAATGGATAGCATCTGTGTCAGGTCGCCGTGACGAGCATATGCATTAAGTAGTGTACCAAAGATAACCTCATTTGGCATGATCCCAGCTTGAATCATCTCCCTGTACACAACCTGGGCGCTCAACATGTCCTCCTTTGTACAATAGACATGCATCATAGATCCATAAGTATGTACATTTGGGACAACATTATGTACAGTGATCATCTCGTCCCAGAAGATTTCGGCGCCATCAGAATCACCGCGTGTGGCAAAGAGACTGAGAATGCTGGAAAAAGTATATTGGTCTGGCTTTACTTGGCTTTTTACCATGGATCGAAATACCCTGAATGCCCCATCAAGATCACCATGACGCTGGAAAGCACGGATCAAGATATTGTAGTTGACCGTGTTAGGAGTCATTTTACCCGAAAGCTCATCAAAAAGCTTGCTACTTTTATCAAGATCTTCCGAAAGGCTTTGGAGAAGAGCACTAATTGTGTATTCGTTAGACGCAACACCACTGGAATTCATCCTATCCACAAGTTGCTGCGTCATCTCATAGTCGCCCAGCTTTCCAACTGCCTCCAGCATGGGACCAAACACTTGATTGGTGGGTGTCAAGTTCGCGTCAAGGAGCTCTTGGTATACTCGCTGTGCTTCCCTAAGATTCCCCGCCTTTGAATGAGCGTCAATGATAGCGGCATATGTGTCTTCCAAGGGTTCTAGACCTTGTCTCCGCATTAGAGCAAGCGTAGCATCCATGTAGTCAAAATTTTGTGCCCGGCCGAACCGATGAATAGCTGACGTATAGAATATATGGCTAAAACTGAAGTTCTCATTAAAGAGGCTGCTGATGGAGCTAAAGACCTTATCCATAACACCGCGATCTAGCAAAAAGACCAGGAGATTCTCCACGACTTTAGAGTTAACTTGTCTGCCAGGTTCCATGATCCATTGTAGTACCATATCGCCAAGATTTTCAGCGCGCTCCTTCCGACTTTGATAATATGTCGAGAACCCATCCACATCAAATGAGGATTTCATAAGTCGATTGTAAAGACCTAGAAATGATTTTATCTCTGCGTTGGAATCACACAACTGTATAAATTCAGCTATAAACCGCCGTCGCCCTTGTATTTGCCACAACATGGCTTTGATCTGCTCTGCAGGTAGGTCATCGACTGTTTGGTGCAATAGGATGTCAAAAGCTTCTTGAGGGAGCTGTTTTTTGATGTCATTTACATCTAGAGCCACTTGCAACATCATTTCCGTCGCTTCTTCAATGTCATATGATTGCGAGAGGACCCGAAAAAGAGAAATAACGTCATCACTTTGCATGAGTGTGAGCGCTTGAGCTTTCACGATCTTTGTGTATGAAGTCCAAAGGTGTGTAACTTTAGCCCTGGTAAAGGTCTTCCGCCTAAGATCTGCTACAAGCAACCTCTTTTCCTCTAAACTTAAGCCTATGCCTTCAGCGCCCCTATCCTGCGAGAAAATAGAACGCCGTGATCGTGTTGAGTGTAGTAGTCTCTTTGATTGCGAAAAATCTATATGTATAGTATGTTGGCGTGACCATACGGATGTGAGGTACGTATTTCTACGAGTAGCACCTGCAGATGTTGCGGACGATATCCTGTGAACTGGAAATCGATCCCCTATGGTATCACGTGGAGTATGATGATGTCTTGATAATGTTGAATGTGTATGGGCGGATCGCAATTGTGAATTGGCAACAGACCTCTTGCCTCGATGTACACCGTCAACTGCAATGCATGATGGCGATACAAGTAAGGATTGCTGAAGGGCAGTATCTTTTTGTGGACAGCACTGTACTCCTTCCGAGATGAATGTTAAAGACCCATCTGCGCATGCTTTCATTGAGAAAGATCGATGTACAGCCACTTGCCGATTTCGAGGTTGAGGATGGTAGTGATGACAAGGGACCAATGATCTCGAGCGCCTTAGGCCAGAGCCGCATGATCGAGTAAAAAAAACTTCCCATGTTACTTCTGGTTGTTGCCGTATTCGAGTTGTGAGTCCTAATAAGGGCGATGGAATGGATGATGCCTGAAGACTCTGTTGACTCGAGGGATTCAGGGTCTGAACATGGCATGACATACTGGAGTACAATGATCTGCAAGTATTGTCGCCTGGTATCCGGCGGATATTGCGCTTTGATAAATCGACTAAGCAGTTTCTCGATCGTGAAGAGATGCACTTTGCGACAGAGAGCATGCTAACAGCAGAACTCGAGGAACTAGTCATCTAGGATGTATTACGGAGTAGTGTCAAGGTTCTAAATCTACAAAGAGCCAAGAAGTGGTTATTAGAAATAGGCGTATGAAGGTGGAAAGAGAGACTGTGGGGTACTAGGACATGATATTCGTACCTGGATAGCAGAGGATTTAGTATTTTGAAATTAGTGTGGACACGCGTCCACAAGACGACGCGAGACGATCGGGTAGGAAGGTGGGAATGAAATTACTAAAAGAAAGGAAACCTTCCAATAAAAGGAATGAGAGAGAAAAGAGAACGGACGAGAGCGAGAAAGAGAAGGAAACAGAAGAGGACGAGGACAAGTGAATTTGGAGGGAAAAGAAAGAATGCATGGACGATAGAGCAGACATTTTACAAATGTCAATTGACCCCGGTTGGTGGCGGGGTGACTGCGATTCTTAGTGCATAAATGTAAACAACGCTTGATCAGGCACTTTGTTCGTTGTTAGACTGGCTTAAGGGCCACAACAGGCCGAAGAGCATTTATTCATCTTGACTCTTAATGAATGTGTAGTCTATAGTAAGGACAAATCCTACCGATATGGAAGGTTAGGAAACTGCAATTGCTTTCTTTGAATGCGCAAACATTGGCAATGCTAATACTGATGATTGTTGGACCATCATTAACAACGTTTGACAAAGACATAGTTGCGAGACTAAGGAACCTCGTTCCAAAGCTCTGGTAAAAATCGTTTACAAAGATTTGTCACACAAAAGCTTAAATAAAAAGCTATTGTTGGGAATGTTGACTACCTCTCTGTTGCCTACTTTCTCTGAACAATCGCTAGCATAAAAATGTGAACAATGAATAATTCTTAAAGATTAGCCGAAGAAGAATGCTGAATATGAGTGCTCTTACAAGAAATTCAGCCAAGGAATAGTGCATTTGTCGGAAATGAATAAAATTAAATAAAGTAATCCCACGCTCTATTTTCATGTATCTCGCGTGTCTCGTCTAACCAGGCAAGCCACGGTAAAGACTCCATCCTTATAATCCTGCCTGCATGCCATCCTGCCTTCATTGTTTCATCTACCCAGTCATCCACTCTTTCCTCCATCAATCTCTGTAATTCTTAACTCCTCTCTCCCAGTGTCTTGTGTCGCATCAGACTATTATATTATCATCCCTTATCATTGTACATTTCAATATATAATTGTAACCCACTATGGCTGCTCGGCCCATATCTTATGCAGGTCAGCCACCAGGGGCTCCACCACCCCGCCCTGGAGGTATGGTGTATCCGCAGCCACAGCCACAACCCCAACCACTCTATCGCCCACAGCAACAACCACTTTTGCAACAACAGCCTCCCTTGCAGCATTACCAGCCTCGGCCTCTGCAGCACCAGCAACCACGTTCCGCATATTCTACACCACAGCAACAGTATCTTCCCCAGCACATGCCATTCCAGCAATTGCATGGTGTTGCATCGCCTCGACCCCAGTTTGTGCAGCGTCCAGGATTGATGATCGCTCCTTCATTGCCATCCATGCCCATACCACAATCACAGCCGCAGATACAACAACAAATATTGCTACAACAGCAAAGACTTCAACAGCAGCAGCAGCAACTACAACAGCAAATGGGACCTCCTTATAACCCTAATAATAATATAATGGTTTCATCTGTGGCGATGCCCGGCGTTGTTAATGGCGGTGGTGTAGCAGCAGGCCCACCATTTCTACTAAAGACACCCTCTTTAGGAGCTGCACCAAGTGTAAGCATTGCTGCGACTACAGGGCTAGGAGGAATTCGACCAGTCATAATGCGTCCACCAGGTGCCTTTACTGCCAGCTCGCCCACTATGATTTCATCGCCAGGCGTAGCTCGGATACCTGGCACGATTATAGCGCCTCAGCGTCCAGTTCTTATTGGTATGTTTCTACTTTTATTTATGTCAAGCGCAATTAAGACGAATAAGTGAAAATTTTCAGTCATGGTCCCCTTTTGTCTCTTGGCTATTTTGCTGATCATTATTATATTATCACATCCTTATTTTAGCTGCTGGCCCCCCAAGCATCATCAAACAACCCTCACGGACTAAAACCCTGCTGGAGCGGCCTGTCCCTGTTATTCAAGTAAGATAATTCATGCTTTTTTTTTTTTACTATTTATTTTTTGTGCCAAAGTGCGTAGGACTAACTAGACTATTTTTTTGCTTAACTTTTGTTTTGGAAGATTAAGCAAAAAACAAACACACTTTTATCAGACTTTTGGGGCGATGATATGGATGTGACCAAGGATGGACGAGTTATTGATCGATCTGAGCGGGACTCTTCAAAATCACCAAATGGCAACAATAACGACAGTAAGCAACGAGTACGACAGACTGGGATTGTAGTTGGGATAGACTTTGGAAATACTTTCACCGGCGTTTCATATGCTCATCAAGGTGATGGCGAAATGATCGATGTCGTCAAATGGTATGAGCATAGACAAAAAATAAAAAGAAAGAAGAAAAAAAACTACAATGATGTAACTCGACATTGTACTAACTAACATCTCTTGGATAAATTTTTTTATTTTATTTTTATTTTTATTTTTTGCATTCATTCAAGGCCAAGACACCTGAATGCATATGCCAAGGTACCTACAGTCAGTCTGTACAAGACTGGTGACGACAAGGCGTTTATAGACTGGGGATCGTCGGCGCTTTCTACCTATAAACGGTCTAAAACTGGCAAGGTGCTCATTCGAGACTATAAACTTTTACTATTTGATCAAGACGCGCGCGGTAAACTTGAAAATGGACTTCATCTCATGGATGTAATTACGCAGTACTTGAAGAGTGTCCATCGTCATCTCATGGAAGAGGTTAACAAATCACAGGTGCGCGCTGCAGAATCTGTCCCTATCCATTACTGCATAACAGTCCCACAAGCTTGGACATTACCGACCCGAGAACTGATGTTGAGGTGCTATGTCGAAGCCGGAATCATTTTACAGACACCGGCTCTTAATATGACTGTTATCACTGAAGCAGAGGCGGCTGCCACGTATTGCCGCGAGAATTGTGAGGAATTTGAGCAGCTTAAGGATGGGGATATCTTTATGATTTGTGACGCAGGAGGGTTGACAACAACAGTCACTGTATTCAGAGTGGATGATGGTCTAGGTGTCCGTCAGTTTGTGAGGATGTCAAATTCACATGCTGAAAACTGTGGATCAGTCATACTAGACCGTCTATTCCGGGAACTGATTTTGAAGAAGCTGGAGGGACTAGATATAGAGGACGAGGCAAAACCTACAAGGCAGAAGGCGTTTGAAACATTATTGGAAGGTTTTCGAGAGATCAAGTCACAGTTTGATGGCAATTCAAGGGATGAAGTCAAGCATATCTCAGTCCCTATGGGGCTCGATATTAAGGATATGGATCCACCGCCTCCATGGCTCGAAGATGAATATATGTCCCTGAAAGGCCAGGAATTATGCGATCTAGTGTTCGATCCTGTGATCGAGATGGTTCAAGAGTTAGTTAATGCACAGTCCAAGACTCATCCAGTCTGCGCAGGCCTGTTCATGGTTGGTGGATTTGGTGCCAACAAATATCTGTTACATAAACTAGAAAGCGCAGCAGAAAAGAGTCGAAGCAAATCAACAGGAAGTAATAGGAGCTCATTGGTCAACGGAAGACTATCGGGATCGATGATAGACTTGAAAATAAGTGACGATAGCGGCTACGGAGGAAATCCATCATTATCAAAATCATCATCTTGTCCAGGCGTGATCAAGAAGGTTGTCATGGTTCAGAAAGCAGAGCTTGCAGTTGCTCGTGGTGCGGTCATTTATGGACTCAAGAGTGCATCGCAATATACCAAAGCATTTCTATGATATCATTTCTTGACATTCATATATATATATATATATAAAAGCTTTTTGCTTTATGCTTGCAAGTGGGGCATTTTCATTTTTAAACAATCTACACTGGCTTTGATCCCGATATTCGATAAAAAGTTAAAATGCTTCGATCACCAATGGTTCATGGTCGTAGTAGACAACTCGACGGTGCACATCTTCCGCATGATACAGAACCTTAAACTCGCCACGGCTATAAAAGCACACAGGGAGGACATGACTCGTCGTAGAATCCGGTTGCATCTATTTATAATGCAATAAGTAGTAGAGCAAAGCAATATAAAAGTAGCTGGACAGCGTCAGAGGTAAATGTTATTAGTAAAACTCCACAAGCATATTGAAAAAGTGTCCCTCACCTTCGCCAGCGGTGCTTGCAGCACTCCATGCCAGACCATCCGTGTGCCCATGTCATAGTCCATGGTCCCGTCGCCATGTACCTGAACAGGCTGCATTCTCAGACATAATTTTACATCTATATGGGATCTATTCACGACCGTGACTCGAATCTGTGCAAATTGGTCGACAGGACATCTCCATCGATTCGAACCAATCTGTTCCAAGCCTTTTGTCAGCCCTTGGTCTACACTCTTTCTTTGCATAGCAGCCGTAGGTTCCATAGCCACCAAGAAAGAAATATCCTCAATCTTAAGCACGTTCAACATTGATTTGTTTAATCGCAAGTTTCGAAGGTCGAACTTGCCATATCGGCCGGAGGTATCCTTGCAGGTCCATCTTGCAACCACACGCTTGAGAAGCTCTTCTCTGAACCAAAAGAGTGCTCTCTCCATCGCCAACTGCTCTGCAGACAATGCGGCCGCTCCCCTAGCCACCACAAACTGTTTATTTGATAATGTAGGAATGGGTGTCGAAAGCTGTTCCGTTGATAGGGCCATTCTTCTGACAGGAAGTATGATCCGCTGAGTATTGCCTGGTTGAATCACAGTTGTAGATTTAATCAACTTGTTGACATCCAAGCCTTCGCCATCCTCAGAATCATCTACTAGCATGGCTACCTCCACAGGAACAGTCCACACGTTCCGGACATCTAGTGTCAGTAGACAGTATTCATTCTTGGTGCCTAAAGCTACACGGCGTGAAATTGCGGCCTCAATTTGTTCTCCTGGCAAGATTGCATCTCCACGGGCCTTGGAAAGCAATTGCTCTACAGACTGTCCTTTATCGATCTTGGCGAAGTTAGAGCTGAGTCGTTTACTAATCGTGCGCGAACCACGGCGGCCATTTCTATATCCATTCGGTTGTTTATTGTCGTTGGATTGAGGAGACAAGCCTGTCTTGGTTCCATCACCATCATTACTATTACTTGGTGGAGCTAAAAACCCGTCATTGGAGAAGTCGAGTTTAGGAAGTGCTGAGTCTCTATTAGCTTTCGAGAATGTAGCATGGCTATTGGCACTAAAGTCATCCAGAACCGGAGTATTGGGCTCTGTTGCAGGAATATCCATTCCACCATGAGACTGCAAGTAGAGGATGTCCAAATTGAGTGATTCGACTGTCTTATAAACTGTCATTAATACTTGTGAGAAGAGCTGACGTGTTACAAAATAGGTGGATGGCTCAGCTCCTTCGTCATCCTCTCTATTAAGGTATGCATAGTCGATCTGGATCATTCCAGATGAACTAAAGGCAAAGGATTGCGTAAAATTAGTCTAACCATCACGATAAATGGCATAGGTTCATACACGTATCTGATGGGCTTACCATCCGCGTTTTCCAAGTACGTCGACCATAATCTCATGTGTGCCTCCAACAGGAATATGGCACTCCACTTCGCGATTCCAAGAGAAAACATTTGTCTTTTTCAGGAACAGCTCCATTTCATATGCATCTTCAGATGACAGCTCAACCCCATTGTTCGTTGTGTTGCCGTAGTGGTTACCAAGAGCTAGCTGACTGGTTGAATCAGAAAACGTCAATGTCACAAAGTCCACAGGAATTGATCCGATATTTTCCAAAGTCAGACGGACCGTGGTTCTATACAAATGAATGAATGAATGAATGAGCGATAATAAAAGGAGGAAGGATAGACATTTAAATGGACCATAGTGAACATGTTGTTACTGGAACAACGTTGTTTCATGTGTACCATACTTTTCACCTTCAAATAGCATGACCGAGCCATGCTGCAACGAAGTCGAGTTGATTTTTAACAATGGCTGTTTAGGGATAACGGTAACTGTGGTAAACCTTGGCTCAGTGACTACATCATCGTTCACTGGCTTGACTAATGTAAAGCTCTCCAATCCTCTATCAAAGGGACAATATACAATGATCAGACCAGAATCATGAAGAGATATTAAATTCTCTTAAAGCGCAACGCTCATCGAAATCATAAAATAAATCAATAATAAACGAGCAGTTTAGAATATATATATATATATATAAAAGAGGGAGCGTACCTCTTTTTGAATCGAACCAAAGGTTCGCTACTATTACTTGCTGTTCCATTCTTATTGCTATTGTCGCTACCGTTTTTGCTGCTGGTATCAGTACTGGTGGGTTGTCCGGTCCTCGGATTAATGACAAAAAACTCATGTTCTGCACAATGCGCAATCTGGACCCAACAACCACGGATCACCAGCTCGCCTGGGTGCTTGGGCACACCACCCACTTTGATGGAAACTGTGGTCTGAGCTGGGATCATAGTCGATGTTGGGATCGGCTCAAACTCGATATCTGAAGTTGACAGCCTAATCTCCTGAACTTCCAAATCAATTCCATGTGGATTTGTGAGAGTAACAATAAAATATGCAGTCTCTTCTGCTACTAAGTCTAACTTAGTAATATTATTGACCTTGCGATGGAAGGGGTTGTATATGAATGGGTCAATCTCGCCTGTGGACTTGGTTGTGAGCTTGGACTCTGGCAAGATAGATTTAAGCGTATCCTTGGATCTGGTAAATGGAATCTTGCGGGCAGAAGGTCTGTGCATGATAAACAACAGTGACAGAGCAAAAAAAAAGATAAGTAGCTTACTTTCTGCAAAATCCCTAGCGGTACATATAAAGAGCATATTTAGATTAATGGAGTACATTCTTCGAGCTTCACTTACGAGCAAACTTCGATATCGACTACGAGGATTTTGGTCCAATAATGAGTTTCAGTTAAATCAGACGATCCTGTCTTCCTGGCTGCAGCGAGAATGCGAGGCAATGAGGCATAGAGGCCAGCCTGCTCCTCTCTGGTCAAATAGGCATGTAACTGTCGTAAAAGAGTGGTTGAAAACTTCATCATGGCCTTGTAGTCTAAAGCAATGAAAATGCATAATTATTTGCATTATTAGTGGCTAAACATTTCAGCAGACCATCCCATACACTGTTATTTTCAAACGATATTGCCTCTCACATACCAGGGACAGCCTCTGCAACACGGATACATTCATAGAGGACATCAATCTGTAATTCCGGCCATCCATGGTCCATATAAAGATTGTTGCTGGATGTGAAGTTTTCACCCACTCCGAAAACGTTGCATATCTCGGTTAAGCAGCCAAGTACTCCATGGTCCATATTCATAGGCTTTTTAAGAGGATTTCCACTGGCTTGGGCCGCTGACGCGTGAGCAAGTCTTGTTTGGTGCAGTAAAGGAGTGATCATACGCACAGCGTATCTTAGGTAGAGTGCCTGTTTCCTCCGGAACTGAATGGCACCCAAAACGGAGGCAATGGATAGCGTAAAATGAATCTTTTTTTTTTTTTTTTTTTTCTTTGTCAGTTTTAAGTCCCATAGCCATGGCATATCATGCAGTCTATTAAACAACTAAACATGTTAATATGATGCTTTGAGCCTTACTTGGTCAACAATCCATAGTTCTTCCAATCGACCTGTCCAAGTCTTAGCAATCCAGTTCATAATATCTGTCCGGGTGATACCGAGACTTGATGTTGTCATGCTCGCGCTCCGTGACCGCAGCGTTGATGCTCTTCGTAGTAATCCTGACGCCGTAGAAGCGGTTTGAGAATGATTGCCGGAGGGGGACTGAGTCATAGGCTGTTGTTGCTGCTGGCCATCAGAGCCATGTCCCTCAGAATACATTAAGATGTTGCCGCTCACTACCGCTGCAAGGGCACGGTCATCCAAAATACCATTTCCACACACAAAGCACGTGGCAATGAATTTAGTGACCTTCATGCTTGCTTCGACGCAGAGGATGGGTGGTGTGGCATTACCTGGAACTTTATTATAGAGCGTTAATATTGCCTGGTACTTTTCAGGAATGTCGACAATCAAAGGTTTTATGACAGGCGTGTTTTGTATCTTGGCATGTTCGTTGCTCGTTGGTGAAGTCGGCGAAATGATAGTCTGTGCGACTTGTTGTTGATGAAATTGCTATATCCAATATAATGAATAAATTTAGTCTTACTTTCAGATAGACCAAGGTGAGCCTTACTCCATGAAATCACTTTTACGTTGTCATGTCATATAAGCATTCACAATGGATGTGGAAGGTGTCTCTTACAGCGAGATCAGCCTGAACGAAGGCTAGAAGGACAACCGCACAATACAACCCTTCCATCGCATTTGCTTGCCATAGAAAATCTGAATTAGATTTTGTTGCCTCAATCACTGATTGGTAGCTGAATTGTTAGCGGATTGTATGTGATGTTAGTGCATAGGCATCCTTGATATCCTCATTGTTTACTAATCATCATACTATAATTATCTTGTTACTCATACCTAGATACTGCATCCGATATTCGCCCTGCCATCAGGTATAGGTCTCCATATAGTTTCTGAGCCCTTGCTGCAGTTCTCTTCCGAAGTCTCTGATCTGTCATTACTGCTGATTGCACATATTGATTCCCAGAGGCTATAGACGTAAATCCTGCAGAAGAAAGTGCACGCGAATGGGTCGACGATCCTGAAGTGGTCATTGCAGATGGCGGGGCTGTCAGAGTAGACATATCGGGCATGGATGTGACACTAGCAGTCAAAGGCATGGGTCCATGCCTCGCATACACAGAAACGGCAGGATTAGGCGATTCAATATCCTGCCGTTTCCCAATCGCTGAAGCCTAGAGGTCCATGATTATATTAAACCAAATAATAAGTTTAACGATAATCCATGATTTGCCTACGACTGCTTTTTTCAAAGATGAAGTTATCCACATTGGTCTTCTCGACTGAAATGACATACAATGTTTTCGAACTCAGTTAAAATAGTCCTTGCGAGATCGCAGATTAAGACACGAAGGTAGGAAGAAGTGTTGCCCACGTTAGGGATCATGATGACTCCGCCTCCCCGCAGATCATCCGGATGCTGTTCTGATGGATCAAAGGCAAAACACTGATTCGCAATTGCTGAGGGATACTAGATGGCAAAGACCATAAGAGAATGCTTCGTCAGGAAAGCAAATGCACTTTTTGTGAGGCCAAAGGCGTACAGACTATGATACTAAAATTATTAATACGACAACATTTACTTTGGATAGGATCTGTTGAAACCGCTGATGACCCGCGGCCATATTCCCGTCAGGCCATTCTTGACAATCCATGATTCCTATTACCTAATTTCAAATGGATACTTAATATTCATATCCATATTCTAGGCAAGCAACATCCTTTATTTTAGCTCGCATTGTTTCCTTACTCCAAACACGCGACGATGCATCTGAAACTCTTCTAGGTACTGATGCTCCGCACTGTATGAGGTCGTAAAGTTGAAGTAAAGCTGGCCTTCATGTGGGACATTCTGACTGAAAAATGCTAATTTTGCGAGCCGATTAACATAGGAAATTGATACAGAACTAATGTCAATTAAAAAGACACATGTTGGAGAAGGAAACTGTATCCAATTTTTTTTCTCATCCTTAAAAAAAAGAGAAAGAGTAAGTTATACAAGGACAGGTCATCGCTATACTACATGTTATACTCTTACAGTTCTCTGTACGTGGACCCATCCAAACCTCCTCAAGTTTGACCGAATTGTGCTGTCGGAGCATCTTGACGCGATTTTCGAACGTAGCCTTCTTGATAGGTCCGACAGGTACCAGCAGCACGCGAATGCGAGCTGCGGACGTAAAGTTCACTACGTCCATTGCCAATGACGATGTATCAATTGGTTGAAATCCTGGAGAGTCCTAATGCTACAAGTGACTTGTAGTATGACGAATTTTTACAAGAGTAGATGACGAGGATAAGGATGTTAAAGAAGATGAGCGAAGATGAGTGGATGGCGGCGAGGAGGAATAAGGACAAGGGATGATGATGACTTGCTGCTCCAGACAGGCACAACAAACAGCTCTGAAAGGCAAGTGACTTGCAGCAAACCGCTTTTTTTCTAAAATGTGTGGTCACAGACAGTTGTCATTTATTCTCTTGTGTCTTTCATACTAATGATGGTACGGATAGTAATGCTGCTCGCTAAACAAAACATACATTATACAGATATTAAGGATTGTCATGGTGATAAAAGGAAGAGGAATTACATGATAGTGTACAGAACAAAGACAACACAGGAGCCGATGACACAGGAAAGAATGACATTGTCCCTGTTCTTTCTTGATTGAATTTTACCAATCAATTGACCCACACCAGGGAGCTGTGAGGCCACATTGTTAATCCTCTGGTTGACATTCTGCAGCGCCGATCCCTGTCGCCTCAAGTCATCGTGTGTTGCATACGCTTGCCTATACAATATTTAATATACAACGTTCAGCATCCAAGGAGGACGATAACAAAAATACATTATGAAATTCCGTTTAAATAGCACGAAGGCAGAAAGAAAGAGACTTACTCAAGCGCACTATCTGCTAGTCGATGGCTGCCATCGATTCTTGACCTCTCATTCAACAAGTAGTCAGTGGCTGACATGCTTCCTGAAGCTCCGTTCTTAAATACGCTGATATCCTCCTGAACGGAACTTAATAGTTGAGCATGATCTCTCGCCGCCCGTACGTTCTGACATGTCTTCTTGTATTCCTTTGTGTAGTCGTGAAGGCTATCTCTGTGCTTCTGGAGCGTGTGTACCATAGTCAGAGGTGCCTGACCGTTGGTTTGAGTGTGTGTCTCGATATGTCCCGACATAGCGTCCACCAGCCGATTCAACTGTGAGGCCCAGAATAAAATAAAAAACTTTCCGGTGAATGATCAGCAAAAAAAATTCAATATATTAAATGTGATGCGCCTCAAATGTACCTTCGCAAGCAGGTCTTCAATAGACTTTTCAAGTTCCTCTGGGGTGGCAGTTACACCTGCACCGCTGTCTTGACCAGATTCTGATGGTACTGGAGCGATCTGTTGTCGTCCAACTTGGTTAATTTTGACCACTGATTTTGATAGAGTTGTCAATTTTGATTCAATTTCGATTTCGACATGGCGAGCATCCTTGCGCAGCGTATCCCATGTTGGTATAGCTGTTCCTGTAGCCTGTGCTATGGCAAGAGAGGCATTGCTCAGAGCAGGAGAGACAGAAGGTGAGTGACTGTTCAAAGGAGCGTCCTTGTAGATCGGTGTTCGTGAGGGTGTCGTCTTTTGCATTGGGATATTTTTTATATGTTTTTCTATGACTAGCTGGAATAAATCTTGCCAAGGTAATAATGAATATAATAGTTGATGAATGATAAAGGTGAACATGACAAGAAGGGAAGATATTTTTCCTATAAATGCAAAGGCTGCATTTGTAGAGGTACGTGCAACAAGGGACTAGGCTATGCACGTAAATAGTATACACATATAAAAATATACTCTCAAAATGAGCCTTTCATGTCAGTGTTACTGGCTCTGGTAACATCTTTCACAAACATTTCAGAGGTTTGAGGGATTTGGTAATAGGAGCAACGAGGTGGCAGATAGGAGTGATAATTGATGATTGTTATATGATAGATTTACATGATAGCCAAGCTCAGAGAGCAAGTAGGGATCAGTGGCTTACTGCTCATGCTGTTGAAACCTGGAACGCAAAGCGCAATCGCAAAGCGCAATCGCAATTTTCTTTTATTACATATTTATCCTACATTGCGGAACCATAAAGGCAAACGGACATGACGACTGACATTGAGAATCAGACTATGGAGTTGCTTACCACAATAGTTGAAGATGAGCAGAAGAATGTGCGTCTTTATTTTATTTAAAAAATAAATTGGTGGCAAAATAGTCTCCAAAAACTGACATTACCTCCTCGTGCCTTATAGGTCACATATCGTTGGCTAAGCAGGAGCATGGGATACTCTGTCAATATTGCGAAGCAGTAAGGGTTTTATAGAGCAGTTATTAATGATACGTCTTTGAATTTCTGATCCTAGTCAGGCTATTCAACGGATCTACATCATGCCATATAGATTTATGGAATCGTATTTAGCGACTGTAGGCAAAGGAAAGGTTCATGCAAGTTATTATGTAGCACGGCAGGATCCCCAAACCGGCAACAGAGCCATTTCCCTTATTAGTCATAAAGACCTTGAGGGTATGTACGATGTTGAAGCAGATCATGTCACCACATACTCAGGACGCGAAATGTATCTGTTGTTATTGGTGACTAGATTAATTCTGACTGTTGCTGACAAACTCACATAATCTACTTTTTTTTTTTTTTTTTTTTTTTTTTCATTTGTCTTTGCCTGCTATAGATGCAAGGAATGATACAACAGTAACAGGATACCATATCTATAGTTTGGAACCCTCGCCTCTCAAAGACCTATCTATTCTCTCCGTTGTTAACTCTGAAGCAAACATTCTACAAAGCGGCAAAGATATCAGTATGTACAGGATTGTCTACAGCGACGAGGCAAGTGTTCCTGAACCCAGCAAAGAAGCTTTGAGGTCATCTGCGTCAGTATCAGTTGTACAGTCCCAGAAGCCATCACCTTCATCTTCGGCTGCAAGTATCGCAGAACAGCCATTGACTGGAGGGCCGCTCACCATGAGGAGCACAAGTAAAAAAGCCACACCGGCCCCAACAGCGGGAAAGTCATCGATGATGAATTTTTTTGGTAAAGCAGGCAATTCAACGCCAAAGCTTACTACAGCTAGCACCGCGCTCTCTAGCACATCTTCAGATAGTGCAACCAATCCTATACCACAGAAACGTAAAGCTGATCCTCTGACGGTGTTGAACACTTATAATGATAAGAGCGCAAGAGATGCAGTTCATGGCTCGAATGAAGAGATCGACTCTGAAGAAGAAAGGGACCGTCGGTTAGCTCTCAGTTCACGTTTGGATCAGAGCTTGAAGAAATCAAGTACACACCTTGGTGAACCCCCTGTTGATTTGGATATAAATGCACTCAAGAAGCGACAGCGATCTGCCCGGTTATTAGCCATGGATGACGATGATGAATTTGAGCAAGAAGAGGACAAGAAAAAGAGTAGTTTGAGCACAGACGAAGATGATGAAGAATCGCTGGAGGCACTTTCTAAAGAGGCAAGAGAGGCACTGGAAGAGGAAAAAGAGAAGCATCGCTTGGCACTGGAGAAAATGATGTTAAAAGAATCAGAACCGGTCGAGAATCATAGATTGGAGGACGAAGATAGTGAGATGATCGATGTTGAGGCAATGGACGAAGATAACATAGGCTCTTCCGCTTCAAGTCCCAGACATGTTGAAAGTAAGGCGGCTTTGAACCAAGAACCACGGACAAGACGTGTGCGAGGATTCCGTATGGTAGTAAAGCGCAAGACATTCAGGAATGAGCGTGGTTACATGGGTATGTGTACTTGGTACCAAAATATTTATGAAATATATGATAATTTAGGTCATTGTTCATTTATTGACCAAGGATCTATAATGTTTAAATAGTAACGGAGGATGTGGTTGAGAAGGAGCCTTATTCGGAGGATGAAGCGATTCCAGAAGACATTCCTGCTCCTGCTCCTGTTCCTGCGCCTGCTGCATCCAAGCCGCCGAAGTCAGCAGGGGCAGTGCGGGGCAAGAATGAGACTCTACCTAAGAAGAAAGCTGGTACTGGTAACCAAAGCCTACTGAACTTTTTCTCCAAGAAGTAGAACTATAGAAGAGGTCATCATTTTAAACATGTCCAATCCTATTTTAAACCAATTACTGTCACTTTCCGTCATTTTTCATTTGTGTTACCAAAAGGGGAGCTTACACAGACCCATGCTCTTCTCCACAAATGCGAAGTAAACTGTTGACAACGTCTATTACTCTTCTTTCTGTCTGTTTTTTTACCTTTTTGACTTAAACATCAACTCTTCTGACTCACCTTCTGCTGTGATTCCAACACAGCTATCCTCACATGCATATCGCCCCTCCAAAGCCTCCACCTCAGCAGTCGACACTTCAGAAAATACATCAAGACTACAATCTCACCTCAACGGTTACTGTACTTCTAGACATAATAACTCTACAGGGCTTATTCCTGTATACAATTTATCTCCTTCATCAGCTTCGTCTCTTTCGATGGCACAGAGACATACATAAAGTAAAACAGCTTTGCAGAATACTATGTTTCACAATCCCTGCAGTAGCTAGAAGTGTTTTACAGAAAAAAGGATTTACAGCAAGGCGTATCCCGATAGGGTACCTTATCAGACATGGTGATCACAATGCAGAAGATATTTTAATCACAATAGCATCATCACCGCCATCCGCACAGACAACACCTGAAGCAATAAGTACAACAGCAAATGAAGCAGCCTCACAGTCGAAAGACTCAAAAAGTAACGTCTCGATTAATGACATGCTGCCGCCTGAAATCCTAGTCCTCGTATTTAAGCACCTTGGCTCACGTCCACAGACAATGATGCGATGCATACTTGTTTGTCGATCGTGGCACCAGTTATTAGGGCCTATAGTATGGAAATCGCCTCGAATACTATGGTCAAAGCACTGGCCGCGTTTTCATCCTATCTCTGTTGTGAGGATGACAAGACCACATCAGCGAGCCCACTCCTATGAAATTGTAAATAGTGGCGCGAGTACAAGAAACGACGCTCTGTACGAGCAAGTACAATCGTATAAGGAGTTTACTCAGAAAGATCTCTTGATAGCGATGTCCTCTGAATTAATCCATGATTCCGACAAACATGAGCTCGAGCAGTGGTTCGAATGGAAACGACAAGAGAGAGCACAAAGACTACAGGATTGCAGGAGGAGAAAGCTACTGCGAGCTATTAGAAAAGACATCAGAGCGAGTAAGACAACGGATGTGACAAGAACATCGATTTCAAAGGGCGTTCAACCACAGCTGAGTAAGAGATATGGACTTTCGCATCGATTTCTGGATCAAAGCAGCGAAGTTAATAATGAGAGCGCTGAAAACGATAGCGACGATTTAGAAATCGAAGACGATGATGACGGCGCACACTATGGCAATAGTGAGGCTGATAGTAAGAGAGATGCAGAAGACAATACCGAAAGCGAGACCGATTGGGATGCCTCAGACGATGAAACACCCTTGATGAAACTAATGTCTAAGTTTGATTATTTGCAGTCGCTTGCCGCCGTTGATTCATTAGTGCAAGAGAGGCAGAAGCACTTGAATGAGAGGCTAGCCTCACGACAAACCACTACCACCATGCTGTTCTTACCCTTTTCTAAAACTATTGTTCGTATTCGTCAGCGAAAAGCCATTAAAGAAACACGCCATCGCCTTGCTCAAATGCGTACGCTGGATGGATTACCAATTTCGCTGCCGTTGCAAACTTGTGGGCATTGGATCCAGGTGATTAATTTGCAACAGGAAACACCTTTCACTCAAAAGGTTATGTCTCAGCCTTTAGCCCAATATCCAGCAAATACAGCATCGGCATCAGCGCTTTTGTCTACGCAGCCATATTCTATAGAGCATGTTCTTCCTGAACATCAGCAAAACCATCAGCAACATACGAATCAGCAATATCAGCAGCAGCAACAGTCTAATAGACAACGTATCTATCGGCTACTTGCTTCATTTTTTAATGGGCCATTACGACAGGCGAGTTTGGACAACTATGGCGAACTTTCTTCAGATTTACCACTACAACAAAAGAAAATGTCAAGTCGACTAGAATCACGACGTGATTTTGTGACAAGCAAGACTCTTCAAACTATCCTAGATAATTGTCCTGGGCTCTGTCGCCTAACACTTTCGGGATGTCAGGGGGTTACTGACCATGGGTTAGGCCTGATCAAACAGGCGGCTTGTGTCCGAAATAGCACTTTGGTCTGGCTACATATGGCAGGATGTGTACAAATTACAGATCAAGGCCTCTTGAATCTTGTCATTCAAGATTTTAAAAATGATTCTTCTATCTCATCAGAGTCTACACCTCGTTTCGAGTCACTGGATTTTTCGGGTTGCTTTCAAATTACTGATCAAAGCCTGATTCCCCTTATACGCCAATGCGGAACAAAATTGACACAATTAAAACTTGCAGACTGCAAAAGTATATCATCAGAATGCATCATGATCCTGACACAACATTGCCCACGTATCCGTTGGCTCGATCTAGGACAATCAGGTGGAGAAGATATGCTGGCAGAGGAGTGCTTGATCCAACTAGCAATCTTCTGTCCCGGATTAGAGTGGCTCAACCTCTCCAGAAGTCCCCCTGAGCTAAATTTCGACGGATCAGGAGGTCATGCCGAAACTGAAGGAGAGATGAGAAAGAATCATGGTATTGGCGGTTTTGGAGCAAATAACTGGGATTGCACTCAGAGAAGAGATGCGAACTTGGAGACACAACAGGATCACACACGTCTAGTATCAGATTATGCTGTTGCGAAGCTTTGTCAGTATTGTACGAAGCTCCAACTCTTGGACCTTTCTTATATTCTAACCATAACCGACAGTGCTATTGAGTCCCTTTCAAAGACTGCGCGATCGTTGGTTTGCTTAACTATCATTGGATGTCCCGGCATTACTAGTCGATCGCTGAGCTTCTTGGCCAAATTGCGTAATACCAATAGGAAGCTTAGTTGCATCACCATGGGGGATGCTCAAGGGATATCGGAAAAAGATATCGAGCAAGTTATGCAAGTCGCACTAAGTGGATGGCAGAAGAGTTTAGTAGATGACATCCATATGACCGATATTCTAGGACACAGCTGGGAGGACTAGTGATACCAACTAATGCTCGAATAAAATTCAAAATGTGACATTTTAAGATTTGTGCAGTGTGGGTAGGATCAACAGTCACCAAAGTCACTGGAAGAATTGACAAACATGAAACTCGATTCATTCGGACAACGACCATGCTCAACCCAAGAAGAATGACGACAATTGTTGCAAGATCAATCTCAAAACCCATACCTCTGGTAGAGCGTCTTTACATTCGGCGATATATTCGTACAGCATGTGCAAGGCCTACAGTTAATGTCTTTACTTCGGCACGTAGTCCCATAACCGCAACCGGCGCCGGCACCGTAACAGCTTTAAACATTCGACGCTTGTACTTTTCAAATTCACATGAAGAAACAGGAACAAGAGGGATTCGTGCGCTAGTCCAAAACGCACCTTTTGTTGCAGTTGGTCTGATCTTGGGAGGCTTGACACTTACGGCTGTTGGGCTTTGGAAATTTTACACTTCAGGGGTCAATGCCTTCCCAGAAGCGATCCGTAACGATCTTCGGAAAGCACTGTATTATCAAAATTACGGCAATGACCCTGAAAAAGCTGTTAAATTTTACCGATCAGCATTGAATGCTGCAATGCATCATCCTGATTTGAATGTTGATGGTCCTGAAGTAACAGGAATCATGATTCAGTTAGGAACAATGTTTCAAGACATGGGTCGGACTCGTGAGGCGATCGATGTCTTGGTGATGGCATTTGAATGCTTAGTCCATGGCCGTACTATGGGTACTAGCAATAAGGATTTTCGGGACCAAGATCAGCACCCTGGACAGAGTCTGCAAGACACAGAATTTAGCAGTTCACAGGATAAAGCAGAGGATCTGCATACACAAGACCAAAAGAAACATGGAACTAAAGTGATGGATGGCCCCACGCGACTCAAGACTATTGGCATTGCACAGAAGCTAGGGGACTTATATCATTTAACCAAGAAGGATGAACAAGCAGAGCGGTACTATCTGTGGTCTGTGGAGCAGTTATTGATCAATCATGACGAGAAGTTAAGGCAATCAGCAGGAAATGTGGATGGGGAGCGACTTTGGAATGCAAGAGATCAAGAAGTAGTGAGGAAGCAATTCAATTTTGACAAATTACCTGCCTGGATGAGTAAGTCAGATCTGGGAGCGAGTTTGGAGGCATTAGGTGGGTTTTATGCCAGCAAAGGGATTTACTCGTAAGTCAACTTAGTTTATTTCCCTCTTGGTTATGTCGTTACTTCAACACAACAGCCAAGGTTCTTACTTTTATTATTTATATTTTTAGAAATGCTTTGCCATTGTACATGCGTGCGTTATCTTTAGTTGATGCCAAATCTTGTCATGCAGCTGTGTTGATGTGAGTCCAATTTTTGTTCTCAGGATAGATGGGAGACAAATGTACGATAATTGCAAATACTAACTCTCCTTGATATAAATGCCAGGTGTAACATCTCAGATGCTTTCGCAGGACAGGGCAATATCGATGATGCCACCGGTTGGGCTGAACGTGGCCTCAAGGTTGGATTAGCGCAGAGTGGTCAGGAATGTGATGAAGGCTGCGGAGTTTTGCTTTTCAATCTGGGCATGCTTCACGAGGTATATAAAAGTATTAGGAAAAAACTTTCGGTTGAATTGTAATGGGCCTCATTTAAAGATCGTTTGATTTCTCCTCCAAATCCCTAATCTTGATATTCAACCAATATAGATGAAAGGCAACATACATAAGGCCCAGGATTACTATAAACAGTCGAAGCAACATGGGTTAAAGACAGGGTTTGATCGATGTATTGTTGAATCGGACAAAGCTTTAAAGCGTTTAAAGGAGAATAAGGAAGGAACATTATCAACATAGGCAATTAATGTCTATTACTAAATGTCTATTATGAAAAAAAGTAATGTTTCCTTCCGACATGGCATGGTGTAACTGGCATAGATTCGGACAGTAAAATGTTTTTGTGCTTTTATTATCTGCATCAGCAATTGTTCATACAAAGGCATGCATGTCTCGTGCGTGAAATAAACTTGATAAACTTGTTCTAAATTGCCTTCTGTCTCCCTTCACTCTCGTTCTCCCTCCCTCTCTCGTTCTCCCTCCCTCTCTCGTTCTTTCTCTTTTATACGCCATACACATTCATTCATATTCTCTATTACCTCCATCTCATCTCATTATTTCACCCCTTCCATTCCATCTTTTAATTCTTTTATTTTTCTCATCTTGAAATATCCTCACATCACACTCCTTTTGTTTTTATAGCACCCTCATAACATGTCGTCTTTCGGAAGCCCTATTACTCGAGACGGCACAGGCACTATCCGCCGTCGAGGTAAAATGAGTGAAGCAGAGAAAGAGAGAATTATTCTTGTTTTTTTTTACAAGCATAAAATGTGGACATTCAACATTTTGTCATTGGCTGACTTTTCCTGAATTGCCATGATCTACGATACTCGCAAATAGAAATCACACTCTCGCCGCGGGAAAAGCAATTGTATGGGCAACTTTGGATAGCAGCTGATAAAGACCAAAGTGGTTTTATTACAGGCGCTGATGCAGTTCCTTTTTTTGCCAAGAGCGGTTTACCACCTCAGGTTCTTGGACAGGTAAATAAACTTTAAGCACTTTCTACTGAGGAGCATTGAACATTGGGCACGATGAAACGAATGAAGACGTTTCAAAGTTGTTGGGGGAGTGGATGCAAAGATGCTGGGCATACCAAGGGATACATCGGCGTAGCACAAACATGACACAACAATTCAGCAATACCCCTCGTCTCGAAGGAACAAAGAGAACAGCAACAACAAAAGAGCCGCCATTGAGTAATGTTTGGGTTCTGATAGTGGTAGTTGTTAACCCTTCGCATGATTACTTGCGGAATTATATGCTCTTTTCTATAATTTTATTATTATAGTACAGTTTGAAGAATACTTTCATGTTATACAAATAATAGCCAGCATGGTTATACATAGCAGAATCTAACTGTATAATTTATGACGTTGTTTTTTCTCTTCAACGGTCTAGATTTGGGTGATAGCTGATGCAGACAACAAGGGTGTTCTTGGACAACAAGGATTCAGCATTGCTGTGAAGCTGATAGCACACGCTCAGAATGGAAAAACACCCTCGGCCGCCCTCATTAATATTGGTAATTAACCCACAATCCAGTTCCAAACGAAATCAGAAAAGCATAACAAATTATGATATCCAGCTCTCACGCCTTCCCTTGCAATCCGTTATGAGAGCCGACAGTTGATGTATTTTTATTCAAAGGCATTATATTGAGCAAAACTGTAAATTAACAGAAGCTTTTTTTTTTTTTTTTTTTTTTTTTTTTTTTTTTGGATCATACCGTCCTATTTTCACAACAGATGCCCCGCTTCCCCATTTCGAGGGTCTTACTCCAGCCAAGACAGGCGATTCGTCCTCCGCCGCAGCGCCTATTGCAACCCAAACGACTGGATCTGAACCTTCGCTTACAAACGAAGACAGAATGAAGTATGGAGGCATGTTTGTTGCGTGTGGACCTGTCAATGGGCTTTTGGATGGCGAAAAGGCCCGTGAGGTGTTCTTAAAGTCCAAACTGCCTGTGGAGAAGCTTAGTCAGATCTGGTAAGCCCGAGTACATATATGCATATCTCGCAATTATAGGTGTGCACAGTGCTACTTCTCTTACAGTTCGCTTTGACAACTAATGTCATCCATATTGTCATTATCAGGGCTCTTGCGGATACAAAGCAGCGTGGATCTCTAGATATCACTGATTTCACTATTGCCATGTATTATATCCAGCATACCATGGATGGCTCAATTAAGAACTTGCCTTCAACCCTACCAGCATCCATTCTCAGAGTGTGCACAAGTACTCCACCGGGGACGGGCGCTGGAGTATTGTCATCACCCGTCATGAGCGCGCAAACCCTCACGCGCCAATCCACAGGGAACAATATGAATATCCATAACCCAACAATTACTAGGCAGTTGACAGGCTCGGTCGGAATGACATCCAGTCCCCTTTCAAAGCAAAACACTGGAGGCAATAGCGCCTTGTTTGGAGGTTCTTCATCAAGCGCGGTAGACATTCCTTGGGAAGTTACGCCAGAGGAGAAGGCTAAGTTTGACGGATTCTTTGATCGACTTGATCCCAATGGCACTGGCTTCGTCGGAGGTAGGCCTATCTGAAGTGGTCTCATACCTGCCATATTTGATCCGTCATCAACATTATTCGAATTAGTAATCATTAAACGTTTGTTTGGGACCGTGATATAGGTGAAGAGGCTAGCAAGTTCTTTTTGAACTCTCGGTTACCCGAGTCCGTGCTGGCACAGATTTGGGATCTTTCTGATATCACAGGATCAGGAAGGCTTTCCAAGGATGAATTCGCGGTTGCTATGCTCCTTATCAATAGAAAAAATACTACAGGCGCACCTATTCCTAAGACGCTCCCACTTTCACTTGTCCCACCTTCACTCCGTCACAGAGTTGCCCCCTCTTTGCCGTTTGCTTCGCAAGACCCGCTTAGAAGTATGCTTTTCGAATGAATGATTGTCATTGCCAACTAACTTGATACATTTGCTTATTGATACATTGGTTCACTAACAAGACATCAATCGTATACATTCTTAATAATATCATATTATTACAGACATGACCCTTCCAGTTGGACAGTCATCGCAGCATTTCCGGCGCCAGTCGTTTGATCTTTTAGGAGATGGTCCTGCTCTAGGCACGTCTATCAGCCATACAGGAGTGTCACAGCCAGATAAGGACCTCATTGGTGCAGAAGACTTGACTAGCAAAATTACTTCTGAGACAGGAGAGCTTGCATCAATGCAGAATCAAATTAACAGCCTTAGCAAGGTCACTGGTGACCTACAAGCGAAGCGTTCTGCTCTTGAAAAAAACCTTTCGGCTCTATCTGCACAGAAGCAAGACATTAGCATTCGACTAAACCAGATCAAGACACTCCACGAAAGTGAGACAAAATCAATTAAGGAGATTGAGAGTGCATTGGCGACAATCCAGCCTCAATTGAAAAAGCTACGTGAAGAACTTTCAGTCTCAGAGCGCGAGCTGGCCGTTGCTCGTTCTAATAAAGATGAATACTTCTTATCGTTGGCGAAGGACCAGGAAGAGAGCAATCAAATTAGGGCGCGATTGCGCCAAAACAATGAAGAGACAATCAAACTACGTGAAGAACTGGAGGCTAAGAGGAAGGATACTGGCCGTCAAAAAGGGTTGCTCGAGATTGCACGCCGACAACTTGCTACGAGTGATGCAGACAAACAAAAACTGATCAATGAGATTGCTGAGGAGTCTGAAAAAGCAGCCCAGGCCGCAAAACAGATTCATGCTCTGTCGACTACTTCGTTTATGCCTTCTTCATCGCCTACTCCTTCCTCGTCTCCAGTTCCGCCCCCACCACCCGCTCCCCGTGGTTCTCGCAAGGAACCTCCACCACCACCAGCCAGTCGTGGCAGTGCTTTTGCATCGCGAGCTTCACCAGAGGAGGAAGAGGCATTTGGTATCCCCGAGGCTCTTCGTAGCCCCACTGGTAGTTTCCACAGTGTGCACTCGCCTAGGACAGGTACCAATGCACCTCTTCCACCTGCCAGCGTTAGTCGTCAATCTACAGGCACTTCTCCATTTGAAGCAATCCCTAGGCAGAGCAGTGGTACCTCACCTTTTGAGAGTATTTCAAAACAAGGGACTGGGACATCGCCATTTGAACCTATTTCTCGTCAAGGTACCGGCATGAGTGGAGAGGCGCCTTCAGTGACTAATGTAGGCGAGGCTGGTAGTTTCTTTCCAACCTCTGCTGGCGGCGGAATGAAGGCTCAAGATGACCTGTGGTCACCTATGACTCATGCTGCTCAGGCGAAGACGGCTGGACAGCCCGAAGTATCCATGTCGCCTGATCCAGAGACCTCCGTGCCCCCTCAAAACTCGTTGCTTGCATTCGCAGCTGCTCAGACCCTTCCAGTGTCACCACCAGTATCGCAGGATCCTTTCGGGGCAATGGCATTCCCCGCTATAGACACGCCTCCTGTCACGAAAATGGACTTTGACTCTGCTTTCCAAGGGTTTTCTACTGGAGCGTCGTCCAAAGGTTTCAGCGCGGATAGTGTCAAATCTGCCGAAGCCTTTAGTGAAGCATTTCCTGATATTGACGTGATTAACAGCTCAGATTCATCCAAGGCCAAGCGCGTAAGTGCATTTGGCTTTGACGATGATTTTGCGAGCTCGCCCTTCAGCCAGACACTGGAGAAGAGCAAAGAGGATGAGGAGTTCCCCCCGATTGTCGAGATAGCCCACGATGACGATGATTCAAGCGATGATGACTCTGATAGTGGCGACAATGACACTTTTGTCCAGGCAAAGAGCTCAGTCACGTCACCTGAACCGTTCCCTGTTGCTCCCTTTCTTGCTGTGGAGAATGCCTCGATTACGGCTTCAGAAACACAGGCTCAACAGAGTGGAGCCGAATCATCAGTCGCTACAACCGTACCAGCTGTTGCTCCTATCTCGACTGGGCCTAAGAAGCTGACAGCGGCTGATTTCAGTGAATTTGAGTCATCCTTTGATGGCGGGGAAGGTGACGATTTTGATTCAGCCTTCAAGGGCGTGGAGTTTACAACGCCCAAAAAAAGCAGCGGAGCAGTTGGAAAGATTTCTGGATTTGATGATAGCTTTGATTTTAATGCATCATTCGAAGATCCATTCGGATCGTCGTCGGCGTTTAGAGATGCAAATAATACTAATGCACAAGGACAAGCAGCATCAAAGACGACTTCATCGGGCGCTTTTGGGCCTGTAGATTTGGATGAAGCCTTCGGCGGATTTGGAGTTTCTTCATCGTCAGCCGGTGCTTCCTCGCAGCCTGCTACTGCCGGAGCTGGCAAACCTGAAGATACGTTCAGTCATGGATTTGATGATTTCGAGGCTGAATTTGCGTCTTCCAGCTCATTCCCTGCTTCATCCGCAGCTCCTGCGACGGTAGCTCTTCCACCTCGACCAGTATCAGCGACACCTGACCTGCCTCCATCTACAGCGGCACCTAATACACTTGACTCTAGTGCAACATCGTTGCCAGCACCACCTGCAGTACCGTTGGTAGGTGTTGATGAGCTGATCAATATGGGCTTTACCCGTCAACAGGCCGAGGACGCTTTGTTAAGATATGACACTGTGGAACGGGCAGCCAACTTTTTGCTTGGGGGACAATAGAGGATAGTAGGTTATGACCGCTCGATAGATAATGATATGATATGAACATGATACGAATCAAATATGAAACGACAAAATGATTACATCTACAGCAATCCGTGAGGAAATATGGAGGTTGAACTGATGAAATAGGAAATAAATATTGTAACAAGCAAGCCTAATACATATACATCTATCTAAAGTGCATGATAGATATTAATTGAAGGCTTGTATTTTTAGATATTGCCTCATGCGTCTTCAGGTCTTTAGGGACATTAGTTAGATCATGTTTAATTTGGTGAAGTCTGACCCCACGTACAAATATTTGGCTCCCGTGGCAAGCCAGTAGGCCATGTCATACCAGTATGACTCTTATATTATAAAATGGATTCAAGAGAGAAAGGCTTGAGATTAAGGTATCGGACGGATGATTGCCTTAAAAGATTCCTTGGATCTGAGTGACTTAGACTCTGTATTTAGAATACAATATGCACACACTCTGTTTTGCATAGTACAATACACACAAAGGAAGATGAATAGCTTTGGAGGCGGAGCGTCATAAAATACGTCTTTTAGTGACTATGTACAAGATTATTGCAGCCAGACACATCTTGCTAAGGAATGTTAGTTCACATGTCAGGGCACAAAAGTAGAATCTTACTCTTCATTGGGGAATGCGTGTGTTACACAAAAGAAGAGACGCGTTACACAGAAAAGGAGCTTTTAGGGCAATAAAAGGTGTTGACACCTCACCTCACCTCGCCTCACCTCATCCCACCTCATTACACCTCATTTCACCTCATTTCACCTCATCTCATCTTATACCATTTCATATCATCTCATCTCATATCATCTTGATTCACATTCCTTCTTTCGTCTTGTTCACTTCTAATTCTCCAACCCTGTATCAATACTGCAGATAAGAGGAATTAATGTCAACAGAATTTCCTCCAACCAAATCAGCCAGTAAACCCAAGGTACTGATTGTCGGCGCTGGTATTGCTGGACTCACATTAGCCATTCTTCTTGAGAAGGCTGGTGTCCCATATAAGGTCTATGATCGCATGACAGAACTCAAGCCCTTGGGTAAAGAAGCTCCCACCATCTATTTTTTCAAATGAAAATAGCACTGCAGTATATATTAATGATTCTTTTTTTTTTGTATTCATTAATAGGGTCTGGGATGGGGTTTGGTGCAAATGTAGGGCCATTGTTCAAACAGATTGGTATTTACGATGAGTTTGTCCGCCTTGGAAAGCGATCCAAATCAATTGACTATTATAATGAGGAACGTAAGCTGGAGCATTCGATGGATTTCGAGAAATGTACCGAAATGTAAGGATCCAATAGGACTGGTCGAAGGAAAACTATTGCTCTACAACTCCTAATTCTTTTAATAATCTCTTTTTTTTACTAATATTATTATTTAGGGGAGGGTCTCCTGGCTATATGATCCCTCGTCCCGTCCTTCATGACTTATTGTTTCGACAGGTACCATCAAACAAAATCTTTTTAGGAAAGCGAGTCCTGTACATCAAGCAACGTCTAGAAGATGGTGTCCAGATCCAATTCTCGGACAATACATCTGCAGAGGGTGATATTCTTGTTGGAGCTGATGGTGCTCATAGTACTATTCGGCAAAATCTCTATGAGTCGTTAAAGAGCGAAGACCAACTACCAGCTTCAGATGATGGAGCTTTGCCATTTAGTTGTATTCATCTTGTCGGACAAACCAAACCATTAGATCCTACAGCATATCCAGAGCTTACTGACTCCCGCACTCATTTCGTAAGGGTTGTTGGGAACAACAAACCATTCTCTGTAAGTATTTTCAAAATAGAAAAAAAGGCGGGGAAGAGACTTAATACAAACACTCACCATCATCCTTTCTATATATTATTTTCTTTGGGTGGAAGTGGGGATATATGACAGTGCAAGGTAATATCTTCTGTTGGAGCGCAACTCGATACCTGGACAATGAGAGTTCCAAGGATGATGGGAGCTTTCAAAATTCAGAATGGGGCCCTGAAGCCGCAATTGCGATGTGTGAAGAGGTCCGAGACTTTCCATTGCCTGGAGGCAAGGACAACAAATTGACCATTGGAGATCTCATTGACAACACGCAACTGGTCTCTAAGGTCAAGTTGGAGGAGAAGGTCTTTGATACATGGTATTCGGGAAGGACAGTTCTGATTGGGGATGGTAATTTCACACACCTATTGTTGTTTAATTGCTTGATCGTTGTTGAGCCTCATTAGAATATCGCTATGCCCGCCTTCCTCACTTCTATCTCTTCTCTGCTGTTTGGTTTGATCTGCCTGTGCTATTTGTTTGTTCTGACTGAACAGCTTGTCACAAGGTACCGTATTGTATAGAAAAAATAGCAACGAAAGTTACTGAAGATCTCTCAAAGAGTATCTGACGAAATATTCCCTATTAAAAAGCTTGTTTTTATTTTTTATTCTAATAGATCCACCCTGCTAGTGGTGCTGGCGCTACTAATGCAATCCAGGATGCGGTAGCATTAGCAAACTGGATCAGCGTATTAGATTCAACAGCAGTCAGCAAAATTACAAAAGCCTTTGAAGAATATAAAGCAGAGCGCTACCCAGTTGTCATGAAGGCCTATGAGAATGGGCGAGCGCTATCCAAAGTGACGGCAACGGTAATGTTGTTGATATGGAAATTTGGCTAGAGGAGTACAAGTGAAGAAGAAAACTTGACGAATTTTTTTTTTTTTTTTTTTTCCATTCCAAAAAAAAAAAAAAAAAAAAAAAAATACAGGACCTGACTGCCAAGATCAGTCGCTTCATCACTAGAAACCTGCCGACTTGGCTCTGGAACATCATGCTTAAGCGCATGGTTGAGTCGCGCCCTCAAGTGTCATTCTTGCCATTGGTAAAAGATAAAGGAACTGTACCACCCACGTACCAGCCAAGTCTTCAAAAAACATTAGAGATCAGGAAGGCTAGAGAAACTGCAGAAGAAAAGGATCCACTACAGTTATAGTGAACTAGTAGAGGAGGTATTGATAATAAAATAAAAAAGGATATAATTCATACTGAGAATTAGTGAAATAGGAGATGATAGGATTCATCACTAGCCCGAAAGAAAGCTTAGAGTGTGTACCAAAGCAAACAGCCATATCAAACTCGTATATTCTAATAGTTTATTCATTTATTTTGTTTTTCTAATGACGCCTTTATATTTTTAGTGAGGAATGCCGTTAGTGACCTTCTGGAACGAGTCATAGAGAACAGTACGACGGTTCAAATATGATTCATCCACTCGTTCCTTCATAAATTCAGCTGCAGCACGTTCTGAACGATCCAACTGGAAACGATATCGCAACCTTTTAATAGTCTCCCCGCGGAAACAAGGCAGACCCGACTCGAGCATTAATGAAATCATTTGACAGATCTGCTCAGCATATGGACGTGACGCTAAATAGGCCTTGATACAAAGTTCACAGAACCATCTGTAGCCTTGCTCCTCTACGCCTGAGCCCATGATTTGGATCATCTCGGCTGTCAGCTTGAAAGGCGAAGACTCGAAATTGATGTTTCCTCCAGGCGAAATGTCCAGGATGAATCCGAAATCAATGTGGATAATATGTCCATCATCATCAATCATGATGTTGCCGTTATGTCGATCTTTGAACTGGAGCAAGTATGAAATCACACTGTATGATGCAACTGATTGAATAAAGTTGTTGCGCGCCTTTTGATACTCGATCGAATCCACACCGCCGTACTTGGTCACAAAGTAATCCTGAAGGTTATTAACTTTCTCGCGACCTAATTGATCGCGTGAGATCGAGTTGGGGATTACATCAATCATACCACATCCAGGGGCAGTCGCGACGATGCGGTAAGGGAATAGATACAAGTCCAGGCCAACACTTGTAAAAATGTTCTTAAACACAGCAATAAGTTGGATGGCCAACACATCCTGTCGACAATCGTCTCCAACTTTGAAAATGGCGGATTGCCAAACATCATACGTTTTTGGAGCGGCCTCTTCATCTTCATCATCGCCTGAACCACGTTTGATGATTGTCTTGCCTAGATTGGACTCTTCACGGGTCTTACGGACCTTGAAAGTCGCCATGAAGGGGGTTTTGGCATGACTCTGGAGAGGTCGGCCAGACCGTTTATCAATATCCACAACCACACCCTCGGGATTGCTGGGTAAGTACACGCCCACATCTACTACAATTTTGGCCATCTCTTCATCAATCTTTTTCTTCTTCTCGGGTTTGCTTTTCTTCACAAGAGGCATCAATGTCCCGGAAATGGAGGTGACTTGGTTGAAGAACGTGAACTCGCGCTCATAAAAGTTCTTGGCTTCGCCTGATAAACCGTGAACAATGTTATCAATAATGCGATCCAGAACAGGCTTTAGGGGATCCGGGACTTCGCTGTTGTTATCCTTATACATATTGGCCTTCATATTCCAAATGATCTGATGTGCGAAAAGTTGAGAAACACGAGCTGCGCGCATAATATACCTTTCAACATACCCAAGGTCGTCATGACGAAGCGCTTGTACAATTTGAGGTACATAAAAGAAGACAACTTCTACGGGAGAATGCTCCAATGAGCGCATAGCATACTGAAGAACCATTGGATTGCTGTGATACGCTGGCTGGAAATAAGTGATGGCGGTAATGGAAGGGACAGGGTGCCAGAAGAGTAAGTATCTGAATTGTGCGGAAGAGTAACGGACACTACTTTCACCAAGTAAGAACTGAATCGCGTCCGAATCATGAACAGCTGCGAATGGGTCGTTTGCCAGGAGATAGCTGAGCTCATTAGTAATGACGCTGTTCTTGAAACGCGACGTTAGCTGGAGAGCCAACGTGGGCGAAACTTCCCAGGCGAAACGAACCAAGCTTCTCCACCCTTCTTCTGAAAACGTCTTTTCTATTGCATTGACCTCAGGACTGGCGCTATTCAATACCAAAGGAGTGCTCCAGACACTCAAGCGGTTCAGCTCATTCTCATTCAACAAAGAAAGTAGTCTGCGGCATTGAGTATGCTTGCGGACGATAGCATCGCGTGTGAGCCTGTTTGTAATAAGATAGTTTGGTCCGACACCTTTGTCGCTCGATTGAATGCTGGTGAGAATAGAGTCCAAGAAAATTTTGTCTTGCTCTAAAGCAACGCCAAACTCCTTCATAACTCTTGTCTCTGTCTTGTTTAGCATCCTGTTACCTCCAAAGGACCAGCGAGGGGATAGCTCGAACCAGGAGAAGGCAGCATGGTACAGCGCAGACCGAATCTTGTACTCAATCAAGGCTTCCATGCGGTTCGATTGCATCAGTTGAAGGCCTAGGAGAATAAGTTGGAAGCGGCCCTCTCTGGCTAGGGGATGGGTACTCATCTTATATTTGGTGTCAAACGTCAACTGGATCAGACGTGTAAAGATATCAACCATGTCGCGATTGCCATAACGAGTCGCCTGGAAGCGACTGGATAAAAATTCAATCCAGATCACATGGGGCGCAAAGAGATATGAGGCGATCTTGTAGCATTTCTGACGAGCTTTCTTGTCAGAGGGAGCGTATTCCATGCGGACACGGAAAGGATCTTCAGAGTCAAGCAAAGATGAGAATAGGCCTTTTTGGTGACGTGTGGCCCAGACCCACCCAGAGGCCACTTCCGACATCAAACGTCTCTCCACAGCCGGTTTCTCTGTGATAAGCCAGTTCCAGACCGAGGTCCCGATCTTCATGCTATCTGGTGTAAACAGGTAAATAGGGATCCACGCAACCATTTTGACGAGACCTTCTTCAACCTTATCAAGAGTGACCAGTGCGCTGACAGCACGATGTAAGGCATTCGCTAGGTCCTTATTCGAAATAAACTGATCATTCTTAACTTGTTGTACCATTTTTTCGAGATTAGCACGTAGTGCAGGTAATTGGCTCTTCAATACCGATCCAGACTCGAGAGTAAAGACAGCAGAGAAGGTTTCCATACCACCAATCTCCCCTTGGTATCTACGGCGCGCTGAAAACTCCTGGAAGAAGACAGACGAATTGTCAATGATAGCTCCAGAGATGTTTGCAAGTATACCAAAGCTATTTTGGTTTTGGATGAGATCCTTTCCAGCTCGCGCCGCAAGTGTCCGACCCATGTGAACACAGCTGACCCCAGTATGAATCTTTTCCGACTCTGCAAGATAGTCTTGTAACAGAGCATCAACTTCCTGAGGGGAATTAGCCATTGCAGCGTTAATCCATTTGCGAGTCAATTCTACGAACTTGGTTAGCAGTTCGCGACGATAAGGATATGAGTCTGGTAGGTCGATGGTCACCCCGACCTTGCTCGACGTAAAGCTGTAAATAGGACAGTATTCGTCTGTCAACTCGTTTTCACAGCTTAACCAGAGCAACTCACTTAACTCCAGCACAAGAGTCAAAAGTGCCTTGTCACACATGAGTTGAGGGAAAGAGGCGACCATACGATGAATCCACTTATTACTTAGGGAGCTGACACGCTTGAGACGGTGAGCACAATTAATGACCAAGTTTCGGACCTGATGGCGAATATTGTCATCCAAGGAATGAGAGAGGACCTTGATCTGAGACTCAGATATGAATACATTAATGACTTGGTCTGCGATCGCTTCCAAGCACGTGAAAAGGCCTCCTTCGCTTACGCCTGAGTTCATGAAGTACTGGAGGATGAATGAACAATTTCCTTGACGGCCGCGCATAATCTCAACATGGTACACGGATAGAAGGAAGACGACTTTTGCTGAGCTGAGCGATTTGATTTCTCCTGTCTGTCCAGGGAGATAGCTGGCAAGAGTTGCCCGCATAGAAGATTTTTGATCCTCAAGGATGCCCCTGGGAAGGACAGAACTGTACTCAAGATCGCCTTCCAAGTAAGCATTTGTGCCAAGGTCGCCAGAAACAAACGTAGGTGTCTTGCGTGCAATCAAAAGCATGGCATCGCTCCATTCCTTGTGCCATGGATAGACTTTGACAAACTCAAACAGAACACAGTGGAACCATGCATCTCTGAACAACTTTGTGTCCTCCTTACTGGGCCTAAGGTGAGGCTGAAAATCGTCATGAGAGAGTAGCTGACTGATGATAGGCAAAAGAGGTCCCAGTCCAGCAGAGAGCGAATTGATGTTGCTTTGATTTTTCTTACTAGACTGCACTGTGAGCTGAATCTGAACACCCTTCTCAACAAAAAGTTTAAGCAAGCATGTCAAGTAGGAGGAATAAAACTCTGGACGCGTGTTGATGGTCTTGGCCAAACGCAGCAGACAGGCATTTACCTGTTATAAAAAGTATGTAGATAGGCGACGGAAAAGAAAAAGAGGGAATGAATAAGAATTATGATGGACATAAACACATGCTATAGCCTTACCATAATATTACTCTAATGGGAAATCAGCTTACAGTTTCGCACAATTCCTTAGTCTCAGAGTTATTCTCTGGTGAGATCGAGAGTTTTGATAGATTGGAAAGAATTTGAATGATGTCGTTGAAGGAGCTTGCTGTTCCAGTCAAGGCCATGTCAGTAAGGCGAGATACAATGACACAATCCAGTTTAGGGCTATGATGACGAATCTGTTGGGCGAGCATAGAGAGAGCCAGTGGCGTGATCTATATAAACATGTGCGCAAAGTTACATGAACGAATCAGCCATAATGATGCCAGTTGTTACAGCAATTGAGATGTGAGAGCTACCCAGGGCTGCCTGCATTACCTTTCCGCTCTTGAAGACACAGGCAATTTTGGAGATAGCTGTAATAACGTTCTCTTGAATCAAAATAGATTGCTCAAAGGCCCCATTCGAAATTGCAGTATTGTGACTGTAGAGTGTGTTCAACAGGGCATAAACGGTCGACATAGCGACGTCTTCTCCTGAAGAACAGTGCTTTAAGGTCTGTGCCAGACGTTCAACAGCACAAGCCTGAATAACAATCGCATTGAGCCCTTCAAAAATAGGCGATGGCACTGTCAAGAATTGCTGCAATAAAGCTACCATTTCCTGATGAGCCTCACTGAAACTGGTTTTTTAAATGAATGGAGAGATAAAAAGAAGGCGACACGGCCTATTGTGAGCATCAAGTTGAATAACGTACGGGGCGTTTTAGCGAAGCAAGGAAACTTACTTGATGCCCAGTAATGAAGCGCAATCCAAAGCGGCAACGTGAATCCAGGATTCTTCAGCGCGAACTTGATTAAAAAGACATATGGAGATATGTGATGGGAGCACATCATCTAGTTCGTGGATGTAGACACTTGCCAGCGATGCCAATTGCTATCAAAAAACATTAGAATCAGAAACTCTTCATGTTAAAAAAAAAAAAAAAAAAAAAAAAGAAGGATTCTTTTATATATATATATATTTACCAAAGAAATACCCATGATCTCACTGTAATAGAATTCGTACGAGAGACTTCCTTGGGCTAAAAGGTCGTTGGCAAATGAGCGCATATCAGAAAAGAATTGTAGAGACATAATGTATTCGGCCCTCATAATCTTGATCATATCTACAGGACATTGTTGAATAGCAATGGCAGGTGTGCTCAAAAGTGTGGCCCAAATATCATCGAAGACAAGATAAGAAGGCGATTTCCGTGTCTTCCGGTAGGTCTGGCCATTCCCGGCTTGTTCTTTGGCTTGAGCCTTGACAAGATGGGTATTGATGAGGCATCCAATCATGTTGCGCTTAACAGTCAAAACTTGAAGAACAACACGGTTGGAGCTAAGGATAATGCTTTCGTCCGCATACTGTGTGAGGACTCTGCGGGCGTACGAGTTATTAGCGTCTTGTCTGACAGTACGGATGGCATTACGGATGTGATCTGAAGTCTCATTAGAGAGGAAAGGGTTGGAATGGGATACCAAGTCGGCAAAATCCTGTGGCTGGAACTCAAGAGACGATGTCTTCAGAGCAGCCAGGAGGCCATTGAGCGACGGTAGAACAAACTCACATATTTTTTCAGCTGTTGTAAAAAATATTATTAGCAACGTTGGATCGCAGAGTCATCGCCAGAAACGCAACGCGGAAATGTAGCTGATGTAAAATGCTCACCATTATCAGATTTTACAAGCGAAGATAGTTTGTCGAGGTACGACCAAATGGAGTTGAGGACCTGTTGACGAATTGTGGATCTTTTACCAGCAACTGTCAAGAGGTGTTTCGTAAGGTTGTAGGTCAGGTTGTCAGCAGGAGACTTGCCTGCACAGAGAAATAGGGAAATAGGGGACAAGTGTTATATCACGGTTGTCAATATCGGAATCAATAATGTTTTCAGGGAAATGCCAGTTCATTTTGCCAGATAATTGCCTGTCCGTTTCTACTTTACAAACCTTTGAGACCGAATCCATCACTAAACTGGAAATAGGAGAGTGAGTGTAGATATCCACAAAGGCGAGGAACCAGATCACTGTCAAACTGGCCAGAAGATTCTGCTGCAAACTTGGCCTGGGAAATGAGCGCATGTTGATGACGCATCGTCTAATAAATCATCCAGATAGAGCAAGGATTTAAATCAGGAACAAGCATGTAGGACAGATCGCCGACTGATGGGTAAAATTAAATTTTAAAGAGCTGCTTGAACTATATAATACATACCATGACTCCTCCTTCTGGTAAGATTGACTCTATCAAGGCCCCAGATGGACTAGCAAGCGGTGGTGCCGAGGGGCCAGTCTTAATGAGTCGTTGTACTTCATCTTCCGAAGTAGTTGAGTCCTTTGCTAATGTCGAGGCTAAGCTCGAAAGGATCTGAGAGTGTAGGTCAAATTCGAGCCTGTAGCCCAAGATATAAAATTCATTGATAGAAATATAATAAAGCAAGATGACGAGATGGTTAAAAACAATGGCCTAAACGTCGATCTGCTCTATTGATCGAAGGAATGGGGAGATTTCTTTGATAACGTACGTCTCCATATTCCGTTGTAAAGACTGTTGATTACTGAAGAAAAAAAAAAAAAAAAAAAAAAAAAGAAAAGTAGTTGAATGTGAATGTGAGGGTAAAAAAAAGTGCAAATGATGCGATGGATGAGTTTGCAGGGAAAGGAAAGGGGGAAAAGATGGAGCTAATGTTGATGGAATGAAAAGAAAAAGAAGCCTGAATGTCTGTCTTTGTGTCCGTGTGTTTTAGATGTGATTTTGTGGGATACAGAAAGACGGCCTTAAATGAAAGAATTATGTAGATATTCGAGCCCTCTTTTTCTTTTTATTTTTACTGACGGCACGTGCTTATTTCAATCATGATATATTTTTATTTTTTAGAGTAGTGCAAAAGACTCAATTGATCTGCTTCACTTGCTCACAAGTCTCGTCAGAGCAAAGATAGAAGAGGAATGGAACAAAAATATTAATATCCATAATGATCATAATAAGAAGGAGAATAGACCAAGGCCTATTTTATTCAATCGGCCTTTTTTTAACGTCTCTTTTTGTTATTACTCTTGTCGTTGTTGTTCCTGTTGCTGCGGTTGTGGTGTGTGAATACTGATCAATTCTAGCTTCCAATTTCAGAGTAGAGGTAGACGCACCGACTGACGACATATCCATGTATCTTATTGATTTGAACGGACGGAAGTTGACCCGTTTGTCTTTAAGAGCAACATCCTTCCGTCAACCCTTTCACATTCGCATACCACCTTCCCTATTATGAAAGTCTCGTTTTTTTCCCTGCTTTATGTTTCGGTGCTTTATATTTTGGATGGCATGGCTGGATCCCATCCTTCTACAAATAAAAAAGTCACTCATCAAAACCATCAGGAAAAACTCATATCTCTAACAAGCACGCCCCACATCGAAACAGTTGATTACTGTGCCATTGCTGCAAAATCATCCAAAGAAGCCGATGGGACCATCCCCTATATCGTCGCAAGAGGTTGCTATGAATTGTTTGCTTTCGATCCACAAATTAGAGAGGATGCAATCAACAGCATTCGAGCCAACTTGGAGTCTTTTTATGTCTTTTACGACATCGCCAAGTATGACCCATTCTTTTTTTTTTTTTTTTTTTTTTGTAATATTATTCTTCCTCTCATATTTCGTTGCAATCCAGTTATATAAAAGAGATTACACGTATCTTGTTGGCAAAGGCATACTAATGCATCTCTTGGTCGTATTCTCTATATCGAACTCATTATTAAAGATCACCACCTCGCATGGAGAATTCGGACTTGGAGCCCATTGATTTATCGGTATCTTTGGCCGAGCTCGCGAATGAAACATATCTAAATGATTATGCTTTCCATGACAGGCTTTCGAATCTCATTGCACGGTTGCAGGACCCGCATACGGTATACAAAAGCATGTGTTATCAGCAATTTGTCTTCGTTCAACCCATTTCAACCTATGGTGTATACGAAGATCATCGACAGCAAGTAAAAGTGGCTTCAATTCTTGATAAATTAGACCCGCGATTGACGAGTGATCTGAATGACTGCGAGGTCACACACATCGATGGCCGCTCAGCTTACGAGAGTATAATCAATAACTGGGACACTGATTGGCAGCCTTTATCGAGGAGATTCATCAGAGTTAATTCTTTGTTTTTCATCTTTGCATGCCAACATACCTAACATGACAATATAGTGATCGTTGAATTTGCCAAATCCAAAGCATATAGTAAGGACAGAGGGGTCCGTATCAACAAATCGTTCTCGTCTCTTGCACATGACAAAATTGGGGGTTATTATGATCATTATTCTATGGGCACCTTTGCTCAGAGGACAAGTATCCCGCCTAATGAAACGATCGAATATAAAATCGACTGCAGGTCAAAGTTCAGCTTGAACACGCTGCCACAGAACCTCTCTACATTGTTAGCGACCTTTAAGTTATCATGGACAGCACTGGATGTAACGATGTTGCCATTCAATGATGCTCGCTCCTACCACAGGCAATTCTGTACTCAAGGCTCTATCCAGACAGTGAAAAAGCTTGTTCTTAATTCTGCGTTACCAGATGATTTCAATTCTGTCAAGGAAGACGCCCTTGGGACTTATAAGAAAGCTAGAGAATTGTATCGTGGAGCGTATGCATCTTTCTACCTTTTAGATGACAATATAACAGGCATCTTTCGGCTTGGCACAGAGTCACCTCATAAAGAAAAAGTCCAGTCGAATTTTTATGCCAACATTGACAAAGGATTTGAAGCATTGAGCAAGGCAGGAGCTAGAAAGCTTATTGTTGACTTGCAAAACAACTCTGGCGGGATCATTTGTTGGGGTCGTTATGTTTTGCAGACGCTTTTCCCTCAAACAGTCAATTCGCCCTACATTTACAGTCTGCGTGCTTCGCCTTTGGCGCAGGCGCTGGCACAAGCAACATTCATTTATGATTGTGAAAGCGACTCACCATATGATGGATTTGTGGATCCAAACACAGGAGAAGAATTCACAAACGATTCATGGATGATACCTGGGACTACGATGCTTGGAAGGCAAGGCAACTTCAGTGACAAGATAGCAGATAGGCGCTGCTCAGCAGTGGAGGATGTCAAAGGCGATCATGAGAACGCCATGTTTGCTCCCTCAAATATTACCCTTCTTACAAATGGATTTTGTGGATCAACATGCGCTGTCCTCGCCATACAAATGCACGAACGTTATGGTGTGCGCACGGTTGCCATCGGTGGAGTGCACGGACAGCCCATGATGTTTACCTCTTTCCCTGGAGGGGCTGTTCAAGCAAACAATACACTTTGGATAAAACGCATCCAAGATGTCATTGACATATTACCCGATAATCTACACACTCAACAGATTAAAACGCTCCTTCCAAGGCAGTTACCAGCTAACGGACAACTCGCCTTTACATTCCGGCAGGTGCTGAGCACGATCAACCCGGATCAAGTCCTAGAGTATATGAGGATTCCAAGCGAGTTCCGAATGGACTATACAGTTGCACGTTTCCGACTACCTTCTATTTTATGGAAAGATGTCCGAGACCTGGTATGGGATACTATTATGTCATCGAAGGGGAAGGAGGAGGAGAAGGAGAAGAAGGGCCTAGAGGGCGATGAAAGCTTCGGAGGGGATTTGGAGGGGATTTCGGAGGCAATTTTTAGCGATCAAAAGATTGGAACGATGGTTGAAGTTGAAAGAACAGCTGCGGATGATTTGATGATGGCGATTTTGGGGCTAGAGGGAGCAGATCGTGAGGACTTCCGATGGATCCATCAATTCGAGATGTACTAATCCAAAATGAATCTCAGCTCTTTCTGATAAATGCATCCAAGGCATTAAACCTCGGAACTGTTCTTACCCTTTTTGCTTCATTCATTTCTTCATTTCATTCCATTTGTCGCCATTTCATTTCTCTTCATTTATCTCCCATCATTCTGCGTCTCGTTCTTGCCTTCATTCTCCATTCAATCTCTCATTCCATCTCTTAATCATCGACTGATCCGTTTTTACTTTTTTTCTCTGTAGCTCTGTGAGGCAGCAAAGATAGATCGCTATGCCAAACCCAGTAAATAGTGGTCTTCCTGGGATCTTGAGTAGCATCGACATTTTAGCAACCCTTCCTACCGGTCTTCACATAGATTCAGCAATAGAGCTAACAAAATCATTGTCACCAGGAAGTATACTGCGCACATTAATCGTTGATAACTACGACTCATATACGTTCAACCTGCTGCAGTTATTTGATCAGGAGCACCTTCAGCAGGTGGTGGTAATCCGCAACGATCAGTTTACATGGTACTTACACATCCTGCCTAATATTTTAAATAGTTGGTAACGTCAACTCAAAGACACTCGACAATCTAACACTAACCCTTTGTATCCTTTCACCTCACTTTACTCCCAAACTGCCTTATGCTTTATTTTTCTGCAGGCCCGAGTTTAAGCAGCAGATCCTGCCTTTCTTTGATCAGATCATCCTCTCACCTGGCCCTGGGCGTCCAGAACGTCCCCATGTAAATAAACTTTTTTGTTACCTCCAATCTGTTGTATTCCAAATGTGACTCACCCATTCGCTCATACTCTTACATTAAAAGTTTGGGCGAATTAAAAAAAAAAAAAAAAAAAAAAAAATTAAAGTATTGTTTATGAAATCTTTTTAGGATTTTGGGATCTGTGCTCAGATCTTAGAAAAGTCCCGTATCCCCGTCTTTGGCATTTGCCTGGGTCACCAGGGTATCGGTTGGATACACGGCGCCAAAATAACATATAGCCCAGAACCGGTTCATGGACAGATTGCTCATATTCAGCACAACGGTGCAGGGATTTTCCATGGAATACCCCAAGATTTCAAAGTAGTACGGTATCACTCGCTTGTCATCCAGGAGCAGGATCTACCTGATGACCTCATAATCACTGCTTGGTGTTACAGCACCCCGCTGATCGCTGATGATACTACTATCAGGAAGGACAATACATTCCGCAATAATTCAAAAGATCGTGCTATCTCATGTAATACGTGGGGGGAAAAGTCTATTATGGGTGTCAAGCACAGATATCTTCCACATTATGGTGTTCAATTCCATCCAGAATCTATCTGCACGCAATATGGTCAAAAGATGATGAACAACTTCTTTATGCTCACACACGAGTTTTATCGAGAGCATAAACGAAATAGCATCGCTGGATGCATACCTGATCATGTCCGAGCGCACTCAGTGATAGCCACAAAATCACCTGCTGTCATCCCCCAACCAATGTTGACATCTAGTAGTTTGAAGGATAATCCGCCCAGTCAATATAGCCTCTTCATCCATATGCTGGATCCTACGATTTTTCCGGCACCCGAGATTGTATTTTCATCCCTCTTCTTGACGGGACCTCGCTCCAAGGCCGCAGCCTGGTGGTTGGATAGTGCGCGTCAGCCTCATCCAATGTCTCGGTTCTCTTTCATGGGCGGCATTGAAACCAGGCGTTGCTGTAGCCAGTCGTCAAATGGATATCTAAATACTCCTAGTGCAGCCCAAGCAGTGATCCAATACTCTACACTCCATAGGGAGATCTGCATTCGTCACTACAAGAGGCAGTCCAATGCTTCTAGTATTAAGCGAGTATACTTAAATCAGAATCGACGATCGGCGCATGGGGCAGCTGAAACATTTTGGGATTGGGTATCACAGCTGATGGCCGGCTTTAGTAAGGACGATATTGAAACCATTTTAACCGGGCCTAATGGTGAGCAACGGGACTTTGAAGAGGCGCCCTTTGACTTCTTTACAGGCATGGTTGGATACTTTGGATATGAGATGAAGCGTGAGAGTTTGGATGGGTACCAGACTCCATTAGAACAACAATGTCAATGTGATGGCCATTCTGGACGTTCCGAATGTTTTTGTACATGTAATTGCCTACGACAGCCTGATGCGTCATTTATTCTAGCTACACAGGCTGTTGTATTTGATCATGTCGATAAGCGCGTTTATGTATTGGGAGTAGTGAATAACCAGCCCGAAAAGTTGCAGAAAAACCTGGAGGCGCCTATCGGATTCTTGGATCGCCAGGCTTGCGATACTTGGATTAAAGAGGTTACACGCTCCATCACTCATGTTGCAACGATACACACTAAAGCGGGGAGCTCAGCGACAGGAGCTACTTTTTTACCCAGTGCGGCCAAAAGCGATAAACCTTATCGTCAACGTCGTCGATCATCTGTAAGCTTGTTGTCCCCATTTAAAGTGGATGTATCGGAGGAGAACTACTTGAAGGCTATTCGGGATAGCCTTGACTATATTCATGAGGGTGAGAGCTATGAACTCTGCTTGACTACGCAGTTCAGAGCCAAAATACCGTTACATAAACAGTATCAGGAGGATCATTTGGTCAACAGCGATGAACAGCAAGGTGATCCTGCATATGACTTGTATAAGATCTTACGGAAACTCAATCCTGCGCCTTTTTCTGCATTTTTGAGCCTCCCAATAGCGATGGACGAAGGAGTAGCATTAAAAAGCCAATACCTAAATGGGCACAGCTCAGTTCCAGAAAAGAACGAGATAGTTAGAAGGCTGGTCATTCTCTCTTCCTCACCCGAGCGATTTCTAAAAATCGGACGTATTTCTGATGACAAGTTGACGACTCAAGATGATAAAAATGCTTCATGTTCACTTAGGACTGTTGAAATGAAGCCTATCAAGGGGACAGTAGCTGTTGCTAAAGGGTGCTTCTGCGAAGAAAATGAAGGCTGCAATATCAGTCAGAGCACGGATGGAGAACATTTTGAAGACATCGAATTGTCGTATCAAGGTGATAAGACTTATGCAAGCCACCGTTCCACCTATGATCGATGCACAGAAGCGAGGAAACGCGAGAATCAAAGACGGATAGATACCCTGTCAAACAATGTGAAGGAGCGCGCAGAAAACCTAATGGTAACATTTCGCACTCGTCACTGCAGGACTGCAAGAACTGTCTAAATTGTTTTAGTTGATACTAACCTCTTTAATCTATAGATCGTAGATTTGATCCGCAATGACCTCGCACATGTTTGCAGCTCTTATTCCGTCAGAGTTCCTTATTTGATGAAGGTTGAGTCATATGAGACTGTGCATCAACTAGTGACAACAGTGAGAGGCGAGCTCTTTGACCATATCGACAGCACGCAAACTGTTAGAGCCTGTTTTCCACCAGGGTCTATGACCGGCGCTCCTAAATTGCGCTCTGTTCAGCTTCTCGATTCTCTTGAACATCATGTCAAACGCGGTGTCTATTCAGGTTGTCTCGGTTATATCGGGATTCCTGCCAGAGCAGCTTCTTCAGCGGGTGCTAACACTAAATCACACAAAAAGGCCCGCTCTTCTACAGATTTCGCGGTTGTTATACGGACAGCAGTACTTTCCGTTGAGCCCAATGTGGACAATGATGGGAAAATGATCCTTTCAGGAGGTAAATTCATTGAAGATTAGGCGGTATCAGAAGAAATGGTAGTGACACTATCCTCTCAATCTCTCAATGCTTTAATCCTTTTTTTTTTTTTTTTTTTTTTTTTTACGCATTTAGATCTCTCAGTCGGAGCTGGAGGTGCTTTGACAATTTTATCAGACGCGCAAGAAGAATGGAAAGAGGTATTGCTCAAATCACGGTCTGTTGTTCCAAGGTATGGTCAACGCCCTATTTTGTGTATTGCATCACATGGCTGTTTTTTTTTTTTTTTTTTTTTTTTGGATGATGGTCTTCAAATGCACTGACTATCCTTTTTATTCGTGAATCTACGTGTTCGGCGGCAGTGTGCTAACATATTTGCACCAAAAATATTAATAGCCAACACTTGATCTTTAGATCTTTAATATGTGGTCAGCATCTCTCGTTTGGATTGGCCTAAATATAACACGTTGTTTCAGACGAGTAAAAACTAAATATCCTGGTTATTCGTTTAACCTTTTTATATATGTAATTCACTCTTTATTGATTTCATTTGAGAGGAAGCTCTGCTTACTCATGAATACATTGAGAGTGTATGAAATAAACAACGATAAATGATGTGGCCTGCCATCACCGCTAGTCAAATAAATACTTTTTTTTTTGTTGTTGTTGTTGTTGCTGAGGGGTTTAAGAACATCCTGTGTTCATCTTTACTTATCCTCCCACTACCTTACTTCATTAGTAACGGCGGCGGCGAAGAGCAGCACTGCAGGCTGCACCTTTGACCCAGACAGAAGAACTACCGGGTGTATCACCTTGAGTCCACCACTGTGCAGTATAGACGAATCCGTTATAGGTAACCCTGGCACCACTGTTGTAAGCAGCCGAGGTCGACCAGGCGTTAATGTCGGAGCATGAACTACCGGGAACGCTACCTCCAGAGCATACACCATTGTCCTTCCATGGAGCACCTGCGGAGGGAACATTGCCCTGTGTCCACCACATAGCAGTATACTGCTTACCATTGTACGAGACGACAGCGCCGCCAGTGTAAACCTTGCCGGCTTCCCAGGCAGGAGCAGCACAGGTAGGGTTGGTGGGGCCAGGCGTGCTCGTGGTCGTAGTCCTAGTTTGCGTCTGAGTGACAGTGGCGGTCGAGGTGGGGGTTGTGCCATCAAATGGAGGGATAACACCCGAGCAGCGTGGTGTGTTGGCGCCAAGAGCAGCCTTACATATCTGCTGTGCCGCAGTAGTGGCATCAACGTTGTTGGAATTTCCAGCCTTCTTGTACAATTCCCAAAAGAAGCCACCTCTAGCACCTTGGGCAGCCAGAATGGCTGTCAGCTCGGATTGGGTCAGAGGCAACTGATGGGTAGGGTCATGTGTGGGGTCTGGATAGGCAGGAATGCCGATCTCATAACCGACAATAGCCTTCAGGCCGTTGTTAGCGTAGCCGTTCATGTAGTAGATGACCTGCTGGCTCAAGCTGCATACGCCTGTGTCAGGACACTCATGATATTGCTGGTTGTTGGATAGATCATAAGTCATTACATTCACTCCACCACTATCGGCGATGGCGTTGTAAAGGTCAGGGTACCACTTGAACAGGTTATACCAAATGTTCTTGAGGTTACCGCCCCACCAGTTGGTCGAGAGACCACCAGCAGCAGAAGCAGCGGTTGCAAGCTTCAAAGATGGCTGGATGGCCTGAATGTTGATAAGAACATCCTTCATGATAGCACCATATTTGTAGACGGTTTGATGAGAGGTCCATGGACCAGTGGATGGACCACTCTTGAAGTAATCGGCATGCCACATCTCCTCATAATCTATAGTAACAAAAAGCGAGACATTAGGTAAGTATGGTAAGCAAAATACGGCCGGTTTCTTGCGTCAATACAAATGCATAGCCTTGATTAAACTTTTTCGAGCTGCATACCAATATCGACTCCGACAAGACCAAGGTCTTTAGCAAGATAGACCAAGTCCTGGTAGGGGTCACGATTAACAGTCTGGTAGTAGTTGCTACCGGGAACTATATTGACTTTATTGTTCTTGGTATCGGTCCAAGACTTGCCTACCCATTGTATTATAAAGAAATAGATGCTTATTAGTATAAGCAATTCGGTGGCTATCAGTTGTAACAAGAGCAATCAAAAAAAAAAAAAAAAAAAAAAAAAAAATACCTGGAACCATCTCGGGATGCCAAACAGGGGCCTCTGCTGCGGCACCAGCTGCGATATACTGCTGGGCAGCTTTCCAAGTAGCCGACTCGGAAGGCTCAGGGAAGATATCAAAATCAGCCAAAGTAGTGTTCTCGCTCTTGGGTTCGCAGGTGTAACACCACATGTTGGCTTCTGTGCAAGAAGCAAGCGATCCTCCATTTTCAATGATTTTCCAATAGTTGGGGGTGCTGGTTCCATAACCACCAACGGAGTAGTAAGTGTAGACGTACTGGAGATATGTGTGCGATGCCATAAAAGTTTAGGTATCATTAGTCGACCTACTCTTAACGAATATATATATCCTTTTACGCTGATACATACCGGGAAGCATCCGTAGTTCCATCCTCCAACTGACAAGAAAACTTCAACGCCACCGGCCTGAAGTTTGGTAACTTTCTCTTTGAGGTCGGCAAATCCGAAATCTGGCGTGTTAGCATAATTCAGCCCGACGTGCTCAAGAGTGTTAGAACCAGGTACATAGACCATGCCTGGACGAGCAAACGACAAGAAAATTCTGTTGATAGGGATCTTGTCAGCGTTGTCCGCAAGGGCCTTGAGCTTGGCAGGTCCGTTCGTTGGGTTCAAGAGGAGGTAGCCTGCGGCTTGAGGTGCTGCTACTACAGACGAGCAAACAAATGCCAGTGCCGAAGCAACTGACAGAAAAGCGGTTGTTAAATGCATGTTTTATTCCCTTTTTCTGGATGACCTTAAATGTGATTGGAGCGAGAATGAATGGGGAAGTGAATGAGATGAAGGAGGTGAAGAATAACAGAGACGTCTTTACTGTTAGTATTTATACGTTTTTGCGGGTTGCTTTGGATTGAGATACTATTTTCAACGCCATCGCATACATGGAGCAAGCCAAACTATCCCGATTATACACTAAAGAGAGAATAGAGCGTAAAAAAAGCGTCCATTTCGGTTTTGTTCGATCTAGTTCAGACGCTGCGATCCTTGACGCGATCGACTCGTGATAAGATTGCGCTACAACTAGGTATTCCGATAACACACAATAGCACGTTACAAAAAATAAAAATGGGTATGTCCACGGAGAATGCAATCAAAAAAAAAAAAAAAAAAAAAAAAAAAAAAAACATCGGTCAATTTGAGTACAATCGGTCATCAGTAGGATAAATGTTGTACTTCCATGCCTTCCACCTTCCATAGTGCGCGCTAAACATAAACATACGAGCCCGCGCTGTTTGCTTTGAAAGGCACTTGTGTATACCCGCACCCTCTGCAAGGCTCCATCAGCTTTTCATAGCCCTACTCGAAGGCCATACCTCCTACACTTACGTTGATTGTGTTAACTTTGCCTTTCCATACTTTAACTTTAGGGTCTAGATGGTAAATTTGAATCTCTCTAAAGCAGCAACAATATAATGGCAATGGCAACAATCAAAAACAGCAACGAAAGCAGTAATAATGATAACAACAAACAGTGATAGTGACAAAACAAAAAGCAAGGGGATGTTGACGAGCCTCTCCTTAAACAAGCTAGATTATGCGAGATTGTGAAAAGGCCTTCCCATTCACTTGCCTTTGTCTCCCATCCTCCTTGCTCCTTGTGTTCTCCAAACATTCTGCTGTTTATATTTGTGCTCTTTACGGTCAAAGTAAAGACGTTGCCGTGTTTAATCATCTTCACGAATGTGAATTGTGATCACGATTGTGATTATCATGGTTAATTTTTCCTTTTTATTGCTATTCAATAATGTAGGACCATAGCTGCAAGTAGCTATAGGAAGAGTATCAAAGTGTCTTACAGCGGGTGGATAATAGATGATAATCCAAGTTTATTTTATAGCGCTTTGGCCTCCTATGATCAATATCCTTGCACCATCAAACTTTCCTGTGCTCTGCCGCCATATCCAATTATACGCGAATGTAACGCAGACAATTAGGGCTTTCATAATTTGTTTACACATGCTCCGTGTGCATGTCCAACCAATGAAAGGACGCGATAATAGCCCATGCCATGTTTACCTGCATGAAAAGAAAAAAACAACACCCGTGTTCCCCTGTGATGTGAATGTTTGGGTGTTGAGCCCTTCTCCCCTTCTCTTGTTCATCCTAACTCTTCTTTCTTTCAGTCTTTCAGTCTATCTAATGTCCACTTTAGCTTGTCTCATAAAGCGGAACCTTTGTTATGTAATGTAGTTTTTTTTTTTTTTTTTTTTTTTTTTTTTTTAAGAAGAAAACGAAAGTGAAAAAAAAAGAAAAAGTTGAAATGAAGACTGATATGTTCCTCTATTTACCCATTCGATACCTTTATTATTATCATTGGAAGAATGGTAGCAATGGTAATAATGGTAATAATAACAAAAAACAACAGCTGCCCTTTGGCCTCTTCTTTGATCAAATTCTGCAACTTTGAGAAGCATTAAGTTGGTTTTAGGATAAATGTTGCTATCGGCTAAAATCTATTGGCTCAATACAACTCTGTTGTTATACGCGTAACCATGTTGTTTAACCATGTCCATATCCATGTCTTTGTCTATGCCCACGTCCGTATCTTTTTTCTTTTTTTTTTTGATCTTTTGACAACTTGATGATTGTTTTTGATTGTGTACACTTACCCCCGGCTTCCGCAAGCAGACTGAAAGTGTATCTTTCAGGGACCAAGAGGGGACAAATCCAAGTGCATTTTGTACACGTACAACCCTCTTTCCATTTAGTCTAAAAAAGATGTCACATTTTTTTCCAATTTAACAATCATCATATCCTTTTTTGTGCGTGTTTTTTATCCTAGAGAAAGCAGTCCCTGTCCTATAAATATTGTTTCCTGACTTGGCCTAGCAAGCTCTCTATCTACATTCGAGATTCAAACAGTTCCGAACTGCCTGCTCTCCATCAGGCTATCTCGGAGATTCCATCTCGGTAGAACCGACCGGAGTTTTAATAAGAGTTTGGCCTCAACAGGCACGGTTTTCGTATCTGTTGTGAGGTTTTGACGTCAGAGGCTTCGAACATCTTGACATTCAACATTCATTATAAATATCAAAAGAAGCGAGGAGACTGAAGGCGACATTGCATGCATGTATATCTATCGCTTTAGCTTTTTTTTTTTTTTTTTTTTTTTTTAATGCCTATTGTTACAACGTTAAAATTAACTTCAGTATATGGCTTTGCCTTTGCCATTGCTGAAGCTCGCCTTCATGCTTGGGCTTGTTGCTGCTTCGTATTCGTTGCTTGTCATATAATACTCTTCACTGTCGGGCGAATGCCTACGATCATCTTGATCTTCATGGTATTGGACTGTCTCTTGAGAACTCGTCTTTAAATTCAACTTTTGAGCACCGTCAGTCTTGATACCATTTGCGTTGTTGCTAGAGTTCTGCGGTGGGGGGGTTCGTCCAGAGGTAGGTTCTGCCACCGGATGGGATGCACTGCGCTGGAGTAGCTCCACTGTTGTCCATCCCTTTTTAATATTTTTGGATGTTTGGCGACTCGAGCGACTCGCATGCCGTTGATGAGTAGCATCGGTTTGGGGGCCTTTCACGCCTGATGGGCGTGAAGAAAGCTTTGATTTCGGACTTTGAATCAAACCGCTGCAGACCACACACTTGGGAGCCTTTGTTGAGTCAGTTTCGAGCAATGTCATATCGCCTTTGTGCTTTGAGACCTCAACCTCTTGTTGCTGTGTTGAAGCGACTCTCGAACTCGCTACAGCTGTAGGAGATACCCCTGCTGTTTCCATCTCAAGGCACTGGTGATGGTATCCATGGCCACATCGAAAGATCAGCAGTCCCTTATCTACCTTATCTTTACTCTTGTCTTTGCTCTGCTCCAGAGTAGCTGAATGTTTCAGTTCAGACCTTGGTGAGGAGGTGGAGGCTGCTGCCGAAGCTTCTGATTCCGATGCATCTAAGGTAGATCCTTCTTGTCGCTCTGTTAATATGACGTTGGTTGCAAGCGCAGCTTTGATGGCATCAACCGCAGCTTTTTGCTGTTGCACCCAAAGATCACGGACAACGTTAGGTCCCCAAAATGCCCCTCCGCATATCTCACAATTTCCCTTGAGGGGTCGCCAACCCTTCGATCGACTCTTTGCAATAAGATTCACCCCCATGAATAGATCTCGCTCGAAGAGTCCATTAGTCATTTCCAATAGTTGACCCTCGTACTTGAACGTATTTAGCATACCCATGAAGATATCCTTGAAATCCGAAAACCGGTTAAGTTCACCCTCATCAGCAGACTCAGATTTCAATAGTCGACGCAAAAGTGATGGGAGAGACACCTGTGGAGTGGAGGTGGAAAGAAGCAAGGTTGCCAAAATTGACTGAACAAATCCCTTAAAGTTACTCAAGAGCTGGTCAACGACATAATAAGATGTTCGACTCTCTTGACTCGTGTTAGAGAAGAGAGAAGGAGGAGCATTCTCGATGATGAGGGCGTTGGGCATCGATGAATGAGTCACCTCTACATTGTCATCCACTTTAACCTCAATACTTGGACGCTTCGTCGCAATCAGTATAGTCATCTTCCTGGTGGCTGAAACAAAGACTTGAAGCAATCTAAACCACAACGTTTCGGTATCGCTCTCTGCTGATAGATTTTGTTGTAAGGGCACTTTGGCAGCTTGGGATAGCAATTTGACCTTCTGACTACGTCGTTCGCAGAGTTGTTTCCCAACATTCAATACACCGCGTAGACGAACCAGGCACGCCCGCATATTAATCTGTTCTTCCATCGACCAATGAATATCTTGAATCGCCCCATCATTCTTGGATCTGACTAATGCTGATAATACATCGATTCTTTCTCGAACAATCTCCAAAACTTTTCCCAATGCACCTCCTACGTTTCCGCTCCGTTCAAGGATCCACACCACAGCGTCAACCACGCCTGCATTCTCACAGGTCTTTAAGACTCGCTCAAGTCGGTAACTGTTATCCTGATGCCGCTCCAAATAATCATAAACTCCTGAAGGATCATACTGACAAAGAAGCTCAATATACTCCTCATGAATCTCGGGGTCAGTGATGGAAGAAGCTCCAATAGTACTGTATTCTCTATTGCTGATGTCAGTAGCTGTCATGTTCTGAAGCTTAGATTGATCCTGAGCATATGTAACCGATGGTTCTAATAAACCACGAAGATAAGCAAAGAGTCTTGGTTTGGAGCCATGGAGTGTTTCCATAACAGAGCGATGTTCACCGTTGAGGTATTTATGGACCAGAAGCGCTGCCTGCTCACCGTCAATATCAACTATGTCAGCAATGTGTTCCATTGTTGTTTTTACAACATCTGTCCTTTGCTTCTCTGTCAATACTGTACGCTGTGGCCTAGATGAGTCGAGCAACTTTCGGATACATTCAAACACGTGAGAGCGGCGTTCAGGATCCTTTAAAAAGGTAGCTACCATTGGACCATATTGCTTCTGAGACCGGTACATCTTCTCAAGGACTCTGTAAAATCTAGCTTGTTCATATAACGCCATCATCCCGGTCTCGTCGCCTGGTGAATAGAACCGTAGGAGCGCCTGTACTGCCACCTGTCGCTTCTCTCGTGTTGCTTCATCTGTGTCGCTGGAAAGTTTGGTCAATATCCTATGAAGTGTTGTTGGCGAGAGCACAAGAGTTTTGTGCGATTTAGCATAATTACGAGCTATAAAGCTGTATACATGGGCGATGTCTCTGGCCGTGTACTCTATCTGTTGTGAGCTATTACTAATAGCTTCAGTGCTGGATAAGCCTGTAAATGGAGATGTACTTGGTGATACAACCTCAAGCAAGGTATTAATAATCAATTGGCGACTCATTAGCCTTCCAGGGCCTTCCTGACCATTCCTTCCAGATTGCGATAAGCTTTTGCTGGTTGTAGAAAGATAGCTATCCTCGAATGCTAGATCCAGCACTTTGAGAAACTCTTCACTATTGTGCCTTAAGAACAGACGCAGGTAAGGATATGTTGGCTCCGAATCCTCGGAATCATCATCCGCATCTCCAGTCAGGATGAGCTGTCCTCCTACGGGCGGCCACATGATGCATCTGCCAGAGAAGATGAATGAATACAGAGATGATTTAGCGGTAATTGCTTCGCTCTCCTCGAGGTTTACTCCATCGACGTAAGACTTTCCGAGAAGACTGTCAGATAAGTATTGATAGAGCTTCTGAACAACCTCTTCATTAGAAGGTTCGGCCTGATAGTGAGGCAGATCTTCTGTTGCAACAAGCGGTGCCGAGTTACTACTGCTTAAAGTGCCCTGATTTCGGGCGCCAGCTCTAGCCTCTCGAGCAAGACGCCGCTCTTTGAGGATACCTTTGATAACCTTTAACAACTCTATCACAGGACTCACATAGTCGCCGATGCTCTTATTCCAGACATAGATCAAACCAGTATACAGTTTATGGCGTTGACAAATGTCTACAATGTGATCCATTTCGATAATTTCACAAGATGTATGGCAGATGCACAATTCCAGTTCCTTGAACATGCCGCGTTCGCAATAGTTCTTGACGAAATCCTGCATCACCTGTGGCGGCATCTCAGTGAGACGATCCTGTAAAATATATCCGCTAAGGGACTGTAGAAATATACCTCTTACAAGCGGGCTCGCCTCGGCATAGCGCTCATACACATCTTCGAAAAGAAACCTTTGGTCTTCAATCGCAAGGCAGCTCTCGATGGCTTGAATAGCCAAGTCATGAAATAATACAGTTCCTGCCCCAACGCCACCAGCTGCGGCATCGTCATCCACATCTGTCATCCTCTCTGGATTGAATGTATAATTGAGTGATGCTGTCAAAAGTTCATAGATTTTTTCGCCAACCAGCTGTTTACGTGCTGCCTCATCCTCGGGTAGACCGACTACTGCTGCCTGAACCGATTTTCCTATATAAAACAACGTTGCCAGCGCTATTCCCTCAAGGAAATCACCGGATTTCACTAATGCCAAAATGCGATCTGTCCAATTTAATATGGTTCCGACTTGAACTCTTCGCAAGCCCTATTGTGATAGAGAACGGAGTATGTTTTAAAGAATGAACCAACTCAATAAAAAATGCCTCAGACAAGATTATACATGTAAACATACCAATACAAACAGTTTGCCTTTATGAACTCGCCAACTGTTATTGTAGTACATATCGCCGCTGAGTTGCTTATCCTCCATGATGGTCATGGTGGCTGCAGCTGGTGTGCGGTGAGTCTTTGCCACATCCTTGAACCAGTCATGATACACAATTTGAAGTGAACGAGCACTACATCTCTCTGTTTCGCTTAAAGTCTTTGGATCAAAGACAATAATGTCCTCAGTGTTGGTTAGCAAAAGTAGAATCTAAAATATCAGTAGTATAGTATTAAAGATTGAAAGAGACGCCAACGTTAGTTAATTGAATAGGTCACTACTCAATAGCATCTGATTGTGTATTATTCCTGCCATGGATCTTGTGTTATGCATACCTGTGAGCGAACCCATTGGATACCGACTATACCCTCTCTGCAGATCCAATCTCCTACTACAGCAAACTCCAGTCTCAGTTCTTTACTCGTCGGTTCAGCTACGGGTTTCTTGTCAGGACTCAAATATGTTGAAGACGGCTCTGCACTTTGATTAGCGCGTTTACAAACTTGAAGAATGTACAAATGTCGGTTCCAAGAGTATGCAAGCAAAGGATTCGTGTTCGCGACATCATTATCTATATATATATTCATTATTTAACAATGATCAGTCATCATTGGTTATTCCACTATTTTAAGTATCATCCATGAATAGTAATTTTTTTTTTTTTTTTTTTTTTTTTTTTTAGTACCTGCTGCGTTCTGGATTTTTGTTGCAGGAAACCAAGCAAGGTTACCCGAGATTACTACTGGCGGCTCTTCACTTTTTCCTTGCAAATCTTTTGGTCGCAGAAACTTGTATACAGTTTGTGGCTGTGGCTTCATACATACAATCAACAACTAAGAATGATTTAGAAGAAGAGTTACGTTAGCAATAGAGGAGATATATACTATGAAAGTGAATTTTAACAGTAACATCAGGACCTTACAGCATAGCTCTCAATACCTTGAAGGGAGTCAGAAGAGCCACCAGTCCAGCACTATCTGCGGGATGAGGAACCTGTCCATACGGTAGTACACCCATACTAAAGACAGTGCTCTGTCGTATAGTACCAACGAGGCTATTCGATTCGAACGCTCTCATTGGCTTTGGCACGGGGTACTTACCTAACAGCCTTGTAGTTTCTACTGCATTAACCATCATGGTTTTGTACAGCAAATGATGGAATGCCATACCCTAGCCGTTTCAATCCAATAGTACTGTTAAAAATCCCATTAGACAGAAAGACATAAATGCTAATCGTCACTTAAAACATTACATACGTGATTGTCTGCACTAATGACTTCCGCTCTCTTAATTCCAATAAATGCAACGTTAAGCACGGCTGAACCTCGAAGGTGTCCATGTTTCCGTCCAGAGAACGCCATTTCCTTAGTGACAGGTGGGATGATACGAGATGGAGTGTTTGGTTTGTTGATATTCCAGATAATAATGGATCCGAGCGAGTGTCCTGCAACCAGGTAAGTGTTGTCCGTGGAAATAGCAATCGAGCAAACTGCCCCATGCTCCATTGCATATTGTGCACTTCCATAGATACCTATCAAAGCCTGAGTCGTGCTGTACACTAAAACTGATCCGCGGCTTGTCCCCACAGCAATAATACTTGACACAGCAATACAGGTACCTAATCCAGAAGAAGCTTTGATTTCTTCTGAAAACAGCTGATCCGACAATTTGAGAAGAGGTGTCCATCTAAAAGTTTCCCAAGGCTCGGCGCCAGCACTTTGTCTTGGAGAATATGAATCAGAATGATGAGGTGCTGTGATGGGCAGCGAGATAGAGGATATATGAGATCGAGCCCCAGCCAGAGCTGAAGATGAAGCTACAGATCCAGGCCCTCTAGGGGAGAATGTATATGGGCGAAGACGATTTATAGGATCCGCTGATCGCAAGGATAAAGTAGAAAGAGGTGGGCTGGAGTGAGGATTAGTACCGATATGTCCATAATTGTTGCTAGACATGAATGATGTCTGAGATTGGGCATCCTCGTGATGAAAATCGGAGACAGAATCTCTCTCTGAAATACTCCTGTCCAAGCCTGCAAATCCCTGGAGTTCCTCATCATCCTCGTCCGATGCTTCATTCAAAATTGCATCCAAATTAAGATAGTTGGCTATAGCATCATATTATTTGAAATATGGTAGAGTATATAAAGTTAGTTCTTGTAGCACATTCAATCAAGAGAGACTGTTCAGATAGCACTATTTGACCTACATTTTCGTACAAACTCTTCATAGAGCGAGGTCTCACGATCAATCCTGTCAATAATTTCCTTAATCCGTTTCTGTCTTTGAGTCTCTCCTGAAATGATTATTCCATCTCCATCTCTCCTGGTAGGTTGAGGTGCATCAGCTAGTGCTCCACCTTGCAGATGCATATGCAGCTCCTCTGAAATCTTATAAATATCTGCCAAGACAGCTCTGATTGTTGTCTCTGGTGTACTCAAAAGCTCGAGTTCAGGAATCCGAAGCTCATTGAACTTTTGTTCAAGTGATGTGATTGACTGGAGGCCATTTACTAGTTTTCTCCAAAGAAAAAAAAAAAAAAAAAAATAGTAACGTTAATCTGCTGCCGATATCATAATAGCTATATTGCAGCTTGTAGGCTTACCAAGACGAGTATTGGATCCTTTCAGAATTATGGGAGCATTGGTAGGCCTTGACGAACTAATGGCAAGTTTCATAAAATCATCCCACGGCACTGAACGTCAGTATTGCAAGCAGCTTGAATACTGAAAGAATCTATCATATGATGTAGTTATTATATGACCAATTGATTGTCCTTACGATGAATTGCGTCCATCCCATTGAGAGGCCCTCTCATGCTGCTGAGCCCCAGATACGAGAAGAGATGGTATATCCATCTTGCTGACAAATTTTAATAATGAACTGCTCTGCCTGTTATAACGCCTAAATTTATGTTGCTGGTTTACTTCACACTTCCTAGTAGTATTGTCTGTGACGCTGCTTCGTTGTTGAGATTTGGAAGATCTATTCGAGAAGTATATTGATGCGTATCCTGTATGTTCTAACGATACGCCTGCGTCTAGGGAAGGCAAGAGATGGGTGCTCGTATCCTTGTTAGGTAACGAATCCAGAAGCAAAATAGGACTACGATAGTTCTGACTGTGTTTGGAAGAGGACGATACTATACTACTAGCTCGAGTGAAGGTATTGACGGAAGATGAAGGGCTGGACCCAGAAGAAGATGGAGCTGAGAGCGAAAGAAGCGGCTGTGGTCGGATAAGCGCTGATGAGAGTAGAGATGGTTTAGCGTCCGAAGGATTGCTGGTAGAGAGATTATTGAAGTGTACGTTATCTGGCAAGTCTTCACCGACAACAATACTAACGCCGGCAATTGGGTTTGCTGTGGCGCCAATCTGACTACTGCTACTACTGCTATTATTGCTATTTTTATCGTTGTTTTTATCACTGTTGCTATTGCTATTGCTGTTGCTAATATTATTCTTTGTGAGGCTTTTGGCGAAATTGCTTTTTTGAAGGGCGTTGTCAGTGTACGAGTAACGATTTAGGTCTAAGTCAAAGTCCAAGTCTAGGTCGGGAGTAACGCAAGAGGAGGAAAGCGATAATTGTTTCTTGCTAAATAGACGGCGGCGAGAGCGTCCTTCGTCAGAGGAGGAATCAGATTCGAGAATCTCTTTGAGCAGTGCTTCGTACTCGTCTTGGGTCGATGGTGTAGAATGTTTTGCCCCGGGTGTGCTCATGAGAATCCGTTTTGGGGGTCTAGAGTGAAAAAAGACATCAATATGTCAGAGATGCAAGTCCTTACAGTGAAAGGAGTATCGGACGCAAGAGGCTTGAAAAGAACGAATAGAAAAAGAAAAAAAGTGTATAACGAAAAGCAAAAGGAAAAAATGGTGACTGTGCGATAGTGACTTTATTATACATGGTCATTCTAATACATGTGCGTACATGAGCACCTTTTTCGCTTACATCTTATAATTGGTTGATCTGTTCTGTTAATAATGGTATTATGGGTTGCATTGGTTGCATCGTAAAGACTAGCGCAGAGAACAGGAGCAAGGAATTTGTTGAATTGAATCGCAATGTACCTTTCTGATTGGTCTGACTTGACGCTGGCCTTTCTGTCGACTTTTACTTTCAAATAAATACCCGTTTTCACAAACACTGCCTTTTTTTTTTTGCTTTATCATTTCATCCACCTTTTTCGTGCTAATAATCTTTATTTTAATTCACGCTCACAGCTTTATCCTTGAACCTGCTTTGCCATTTGTGCTTCAAAAGATATGTCCTTTCCGTCCAATAAAGTCCATCCAACAATGTTCTCTCTCTTTCCTAATGCCCTGGTTATCGTCTTGCATCATTCCTTTTACTTTACAAACGAAGAGTTGGCTGCCTTAAGCCTAGTCAATCATGAGGCACGTAAGCTTGTCTCATTCATTTATCATGACTATTATTATTATTAGGGGTGCAGGGAGAATTGGACAGGCATTTTAACACCTGATTGACTTCATACTAGTGTTACCGCGTGGTTCGACCTGTGCTCTGGACTGATCCTCAGCTTTGCAACAGCTCTATCTACACGCCTCTGCAATGCTTTCAAGCCCTTTTATCCTTATTCAAGGCCAAAGCCATCCTTCCAGAGACGACACAGATGATTCATCGCCTGGATATATCATCTGTCGAAGAAACTCTTTACAGCACCCTTCCCGATGACTGGCTCCTTATTCTCTTAAGCAACACACCCAATCTGCACACACTCTGCCTTTCTGGCAAGAAAACAGGCTCTTCCTTCGTCCAAAGCCATGCGTTCCGCAAGCTAGAAAGAGCAGGTTTAGTCCATCGTGGCATGGAAAATCTGGATTTAAGCGAGTGCACTGACATTCGCGAACCTACCCTCAAATCCTTTGTTCATCTTTTCCCAAATTTGGTCTCTCTCAATTTGAGCAAGACCTCAGGCGTAACGGATACAGCCGTAGCCTTGATCGTTGACAGATGTCAATACCTTAAAACCATCAATTTATCATATTGTCGACAGGTAACTGATCTAGGATTACTTTCAGTCGCCAAATTCTGTCGACTCAATCTTCGCTCCCTCAATTTGACAGGCAATCTCAAGATTACAAATACCTCCTTGATGGTTGTCGCAAAAAACTGCCCCAAAATTCAAAAGTTGTTTCTGGGCGAATGTAGCCAGGTCACTGATGCCGCCATGGAATGGATCGCACAATCCAATTCAAGTGACTCTTTAAAGGAATTAGAGCTACATCGTTGTGACAGAGTTTTGTTCGGATTACCTTTACTGGAGTTACTCGCGAGAAAATGTATTGTACTAGAGCGACTTACAATCACATACAACCAGATCAACTCACGACGAGACGATCTTAAACTTGTAATGGAAGCGTTTCGCGATTTCCACCAACTACAAATAATCGATATTTTTGATGTACCAGAGCACAGTCCTGCATTGTTTTTTTGGGATCTTGCGTTCAAAGGGAGCCGTGGGCAGTTGAAAGTCATAAATTTACATCGAGGAATGTTTGTCACCGATTACATTTTAGGAAACTATGCTGTCGCATTTGAGCACGACCAAAACATCTCCGACCAGACCGTCCGCAAGTTCAATGATCAACGGAATGGCGCCAGAAAGGCTATCATCAACCTCAACATGGACGATCTTTACTAAACCTTCATTTTCCTTTTCTATGCTCATGGTGTGTTCCATCTTTTGATCCAATCTTGGTGATAAGCTAGTTTAACGCTGAAAGTATTGAAGCTATGAACACATACACGCTGAAAAAGTTTTAATAAATCTGCTATTTTGATGATACCATTTCATTTATATTGTTTGATCTGATATGCCATCCTATTGCGCCTTTTCTCCAATTATCCAGAGTGTTGCCGCTTAAAATCACTTCCTATTGCGGGCGTAAAATTCATATGCCAAAGCATGCATTTGTGGCGGGAAGGGGCTCGGAATCTCTGTTTTTCCTGGACGAGAGATTGGCGAACGTAAAAAGCAAGTTGAGCAAGTATTGTAGTTGACCTCAAGGTAATCGGGAACAAAGAGAAAGGGTTGAGAGAAAGGTTTGGGGACAAATTCCATGGGAGCCTTCGCCCTAGTTACTGATGAAGCCGCACCGTCCCCGACACTTGTTTCCTCTGCTTCCTCCGTTTTTGATTCAACCTTCTTTAACATCGGTACTGATGCAGGGTCAATTTGAATGATGTCTCCGTCAGTGACCCGATGTGAGGGGAATGGCATCTACAGATTAATGACAAATCTCCATTAGTCAAAGCCCATCATCCTTATCCACTTATCCCTTTGATGCTATGTTTGCTTTGTCTTGATCAAGACTATTGGATTGTGAGATAATAAAAAAAAGGGAGAAGCTGAAAGAAATGGTACATACAGTCTTTCCGTTGACAGTAACTTTCCCATGTCCAACCAACTGACGAGCCGCATAAACACTAGGAGCGAAGTTGCTTCTAAAGACAATAAAATCTAGACGTCTCTCCATCTCGGCGAATGTCAAAGAAAAGACAGGGGGGTGGGGCTCCACTCCTCCGACTTTAGTGTTAGCAGTTGGGAGACGTGTCTTGAACATGGACTGCCATTGACGCTCGGTGATCTGATCTCCATGATAGGAACGTGTATCTTTCTTGGCGGCCCACTTTTGCTGATACAGAGTTTTGTTGGAGTTGTTTGGAGTTCTTGTACGCTGTGTAAGGTTGTACAGGTTATACTTGTTCCAAGACATGCGCAACATCTGCCTGCGCAAGGAATAAACTGGAATCTTTGAATTGCGCATAATTGGGGCTGTTTATATGTTCCTGCGTCCCTGTGTCCTGCCCTGGTGCTGAGTATGTGATGGATTGTGATGAGTTGTCAGAATCTCTTCAAGGAAAAGAGGAAAAAGGATCTTGTATTTAAGAAGACGGAGCGTAAACAAAACAAATTAAATGGTGGCTTTTACATAAGGAAACGCCCAAAAGCATTGGAATATTTGAACACACTTCATCGACTCTCTATCACTATTCTCAGGCAGAAAAGCTCTACGTTTGTTTTCGCAAAACATTTTATTTGCTGTGTGTTAAAAGATTTTGAGTATGCATCAATAGTAAAACGTCATAAGTATCAAAAAGAGACGTATTTTATCAGAGCAAGTCCCTTGTATGATAATGAACAGGGTAAGGGCATTAGTTATGCGTACCCGACTCTGGTAACATTTCTATGTTCAACCAATAATTGAATAAAAGTTTAGTCTCCCCACTGGAACCAGCTACAGATGATGCGGTTTGGATACAATCAGTGATCAATTGTGGGTTCAATGTCTACCTTCATTGACACCGCCTTCGCGTCCACCGCGGTAATGTGCTGTTTGCGGATCCATATTCAGCGGCTGCTGGTGCATCAGCATGCCGTTAGGACCAATGGGGGGCATCATTTCTGGAAGAGGAGGATATCTCATCATTACATGCCCACCTATAATTCGATTATATGCAAGGAGATAGGTCATAAGATTTTTTTTTTTACAATGCTTTTGCAAAAAGGCGATTATAGAAGAATTACTCGATTAGTACCATGTGGGTTGGGTGCATATGGATATACAGGCACATGCATGCCTGCAGGCGGGATCATGCCTGTCCGATTAGGTGGAAATCCTTGTGGGGGATAATGTGCTATGTAATAAGAGAATTGATTTTGCATGTGTTATTGGATGGTTCAAGTAAATAAGGACTCAGAGAAGGTAAACAGCTGACAATCGACTTACGCGAAGAAGTTGGTGCCATTTGAGGGAAACCAGGCCCAGCTGCAGTGTGAGGCATGCCAGGCGGAGGAGGTTGTGAAAATGGCAGAGGCCCCGTTGCGCTTATATAAGGCATTATGTGTCCGGGCCCAGCCACAGACATGGGCGGTGGGACACCAAATTGGCCAGAAGGACCGTAGTTGTAGTGTGCAATTGTATAGTAGCCGCCAGCGCCGTTTCCTGGGTGCTGCGCCATGCCTTGACTATACATCATATCTTCTTCATAGCGATTGGTCACCTGGAACAAGTGACGGAAAGACCGCTGGCCATATGGCCATGTTGGAGCAATGGTTCCAGGACTGGGTGAAGCAATTCCTTTCTTAAAGGGGCTCGCCATTGTTTCGCTGAGAGGTAATGCTCCCTTTTTAATGAGCTTTCCGAAGAAAAGATTTTTGTCCACGATATTCGAGGAAGTTCCTGCCTTCTTGTCGCCTGCAAATGAAGGGGTAAACGGAGTGGCATTGACATTCGGTTTGAATACAGATGCCTTGACATTGAGTTTGAATGAACTTGTGGTTCCAGACTTTTCATTTGTGGGCTTCTCTGCGTTGGAAAGTGCTTCACTGCCTGGTAAAGGTTTAATGATCTCCTGCTTAGTTTCTATGGTTTCCCTTCCCAACTTTTCTTTTTCTTTTTCTTTTTCTTTTTCCTTCTCCTTCTCCTTCTTTTCATTTTCCTTGTCCGTATCCTTAGTTTTGGATGCTGATGTGTCCTTAGTTTTATCGGTACTAGTAGAGCTATTGCCTTTTTTCCCAAGAATTTCTTTCAAATCATCTGGTACTGGAGTATTGATCTTTTTTTTTTTTAAAAAAAAAAAATAAAATAAAAATATAAATAAAATAAAACGAGTGAGGTTGTAATCAAAGAAGCAAGGATATAAGTTAGTCATGTCATAATCCAGTCCAGCCTTTAAAACATTTTAACCTGACTTACTGTGTGTTCCATGGCCCACTGCTTAAGTTCGGCAGATATTTCATTCTTCTCTTTCTGTTGCAGCTCCTTGAGGCGTTGTGTCAGACCCATCTTGGTCTGATCTACCAACTCTTTGTCATTCATTACGAAAGTGCGAGCAGTCATTGCAAATTTTACAAGATTGTCTTCGATTTGCTTGGAATCGAAAGCGTGCTCTGGGATCTGCTGACCTTTAGATCCCTGAATTGTTGCTGCATTCATAAGTGGTGCCACGGGATTGGGCTTACGCAAATCATTCAAATTAAACTGACTTCCAGACTTTGCAGAATTTGAGCGGCTGACAGTGGCGCCTTCTGATGGTTTGGTTTGAGCATAAGCAGGCTTATTGGGGCCACTCGCTAAAGAAGCTGCTTGCTCATTTGGAGGCTGCTTTGACTGTTGCAAGTCCTTTATAGGCTCAGTGGGCTGGGCAGGCTGTGAAGATGTCTGCACAGGCTTGTCAGTCTGAATAGGAGCGCTGGTTGATGTGATAGGTTGCATTGAAGTAGTGGATGCTCGAGATGGTGGTTGTTGTGAAGGTGTAGATGATCGTTTCTGCTGGCTAAGCTGCTGGCGGCGCATAGGAGGCATATACTTGTTCGTCACAGGCAAAGGATCTCTGACAACGGCACCATAGAGATCTTCTTCATCAAGGCCACTATCATCTACTGCCAAGCCACGCTCTTCTCTCATATGTACATTGTTTGAGACACTCTGTTGGATTTCATTGGCAATCTGGATGGCATGTTGTTCCCGAGCCTTGTAATCTGCTCCAGACCGATCCAGCTTTGTCGTATATATCTCTTCATCAAAATCTGTTTTCACGCCAAAGAGCTTTTCATTAGCAGCAAACTGATCCCATCCAGACCTACTGTGATGATGGCTATCTCCGAGCTCATCTTCGATTCCAGTAAAGGCGACATGCTCTTCAGGGGCCCATTTCTTTAAATCTCTTTCTCTGATTTCTCCTGACCGACTAATATCCGTATCAGTTTTGAAACCTGTCCAAATTGGAAAGCACAACATTAACTGTAATTTGACTGATCGCTGCCATTTCATCACTTTTGATTTTTCTCTTCATTTTAAAAAAAAATGTATAAAAAACGATCACATCAGTCCTTACCTTCACGTTCATTGCGCTCTGGGCCAGATTTCTCAAGGGAGGCAAAGTCAACACCTACAACACGGATAGCCATGCATTCTTTGGCGAAAATAATCAACTGACCCTTCAATAGTGGAGGATCCTTCTTGTCCTTGCCTGATACAGCCTTTGCAAGGCGTAACACAATTCCAAGCTCTCCCTCCGTAAGAGCAGTGTGAAAAAGTCCTTCGTATTTGGAGCCGTTCTTCATTGTGATCTCAACAGGTTGACCCTAAGATTAGTGTTTACAAAACATGATATCAGGATGGTGCTTAAAAATGAGAGACACTTAGTACTATAGTATTTCATACGGTAGAACCACATAATCAATCATTCTTACGATCATGTTTGAGAGCAGGAACAGCATCCGGTCATGCATATGTTTTGAATCTATCTCATTGATTACAGTGTCCTTATTTGTTGCGGACGAATTGGAGTTCAAACTTGTGATTTGTGGGTTTCCAAACTGTGTAGATATGGGCGGAGACTGAGTGCTCAACTTGGTCTTGCCTCCTCTACAGCACACAGGCAAGAAGTATCAATGAGACCGAGGAAAGTAAGTATCAGTAAGGTAGGTTATAAAAAAAGAATTACATTCCTGAACAAGAAAAACTATAGTTGCATGTTAATGAGCGTGAAAGATGAGAATGGTGGTTAAAAAAAACCACATGCCCACTATAGTTTTTTGCTTTGAGATCTTTTATTCTTCTGAGAGCAGCACTAGGAAACTTGTGGCACTAATGTCTTTCTGTCCATGATTTAGGTGATTGTATAACAAAGCGCTCATCCATCGCTTTGTTCAGATGCTCAATCCTGTAACATTGACCTTCCGAGTGATCTGCTTTGAGGTGTAAACACATTGAAAGTTAGCGTGGTACCAAGTCAATTCAGTTTTACCTTTGCACAACTGCAGGTTTTCCACCTTTAGAAGCAGGTCGACCGTTGAAGGTTGTCATGGAAACAGGATTCTGATGGATGAAGGGTTAGAGGGAAGAATGGAGGCAGTTGAAGTTGAGGTTGAGAGAAAGAAAGGAGGAGTCAAGGAAGAGAATCAAGAGCGAGAGGAGAGAAAGCAAAGCAAAGCAAAAGCAAAGAGAATGTAAAAGTTAAAAAGAAAACTGGCTCAGGCACACTTCTCATACCACACATTGGATACTGAGCACTGAACGCGTTTTGTCAAACTTGAATAGACTATGGGGAGCCACATGAAGCCAATAGCCCAAGTCAAGGCAGTCGCAGTCACATCTGTACTTTGCCAGAATAGCGCTGCTTTATTCATCATTCTCGGTCTTGACTCGTAACATTTATTGGCTTCATCATGCAATCCGAAGTCTTTTTGTCGACTGATGATTCAAGCGAACACACCATTGCGCTCAGGCCTTGCACAACCAACCGCTTCGATTCGGACACAGAGCATCACCATGTCTTGTATCTTTCACCATGTAGCCAAACTGCCATTTCCAATGGCTTGACACAGGTTTCTGTTAGACTAGAACCTGCAGCAAGTTTTCAAACTAGTCGCTTTCGCAAACTTCATAATAGACCCATCTATGGATGCTTAGGCTTGATGTACCATGCAAAAGGTATTACGGGTCTTGAGTCATTCGAATGTTAACGCGAGTTCTATGTGTATAACAATACTTGTAGGCCAAAGATGACACTTGAGAAGTTGCCAACTTTTATTTTTTCTTCCCAATGCCTATTTTACAGACACTTTTATCGCTCTGGTTACTGGATGTACAAAGGTGGGCGATATTCGACTAGGCGAATCAGTTTATAGAATCATTGCGGTCAAGTTTTTTTCACTCACAGGAAGCACACCAGATGAAGATATGATCCCTGCACCCTTCGACTCAACCACTACTTACGAAAACGAAGAACCAAATATGCTGCCACACCCCTGCCGTGAGCTTGAGAAGGTCCTCTGTAATGGTGCCTTCTTCTTTTCGCCCCAGTTTGATCTCACACGTTCTGTTCAGACTAGGTAAGAAAAAAAAATGGAGTATAATAATTTGTTAAAGTGCCAGGACAATAATCCTTTAGCCTTTATTGCTGAGATTTGTCCTGAAATTGCTATTGAATGATGTATTCACAAGAGTTTTCTTTACATTATATTCTCATTCGATAGGGCTACCAAATTACAGAATCATCTCAATGTCCAATCAACTATCAATTACGATGAGCAATTTCTATGGAATAGCTTCATGCTTAAAGAACTTTTAACATTTCGCTCACGTCTGAATGAACAAGAGCGTCAGGAGCTGGACTCTGGAGGGCTCTTGGTAAGTATACTTCACGCCTTCCTGACTCATGGCAGAGTATAGTCCAAGAGAACTATATCATAGCATGCTCTGCGATAGTAACATGAAACATCCAAAATGCGATCACCAATAATTCAGGTTCCTATCATTCAAGGATATGTCGGATCCCAATCATTCAGAACAGTCGGAACTCAGGGTCAGATCTCAGTTATCTCAAGACTTAGCTCAAAACGAGCAGGTAGTTAATTTAATTTGACCAGATCAACTTGTTAGATTGTTCTTACTATTGAGTGCAATAATGTGACGTTGTATGACATTTGAAAATAGGCACTCGCTATAACACACGGGGAATAGACGATAATGGAAATGTAGCCAATTTTGTAGAGGTATTTAAGTAGTGCCATTTAATTTTTATCGCAACAATAGCTATTATTGTAATTTTCCAATTAACAGGAGCCTTCTTGGTTGTTCAGACAGAGACAATCATCTCCAATAACGAGTGGTGTTTTTCATATACTCAGGTCAGAGGGAGCGTTCCAGGTAAGTCGCATGGCCTGCGTGCCTTTTAATGGTTGAAGGTTGAGCTCCTCAAATGGTCACTCATTGATTCTTTTATACAGTCTTTTGGGAACAACAGGGGCTACAACTCACGAGCCACAAAATCCAACTCTCCAGAGGAACTGAAGCTACTAAGCCTGCTGTCCGACGGCATTTTGAGGAACTTATTCAAAAATATGAGGATGTGCACATCCTAGATTTGCTGGGTTGTAAAGATCAAGGAGAAGTTACGCTTTCCCAAGAATACAAAACCCAAGTGGAGGGTTTAGGTCCTCTTCTGAAACATATTCATATGACACGGTTTGACTACCATTCTCAAGTTAGAGGAGGCAATTACGATCAAATCTCGGCATTGTTAAACCATATTCGTGGCGACTCAGAACGCTATGGATACTTTTATCATGATTTAATATCCAACACGATCATTCAACCTCAACGAGGCATCTTTCGAACCAGCTGCCTGGATTGCTTGGATCGGTAAGAGGCTTTCCTGCGGAGATGGAGAATATAATAGCTATATATCGAGGGTATCTATATTAATAAGCTTTGAGTCACCATATTTTTTGGAATAGCACAAATGTTATCCAAAACAATCTGTCAAAAGAAGCAGTGGAGCATTTTCTCTACAATCTGCTTCCGCAGGATAGTCGATTCGCCAGTCTGATGATGATGCACTCCGAGCTTTGGGTGGACAATGGGGATTTGCTGTCCAAGATCTATACTGGAACAGGCGCACTGAAGTCAGAGGTCACGCGGACTGGTAAAATGTCATTTGCCAGTATTCTTGGAGACGCTACTAAATCGCTCAACCGTTTTGTCATCAACAACTTTCAGGACAAGGACCGGCAAGAAGTTATTGATCTGCTCTTGGTGGGAGAACACAGCAAATACATTTGATTATCTAAATATTATGTGCAACTACATTCCGCCTAACCAAAATTACTCACTTAGGGCAAAATGTCGTATCAAAGCCCTGTAGCAATCCATGACCCTGTACACGATTCAATCAAGTCCGAGGTGAATGCGCGCCTTAACGAATATTCTCAAAAGGTTCAAATCGATGTCTTTGTTGGAACTTATAACCTTAATGGAAAGCTTCCTTCAGGCGAGTCGCTCGCAGACTGGCTCTGCTTTGATAAAGGTATGTATATATTTCAAAGCAATTGATGCTGGCACGACTAGTTCCATCCTGGACATGAATGGAACGTACTAGATTCTTTTCTTTTTTCTCTTTTTTTCTCTTCTATTCTCTAGATGTATCTGAGCCAGACATGTATGTTATTGGATTCCAAGAGATCGTAAAGCTCACAGCGAGGCAGATCGCAGCTACAGATGAGAATAAGCGACGGATCTGGGAGCAAGAAGTTGAAAAGACCATCAACAACAGAGGAGGACCGCGATACATCCAACTTCGATCTGTGCAACTCGTTGGCGCGGCATTAATGATATATGTCAAAGAACAAAACGTAGCGCATATTCGAAACGTGGAGTGCGTTATGAAGAAGGTGTCTATGCATATTTAAAGTCAAAAAGTAAATGTTGATTTGCATACAAAAATGGATTCATGATTAACAACTACTCTTTTGTATTATTATCATCGATAGACGGGGTTGAGAGGTATGGCGGGAAATAAAGGAGCTGTCGCTATACGTATGGATTACTGGGAAACCTCTCTTTGCCTAGTTACCGCACACTTAGCTTCAGGACAAGATAATCTGCAGGAGCGGAATGATGATTTTCAAACAATTGACAGTGGTATCATGTTTGCTAGAGGCCGTAATATTTCAAGCCATGAGTAAGTCGAGCACAAATGAATGCTCAGTTCACTGCTATATGAATGAATCGTGTCTGCTCTACTTCCTTTTCTAATTTTGACCACGCTGATCAGCATTATCCTATGGTGCGGTGATTTTAACTACCGGGTTGACATGGAAAATGATCAGGTATGAACACTACTAAAGCTGATTTGTCGATCCCCCACCTGGTATGAAAACTCAACAACGTTTGGACACTTCATATGCATTGTCAGATCCGTGCACTGGTCAGTCAAGGCAATTACTTTGAAATCTTTAGATGTGATCAGCTAAAGCGCTCTATTGATTACGGGGAAGCATTCTATGGATACAAAGAAGGGATAATTGCCTTTGCCCCTACTTATCGCTACGATATTGGGACTGATAACTACGATACCAGTGAGAAATACCGTGCGCCTGCGTGGACGGACCGTATCCTTTACCGAGGTAGAGGCGTAAGTGATTGACAACCACATGCTAAAGGCATGGTGCATATAATTTCTTGATATTAATTAGGTCCTCATCTGCCAATTATTTAGATCTATCAAACGAGCTACGAACGAGCTGAACTCAAGACATCTGATCACCGGCCTGGTACAAGTGTTCATTAGACGTTAAGACTGAGTAACCTCTTAGCAACCATGCGAACACTCCCTAACCAAACTTCGCTTTTTTTTTACTACTATACTGCCTCATGGACCTCAGTCATGTCAATGTTTGTTCTAGACCTGACGATGCTAGACGCAGAGGCAAAAGAGAAGATGGAAGAAACACTGTATCGTAAAAACAGTAGCCAGCTACTTATTAATGGTGTTTCAAATTCTGGATCGAATGCTAGCTTGTACTTTAAAGGACTAGAGTCGTCCTCGGAACGGTCACGAACTGTCTCGCTAGCAGACTCCACCCAAAGTTCATATGGTAGAAAATGGAGAATGCAGATCTACGATTTGATGTTTAAGCTCTTAGCTGGTATTAATATATTTCAATTGCTAACTGTTCATGGAATAGTGCCCAAACCCAGTTCTGATTCGCACCAATGGTGGAACGACCCTATGGAGGAGGGAGTCAAGCGTATCCCCTCTAGCCGCAAGAATCCATTTGAAGATGACCAAACGATCAGAGAGGATGGGAAGTTTAGTTCTCAGCGCGCAGCGTTCTTAAAGCCAATGACACTGGCACCATCCGGCAAAAAACCGACTCTAGATCTCTTGGGAGGTATGTGTAGTGTGTTTAGAAGCGCCACAACCGTAATCCTTGACCTTTAACAATGTGATGATGACGCAAGGACTTTACAAGCCTTTAATAACGCTATCAATATTTTTTGAGAATAAAAAGATCTAGAAAATGACAATCTAAGCGAAAAGCTGCAGCGGCCTTTGACGAATCTTAGCTACGCTAATCCGCTAGGAAGGACGAGGGAGCTCGGCGAGAAGATGACCCAACAATCCTCCCAATCATCACTTTTGACCTCGTCTCTCAATAAACGTGACGCACCTCCTCCACCTACCAAACGCAAAATTGGTGTTCCTCCTACAACTCTACCAGCCTCACAGATAATCCATAAGGGAGGGATTCATCGAAGACCAGCGCCACCTCCACCACAGCGTAAAAAGCTTGCAGCAGATGATGATGATGATGATGATGATGATGATGATGACGATGATGATGATGATGATAACAGTGGCAACCATGATGCCAAGGCTAAGTCATTTTTAGATGCTGGTTTTAGCTCATCTGCGAAGGCCGCGCTAAAACTGCCTTTGGATACAATGGGACAAGAGACATTAGTAAAGCCTTCGCAAATCAAAACGAAAACTCAGGCCGGAAGTGCGCCAGTATCTAACAATGTGAATGGTGGTAAGTTTTTGGTAATACTAAATACTCATCATAGTAAAGTAATTACTTTCATTTATGCTTTCGGATTGCTCCAGTAGCTATAGTTGACTTATGATAAACAAACCCTCATTAATAGCCAACATTTAACGACATTTTACACTGAATTGTGTCAATAGGATATAACTCCAGTGGAACAGGAGCGAACCCTGATCAAAGTTTTCCTCGAAGCGGCAGTGTTCTTCAACGTACGAAGGAATTCAATGATCTGGGTGATATCTCAACAACCACTAAACTTTTAACAAAAGCCCCTTCCTCAATGTCACCAAAGCGGGCTGTGAGTATTACAGATCCTGTAGTTGGTGTGCATGCAAAGTCAACTAGTGTGCCTGTGAGCGTATCTACATCTTTGTCTGCTGTAGGTAACAACAAAACTAGGGCCGCGGTGCTTCAAGGAAAAGATAGTCAGGGCACAAGTAGTATTGGCAACAATAGCAGTAGTGTGGCCACGGCGCCTGTCATCCAAAAGGTGAAGCCACTTGTATTTTCGAGAGATGGTGTATCATCATCAAGCAAAGTTGCCGATTCTGGCTTCACAAATCCCAGCATCAATGGGGTCAAGATGGGAGGGTTGGGCGCAGCACTTCCAACAGCTACAGAAAAGGAGAATGTAACTGAAGCAAAGGATATTAGACCAGCCAGCGGATCCGTGAAGCAGGCAATTGTGGTACTTAAAGCAAGCACTGTAAGTAGTGATTCGCCAAGCGGAGACGGCCTCGGTTTTGAGATAAATCAAACTCTAGATAACCAAGTGGACGATGAAGATTCAAAGGTGGATGCTTTTGCTTTTTGGAAAGCAAATGCAGGTAAATTATAGTAAATAGACGCTCATTAAAAAAAAATAATAAAGAAAAAAGCCAATGGTTACCATTAAAAGCGACCGAAACAAAAGTATTTTGTCAAAGGAATTGACGCTTCCAGGTGCTTTATGTCGCTTAAGGATATCTGAGGTCAAGCTAATGCTCACCGAAGTTTTTTGGTAATGATAAAATAACGTCCCATCCAATATGCCTAGAGTAAAAAGTCAAATATGAACATTGGTATTGCAACATTGTCCACCTGATTGGTCAGGTGAACAAGAGCAAGTTGGACGGGAGACACCTAGGAAATTTGAAGCATTCAGTTCTGAAAGGCATGCTCTACCTGTCAAGGATTATCAAAGTATAATGAATGACTCTGTCTCTGTTATTCTGTTATTACTGTTCTTTATTAAGAGACATGACAATCTTTCACAATTGTTGAATGTTTTTTTTTTTTTTTTACTTGACCCGCCTGTTTGTCCCGCCTTCTTGTCCCGCCGTACCTGAAGAAAAAATTTGCACCAAGACCCTTCAAATATAATTCCTTCATTTCTCATTTCATCAAACCCGCCACTGTTTTTTTTGGGGATCCTTCTCTTTCTCCCCTTCTCCCTTTGTCGCTCTCTCCTTTGCTCCGATCTTGAAGGCTTCCCACGCCCTCTCCTCGCTATGTCAAAACGCTCACAGAGTGCACCTGTTCCAGACGAACAACAGCAACAACGCCAGCTGCAGCAACAACAACAACGCCAACTACAGCAGCAGAGTCAGACATCGTCGTCATTGCAGATGCCACCGCCATCACATCCCTATTCCCACTCAGCCACACCCCCCCGCATCGTCCAAACCCACAATGTACCTACTTCCATTACTTCCTCTATTCCTATTTCAGCTACTGGTACAGTAGGGCCCGTCAGAATAAAGACCGTCTCTTCTTCCTTAGGCGGTGGTATGGGTACTGCTACTACGGTTCAGGGTCGAAGACTTCAATATCAACTATCGGTGCCTACGCGTCTAGAGAATGGAGCTCAATTTATACAGTCTTCTCATACTCCGTATTCATCTCAGCAATCGCAGCACCATGGCGCTCTTGGCACTAATGGCAGCAGTAACAGTGGTCTTAGACCAGTTCAAGCGAGCATAGGCACTGGTACATCAACTACGCGTTCACCACAACAACAGCAACTTCGACCTGCACAACAAAACACATTTGATAGTAATCGATATGATGGAAATCGAGCATCACAAGCGACAAATGCAAATACGAATACACAGACTACGATGGCAACGGGCACAACCACCACCGGCACCACGAACCAAACAGGCATGACTGATAAACCAAAGTCTCGTAAGAAGGACAAGCCTCCACGTATTCCGCCTCCTGAGCTGATTGAGGATAACAACAACAAAGTTTCGTATACCCGAGGGATGTCTTTAGGAGAGGTAAGAAACAATGATGCGCAAAACACGAAAATGCGCATGCCTCTCTCTCTTTCCCCTTATCAAGAATGATGCATAGTAACATGATGTCGCTTCGTTTGAGTGTATTGCTTGATTCACGTGTGTGCATTTCGTGCATGTTCACTAATACAACCAGTATTAAATTGAACTCTCTTAATAGGGTGGCTTCGCGAGCTGCTATATCATATCAGACCAAAGAAACTGTCGCTACGCTGCAAAAGTCATCCAGAAGACTGAGTTGCCCACATACAAGACAAGACAAAAGGTAGTTTATGCATCTACATTGATGCTTGCCACTTATTTTTTTCATTATTGAAAAGACTCACGGCAAAGCAATAATTGATCAGGGCACCTCAAGGACGTACAACACTATAGTAACAAGAATAAAATATTGAGGCAGAGTATTAGACCACGGATGATATGACAAGACAGCACTAACAAACTGATGAATATATCATTAGACAGCTTACCGGCATTGCATAACAAACATGACAAGTCGACAATCTACAAAGCTTATTTGATTGATTAAATTTAAGGAGACTGACTAGTCCTTCTCGACTGTTGCATTTATAGCTCTTTGCAGAGATAAAAATCCATCAAGGACTGGAGCATGAAAACATTGTAAAATATTATCACTGCTTCGAAGACGATGACTTTGTATACTTGGTTTTGGAGCTCTGTGAGAACAAGGTATGGTTGAGCTCCATGACAAGAAAACATTTAATGAACACTCTTTAATGAATGTGTGGTAACCATCGACCGCATTATTAACACCGCTATTGGGGGGCCCTTATGAACTAGACGTTAATGGAACTTATCAAACGAAGAAAGCGATTAACAGAGCCGGAGGTCCGTTACTACATGAAGGAGATCGTGGCAGCATGCTCTTATCTTCATCGCACAGCGAGCGTCATTCATAGAGATTTGAAACTTGGCAACATCTTTCTTACACATGACCTTCACGTTCGAATCGGCGATTTTGGATTGGCCACGCTTATAGTTGAGGACGAAAGAAAAAGGTACGGATTTGAGTTTTTTTCTTTTGAGATAGTGGACTTTACTTGATGAAGCCTGGTGATATCGAATACAAGTAAAAGCGTAAAAGAGCCAATTGGTGTATTTTGAATCTACTTATTGATCGGCAATGAACAAATATCACATACATATCCACCTTATATCCATCAGGTCTAGTGGTCTGTTTGATGACAAAATGGGGACAAGGCATACTAGGGCCGTCATTGCCTTCATTGGCAATCAGACTGCTCTACGATTACTGTACTTATCCATTTAGCTATCTGTTTCCCCAACAATAGAACTATTTGCGGTACCCCTAACTATATCGCACCCGAGATCTTATTTGATACCGACAATGGACACAGCTTCGAAGTGGATATTTGGTCTGTGGGCGTAATCATGTAGGTGCTCATTAGATCTCCAATGATGTTTTCAAGATCAAGGTTTTATACTATTCCAAATGTGATTCTTAGCCTAACTTCATCCTTCTCTCTTAACGCCAGGTATACTCTCCTTATTGGAAAGCCTCCATTTCAAACAAATGAAGTCAAGGCTATCTACAAGTAAGTGCAACCATATCCTTCTCTCTTTTTTTTTTTACTTTTTTTTAAGGCACAATTAATAGCTTTCCATACTATTCATACCAACCCTGCTTTTGCCATCCGTTCCTCCCTCTTGATAGAAAAATTCGTGATAATAATTACGTGTTTCCTGAAGATGTTCCAGTATCTGAAGAAGCGAAGAGCCTTATCGCAGCACTTTTAACGCCAACACCAGCTTCGCGACCATCCGTAGAAAGTGTTCTTAACCACCCTTTCTTTACATCAGGATATTGTCCAGAGAAGCTAGATCAGAAAACGTTGCAGGTTGCGCCTAATTTTGAGCAAGAAGAGCTAAGAATGAAACAGCAGCTCCAACATCAACGTAATCAAGACGAACTTTCAAGGAGCACATTTGCTAACCGGCCGTCCGGAGAGTGTGTACCATCCCAACATTCACAGCAAATATCCGCACAGAATGATAAAAAAAGGCAGCAATTGCATCATGACCAGACATCCTTTGGTGATGGTTTGCTCGTAGAACAGCCTACACGACGGTTCTCTGAAATGGTAGCTGATTTTATGGATCAGAAGCCCATAAATTCGCCATTGAGAAAAAAACAACTGTATAGTCTCAGTAGCCATAAGGTTTCTCTAGACCAGATGCGACCAACTTCTCGTCTGAGTGGCGTCAATAGTAAGCATTACCAAGACGGCTCTCCAATTGGCTCCCAGTTCCAATATGGAGAGCAAGTCAGGATGGAAATGGTCGATGGTGACCGAGTGACTACTGAAATTCGGACAATTAACTTCAGTCGCGGACAAGGTGCCCCGAACTTCTCTCAGTTTAGCCAGTCTCACGGTCGTCCCAATCAAACTCAACAACCTCAGTCTTCAAGGCCTAAAACTTTAGCCTCTAGCAGTCATTATTCACAGCCGCTGCCGCGTGCTAGCAAGACCCAAGCTTCAATTCATGTCCAAAGTAGCGTCCAAGAAATCAGAAATACTGGCTCAATATCGTCTCAATCTATTGTCGCCAACACACTTTCTTCCAGGCTCCCTGTCCCAAGATCACGAGTAAGCGGGGGCCCTGTACATCAGCATTTAGGGCACTCAGACCATCCTTCGTCGCCTCTTGCAAAATTTAATCACATTGGTTCCAGCACTGTATCTTCGCCTCGGCCATCATCCGCATCAAGTGTACATGCGGACCAAAAGGCTGTTGTACGTGCCCAATCTCAACGGCAGAGCGGGGAGACTCAATCATCTCAGCGAATGACTTCATCATTTACAGACCGAATACAAGCAACAAGTATGAGTAGTTCACATGGAATGATGAATACCAAAAAACCTCCGCTAAATCACTCCATGGAAGAGGTAGGAGCACAGAAAAGCCCTATCGTTGACGAAGCTAAAGCAGCTGTGAATTTGTTTGACTTGGATACAGACATGGATGTCGATCATGACGTGCCTCAGCATCTGGATCTTTTGATTGCCAATATCTCTGGCGTAATAGCCTCGCCTATTAAACAACCCGGTAGCAACAATTTCTCTCAGGATCAGCAACAATCGTTACAACGCCTTTCAACTCCTGCATGGCGGAGTCCTCAGCAAAGTGAGTCGACAAGAGCGACGCTTATCCAGAATGTTCAAGGAGTGGAGAGACCAGCCAGCGCTATGCAAAGGACTTTTAGCCAGGAGAAGGAGCTCTCGGATATAAATCAGGTCTCAGACTCACCGCGGAGGATTCCTGGGAAAGTACATTCACAGGCGAATGAATCTACGACATCCACATTGCGCGGTTCGTCACAGCTACAACAGCATTCGTTTCTACAGTCTAGCCAACAAGAGTATCAGTCATCCCGCTCATTAAAACAAAGCCCCATTCGTGGTCAAAGTGGGCTAATTAATGATCTTCAGCCTTCACAGCCATCACAGCAACACTTGGATATAAGCCTACATGGGATAAACGGAGCGTCTGTTGGCATGGTGGCCATAGAGACAGAGGATGATACTCATATCAGAAATACAAAACAAAAGGCCTCACCGCTACCCAAGAACAGTTCTCAAACAGTAGACCACCACCAGTCATCAGGACAGAGCAATGATAGTGACATTGATGAACCCTATCTACTCCAGTCCAATAACACTTCACAGCACTGTAACGTCCAAGCAAAACCCTTACCACAGGAGCCACAACAATTCGCCCAGCTTCAATCGCCTAAGACTCCATCTCTTCGTTCCTTTTCATTCGGGACTGACCATACATCCAACTTGACGTCACGGTCTCAGTCACAGTCACATCTAGGCCCCCAGATGCAGGATGAGAGAGGTGATAGCCGATCATCGGCTCAAGACAAGCCTTTAAAGCATAAATTGGCAGCTTTCGCTCGTAGCAATGGCACTGAAAGTAATGCACATGCCATGAGCTATGATGTTGAAGTACATTCTAAGGACCAAGATCTCAGTAAGGAGATATTTGAGGGCGCACGAGAAATGGACGTCGACACTGAACGTGAGACAAAAAAGATAAATCAACATCGCTTTTCATCACAGCAGAACCAAATGTACGAACAAGGACGACAACAGGGGCAACTGCAAGATATCTCCCAAGGTGGTAACAACAATAATAATCACACAGTTAAGCAGAGTAATCATGAAACCACCATGGCAGGTATAAGTTCGGGAGGTCATTCAGACGAACAAGACCACGTGGAAGTCCCCTCTACCAGCTGTATTACGGCCACATCAATGTCATTTTCTATGCGCCGCGAGCCTTGTAATCGTCCAAAGCTACAGTCCCAGTATCAGGACGCAGCCTCCAGAGCCCCGCCACATCTTGGGAAATCATTGAACCAAGCCATCATGCATAAACAAGCCGCAGAAGTCGAGAGATCCACTGCCAGGACGCGCTCCAACCGCATGGGGATTTGTGAAGAAGTGGAATATAACCTTCGCAAAATGCTTCAAATGCGAAAGAGTGGGATTCTGCCTCATCCAGGTTTCGATGTCTCCTCTGCGAAGCCTCCAGCTGTATTTTTGACACGTTGGATCAATTATGCGCGCTACGGAGTTGGATGGCATCTCACAAATGGCGTTATTGGCGTCTTCTGCAATGACAAAACTACTCTTGCAGTATCACCAAATGGAATGTAAGTCCTTATCTCCTTATCTTTTAGTTACCACTTTTTTTTTTTAGGATGTTTTCAGCATTGTAAACGGATCTAACTTGGCTATGATGTTTTTACGATAGCGATCTTGAAATTATGGAGCCGCCGCCAAGACGAAAAGCTCGTTCATCCCGAAAGACACGTTTTAAAGATAAAGATAATATCAAAGAGCAATCGATCGATGCCAATGGTAACAGTGCTAGTAGTCGTCACCAACGTCATGGATCGGGCAGTTCAAAGGGTAACAACGCCCTTGGTAGCCAGAGCAGTACCGCTCAGAGTGTAGCGGAATCCATGGCTGACATGCGCATGGTTCTGGAGCGTGAAATGGAGTTGGATTTGAAAGGTAGCTATCCAATCCCGGACAATATGCTTGTTGGGACACAAATGAGCCATAGTCGAGTGTACGAAAATTCAAACTCGAATCCAGAAGACATGCTTGAAGGCGAGATCAGTGGACCGAGTACAGTAGATTTTGATGATGATTGGGATAACGTCGACTTTCTTGCCAAGTTGGAGAGAACCCACTGTCGTATTAGCAAATATCCATCACGTTTAGAGAAAAAAATGCGAGTACTCCAAGGCTTTAAGAACTATATGCTGCAAATGTTATCTGGTTTGTCCTGGTCATATGAAGATACAAGTCTGACTCGAGGCATGCCATTTTTAACCGATTTCTTCCGCAAGCGACATGTCGTTTCACGCCTGAGCAATGGCATTGTTCAGGTAAGCTAGTTTTTGATGGATACGTAATCGCTTCACTATATTTTTGAGTAAGGAACTAAATCATTATTGATTTATTTAACTTTTAGATTAACTTTGCAGATCATACTAAGATGATTTTTTCTGAGCATGGCAAGATCTTGACGTTTATTGATAACGATGATTCTCAACCTCGGCGTCTGACACTAACTGTGCACCAAGCCCTGACTCCGGAATTCTTTTATAATCCGGATGATGAATCGGATCATCAGACACTTATCCAGGCAGACCTCGACCAGATGTCCATTCGTCCAAAATTCCGAAAACAACAGCGAAAACCTATGCAGGAGCAGGAACATGTGCATTCTATAAATGACGTTGAACGCTCCTTTGACCCAGAGAAGGACTATGACTTGCCCATTTTCCCTCGAACATGTCTGATTAAAAAAGAAATACGGCGACAACAATCAATTCGAGGAGACATTCCTGACAACCAAGCTACAGCAGCGTCAGCTGCTTCCCCCTTGATGAGCGCAACACAGAATATTTATCTTTGAATCTTGCTGATCCCAACCACGCGCTTGCCATGAGTATTGATGCATGTCAAGTAGAGTTGATTGATATTTCTAAAGAAGATCCGCCTGTTGTTATTCGTGAGATGACATTCAAGCAGTTGCATTATCAACTTGTTCGCAGGTTGAGAATCGCGCAGGAATTGCTGCATGAGCGAAGATTGCAGCTTGCGGAAGAGCGAAGAAAAGAAAGGATAGAGAAAGAGCAGCTTGCCAAGGATCGTGAAGACAATCGAAGGCGGCGCCAGCAGCGTCAAAGCGAAAGAGAGAAGGAACGCGAACTAGCGTCGGCCAATATACGGGAAATAGAGCAATGAAAAAGCATTTGCCTCAATAAAATAAAATTAATTGTCTGTCACTAAGAATAGGACTTTTTTTTTGCACTTCAATCGTTCTGACATTCAACACCTGTCTATTTCATAATGACAAATAGAATTACATCGACTGTGGATCCTGCTTACGTCTCGTTAGGTGGCCATTGGTGTACCATCGAATCAAGTCCTGCGGTGTTCAACGCGCTCATCCAAAAGAATGGAGTACGTGGTGCCTATATAAAAGAAGTATGGTCACTAGACCGTGAGATCTTTGATTTGTTCAAAAAAGAGACAGTCTATGGGTTCATTTTCTTACTAAAGTCTCAAGGGAGACGCTTGTCCAAGGTCGAGAGCATGGGTATGGATGTGGACACGAGTAACATTTATTTCGCCAACCAAGTGATCCCTGATGCTTGCGGCACTCAAGCGCTACTCTCAATCGTGTTAAACTCGCCTACACTTGATATTGGGCCCATGCTTAATGAGTTTAAAGAATTCACGTCAAAATTTGATCCTAAGGCAAGACCTTTTCTTTTAAGGATCGCTGGAGCAGTTTCGTTACAATATTGACTCTCACCACCATGTCTTTATGCCTATAACGTAACCGATGGCTTCCCTTCCTTCTTTTCACTCTTGAACGGACAATGTATTATGTATCAACTCTAGTAGGACAAGGGCCTAGCAATGACTAATTGTAAAGAACTACGGGAGAACCACAACAGTCTCACAGGGAGATTTGAGCGCCAACCCATCTTACCGCTACCATTTCTGATGGAAATTGATGGGCAAGAAAATCCAGATGACGATGATACTCAATTTCACTATGTAGCATACGTTCATATGGATGGCTATGTTTGGGAGCTTGATGGTCTACAGCCAGAGCCGTTGAGGTTGATGCCATGTACTGAAGAGACGTGGTTGGATGTGGTCCGAATCGAGCTTATGGCGCGCATGAGGACGTATGGCGAAGAAGAGGGCCATTTCGTGTTGATGGCGGTTATCAAAGATCCAATGATAGTGCTTCATGAGAAGCTGGATAAACTGAGAGTGATAGCAGAGGCATCAATAGCTAGATCCACAAGTGTGAGAGGCAATCAGCAAGAACAGGAGAAAGAGAAAGAGAAGGGAAAACATTACATCCAACCTACAATGGCCATTGTTGACGAAATTGCCGCAGTAGAACAGGAGATCGAGACTCTGGAACAAGGAATCGTGGCAGAGCAGAGGGAGATCCAAGAGACAGAGGCGGATTTTCAAGAAGCAATCAACATCTTCATGAAGGCGTATGTCGAAATGAAAGGTATCCATACCAATAACTACAACAGCAAGGCCAAGGCTGAAGCGAAGGCTAAAGACAAGTCAAAAGGCAGAATTAAGAACAAACCTAGGACCAAGGCTAAAAACAGAGGCAGGAAACGGCTTCTAACCAATGACGCTGACAGCGACCATTCTATGGACCTGGATAGCGATGAATACAATAACGGAATTAATGTATGTCGATAATGAGGATTCTAAAGGCTTATTCAGATACTCAGGTAGTTACCATCACCCTTTTTCAATGGTATACAACCAGAACAGTAGCCTCCATGATAATATACACCAAACTACAATGACAATCTATCCGTTGAAGAAGAAAAAAAGTAAAGTAGTAGAGGTCTGCCCATTGAGGAGCTACGTTGTTTCTTAACAGTATAGTAGCCACAGCATCACAGAAAAGGAATATCAAATCAAATATTAATCTACACTTACTCGTCCCTTGTCCGATCATTGCGAGTCATCAAATATACATCTAAGCCTCTTTCACTCCTAAATAAATACTCCCTTTGCCAACACAAACAAATGTTCTTTAAAATCACATCCATCCACTCGAACACCATGGCTCTGTCCTTTCCCTTGAACAGCGCTCCTTATGGTCTGCTTGCCATCGCAGTCGCCCTAGACCCAGCTAATCCACTTCCATTCTCCTTGAACCCCCGCTCACACGAGACTTCGACAGCCACAGTCCTTGTTCCCTCCAGTACTGCAAAGCCTGTCTCTATTAATGGACCCGTTGCTATTGCCCGCTTTCTTGTTCGCTCCGCCGCTGCAGAAGGATCTGCACTCTATCCTGAGAATGATCCTGCCCTTGTTGCTGCTCAGGACAACCTTCTAGACCTGGTTCGCCACACAATTGCTACTCCTAAACATATCACAACCCTCGCTACTGTTGTCAATGACGCATCAACCACCTTCTTGCTTGCAGAAGATAAGCCTCTGCTGGCTGACTATGCTGTCTGGGGCGCCATCACTGCATATACAAAATCGCATTCATTACTCGCCAATCTCAAAGACCTTGGTCGGTTTACTACCTGGATCGCCCGCATGGATCAGCGCCAGGAATGTCAAAAGGCTATCGAGGAACTTGACAAGGCTGTCAAGGATGCCAATGCTGCTCTCGCTGAAAAAGCCGCTGTAGAAGCAGCTGAAAAGGCAAAGATGAGCTCTATTGTTGAAATCCCCTCAATTGAAGGATCAGACCCGGAGACAGATCCTTTGGATGCCTTTAAGAATGTTCTAGCGGCCCAGCTTTCAAAATTGATAGATTTGGATATTAAAGTTTTATACGAAGCATTAGAGGCCCCTCGTGCATCAGAGAATGGGCACATTGCATTGTCTGTACCTCGTCTCAGGCTTAAAGGTAACCCCTCGGCGATTGCCTCTGACATTGTTGAAAAGGTATGTTAAAAATATATAAAATAACCTCTAAGCCTCTAATACGTCTACCAAAAAAAAAAAAAAAAAAAAAAAAAACCTCACAGACAGGCACTTACCATATTGGTTTCTCATCCATTTATATAGTTCCAATTGAATGATTACGTCCTATTGGCCAAAGCAGATGGCCCCTTTGTCAATTTTTTCTTGAACCACATTAAACTTGCACAAGCGCTTTTTAAGAAGATCTACAACACTAAGGAGAATTGGGGAAACAACAACCTTGGTCAGCAAAAGAAAGTCATTGTTGAGTTTTCATCGCCTAATATTGCCAAGCCCTTTCATGCTGGGCACTTGCGCTCGACTATCATCGGATCATTTGTTCGCAATATCTTGAAAGCCAATGGGTATGATACTATTAGTATGAACTACCTTGGAGACTGGGGTAAACAATATGGCTTGTTGGCTGTCGGGTTTGAGCGCTATGGGTCAGAGGAGAAGCTCTTGGAAGATCCTATCAAACATCTCTTTGACGTCTATGTAAAGATCAATGTAAGTATCGTAGACAAAGTCAGTGGCACTTCATTGTAATTTTGAGTTGTAATTGTGATTATGGTCACCACTATTATTTATCAACATAATATCTTGTCTTGCCCATGTCGTAAAACGTATATCTTCTATCAAAATAGCAAGATGCTAAGGAAAACAACGCTGTTCATGATGAAGCTCGTGCCTACTTCAAGAAGATGGAGGATGGAGACGAAGCGGCACTCAAGATCTGGTCTCGATTCCGAGACTTGTCAATTGCCAAGTACAAAGACATCTATGCTCGCCTCAACATTGCCTTTGATGTTTATTCAGGAGAATCCCAGGTCACAGACGGCATGAACCGCGCCTTGAAAATGCTGCATGAGAAAAATTTGCTAACTGAATCTGATGGAGCACTAATTATCGATCTCACGAAGTACAAACTCGGCATCTGCGTAGTCCAGAAGAAGGATGGTACTACACTTTACATCACTCGCGATATCGGCGCAGCAATAGAGCGTTACGAGAAGTATGGATTCGAACACATGTACTATATTGTAGCATCACAACAAGACTTGCATCTGAAACAGCTATTCAAGATCCTGGAGTTGCTCGAGTTTGAATGGGCCAATAAGGTGACACATATTAATTTTGGTATGGTTGGAGGCATGTCAACACGAAAGGGTACAGTTGTCTTTTTGGAGGATATCCTCGAGGAGACTCGCGACACTATGCACGAGGTCATGAAGAAGAATGAGCACAAATATGCACAGATTGAAGATCCTCTCGCGGTTGCAGACAACATTGGTATTTCAGCTATCATGACTCAGGATGCATCGGCCCGTCGTGTCAAGAATTATGACTTTGATTGGAAGCGCATGTTCTCATTCGAAGGTGATACAGGCCCATACCTTCAATATGCCCATGCTCGTCTGTGCTCGATCGAGCGCAAGACGGAGATGGAGGTGAATCCCAACGCAGATTTACGCCACCTAGACGACTCGCGTGCCGCCGCTGATCTTATTACGATGATTGCGCGGTACCCACAAATTGTGCGTGAAACGGCGCGCCTTTTTGAGCCTGTTAACATTGTGGGCTACGCTATGAAGTTGTCGCATCACGTTTCTCAGGCACTTGAGTCGATGTATGTGATGGGTGCAGAAAAGGATGTTGCAGAGGCGCGTCTATTCATGTACTGGTGTGCGCGTATGACTCTTGGTAATGCTATGCGGCTCTTGAACTTGAAGCCGCAGGAGCGTATGTAGAGAAGAAAGTACTGAAAGCGAAGATAAAAATAAAAATATAAAATAAATAAAAAAGAAGTTACTACATGTTACAGACAATAAAAATCAATTTTCCATGCACTGAACATCCCATTCAAAGAACCCTAAAATGGTAGATCAATGACAACATTCCTAAAAGTCTAAATATTTTTGTACGCATTTATCGACTAAATTTGGATGATTACAATAATTCTTCCACAATCTAAAGTGTCTAAAGTAAAATCTGCGCAAGTATACATTGAAACGGCACTCTATCAATCTGCTGTAACATTAAATTACTCTAAGCGACTGCGTTTCTTGAACTACCAAGTGTTTGAATCAATTCCTTAATGGATACTCTGGTAACTTGAACACTTCAACAAATTTCTACCCCTTACTCGGCTACAGTTTCGGCAGCCTGCTCAGCCATCTTCAAGGCTGAGCTTTCCCTATCTAGATCAGCTTCCATATTGGCTTGATATTCCTGAGGGGTCTCGCTAACCTGCATGGACTTTTGGATCCGCTCCCTGATGACTGCTTGTTGCACAAGGGAAGAAGATCGGCCGGATCCAAGAATAGGTGCAATGACATAATCATGTGCTGTACTCGAGAACCTTGCAGCCTTGTCAAAAAACCAAGCCTGCCAGTAAGGTGGTCGCTGAAGTTGATCTGCAGATTTGCCTTTGTTTGTCCAAAACCTGAATGCAAACAATAGTAAAGTAGGGAAATTGATGAAGACAAAGAGAACACGAGCGATCTTGGATCGGGCTCCTGTGCATTCATATGGAACAATAGTAGAGAGGTATTGTTGATAGGCTGGGTCAAGGTTGTGATAAGCCGCACCAGAGACCAACAGGGCCTTATAACGAGCTGAGGGTTGGCAATGGCTTTTAACAGATAGTGGGCGTGCCTCTAACACATGAGTAGTGATGTGTTCATTGGTGCCAACAACTCGACAGTCTACTTCAATCTGGTTGTAGCCTGTAGGTACATCATGACCCCATCCACCCTAAATGGATAAAAACAAATTCTTTTCTTTAGTTCAAATGGATAAATAAATAAATATAAATAAATATAAAATATAAAAAACCCCTTTACCTCAGATTGAATAACAAGCTGCCAGTCGCGAAGTGTTATTTTGTGAGCAACCCCTTGGAGAACAGGAGGATAAGAGCGAGCTGGATGATCTGGGTGGCGTTCATCCCACAAGAATTCACGGCCATATTGTGTTCTAACAAAGACCTCTTGTGCATAAGCCTTATCATGCATCCTTGCAGGATCCATTTTGAGGATAGAGGCAAAGCATGGCTCAACAAAAGGAATGCCTCCAATATCAAAGCTTAGCCAGTATCCAGGTACAATGACAGGGACTGACTCGATGGGTTTGATTTTGCGTCGACCTGTCAGGACCTTTGGCTCCATATTGCTACCATATGCAAGGTACCAGACAGTCTTTTCGCCATCAGCAGCAGCCGCGGTGGTTGTTGCTGCTGCTGTCTGCTCTGATGGTCGATGTGAAATAGACGGTGACATGCTGAATGAGGCTAAGGAATTGAATGCATTTTCACCTTCTTAAAAAAACAATCTTACAGTCCCAAAAATTTATATTTTATTTATTGACTTAATTTATGTATCATGTGCCATTACGTAAGCTTGGTACGTAGTTCAAAGATTTTATGATCGACCATTAGCAACAAACGCAGAGTGATCGACAGTTTTAACAGAGTCAAGCAAACGGAAAAGTCCTTCCGGATCCTGGAAATCATTATGAACGATGTTGATAAGATACCACTCATCTCGGATTGCGTTAATCACTTTGGTGGACATGGATGAAGCTTCATAGATCTTGGACCACTCTGACCACAGCTCGAATGCCTCATCCTACATTTTTTTTTTTTTTTTTTTTTTTTTTTTTTTCAAGTGAATTAAACAGATATGTGTGAACAATTGAATAGTAGGAAAGAGAAAGAAAAAAAAAATACAAATCTAATATTACCTTCCATGCCATGAAACTAACAACTTCCACAACGGTCGGTTGGACAATCTCCTTGCCAACAAACACGCCCCAGGTGACCGCATTAGGCCCATCAGTCTGACTGTTTGTCCTGAGATCGCCTCGCTTATTGACCGCATAGTAAGTAATTTGTGGCTCATCCTCGATCTTATTAACTAACTCGCTCAAGTTCTCTGGGGAAACAAAAAATTCGAGATATGCCTACAAATAAAAGATTGAACAGACGATCTCAGATCTCGTTAGAAAATACGTAAGATCTGATCAAGCATTGCAGGATATTATATATTCGTGGTAACCCCACGGGTTGGCATATACATTACTTTTTGATAAACATATCCATTCTTAGGTCCCCATCCATGAATCTTATCGTCCGATCGCACTCCATTGACTGCAGGTTGAGAGTTGATGGTCAGGTAGCCACGTGCATTGATTTCCGCTAGTCGATCTCTAATAGCCTCAGTCTCCGGGTAAAGTGAGCTTTCGTCACTCCAAGGAATCGACTTGACCTGTCCTCGGCAGTACTTTGAGAATAGGATTGCCACATCTTTAGGACTCTCGGGATAACCCCACAGCTCCAATGCCTCTTTGGCTGTAACTTTGAGCGAAGTGCCATATCCATCCAGTTCACCAAAAGCAGGTGATCGAGAATCTCCCCAACGACCATTAGGAAACTCATCCCAGGCTTCTGTGCGCGCAACATACGACTTGATTCTATTCTTCCAAAAGATAGGTCGTACATTTTCCTTTTCACGCTTTTTGGAAAGGGAGGGATTCCATGGTAGCTGACGGATATTTTCACGTGGAGCTACGAATTCAAGACCTTCAAGGATCAGTCGAGTAGATTTTTCTAGGTTGAGGGTATAAAAGTGAAAGCCATTGATCCCGGCTGCTTGGATTTCCTTGCACATTTCCACAGCAAGTTTGACACCAAAATCCTTTACTGCCTGGTCATCCTCCTATAATATATATAAGGAAAGAAAAAAGACCAAACATATTAGCAAATCTATATCATTCCGCAGTGTGTTGCTACTAGATGGAAACATTTGCTTGCTATGGCATCTAATGGAATTGCAAAGATAACATGATAATGCGACAGTGTTTGTTGCTAACCTTGATAGGCTCCAATGCACGCTTAATACGCTCAGGCACATATGTTTTGCATAGCGTTGTCATTCTCGTGAATCCTCCAAAGTTCTGGATCGGCATAATGCCTGGTAGAATAGGTACAGTGATCCCGTACTCTCGACACTCCTTAACCCAGTTTATAAAGAGTTCTGTGTCGTAAAATAGTTGTGTGACAATAAAATCTGCGCCTTGGTCAACCTTATGCTTGAGCCATTTGAAATCATCTTCCTTACTTGATGAGTCCAGGTGCCCTTCCGGATAGCCTGCAACACCAATTGAGAAGTAATCTCCATACTCTTGACGAATGTATGCGACTAGATCCGAAGCATATGAAAAGCCATTATCACAAGAAACCCATTGCTCCTGGCCCCTGGGTGGATCCCCTCGAAGGGCCAGAATATTTTGATTTCCACAGGCTTTTGCCGCCTGTTGAAGATTAAAGAAAGAGGAAATATCAGTAGGCGATCTCATATCTAGAATGGCGGAAAAGAAGCAATTGATCGTAGAATAAATCTTTATTACCTTTAGAGCAGCATCAATCTTTTCTTTGGGCATGTTGGTGCAGGTAAGATGCATGCATGTCTCAAGGCCGTAAACACTCTGGGCAGTCGCAACAAGCTCAGTTGTGAGATCAGAAGAAGTACCGCCAGCATTCCAGGTGATGTCGACGAATTCTGGACCAAGATTATACATGCGTTCCATGCGGTCAAACAGATTCTGAATACCGGCTGTGGTCTTTGGCGGGAAATATTCGAAAGACCAGAAGGGCCGCCGTTCCTCTTCGGCACGAGTAATCTTGTCGATGATCTTCATGTGTATTTACAAGGAGCAGAAAAGGGCAAGCGGTGAATGAGGAGAATGGAGGGTTCAAGACAAAAATATATAAAACTTTTGAGAAAGATGGATGTCGTGCTTTCGCTGTCCAATCTCACGTGCAAGGAATAGCCCCTGAGCGAAAGAGAAAGGTCGTTCGCTACAACCTTAGTGGGCCGAAATCACCCTTATTCACATGTGTATAAATGTGTACATTTGTGTATAGAGAGACTAAATGTATCGCAAGGGTGGCATATGGAGATTCTCTACGAGAACACAAGCTATGATAACTGACTAAAATCCTTGTTCATTTTCTTTAAGAATTGATCTCAATTTCTGAGGTTGAGGAAGACAGGGACTTTAGCTCTCTGATTGTCCCAGTTGAAAGTAATACTCGCCCTCACTACATCTTCAAGGCATTATATTTGAAAAACAATAATGAATACACCAGGGATGAAGATGACACGGACAACGATGAGAAAGGAACCGTTGGAGCAAACGCAGTATCCATTTCAGTATCCATAAATAACAATACAAGGCCGCGACTCCCAGCAGTTACGTATATGATTCAACGGACTATGGATGTCATCTTTAACCTCTCTGCGAAATTAAGGCTAGAAAGAACCTAGACTTAGTTATCATTCTTCATTCGAATCTTGAGTTTGCTCGACCATGAAGGACTGAGAGAGTCATTAATGCAGCTAAGGCTGCTGAAGCAGAGGTGGTTAATAACTCTGTCGTTTGAGTACAGTGTTTATTACTTTCTTTCAGTTTTACAGCATGCCTTTTTGATATTGTAAAAAAGTTATATCTGTATATATAAAGAATCAAGCCCGCCAGATCGTGCCAATCTTATATAGATTGGTTTATTTCGGTTTCCATCGTCTTAATCTCCTTTTTCTTTCATGGATGAAACCTCTTTAAGGGCGCTATGGGCTTTCGGTACGATATACTTGAGCCCTATGATCGCAACAACTGCGATAGTAACAGCGAGTTTCAACGCCTGGTAAGGAATCCTGAAGTAAAGACGCTCTAGGACAAGATTGTACGGTATAGGCAGCTTTTCGGGGTATTGATCCTTATTTGTAAGGTATGATATCCCAGTATATGTGGCATCGACATGAGCCAACATTACGTTCTAAATAAAGCAATATGCTGTTAAGAGAGAAAGAATATATAGACATGAATAGTGTGGAAGCCTCTGAATGATTGATACCTTGGTAAAATACTTGTCCAGACGAAGATCCTTTGATAAATACTTTTGGGCTTCGCTCAATGTCCAAACTGCAATGTTAAAGTCTGCGGGAGACTAATAAATATACATTCCATAGCGAGCCAAATCATAAGACAGAGTTAAACAAATATTTTACAATATTTGCAAAAAAAAAAAGATATTTCAGAGAACACGCACCGAAGCTGGATATGAAACGCGTAATTCATACATGACGCTGTCCTCCAAACCCTGGAGCACATACCACTTGGAGTTCTCAGTTTGGGAATGAGTCTGGTTAGAATACGCTAACGAGCTCGATTGCACTAATGCGATGGTTGATGGTAGAAGGAAAGAGGGTTGTAAATAGTCTGTCGGGCATATACCTTAATTGACGTCTGGTTCTCTCATACCGTTTTTCGGAAGTATCGATTCAAAACGGACTATGGTATGTGGGGGTACCATTTGCTTCCTTGAGTACATGTAATGAACTTGATGAGCTTTAGTAAGAGGGTTGTAAATATACAATATATCAACATATCAATTACGGATAAGAAAGGCCTCATACCAACGCGTTGGATCCACAGCCCCTTGATCTTCCTGAAGATCACTGTTGAAACGATCAGTGGTGGAAATACAATTAAATTTGGCAGCAAATATTATCTTCTCGGTGTTCGCCTGTACAAGAGAAGAGAGGATGAGAGCCACAGTCCAGGCTATGGCTAGGAATGATGAGACATGCATCAATTGCATTGTGTAACGAGTAGCGATGACTTTTTCGCACAATGAACAATGAATAAAAGGGATTACTTTTATTTTGCCATGAAAATTTACGTTTAGTGTATCAAGGACTATGACATGTAGAACCGGAGGTCGTCTATTCCAGTTGCTGCGATGCTTGAGACTGTTTTGTCGTCCAATACAAATGAGCAGTGCATTTGCCATGCTACAGCCTATAATCTTTGGTGCTTTGACGTTACAGGAAAACTTGCTTGTCCAGACAAGAACGTCAGATCAGGTCTCTTCGACTTTCTGTAGACGGGAGAGACCTCCCGCCTCAACAAAGCTGATAGCGAGATTGTCTCGAGAGAGTGCGCTGCCAGATTATACGGGCCTGATGCAGAGTGTGATGACCAAAAGCTGCACTGCACTGTTTCTCCTGTGTGGTGGCAAAGGCATGTGGATATAGTTACATAGGTTTAGACGACTCTTCAAAGAAGAAGGGGCAGGAGGGCTGGGAGGAAGTCTGAAGGGGTCAGATAGGCAAGGTTGCTGCCTCCTGATATGTATAAGGATGCGCTCGCAGCTGTCATTGCCTTAGGCGCGAAGACGAACAGTGTCTTGGAATGGATCTGTTGTGGGGCACCTCTTACCCGAGTTCTAGAACGCGTATATGCGGATTAAATTGTAGAATATCGCGCATCGGAAGGGGAGATGGATAGTAATGAAAGATAAGGCCTATCCGTTCACAGATCTAGCAACGAAATTTAGTGGAGAGGTAGAAGAATGGAAAAATGAAGGGAGGCATGAAGCTGCTCTGGCTGCACGGTGATTATGGTCAAATGGTAGTTCTTTAACTCCTTAATGGGCATACACGGACCAACATTGGTCCAAGGAGAAAAAATGAAAGAGAAACACCAAGGGTCATGAAACATTCAAACAAGATTCTAAATCTCTTGCCCTCTTTTCTCATTCTTTTTTGTTTTTTCTCTTCATTTTCCTCATTCTTGCCCCTTCTCCTCCAGTGCAATCTAAAACAATTTATATTATCTTGTCTCTTAACACTAACAAACGTTGCTAAACATATTCACCACCCAAGAAACGTGCAAGCCTCTTGCGGCATGGATATCCATGGGGGAAAAAGCCATCCACCGCAGGAAAAATCTTCTGTCTTGAGTGCAGGAATATCAAATGAACATGTAGAGAACCATATCACCAAGAATAACCACTTCACAGCCGGTATTATTGAAAGGTCCAATTTGACACCTTCTACAACACCACTGCCACAACACACACCATCGCCACAGCCTCATCCGCATCAGACTGTATCTGTCTTCTCTTTATCGAGCTCTATCGTTAATACTACCCATTCAAAGGCAGCACCATCAATTGGGACATCCACAAGGAGCCCCGACAATGCTTCGACTGCTGCATCAATATCTCACCTTCAAGATCGCAGCAAGGAACAACCTGGTCTTAATCTGTGGCTGGTGGGTCCTATGGTTCTATGACTAAGACCATGTCTATGCTAATATCTATCCAATCAAAGTCTGACTGTTTCAAAGAAATACTCTATTAGTCTTGGCTCGAAGCACAGTCTAACACTAACAGGATACCAATGGCTCAGGTCACACCTAAAATACTTTTACGTTATCTTGACTCGGTCATCGTGCCAATGGAAAGCTCAAATGCCGAACAGCTCAGTAATCTAGCACTCATTAATACAAATGCGACTGTTTCGGGCGCGTCAAGTAAACCATCTGGCTCATTAATCCAAACCTATATTAGACCTATTTTGAAGCTATGGCAGGAAGAACAGGACCAGGATCAACAGCATATTGGGCTCAACATATCCGAAACATTGCCTATTACATCCTCTTCTATTTCTCCGCTGCCCATCGAAGAGCCGATGGTAGCAAGCCTGTCGCGTGATCAACTGCAGCGGATAGCCCAGTTGGAGCATTCCCATAGGGATATTGTCCTTATTATCTCAAAATTGCAGCAGCAAGTCCGACGACTGACGCAGGTCCAGACCATTCGGCAATGCCAGCTTTCGGAAGCAGATCTTGACCATGATCAAGCGTCTAAGTATCCACAGGACCAAGTGCCTGTACAGTTCATATCAGGGCCTACAGGTCAGGTAAGATGGCAACTCCTGTATCCCTAATAGTCGTTTTAACGACTACGCTATGATGCCTGACAACGCCTCATGGCCCGGTAAAACATGGTCGGGCTAATAGGCTCCCAATAACGCACCCTTAGATTGACTCAAAACCGAAACCATGGCAACAGCTCTCAAATACATCAACACATCAATCAAGTCGTCGCATTAACCATCGCAATCGGTCAGATGAACTAATTGCAGCAATAGCCAAGGCTTTGGAAGAGCATCGTGCGCGACCTTTACACGCTTCTCGACCTTATTTTCAAGAATCAAATCCTATCGGCTATAATCAAGAGGATCAGTCTCATAGAGGAGATAATTGGGACACAAGATACCCATTCATGACTTCACCAGGTGAGGTGGATCAACATGACGTCTGTGAGGTCAATCCTCTGGTGTGTTCAAACTCAGATGCCCTCTCTTACCCAGCTCCTTCTTTCCATGAGACACGTCCACAAACACCTAGTGGACGAACAGGTTTTCAGCGGAATGATCTCTTCGTTACCAAGCTACGGAAGCAAACTTCCCTCAATCGGAAAAGAGCAAATAGCGTGCATGAGCCTGGAAACCCCTTCAAAAGGAATATTAATCAGTCACGGTCATGTTCCCCCGCGATTGGTCAAGCAAACAGCGACATGAGTGGTGATGATACACAACATCGCGTGCAGAAGACTTCCATAGCGTCTTCTAATAAGACTTCAACTACAGGCGACTACTACCGACAGCGATGTAGTCCTCAGCGTGCTCAAAATTGCCATGGGGAGCTGCATCCTTCTCAAACGTTGTGTTCTAGGCCCGAAACAGACTCACATCGCGATTATTGCGAGTATGATCAGGGTCAGCATCAAGAATGCCCACACTCAAAGGAAGCCATTGCATCTGGATCCCCTGCCTACCATAGCAGTGATTATCGCTCACATTACTTCCAGTCATCGACAAGGCGGTCCCATAAAGGAAAACACTCTAGGAAGCAAAGCTCTTTCTCTGGCCTTCGTTCAATACCGCAACAGTTGCAACAGCACCAATACCAGCGCCTTAGCCCAAGAGTTTTTCGTGGGTATGATCAACACCGCGTTGAGCCCCATGAATATAGTAACCCCCTAAACCAACAAGAGGAAGATATAAAACCGTTACAACAAAAACAGACATATTCACATCATCAACAAAAAC